GCGGTGGCTTTTGAGTGAGTTTGCTCCCCTGGCCTTGTATATTTGTGCGTGGTACTGTATGTGTGGTATTAATGCGGCCGGGATTGCAGATCTGGTTCCCTCCAAGACAATCAAGACAGCGGTGCTGTCTTACGATGAGTATGTTAGTTACATGAACGAGCTCTTGGATGAAAAGATTGAAGATGCTCGCACGGGTGAGCACACGGAAGGCATGGATCTCATGGGACAGCTTGCGAAATCGTGCTTTGGAACGGACAACAAGGACGCCACCTTGACCCGCGAAGAAATCATTGGCAATGCCTTCATCATGTTTGTTGCCGGCCACGAGACGACAGCCAACGCGATCCACTTCACAATCATCTATCTCGCAACCCACCCTGAGGCGCAGCGCAGGATGCAAAAGGACATTGACGATATTCTAGGAGAGAAAGATCCCAGAGACTGGGACTACGATAGCCTGGTCAACCCGATGACTGCCAGCATGATTGGTGCCGCCATGTATGAGACGTTACGATTGGTCCCCGCCGTGCCTGAGATTCCCAAGAAGATCTCACCCGATGCCGACGAAAGCTTCGTCATGGACGGCACCCGATACGTAATTCCCAAGGACACGGGCATCTCGTTGGTGACAGTCTCTACTCATGTGAACCCGCGCTACTGGCCAACCCGTCCCAGCAAGATCACGCCCGGCAAATCCAACATCCTCGACTACGACCCCTCGCGCTGGTTCCAGACAAAGAACAAGCAGAATGGCCAGGGCAACGAAGTCGTCGCTGGCGCCGACTCGGAGGACTTTGGCGGTTTCCAGGGATCGGACATCAACTCGCAGCTCTTCAAGCCCGAGCGCGGCTCCTACATCCCCTTTAGCGACGGAGCGCGGTCATGCCTGGGAAGACGCATCGCCGTCGTGGAAATCATTGCGGCGCTGGCAGTCATTTTCCGAAGCTACAGCATCGAGCTCGCCGTGGACGAGTGGGCGACTCAGGAACAGGTTGACAACATGAGCCGGGACGAGAGGGCCCAGCTCTACAAGAAGGCTCAGGACAAGAGCCTGTGGACAGTGGGACAGGCATCGACGAGATTGACGCTGAATCTGCATGACGGTATGCATGTGCCTGTACGGATCGCGAAGAGGGGAGAGGAGAAGTTTGTGGACTGGGTGGATAAGGAGTGATTTCGCCGTCTACGAGAACAGAATGTTTTTGCGCAACAAGCGGTTGTTTATATCTGTGTATTTATGAAAAGAACTCAGCTTAGTCTACTTACTTGCCTGGAGGATGATCATCTCCTCTCGAAAGGGGACACACACAAAAAAAGAGAAAAAAAATCAAAATCAAATGATTAATGCAAAATACCAGCCGATGGTCGTACTGTATTCACTTGCTCTTCCACCTGATTCTGATCTCGCCAGAGGACAACGCAGCACCCCCGTATTCCGTCTTCTTACCTTGTCGTTGTGCCGGGCATCAAGTGCGGAGCAACCCTGCAGTGGCATTTTCCACGGCCCCATCCGCAATGGCACTCTGGGCGAGCAACAGGGGTGTCGATACAAGCGACGATGGAGTTTGTTTGCCCGGATTGCCTCCCGCGGAAGCCAGAAACCCTCTCGCCTTTCCAATCATATCAATCAATCACAGCAAAAGGTTGAACCGCATCAGCGGCGCAACGACCCCATTCGTCGTCAGAGCTCGAAACTCGCCATGCTTCAGCCACGCGTGCCGTGCGGGCGAGGTACTCGCTGTTAGTGCAGTACCTCGGGCGGCAGCACCTTGGCGCTTGCCAGCGTGGCACCTCGCAAACGCAGCAACAAGCACAGGCGACTTGCCCCGCCTGCCGCCCGCTGCAGCGTTCAGCCACACCACACGGCGCGGGCAGAACATCGGGGCTAGTCCCGAAGAGGACAACATAAACAAGACAAATAGCTCGCCTTGGTCCCGCGCGAATCTACTTTTGTGAGGGACCACCCCCCAGCAACCGCAAAAAAGAGAGAGAGAGAGAAAACATTCGACATCCCGCTTTTTTGTTGCAGTCGCCACGATAGCCAATAGGCCTAGCCCTACGTTATCTTAACACAACCAGCAAACAAAAGCGATAACTAACAAGACGAGAGAAAAAGAAGCCAAGCACATTCTTAACTGGAGAAAGGAAAGGAAAAAAAAGAAAAGAGAGAAAAAAAGCGCGATTACTACGGAGACAAGCAGCGAGCTTTGGTCACATCAACCAATCACTTAATTTAGTTTTTTTTTTTTTTTTTTTTCTTGGAACGCAAGCACACACACCGCAAGAATATCATTGGGCATCGAATCATTTCTCGTCCGTCTTGATTCGACAACCTCTTTTTATTCTTATTTTATATTTCGATTTTATCCCCGTCTTTGTTAGCCCGTCGTTGTTTTTTGCGACACGGCAAACGGATATCATCGCTATCGCGCATCGCATCAAACAAGCCTCGTTTATTCCCAACTCACTCACTCACAACAAAAACAAAAACAAAAAAAAAAAAAGAGAAAAACCATGTCAGTCACCGCGCCCGCGAATAGCTGGCTGCGCGCCCAGCGCAAGAGCGACCTGGTGGAATTGGCGGACAGCGTCGGCTTCAAGAAGTACGTATTGACGGCTCTCATCGTTCTACTCCCGATGGCTTTTATTTAAATGCCAGCGCGACGCAGCTTTTCTTACTGCGTTTGGTCGCATTGCCATCCCTTGCGTCATTGTTTTGTTTGCCTCTCTTCATCCTTCTCAATTTTGTGCACCTGCCACCTTTCCTGAGTGGTGGCGCGGCGCGCGCATTTCACTGCTGCGGCAGGCGCGGACGGAGAGAAGCTGCGGCTCTCAAGAGCACGTTCAATCACGATTTCTGCCATGCCTCTCTCCTCTCCTACATCTCCTTCTCCTCCATTTCATCCTTTCATTCACTCTACGCTATTCTACTGCCCCTCGTCTATGGCGCGTCTCTCGCTCTGTGCGCCAGCAAACAAAACAAACCAACCCAAAAACCAGGCTAATATGGGCTCGCCCCGGCAACTAGCTACGATGGTCTGAAAAAGACGGAGCTCGAGTCCGCTCTCGATGAGTTCATTGCGGAGAACAGCAGCCGCTTTTCTTCCCGATCTGAACTGGCTGGCTACTTCACCAGCCGGACCAAGGCGCTGGGCTCTCCCATCAAGCGCGAGTCCAAGGAGCCCAAGGAATCCAAAGAGCCCAAGGAGTCCAAGGAGCCCATCAAGGAGGAGCTGGAGAAGGGCCTGAAGGCAGCTAAGCGTAGGGTCACCAAGGTTGCCGAGGACCTGGTTTCTGCGTGAGTATTCCTGCCCATCTTTCCCGCTCATCTCAAGGTGTTTCCTGTCAATTGGCTGACCCACTCTCTAGAGACAGCGAAGATGTTCGCGCCGCCTCAACTGCCCTCATCCAGACTCCCGCCCGCAGTCTGTCCCGGGTCGCCGCAAGCATTTCTCTTCCCGCCACGCCGGCCGACGTCGCCCAGGCCGTCGACCGCTCCACTCTGGCCGTGCGCCGCCACGTCTCGTCTATTTACCAGGAGAGCGGCATCAGCGAGGCTTCCAATGCCACCCGCGAGACACTCAGCAGTGTTACCAGCATTCTGCTCTGTGTCTCTGCCTTCGAGCTTTGGTACATCCGGCCGGAGATTCTGGCGAACCGCTATGCCTTTACCGTTCCTGCTGTTAGCTTCCTCGGCACTTCCGACTATCCCGTCTACCTGCCTGACATGTTCCTCCTGCTCACTGCGAGCTTCTGGTCTCCCGCTCTGACCTGGGCCTTCACCAGCTTCATCCTGCCCAGCCTGTTTGGTTACTTCTTCAACCTTAGCGCCACCAATAGCCCCAGCGGACCCAAGACCCGCTCGCGCGCTCAGACTACCGAGACTGTTGTCGATCCCTTGACTTACAGCATCATCAAGGCCCTCGTTTCGTTTGTTGTCTATGGCCAGGGTGTCACTTTCTGTGGCCTCCTTTCCGAATCTGCCATCGAGCGGCTCGATGGGGCCGTCTATGGAGGCTACAAGGGCATGCTGACGGGAACCGCCATTACCGGCTTGCTTAGCATTTACGATGCGGTGCTGAAGAAATAAACGAGCCAAGAGGAAAGTCGCTGTTGAGGAATGAGAACTTCCCCAACTGTGACCAATATCCCAACCTCTTGTTCTCATCCGCATTACAAATTTGCTATGACTGCCACTACGACTACAGTTTAGTGTGGCAGAGGAAACGGGGGGGAAAGCGGCGTTTTAGGTGTCGATGGCGTCAAAGCGCGGCTCTCCATTGTCGTCTTTTTTTTTCTCGTCCTGATTATTCTTGGTTTCCGATTTCGCATTGATTTTCTTCGATACCATGCCCTTATTTTCGGTCTTGAAATATTACCAGTTCGAAATGCCAATAAGCATAATTGGGTATGAAGTTTGCCTTTTTGTCTCTTGGATGAGATGAAGGCTGCCTCTTTTGCCGTCGTTTTTATGGGGTCCGGTCCCCTATCTTTCTCTCTCTCTCTCTCTCAACTATTCTTGGAGGAGGAATATCTCGCAGCTCTAGAGAATCCGTGTCCATTGGCTAGCACCGTCTTTTAGAGTTGCTGAGAGTCGTTTCATTTCTCTCGCAGGAGTAAAAGGAATGAATTGGCGTCTAATATTCATCATTCGGAAGGAGCAATTCACGCAACAAGTGTTCAATTTTGCTCTCCTAGCGCTCTCGTCGTGGCGTATTCAACGGTTTTTTTGAGAATTGCGTTGGGTGCAGACAAGGTGAATTCAGATATCGTGGGGTTTTGCTAGGGAGACGGAAAGTTATGGGGAATCTCGTGTATTCTTTGGGTCGGTTGGGCAGCTTCTATGCTGATGGAAAGGAAATAGGATTAGTACGGCGGTAGATGAGCTAGGCTATGAGTGAAATGAAATGCTTTTTTTACGGAAATGATGCTACTTAGTGAAAGGATGTCGTAATATCGTGAACCAATTTCTATCAAGCACGTATTAAAGGTGTCATTGTACCATATCATGTCCAAAATTGCTATATACCTATGTTCTATGACTCCCAAATGTTTATACATGATCCATCATGTCGGCAAAAATTTCACATTTCTATTCTCCAAACACGCAGCACACCACTTGTCGAGGCGATTATAAAAAAAATTTCTCAACTTTGATCCAATCTTCTCTCGCACAGCGAGTCAGTTCCACGAGGCCAAAAAAAAACGCTCTCAGTGTAGAACCCAAACGCCGTGAAACCCCCTCGACAATTTTTGGGGGGTTATAATTAGCGTCGAAAAGGCATCAGAGGGGAGGGCAAAAAAAAAAATATAATAAATAAAGAATATAGAGAAACCCGCCAAGTAAAGAAAGAATGAAACAAAAAATAAAACGCCATTCCTGTATGCATCCTTTGGCCGAAATGAATTGCGACGCGCCAAAAGTTTCTTTTTTCTTTCAGCCTTATTTCATGGGCTTCTCTCATCATTTCTTCTCATCTGGGCTTTCAAACTTGATTGGATGCACGAGGAAGCTCCTCAGACACATCCGCCCACTGCTGTCCTCACTCTCCTCTGCTCTTTTTCCGCCCAGAATCTTGCCTCCGCTTTTTCGGTGGCCATCTTTTCCTCTGTTGTCTTGCTGAGCATATCCCAACCATCGCCGCCAGAGTAGTCCGGCAAACTCGCTGTTAAAATACCAGGTTGCGCCTTTGTGGTTGTGCTCATTGCGCAAATCGAATGGGCTTCCCACAGCCGAGGTCGAGTGGTCGCGTCCACCGTTGAATACCTTGTCAACTGCACTGCCCAGGGGCTCCCAGGCGCGATCCAGGAAGACGGGGTGAGGCGCGTATACAGCTTTAAGCCCATGGTGAAACGCTACACTGGTAGGGAACATTTCAGAGAACATGGTGTGGTGGTAGCGCCACACCTCTTCGTGCATTGCCATCAAAAGACGACGGCTCAAACGAGATGCTGTAATGATGGCGCATCGTCTTGGAGGCGTTTTGCCATACGCCGTCGCGTCGTTTGCAAAGACCCAGGCAGAACCATGCACGTCGAAGATGGGGTTCAATGTGATGAGATCTGCTGCCTCGCCGACACCGCACTCTGGGCTGTCTACCCCATCCGCACACGACCTAGGCACGTAGGATCCTCCTTGCTGCTCCAGGCGTAGCTTCTTTCCTTCGGGAAATTCAACAGGGCCAAAGACACCAGGCTTGCCAGAGTCTTTGGTATATTGTTCAACGGCGGCTGTGAAGTTCTCCCAGGTGCCGTGATGTACCGGGATATAGTATCGTTCGTTTCGTTCCCACATCAGTTTACGAGGCTGCTTGTCTGCCCAGCTGCCCAAGCGATCAAACAATTCATACCAGTTGCCCAGATACCGCATATCCATCTCCCAGTTCCAGAAATGCTCATACTCCGGGTGCTGCAAGGCGAAAACTTGAAGGGGCAGATGGGCGCTGCGGAATACACCGTGAACACCTCTCATGGCAGGGTTGTTAATAGGAGGTTTGCTGATGGGGTCTTCGAATTTGCCGGGATAGAAGAGCTCCATTTGTGCTTCGCTCCACAACGTCACCAGTCCGTGGAACTCGGGGGGTACGTTGGCGTCAAGCAGAAGCTGGACCGCCACGTCGTCGGACCAAATTGGCAAGTCATTGTCCTTGACGTGTAGCAGAAAGTGGATGTGGTACTCCCCGCCAGATCTGAGAGCTAGCTCGTTGATCATGGCCCGGAAATTCAGTACAACCAGCTGTGTCCATTTGAAGCCAGTGTAGAGGCGGATGACTACAGCGATCCGACCCTTCTTTCCCTCAGCGATCTTGAGCGAGTCGGTGTCCGGGTCTGGGTCTGCGAATCGGTGCTTGTTAGCGGTAGCACATCGGTCCTGCACATCGGCCCAGTCAATTTGGCCATAGTTAATTTGGCCGGTTTGTTCCCAGACAGTTTCACTGCCAGAGCTCTCCGTATCAATGCCCACGTCTGAACCGCCATCAACCAGTTTATAGCCCAAGCCATAGGGCCCATAACGGCCAAATCGATCAAAGCAAACGTCATCCCGAATGCCAAAAATGGAGTGGGAGCCAATAGCCGGGTCGGGCATATATTGCGGAACTCCCTCGTAGGCATAGATGTTAGGGGCCGGAATAGTGTTGTTCTTGTCAAGGTAGCAAACCTCAACGGTCGAGTCGGACGAGTAAGGATTGTAAAGTTTGGGTGTCGGGATATCTTGGCTTAGGGGAGGTTCACCAAGGGGAGCTTGGTGAGCAGGGTTAGGATATTCGGGAGTGTGGTCAGATTTGGCCACCAGAGCTTTGAGGCCATGGAAGTAGCCGTTCAGCCTAGAAAGATCAGGTCAGTGGTCTGAAGTTTGTAATATGCAGATTGGCGACTTACGGTGGGAATTTAAGCCAAGGCATCTTTTTCAGATCTTCATCCCACTTCTTCTGGGCCTCTGCATCCTCTTGTGCACTCAACTCATCTTTGTCGTCGATGGGTACCTGCTTTTGTTGACCATCTTTTCCTTTATCCTGTTCCGCCTTTTCTCCATCCTTATTGCCATCACCGTCGGGTTTCTTCGCCTCATCTGCTGGTTTCTTGACTTCACCAGATTCTGTCTTCCCTCCATCTGTCTTGCCATTGCCCTTATCCTTGTCCACAATCACCAAGACAGGGCCACCATCCTCGTTGCCGATTATTGTAGGCTGTGCTGGCAGAGGCTTTGCTACTGAGGGTGTTTCGCTAGGCTGGGCGAATCGCGAACCGGGTACAATGCCATCTCCGGTTTTGAATAGCGCAATCGACACGATGATCATGCTCACAACGGTCCATATCAGAATTCTCCGGTACAACCCCCGTCCAATGACTGACTGCCCCCGAGCAGATTTCTTTTCCAAGAGGCTTTCCGCATATGGTAATAAGGGGTCATTTCGATTCGTTGAGGCGTCAGAGCTTGAGCGGCTGCTGAAGCTGAGTAGTGAGGCCGTGCGCTCCATGGCGGCTGGAGCGTGGCAGGGGGATGACCACCCTCGACTTTGGCTTTCGTAGGCGTCGCAATCGCGAGGAGAATGTAGCTGTATGTAGTTGGCCTCCTATTTCTGGCCGCCTGCCGTGTTCAGGGGAGAAATTGAACTGTCGCAATGAAATAGAAGAAGAAAAAAGAACTTTTGCGGAAGACGGAAATGCGAAGGCAAAACAGCGTTGAAGTGCCCCTCCTGTCAGAAAATGGTGGCGATTACCTTTGTCTCGGGCCAAATGGGAGCGAGAAGGCGAGGCGTGCGGGAGAAGGAGAGAGAAATCGGTGGCGGGCCGGCAAGAAGCGCACAGAAGAGAGTTTCTAGAAGGACAAGGAGGGGAAATGACGCCGGAACAAGACAGATAAGAGAGAAAAGGGATTTGTGCAAGAGCAAAGTATGTACAGAGTTTGGGTCAAGATGTTGTAATAACCATAAACCTTGTACAGGAGTCTAAGCAGTTGGGAAAACGACGTCCAAGGGCCCCAAAAAGGGACACGCCAAGTGGGAACTGACAGGAGCCTCTGGGCTCAGCTGGCTTCTGCCCATGCGCGCGCAAAGAGCGATCGACAGGCGTCAAGCAGCGATGCTTGCTTGGCAAAAGGTTGAGTTGCAAATGGGACATGAACTCAAATCAAACTCGAACACAAAAGACAAGTTTAGCACAGTAAGCAGCTAAATCCAGTAGTGAGTGGGCTTTGTTGGGCGTCCTTGCTCAGAGCGATGAGCGCCGCTGGAGAACTTTTTGCTGGGCCGCTAATATGGAATTGACTCTTAGTAGTAGTGCTCCGTACCAACGTAGCCAGTAGCCCACTGCTGTTGCTGCTGCTACAAGTACTGCCTACCTAAACACTAAATGTCCTACGGAAATAATTGAGGAACCCCCAAAGCCCTCTCCTCCCACTCTCATCACTGACAGCGCAAACCCTATTTTGGGATCAAGGCACACATCCTTGCTCCCAAATACTAATCCGGGCAGCCTCCTTACTGGCGAATCGCCGCCGCAGCCTGAGTGCGCAAGTGAGACGATGGAGCTGCAGCCATGACACGAGCCGCATCCCCCCAGACGCGCGCATCCGCACTGACGCACCCTCAGCTTCGACGAGGCGTACTCTTACTCCCACTAGGCAAGACTCGTGATATGGCCCGACTGCTACGAATACAATAGGACTACGACGACTTCTAGTGCCCACTAGCACTGCTGGCAAGTATTACGGAGGAGCGCCATGCCTCGCCTACAACCGCCTCCCGGGACCCTGACAAGGCTTTCTTCATTCGCCTTATCAGCCGTGCCCCGTCCAACGGTGAATGAACTGAAACCCCCCATCGACAAAGCCGCCGCGTCGCTTGGGCTTGGGTCGGCCACATGCCCGTTTTCCCTGCTAGCTGCGTCTACTGACAGATTTCTGTCAGGCACAAAGCTTTTCAGGATCAAGGAATTGTCCAGATTGTGTTCAACCCACCGCGATTCTGCTCTATTGCGGCAACCGGCACGACGCAAGCAGCGCAAAAACGATAGTGATAACCTTTATCACAGCGGCATGGCGCACTTCCTCGAAACTACTCAGCTTAGGGCCTTGCTAGTCCATCCCAATAACCTCATTAGCGCTGCTTCCTTGTCCCAGGCCAATCAGCGCTGCACGACTCTCTGCCGGTATCCCGTACGGCTGCCCCGAGGGTGCCGCCCAAGGAATCCCTGTGCTGTGAGCCTTCGATCAATGTTCGCCTTTGGCCTCTTGATCGACCATTGCGTCATCTCGATGTTACAGAAGATACCTGCTGTAACAGCCAAGACAGGAACGAAAAGAGCCATTCAGACAACACCAAGAGGCTTGAATTGATGCTGACGAGGGTTACGCTGGGGGGATTCACCTCTGCTTAGCAAGCCCATTGTTATTGCGCCTTATGCTCGGGATGATCGGGCTTTCTCGCAGCTAATGGTGGAATTTCCACTGTCGCTAGAAGCAAAAGAAAGAAACAGAAAAAAAAGCAGCGGGACGCACTGGCGTGGGCCCATGGCGTCCTTGCCGTCCAACCATCCCGCTGAACAACATGAAACACGCGTCGACGACAGGGGGTAGAATAGGGTGGTGCACACTCTCGAGGCTTCCGATATGGCCTATCAATCACCATACTATGTACAGCAGCCAAGGCTTGCATGATACCCCCATCGAACGGCGGAGTTGACATCCAACACACATTCGTCTTCCATCACTGACTCCTGTTCAACGGCCTCATGATACTTGCCGCCCAAGGGGTTTGAGACATCGGTTCCGGCGTAAGCTTCTCCTTTTCCCGACCGGGGGATAAATGATATTTCATCAAATATTACCGGGCAGCAGAATTACCATCCGCTATTGACTTCCTGTGGAGCTCCGATGTCCATTGTCATCTCGTTCGCTCGTCCCCCCATGGAGGGATTCTTGGCCTAAGTCATAAAAGTGGCCCGTCTGCAGCATAGGGTGACAAGAATCGGCCGCCAAGACTTGACTACGGATTGAATACCCGTCCAGCAATCTGCCAACAGTCGTCAGGCTTCGCTAAGCCCCCCTTCCAAACCAACCTCCCATTCGATGCGTGAGACTGCCCAGACGTGAGGCTTCTTGGCCGCACACCACCATGTCTCAAACACAATGGGATGGAGGGTCGCAATCCAACCAGCCGCTGCCGAAGACGACTCGCTGCATCTGCTGCCGATGTCTAAGACACTCACACGCCAAGACCGGCGCGGACCAGAGCCGTAAAACCTCTCATTTGAGGCAGATTAATGTCATTGGAGTGGAAGCGCTGGCCCGGGTTAAAAATAGACGAGCACTCGGGGATTTTACGGAGCACTCACTATACAGAATGCTCCTCGCCAGATTATGGGGTGCGGCTGTACTCGTAGTTGTACAGCAGACGAAGTGTGTGGACTCCGTATGCCGCATGGAATGGAGGCTCCTGCTGCACCCAACAACGACGGCATTGATCTACTAGCATACCGACAACTAAAGGTCTCATCAACACTGTCTAGTTAATCCAAAGGCGACATCAAGAAGCAACATATTTTGCCCTCCATAATTCAATAAATCACTGGAAACGATTTTATTCCAGTATGGGGACGATCTTTTTTTTTTTTCATCAAAATCATTTCTTGAATCCATTCATCATAACCAAATAGCCTATTTTTAGCCTCGAGGGTATCACCACTCTCTCTACATTACAGCTGGGGATCATATTCCAGCTCGCCTCGTCACATTGCTCCCTATATCGGGAATAAATGCCACTCATTTTTACTTACGATCTCATCAAACCATTTCCTTTGACTTCTCACCATTCACAGCTTTCTCCTCTTGTTGTTGACTGTCGTCCACGTCTGTCACTTCGTCGGTCTCCTCGTTGACTGAGCCTTTCTCTTTGGCATCAATCTTTTCCCTCCATTCCTTGCCCCACCGAATGGTAGCCAAGACGCCGATGGTCGAGAGAACCACTAGACCAGTGGAAATGGTCTCAAACCAGCCGACACCAATACCATCCACGGCTGGAAGGACTACGGCTGTCGCCACGCAGCCTGCCAGGTACCGAACAAAGTAGTTTGCTGCTGTCACCTCTGCGCCGCGTCCAGGCATTACGTCCAAGCAGTAGGTATTTAGAGCTGGGAAGCAGAAGAGTTGACCGACACCTTGCAGGAAGAGCATGATGACTGGAAGCGGAATGCCACCCACGGCCCTGTCAACCGCCCATCCATATATAAGGATACAGCTTGGCATGAGGATGGCCATAAATGGCACTGCGGACCGTAGACGATCCTCTGGGATACGCACGCCATTGCGTTTCTTTATCCAAAGCTTTACCGTTCTGTCTGCCCATCTTCCCCCCATGAATGTCCCCAACAGGTAGCCACTGCCAGGGGCTAGATAGAAGAGTCCCGACACCAGCGGCGACTGCAGATGAAACCGCGGGTTCAATACGTACGGAATCGGCGTGAGCAAGCTATACATGTTCCACACAAGTGCTGAGCTGGCAAGTGCCACCAATACCTGATTCCAGTATCTGAATAACCGCATCACTCGAATTGGATTCGTCATATGAAGTATAGCTTTGGCCTTTTCTTTCCTTGAGCGGCCTTCCAAATCGTCAATTGCTTTGTGGTGGATGGTTTCTGGCACAAGGAAAAAGACGCCCAGAACACCCGTGCCAGCCAATGCCGTCTGTAACCAGAATATGGTCCTCCACGACTTGTAAGTAACTAAGATGCCTCCTATACAGGGGCCAACGGCAGGGCCGATCAGTGTTCCAGACATGAACCATCCGAGAGCAGTTGCTCGCTCCGTTGGGCGATATATATCTCTAATATACAGGTTAGCCATTGTCAGTCGATGCTGGACGATATGCTGAATAACACACCCTATGCAGGCTGCTCCGAGCAGAATAAAGGCCGTTCCCTCAAAAGCCGAGAGAGCTCTGAATATAAAGAATGATGCCAGATTCGGAGCAAGAGCAGTAGCTATGCTCAGCAAGAAAAATAATATCGTGGTCAACTGTGTCATCTATATATATATAACTTAGCCATATGCATCGCTCAGTACCCCTGCGATTCTCTAGTCCGGGCACTGTCACATAGGACGGTAAGATCCGCGACAGATGAACTGCCTCCATTCAGAGAGAAATAATGGTCGAACTTACTGGTCTCCTTCCAAACACCTGGCTCATGGGCCCCCATATTACCGGAGATACACCCATCAATGCCATATATGCAGCATTGCTGACGTTGATGATAGAGCCAGTTGTATGATATGTCTCTGCCACCTGAGGGACAGCAGAGAGGATACTCGTGCTTGATAGCGGCGCTAGAAAAGCGCAAAAGGATAAGACAGTCACAATGACGTGTTTGCGGTGTGGCGACACGCGGTCGTATATTTCATCTCCTGCTTCTTCATGTTGTCCAGAGGACGGTGGCGGCGGCTGGACCGAGGATGGCCCTAATACATCCGGGCCAGATACATGAGATGTTGATCGATAAACGACGGCTGTTGGTTTGGTCGGTTCGATTATCCTCTCCAAGGGCTTTTTATAATGCAACGGTTGTGATAACTCGGAGACGCTACAACTCTCAGGAGAGGTTGGCGGTATAGGTAGCTTCTCTTCGGTAGAGGTCATGGCTGCGGATCAAGATGTGATATGCGATTCACACTGACACCAAGACCAAGGGTTCGGTTGCAAGATTAATTTGAGCGAGGGCAGTCACCTCTTTCAAGAAACAAAGGGCTTTTAGCACATCAAGGCAAAGAGGCAACGTGCAAAACGTCATAGGCTGCCATGAGAATGCAAAGAGTTGTAAGTAAGTCGTTGATTTCTGCACCTAGAGAAAGACAACCGATTCCTTGTACGGCAAAGCAGAATTCTTTTTCACCAACAGGATTAATACACAAAACAACAACCAAGTCTGGATTAAGAAACCGAGACTGCCAATAAACGGGCGGGCAATGGGTGGAATATATCAATGAATCCCATCACGAAAAAAAAAAAAAAAATGTGCCCTCTCCTCCAAGACACCGGCAAACTGACCGCAGAGTAACCGAAGCAAGAAGCCGAATAGAAAGCTTCTCCACCATAACCCCCGTTCCGGTCTCGTTATCGGACGAATCTGCCCCGGGAAGCGGAGCCGCTCCCGGGCCATGGACCTTCTGCATCATCATTGCTGCTTGCAGCTTCTAGATTCCGCCATCGGCCCGCCTTTAGGTCTTCATAAACTTCGATGGTCCCTCCCTTTCACAGCGCCGATAACATGTAATCTGCAGTCATAGTTGCGAGAACCGGATCGCGAAAGGCGTTGGAATCGTCGTCGTTACTGGCATGGATGTGCTGGTCCTCCGGCAACGGCCGCGCTATACCCGGCCGTGCCTCGGCAGACCAGGACTTGGGGGCCGAATGCTTTTTCAGTGGGAAGCTTTTCATAACAGGCGAGATGCTCAGCTTGTTGTGGCGTCGAGTGGGCGAGATATTCTTAGAATCACGGTGATTTTCGTAAGAGAGCGGGAGCTAATGCAAGTCGATTTCGTTTCTCGTCTTGGCGATCGAATTGGTTCCATTCATGATAACAAAAGGCACCGGCAATCCAATTGCAATGCAGAGTAAACAGCCGTTATGTGATATCGGCCAAAATCCGGCGGCAACTCCTTTTTCATGCATCGCTGTATCTCTCCACGTGTCTTATGTACTGGGAGTAGAATGCTCGCTACCACATCATCACCACATCATCACCCAGCAACTTTGGATGAAGCAACAAATAACCAGTTTGTTTACACTATCAAAGTGTCTAATATACATCTAAACGTCTCCTTGAATCATTGGTTTATGCAAAAACTCCTTACTCCAACGCATGCATTGTCTTGTACATCAGAAGCTCCGTAGACCATCTCTTCTCGTGGTGTAAATATATAACAGTACCAACAAAACGCAGCGCAATGCAATGTTGAAAACAGTCGAAATGCTTCAAAGCTCCCCCAGATATAAGAATACAAAAGTCTCCCACTTTGTTTGGGGTATTCGGGTGTTGTGAGATTTGTCGAATCGAGATGTAAAAGATGGAAATTGCTCCATCATGCCAGCAGCTTCTGTACTCGCTCCTCAATAACTCGATCAACAGGCTGGGAACCCCTTTGAATGACAATGTTTTCCCTCCCACCGATAGTAACAACCTTGAGCCACTCGGGTGCAACCTCGGTGGCAATCAATCGAACGCAAATCATTCCTTCCTCCTTTGAAACGGGAACGCGCAAAGAGTCTCTGAGCTTCTCCGAGATGAGTCCCATGGCAAAAGCTTGCCTTGGCAGAGATGCGAGGTTGGACAAGCTGAGCATGGAAATAGTAGCTGCTACGTCGACGACTCGGTTCAAAGCAGCCCGGCGCTGGAGCTCGGGTCCTGATGGGGGAAGAGGCTCGTTGGCTTTGGCGAGCTGCTTGTGGCGTAGACGATCCAAGAGGCTCATCTTGGTGCCGTCGGAATTTACCATGGCGGTAGTAGCTTGCTGCTTGGTGTCCTTCTCTTGCTGCTTCACCAGAATTCCTCCCTTGAGTGTAGATAGAGCGTCGTGTCCTTTAGCCAGGATGGGATTTGCCTTGATGCCAAGGTCCATGTTTTTGATTTCAGCGCGAGGAAGCTCGTCCAGAGATAAACTGGCGAGAGGTACGTCCACGTCAGCCATGTCATCGTGAGTTCGGTTAGTGCAAAGAGCTCGAAGGTTCTCTTCAAACTGCCTGCAGAGCTTCTCTTCGTTGAAGGCCACTGCGCCATTGTTATGGTCGGGATGCAACTCTATGCAAATCTTGCCGCGGCCATAGTCGGACACGATGAAGGGGGAGACGACATTGGCGTCTCGGGTGGATGTCTGGATGGCAATGCATGTTCGGATATCATCGACTGTGACCTGTCGCTTGCCCCAGGTACGGGTGATGTGTGGCGTAATGGATGAGATATCGATAGGCACAATGGTTCCGTTGTGTGCAATTTGGAGGGTGACGGTCTTGAGAAATGCCTTGTGCAAGCGGATCAAGTCGACCAGCTCGGGGGCGAACTCAGCGTCAATGCCCTGAGCCTGAGCCTTTTTCTGGCCGGTGAGGCGGAACGCGTCGAGTTTTGTCTGCACAGTCTTGGCCTTGCCGTCCTGCTTCGACTTTGCGATGATGGTCGACTCGCTGGGCTTATGGGCAGCGGCAGCCCGTGAAGGCGTTGACTTGGCAACCTTTTTTCCCTTGACCGGGGTCTTTGACGCAGGCTTTGCGGCGGGAGCTGCCACTGTGACGGTCACGGCCACCTCGACTGCCGAGTCTCTTCGACAGGCCCGCTTCGATGCTGCTGGCTGCTGCTCCTCATCGCTGCTTGGAGGGAACGAGACGGTCCTTCTGGTGGCTCGGGGGTGGTTGCTCTCAGCGTTGTCGCCTACAGCTTTCCTCTTCCGCGATGTTGGTTCAACGCTGGAAACGACGGCCTTTTTGGTTGTATCAGGCAAAACTTGGCTCTTTGATACGCGAGTGAAGCTGCTGATGGGCTGTGCAGAGGGAGCTTCGACCTTGCGACTTCTTGTGGTTCGAGCCATGGTTGTTGCTTGCTTGCGTAGTGCCTTCCTTAAATTCCCTCCGCTCTTGTTCCTTCCGGTGCAATGTGCCTAACCTGCAGTCGAAAGTACAATTGGCAGGAATGATGCGTGCCGTCTTGAGCAAGAACCACGGTTGCAGAATGATAGCAAGGAAAGAGGTACCAGGCAGTGTGCTTGCAAAAAGAGGCAAAGTGGAATTGGGAAAGCAGGATGCAGGATGCAGAACGCAGAACGCAGGTTAAAATTGGCAAGAGTTGCAAAGTTAGAAAAGGAAGGAACAAGGAGCCAAATTGCCTCGACAACGAATTTGCTAGGGTTAGAAAGCGTCCAAGCGCTGGTTTTTCTGGAAACGGCTTCATGCCTGCAGACGCGACCCGCAGACGCGGCACGACGCGGTTTTGGGTTTTTGACACGAGACAAGATGCACATGTTTTCTAGGCAGCGCGTAAAGTGGCGGCCCCTCCCCCACACGAGCCACAAACAGGCACTGAACAAGCAAACAATTCATTGTTTGTGCTTTTGATAGTGCGTTTTTATGCCTATTTCTCTGTTTATAGTGATATTATTTATTTATATCAGTTTCTAGGTTTTGTAATTTGAGTGTAATGGATTTCGAATTAAGTTGTTATACTTAATTGCGCCTATTGGAATATGATAGGTACCTCGCGCAGAAGGCTGTATTCTATATCCCACCCACATTCTAGACGGGTAGACATACCCAATTAGGCACAATCGATGGCTTCTTTTTATTTTATTCTTTATTTTTAAAAAATAAAATAAAATATTTCCATAAGCCATTCTATATTGTATTTCGGTCAATCTTTTTATACGCAGGATGATCAAGACTTGGCCTCTGACGCCTCTCTATCGACGACCATGGCCCATATCATCAGCTGTTGTGTCACAGCTTGATCCCTCAATCCCCATTGAAGAAGAGAAGACACCAAATTATCATGCTGATCGATTCTACTCTGTTTATCTTGGCCAAGTCCTCAACGGAAGATATCAAATTGCTACAAAGCTAGGTTACGGTGCCAACTCAACGGTATGGTTGGCTCGGGATCTGAACCGGTAGGCAGCATCTTCATAAAATCCAGGTATAACATGATCTAACATGCTACAGCTGGCGCTGGTCACGGGAGAAATATGTTGCCATCAAGGTCAATGCAACCAGCCAGCATTCAAGACGAGTCCATACGGAAAACGAACTCGACATCATGAGGCACATTTCTCAAGTGAATTCTCAACATAAGGGTTGGTATTTCATCAGGAAACTCTTTGACTCTTTTACGCTGGAGGGCACATCTGGTATCCACAGCTGTCTCGTCTTAGAGGCTTTGCGTGAACCTCTGTGGCTCTATCGCAGGAGATATATAGGCGGCGTTATACCTCCAGATATCTTGAAGATCTTGACGCAAATGATCCTGCATGCACTGGACTTTCTTCATTCGGAATGTCGCGTTATTCATACAGGCAGGTTACACATTGATTCGGCTCTTTGGCCCTTTCCTGACATTAACCAGATCTCAAACCGGACAATATCATGGTGAAAATTGAAGATGCATCGATTTTTGAACGAGACGCCAAAGACGAGTTCAACAATCCGCTGCCGCAAAAGAACCTCGATACGCGTACCATCTACCTCTCTCGGAATAACTATGGACCACTTTCTATCCCAACGGGGATCATTCAAGTTGTCGACTTTGATCTCTCCGTTCGGGCGGAGCCAGGTCAAATACATATGGGTGCCATTCAAGGAAAAATATACCGAGCACCAGAGGTGATACTCAACGCAGGCTATACATACTCTGCTGACATTTGGAGCCTCGGTGTCATGGTAAACCCCCCTTTTCATGATCCCCCGATATGGGTGAGGCTGACCACTTGACTTCGTCAGTTATGGGACTTACTCGAGGGAAAGGGTCTTTTCAATCCTACAGCTCCTGACAAGGCTGATGGATATGACGACCAATCACACCTAGGTCAAATCGAAGCCTTAATCGGACCTCCACCCCAGAATCTACTATCTAGTGGCCAAAGAACTTCCATGTTCTACAAACCCAACGGTATGACAGGTGGACCTTGGAATAATCGCATACAGCTAAGTCATGTGTCCAGGTGAACTCAAAGATCCTGGCCGCATACCCAGCGATTTCAGCTTTGAGAATACTATTGGTTTTATGAGTGGCGAGGAGAAGTTGAGGTTCATTCGATTCGTCAAGAGGATGATGAAATGGAGTCCAAAGGAAAGAAATACTGCAAGAGAGCTACTTGATGACCCGTGGCTACATGAAGATTTCCCACAAGATTAGAACAAGAGTATGGCAATTGTCAACGACTATGAAGATCCGTCATTTGATAAATCGATGGCTATTCCAATCCATTCACTAATCATCTCGGCGATTGTATTTGCCTTTGAGTTTGTTGCATACTAAGGTACAGTCAGGTAAAGACAGAGTCTGGCATCTGGCTCGTCCGGTGTATATATTTTCTTGGAGCGCTATCCGTGCCAAGACTGAAGAGCGACTACCTCGATTGGGTACAAGTAAAAGGATCGATGTTACCAATATCTGGTTGAGCAAAAGGAGATTTCAGTCCCTTGACGCGGATGTAATTCATGTCCAAAGCAAGTAATTTCAATTCAACAGTGGCCTGTCGGGAATGTTGTTATCAACCTGGTCAAACTCTTGGGGCCCGAACAAAAGTCCGTAGGTAGTAGTTGTGCCATCTTACCTGCGCTTGGAATAGACAGGCTATGTCAGATATAAGTATCATGGGAAGCTAGCAACACTGAGCGCAATATGGCCGCACTGAATGACGGAAGGGAATTCCCAGCGGTCATCCGTGAAGTTCTGGTAAGACTCGAGAGCCGAGATGAGCCCGCCGCAATAGTTGAGATCGCCAAGAACGCATAGATGTCCATAGCCATATTGGCATCCACCAGAGCCACCCCAGCTGCAAATGTCGCGAACGGTGTCTGTGGGACGAGTCTGGACGTCTCCCGGGGGCCTCCACCAGGCGGTATCCTCGTTCGTAAAGCAGTGGTTATCGCTCTCTCTCGGCTGGAGAGGACCGGCCAGAGCTGAAGTGGCCAGCATGGCGAAAGCTACAAGCTGGGAAAGCTGCTGCATATTGGCAGGCCTCTGGGTATCTAAACTCAAATCGAGGTAAACGGTAAGTAGATAATGGAGAATGGATGGGGTATAGAGATGGCGGTGCTGTCTGCGGTTGAAGCTGCTCATGGCCTCATCATAGCAGACCAGCCGTCTACTTATACTTTTCTGCCATTCATCCAGAAAATCTTGTTGACCTGACGGACTTACTAAGAGTTCTTTCTTTTAGTAATATCTATACATCAAGTGTTCTTGTTTAGTTTGAACACTTCATGCCACTTTGTAGATGGTGAGACTTTTCTTCAGCAACTATCCCTTACAGACTCCGTCTCCCTCGTCTTCTCACCGATGGTCCGAATCTATGACGAAAAGATGTTTCAGGGCTACACGATTCTACAGTAAGATGATAGAGCGATAGTAAGAATGAAAGCGCGGTGTCTTATATATCTTGGGCACTACTGACGTTATTTGAGACGCGCGTGACCTGCTGCACTTGGCGTTGGGAACTAGATGGATATGCCATGATGTTATTGCGTCTATTCGGGGTACATTAGGGATATCTTCATCTGGATGCTGCAGATCTTGTCTAAGATGGGGTAAGGTTAAACATAATGACAGAAGCATCACATGCCAGCCCATAGTAGTATCTGGATCGATCGAATCGCTTTCTGCATGTAGCATTCTATGGCTTTTACGGTCATATTCATCAATACGGTGAACTAAATCCATAGATTTCTGAATACCTCTACGTAGATGATGTAAAAATTTACAAAGGCACAGCTATTGAGCGATTGAACTACAGATACATCCAGTAACAGCCAAGAGATGAGACGTCTCCAACGCATATAGCATCATCAATCATCAATTCAGCCGGTCTGATATGAGTTACAACAGCTATTTGCTGACTGGCCACATAGAATTCGTGCAAACGAAGCCTCGTTGAGATAAGAATCCGGCTTCAGCGCTACTTATATAGTACTGTGTTACGTCGTACCGGCTGCATCTGGCGGATCATTGGGTGTGTAACGCACCATACATCTCATTTATACTTGTACATTAATACATCTCCGGCTAAATGTGTCTGCCTCAGCGCCGCTCAAGAGCTGCCAATTGCCACCCTGTCCGGCCTCATCGCTAATGGAAATAGCGGCAAGCTTCCTTCTGCGGTATCTCGTGTAAGCCACTGGAGGTGGCAAAGCCGTGACTGATTGGGCGCATGCATAGTCCATACTCTGCAGTTACATCCTTCTAACAAAGAAGGTGGCATACTATCCAATGGCTGACATATTCTGACCGCTCTTCTGAGTCAATCATCGCCAACTGTCTTGTATCACTTCAAGGCTGAGCATCGCTAGTTCCGTTCTGGCACGCATCGCGAAATTTGCATTCTGCCGTGCTAGTCTTGTTTTTGAGCAGTAGCGTACATGTAGCGAGGAAATCAGGTAGTACAGCATCAACAAAAGTTTGATTACAGGAGCAGAATGACTCGACTCAAAGATAACTCAATAGACAAAGACTCCCATCCCGTGAGACCATAGCGCGCCGCCACTTGTACCGTGCTCTCTGCCAAGCGGTGGCCTGGGCAAATGCAGGCAATCCACTGTTTTTGTTTGTGTTTCCACCCTTTGCCCAAGTTCCACTGTAATTTGACCATTAACCATTCCCAGACACCCAACTCCAAAAGGCCTCTTTCGTATTTTGAGAGGCAACAAAAGCAAGGCAAAACAAAACAAAGGCCATCCATCTAAACCCTAACTGAAGAGTGAACGAAACGAAGTATTAGTGTTTGTCGGGGCTAGCCCGGCCACACTGTGCATTCAGGTGTAAGCTGGAAGCTGGAAGCTCTAGACTCCAACGAACAAGGCTGAAGGCAGTGTAACGGCTCTCGGCCCCTTTAGTGACAAGCTGGCGCGGGCCAGCGGTCGGCCCTGAAGCTAACAGGGCTAGGTGGAGGTGGCGCTGGAACGGTGTAATCATCCTCAAGGATGCGATGAACAGGAGTCGAGGAGCCGTCGCCTTCTTTGGTCATGGCGGCATTATCAAAAGGAATGGCCGGTCGCTGGTGTCCCTTTAGCGGGCTAAGAGAACTGCTCAGCGATGAGTAAATGTCCTGAGCCGTTGACAGCCGGATGTTGGCCCGCTGGGACGGCTTGATGGCATATGGAGCGGCGATTTGACTGCTTGACATGTTGTCGGTATTGCGTGTTTGAGTCGACGAACAAATGCTGACGGAATCGGATGATGCGAAACTAAGATGGGACGGGTTAGAATAGATATTGACTTTTTCGCGTGCAGAGCGAGAGACATGTGAATACGAACAATTTCCTGGACTCGCAGGGTTGTCAAGAGCAGTTTGCAACGATGCTACTCTGCAGAATGATAATGCAAGATTATGAAGCTTGAGAGAGCCTTGGTCGAGTTCGACTAGATGCTGGTAGTGATGGGGGATATGTGCCGATAAAGAGCAGGGGCAAAGGAAGGTCTGCCGGTGTCAAAGAAGAGAGAAAAAAGCGGCGAGCTTGGTCAAGATGATATTGCAGCAGAGATGTAAGGGCAACAACAGATTGATGTGCGAGGAAAGGGGCCCAAGGAAGCAAAGGCCAGCTTAGGCAGGAGATTGATGAGATTGATGAGATTGTTTTTCTGCAACAGCCGAGAAGAACAGACAGGAGGAGAGGCTGAATTATAAAAGCGAGAGGGCAGGTTGGTCGGGAATCGAGACCCTAGGCCATTGCACGGAATAAAAAAGAGAACCTTGGAAACTTGGAACAAAAGAAAAAAGAAACAACAAGGCATAGCCATAGCCGGGGGCCGGAAGGGCGGCTGCCAGACGAGGAGGGCGTGTGAGAGACGAGGAGCGTTTGAAGGGGAGAATTGGGGGGGTGCGGCTACAAAATCACCTGGAAGCTTCATGCTGGTACCTGTACCTGTACCTGTACCTATACCTGTACCTCGGCACTCGCCAACCCGCCCTTTTCTGCAGCCGGCAAAGCAACGGCGGTACCTGGACGGTGCTGGCAGAGAGTTGAGGGGGTACGAGTACTCGTACGACTCAGTTTGGGGGGCTGCTTTCAGCATTTGTGGCGCACCAAAGACGCTCCGGGGAAACTCGTGAGAATCCGGGGATGTTGTGGCAAGCTGCATAACATGGAGCTTGGGGGGTGTGCGACGTTAGTAAGCACCGATTCTTTGTCGGTAGTAGGTCAGGTATACTTTCTTCGGCGGTGGATGTACAGGGTGTTTGTTTGATGGTACAACACAAGAAAACTCTAGTTTCTGCTAGGTACATGACCTGGCCGCGATGGCAGAAGAAAGTATCGAAAGTAATTTCCTGCTAAGTTTCTATACTGCTTTGGTGGTAGGTACTCGTACCTACTAAGCAGCAGGCAGAAAAAGGGGTGGGTGCAGCAGCTCTGGGGAAGGCCGAGGCAAGCACAAGCAAACCTTTCATTGATCAACAATCTACCTAGGCAATGAACGGAGCCGAACATGCTACATGTACAGGTACCGACGCTGTGAAAAGTTCAGGTTGGATTGATTGAGGACCAAGGGCTGGTAATACCTCAGTACAGTAACCCAAAGTAAGGCACCTGTTGTTGCCTTACTGTATGCTTTGTTGTTCCTTGTTGTTTTGTGCCCTGTACGAGTAAGTAGGTACTAAGGCGCAATGTACTTGTACCTCTTGGCCCCAACCCTTCCAATGGTCGCACCTTGTGCAGCTTGGCCCGTTATTCCAACCTCCAGCACGCTTCAACCGACTGATTCATGCTTGAACACGTCGCCAATGCCGCTAATCAAAATGACACAAAACCACCTTGCGAGACAAAGCGTTGGGCAAACCAAACCCGGCATGGCCAGGGATCTTCTGGGCGGCACGCAAGAGCTACTGTAGCCCCGACGTCCCGATTAATTGGGAGATTTGGGGTATTGTGGGGACCCAGCACCTGGCAGGGTTGCTGGTCGACAAGGGGGCCGAGATGATGGAAAGCAGCAGTTGAAGCTTACTGCTAGTGCTCATACTGGTGCTCATGCTGGTGCCGGTGCTCGTACGAGCAGCTCGACGACGGTGGCCTTCCTTGGGAGCCCGTTTGCTGGGGGCGGGTGCTTGGGCAGGATGTGAAAACGCGGAACATGGCCCTCCGTATGATGCTGCACGAGTACAGTATGTTATGTTGCGAATGTTGCGATATTTGTTCGTCCATCCAGGTGCCTTGGCTAACTGACGGCCTCCTACAGTCCTTGCGTGCGGAAGTGGACGTGGGCAAACAAATTGCGACTCCAGCGCCGCCCTGCTGTTGGTACCGGGAATGCGACTGCAGTTCTCCGTCCGTACAGTACAAGCACCAGACAATACGAGTAGCTCCCAACCTTGTCTCAACTGCAGTCAAGGCAACCGGACAGGCAGCCATCCATCTCGTGCCCCCAACAACAGCAACATGTATTTTGTGCGATTAGCAGCAACACGAACAAGCCCCTGGAGAGCAAACGTGCTCCGATAGGGCAGCCATCCATACGCCCGAGGGCATTAATGCATCTGCCGTCTAGACACGCAAGACACGCTTCACCCGACTGCTACCTACCGCCAGCCTGTTTGCCGCGAAAGTTACTTTTTCCCACTGAGGCAACAGCCAGGCTCCCACTCGCTGGCGATGCTGCCCAGCAGAACCTTGGCCTGACGTGGCAGGCCGACAGATGGAGGATGGCCGAATCCGCCGGGCAAGTCTTCCATTACACACGCAATACTACTCAATCCAAAAACAGAGCCGTGAGTGTGCATGCGTGTAATAGCACCAGAAAAGGTCGTCAGAGCCTTACGTTTCGTCGGACGAGCTCCATGGCGTGGCTCCACCATCTCCAGGAGCCCCTCCTTACCCCGGTTTGCCTGAAATAGGGAGCAAAGTGACCGGGGGGTACTCCTACGGCTTCCCCGATGCTGACCTTTTTTCGAGAACGGCTGTGGAAGCTCTACGTCTGGGCAGTGCCAGCAGGAGGACACGCGAGTAATACCGGCCGGCCGTCTTCATCTATTACACGCTACATTTGTAACAGCACCAGGAAGCTTGGCGGAGGATTCACCCATGTTGGATTCTCCGGTAACTCATGTATACAGGCAATCTACAGGCAATCAATCCTGGCCGCACCTCCTTTCTAGAAAATTACGGCAGTCATCAAAGCAAGGGTCGTCTGTTCGCGAATCGATTCATCTGCCCAACTAATGTCGCCTGGTGGTTAATTGCTGTCAAGTTACGAGGGCTGCTACTCCCACTGTATTAGCTCAAAAGATGCGGCTCTGCAAGACAGAATGCCAGATCGACAGACCTACTCCCTCCCTGCGTGCTACGGCATTTCATAGAAAGTCCAATTTATGTGTGCGCCAATACAGAGCAAGCTGCCCTCCTAAGCTTGTTCGTTAGGGTAAGTAGATTTTGGGAGCGTGGACCAACAGAAGCTAGCTGCTGGTAGTATTGCTCAAAATGGTCCTCTTCTCTTTCGCCATTGCTTGTTGGATAGGTCATCTTCTGAGATCCTTGCGGATTACGCACTGCCATTCAAGACAGCTACCGATTTTGGTAACCCAGACTCGTCAGCAAGCAGGCTGAGCCGGCACAAAATGAGACCTTTGTGCGTCGTACTCGGGTACTCATTCCCTCCGACGGTAACAGGACGAGAACAGGGTGAAAAGCGTCGTCGGCCTGAAGAGTGATTGATAGGCCAAACAAGATTGGTGCAACATCAAGGGTTGCTCATATGGGACTGATTGGGGCAGGTCGTTCTGCTTTGCACTGCTGCCAAGATGTCTAGCAGCAAGCAGCAGCACGATCCGTGGAGCAGCACGCAAACTACCGTCTATTATTGGATGGCTTGTCTCACTGTCTCACTTACCTTTGAGCAAGAGAGTTGTGAGGCTTCTTATTGGGTTGAGAGCTGGACTATCAGCAATACTAGCGATTAGCCTCTGAAACCCCCCCCTTACATGTGCTCGGTCTTTTGCGGTTACATAGGAGGTTGATTGGGAGTTGTTGAATATCAGTGCAGTAGTCTAGTTACCCCATGTCTCACCAAGCTTCCCTGCGGATGATCTATCATTGAAGGAGGCATATATACTAGGTGATACGAGCTCATTGGCCGAGATGGATGAGCTGGCTCAGCTTGGAATGCTATGCACCCATGTCTTCGTCATCTACGGAGTACTATGGCTGGACACAGCATTTTCGAGCAAAACCCAGCTCTAGTCTCGATTTCTTCCCCCCTTTCCCTTTCTCCCTGCCGTAACCCCAAACCAACAACACTTCCCAGGCGTTTGATATGCACCTTGCATGCAAGGTACAATGTCACCGCAGGGTTTCTACACATCTTGCGTGAGCAGATCGTCCGGAAAAGCCAACCTCTGTGCACGAGGCATGGGGGTTATCGTGCATACGAATTTAAGACATAGAGCAACCAGGGATTAGACTCAAGTGACTGACGAAAGAAGCGAGACTGCGTGAGGGATGTTTCCCTAGATGCGGCCTGAGAGAGGTACGCATTCTCATTATTCCAGTTGCTCGCTGGTGCTTGACATGTTTTCTTTTGCAATGGGTGTATTTCTAACCAAGGCTGGCGTTTGTCGAGTGTCTCACTGTTGCACGGAGTTGAGAGACCAGTGCAAGTCTCATTAAATTATTCAAATGTATCATATAACATCATATCATGCCATCGTCACACCTTGCACCAAGAGTATCAAAAGTTGTTGAGCGCTACATACACCATTCACCCCCTTTTCATAGACGTAGTAGTGTCTGTCTGGGAATCATCATCCCCCGCCAGCCATTCAGGCTTCAGACCTTGGACGCATTCAATGTCGACGTAGAAGCAGACGGGGCCGTTGCCGACGTTGCCGCCGAGACAATCGAGGCCGCCTTGCCCCTCCTTCTAAGAGGCGCGTACACGTCGTTGAAGTTCATGGCAACACCTAGGAACCTCATGTCCACGTCCGGCTGGTACGCCAAGTCGCCGAGCAGGACCTGCAGCCTGTTGCGGAACTTGTCGCCGAGGTGCCGCAGCCGTTCCTGCAGGGCGGGGAACTCTGACGGCACGTTGTCCGAGGACGTGAGGCCGCCGTCGTCGTCACGGCGCGTCATGTTGCGTAGCTCGACCTCCTGTCGCCGAGTGTACTCTGAGCTGGTCCACCCGTACAGCCCGACGATGGTGTCACGGTAGCTGAGCATGGACCGCAGGATCTCGCTGAGCTGGTCGAGGTATGTCGTCTGCTCCCTGTTGTCGGAGGGATGATGGCGAAGTTTTGGCCCGAGCAGGCCCTTGTTCGTAATGTCCTCGAGATATCTCCTGTGCGCCTCGATGACATCGTCCAGCGTGCAGTCTTCCTTGCGGATGCGCTTCTGGAGCTCGGCCCATGAAGATTCAATGACTTCGAAGAGGATGTAATACTGCAGCTGTCCCACAAAGTGTATCATCTCGGCGAGCGTGCCTCGCGTTGACTTCCACGTCTGCACCACCGCCTGGTTAGGGCTTTGTAGCACTCTTCTGGATCCTGTCATGCACTCCCGCCATGTCGAGAGGAGCACAAACTCCACTCGCTTGATTCGCCATAGGAAATTGAATACCTTGAGATACTGGCGGTTGCCCCATTCAGTAACAACCACGTCCATGGGGGCATCGATCTTGTATTCCAAAGTGAAGCAATCCCAGCCAATGTCGCCGTGCGACAGCTGAAGCATTCTGGCATCTAATCGCCGCAGCACCTCGGGAGAGTCGTACTGGGCATTTGAGCCGCGGATTGCATGCTCTAGCTGGGCTGTCAAAGTGTGCCGATATTGCGCGCCAGAAGGGCGGTCTAAATTCGCAGCAAGGGATTCCATGAGCAAGGCAATAAAATCGCCCTTTCCCAACAGGATATAATCCTTTAGGGCCTGGAGATGGGCAAAGAGACGGAACTTGGTCTCCATCAGGTCCATTAAGCGCTTCATTGTTGTCTTGTATGCCTCATCGATCCATACCTCCACCGTTGCCGTATCGCCATACCTTAGCTCCTTCGAAGCAGCCTTGGAGTATTCTTCAACCCACAACGAGTCTCCGCAGCTGTGCCGGATGAAGTTCAACGATTTACCAATTAAGAATATCTTCTGAGCAAAGTCTTGCGAAATAATGCTCGGAATCATGTCCTGGGCTATCTCGTATTGGTCCTCCCACACATTGCCCTTAACCCGCATGGACTCTTGTGTGTCGGTTTGCTCCCTGACAAAGAATTCGAGGGAAGGGTCTGACAGCTCTCCATCATAAATCCAGTGGCGAAGGATGCCGTACCAAGGCCGAGTGAAGCTGCCCAACAGCCGCTCCGCGAACGCGGCAACCACGGGGTCTCCGTTGGAAGAAGCAAAGCTATGTATCAGAGTAATGAGCTGACCGCCCTTTTTCTTATCCGACTCTTCAGCGATGAGGGACATGAGTCTCAGCCCCATTGTAGCCTCTCGCGTCCACACCACGCATCTTTTTAATGTGACACCTGTCTTTCCAATGCCCCCTCTCGGTGCAGCTTCGTCTAGGGATGACAGTGCCTTCCGAATCTGACCTTCAAGAGTTGCAACCAATGTTAGGTATGATCGCAGCTCATTACTAATTGCAGATCGTAGACTCTGGGCTAAAAGACCGTTGGCAGGAGTTTGGCAGAAATTATCCAGGCGTCGATAAAGCAATGAGGGCTCGGCCAGAGTATGCAAAATGGATATGAGCGGCAGAGGAAGTGTAGCAGGAAGTCTTAGGATATCGTCTTTTGCAAACGGGAGGGTTGTGGATGATACGCCCTGGAGTGTAAACGGAAGGTCTCGTAGGATGGCCGTCTCTGAGGGCTCGATTTCAGCGTAGTTGTTGGACAGCATGCTCGACTTGACGGATACGTCTCTCCTCACCGGCTCGGGCTGAGGCTGTTTCTCCTCCGCGATGCGTTTCGGTTCTTTGGGTATCTTATGTGGTAGTTCTTCGGGAGCTGGAGAATCTCTCATCGACTCGTCCTCTATTCTTGGCATAGGAATAGACTTTGAGCGGGCTCTAGCACGCTTCTTGACTGCATCTCGCGCAACAGCTTCACGATAGTTCGAAGATGAGGGCTGGATGATGCTGAGGGGTGGAGGGGGAGCTCTGGGGTCTGGAGAGTCGGCTAGAGCATATAGGAGATATAGGATGGCCCATTTTGACTTGAGCACCGGAAGTGCAAGCAGTCGAGAATAGAGATCTGAGAATCTGAGCGCGTGGGAAGGGTTGCTCTGGATGAGCTTTCGCTTGATTGAGTCGGCGGCCCGGTCGACGTCGGACAAGATATCGGGATCAGGTGGACTGTGGCAGAGCCGGTTGTTAGCAAGCTGTTGGACTTCGAGCACATGAGGATCCAATTGTGTAGGCATCAACCTACGTGTTTATTATGGTCCTGACGAGCTCATGGCTCAGGTTATACCGGGCCAGCCATGAGTCCTGGCCTTCGTTTGGGCCTCTGGGGGGGACAATCTGGATTATCAGATTGTCGAGGGCATTAGCGACGCGATCTGGTGCCATGGCTGCATTGTTATGACCAGCGATGACTTAATCCGGACTGCCAAAAAAAAAGAAAGAGGATTAAAAAAATAGAAGAAACAAAGAGTTGCTGGAGCCGCCTATAGTCGTTTTGTGCAATGTCTCAAGTCAACAGAAGAAATACAGCCGTACGCGCAGAGGACGCGATTTCAAAGGCTATAAAGTGGGATGTAACAGCTGTCGCTGCGGCGCCAAGGTAGCCGCAACCTAGAGGCTGGGCCGCTCGTGGGCACAGCAGGGGGTACCAGCTACCTGCCTCGCCGCTTGTGAGTACATCCCTCTGAATTCGTCACTCGTTCGGCAAAATTTCGACTTTACTCTAACCAATTGACCCCTTCCCACAGCCCAGCTGCGAATAGCACAGCAACGCTGCCATCGAATTTTCAGCCTCACAATGCCTTTTTCATCAAGATAATTGCACAGCAGCGATCGCATGGTATCTCTGATTCCACTTATCAACTCATGACTTTGCTCTCGCGTCGCGCGCCGCTCCATCGCCGCACGCGACAACTCTAGTTGTCTTTCCGCGATCCACGATGCCCGATATCGACCCCGCGGCCTTGAGCCGCCCATCCGTCAGCGTTTCAACACCGGTGCTGTCAACAAAGACGCTGACGATCACTGCGCCGGGCTCACAGAAGGCTGTTAAGACGAGCCAAATAATACCGGCTCGAATTGACCTTGAGCCGCTCTATGCTGCACTGAAAGCCGCCATTAGCTCGGAGCAATGGCTTGTATACAAAGAATCCACGACGGAGTTTCTAACTGGTATGGGTCAACCCGCTTTGGCACGAGGCTGCCATCATGTCCCTATCCGCCATATACCAGGCTATATTCTCATCATGTGATAAAACAGGCCGCCTCAACCAGACCGAATACTCTAGTCGAATCGATCCAATATTGTCATCGCCGACGGGCGAGAAGAACCACTTGCACAACCAGCTCATTGCTGCAATCTACGGCAATGTTACCCGGGAGATGCCTGACGCTGGCCTTGCGCCATGGGTTAGTGCTAACGACAAGCCCACGACGACGACAGGCAGCAAACCTGTGTCGGGTGACGCAGCAGAGCGGAGGCTAAAGGGAGAGGTGATGCAACTACCCGCACGGGATCGACGGCGCATCAAGGAGCTCACACAAAACGAGGTTCGCTATCATCAGCTCTTCACTTGCAGTAGCTATCCAATTTACTGACTAATCCTTGGAAACAGTATGATCCTCATGAGAGCTTGGCGAATATATTTAGCGAGTCACACCGGAAACCCTCTGTGGCTGCCGATGTGCCCCCTAGCGCAGCTGGCGGCATCAACAACATGAGTTAGTGGATTGACTTGGGCTTTTACTCCCACAAGCCCGTTCTTCTTCTTCTTCTTCTTCTTCTTCTCCTTCTTCTCCTAACCTTGATTCTAGACTTTGACCTGGAGATTCGAAAACGATATACACAACCTCTCGCCGTCGAATCAGGAGAATTTCCTGATATGGGTCTAATAGCCGGCCGAATGCTCCCTTTCTGTTATGAGGCTGGGCTGGTAAATGGCCATGCACCAGATGCGTCTCATCTCATGTCTGTTGCTACCGAGACGTTCATCAAGGAAGTCTTGACGCAAATCTTCAGCCGTACTCGGAGCAATGGGCCTGGTGATTCTGGTAGCGCGGGTTACGGTGTAGGTACCACATGGATCCAGACGCACAAGTACAGTCGGCAGCTTCATCGCGAAGAAGATGCGGCTCAGAGAGGCGAAATCACCCGAGATAAGGCAGGCTTGTTACCGGTCGAGTCCAAGGCTGCCAGCGAGAGAGGCCCACTAGGTATAGCAGACGTACGAGTCGCCTTGGAGATGGCCGATTCAGGGATATCTCAGTTTCCCATTGTTACAGCGCAGATTCTGTACGGTTACCGAGAAGGCGAGCTCGAAAACTGGAAAGACTATACTTGGGTCAACGGCGAACCCCCGGCACAGCCAGTCGAAGAGCTTGCAACAAATGGCGACTTGGGATTGACCAACGGCGCTCTCCCCGATACAATGGATATCGATAACGACATTGGGTGGGAGGGAGCAGAGAACCCAGACATGGATATGCTGGATAGCGTCTTGGACTCGTGTCTCGCCGTCGGATGATGAAAGAAAAAGACGCGGTTTGGCCGCTTCATCGCTGATGCCGTTCTGAGCAAGACACATTGACGGCGATGCCGAATAGAATATCCTCCCAAACACGATAGAGGGGAGGGGGGTTTCAGGGTAAGCGGCTTTGGATAGATTAAGTGGCTGACAGGGCTCCTACGACTATGGGACGCCGGGATTTTGACAGGACATCCACACCGGAATAGAGTGGATGGATCGCAGTTGGTTTAGCAGGGTTCAGCCTTGCCAGGAGCAGACGGATGCTCAGCTACAGGCTTTGGCTAACCTTGGCAAAGCTGGGTATATGCTGCTTTGCTTGCTTCTCTTTTACTTTTTGTTTTTTCTCTTTTACTTGTTCTTTTCTTCTTTATTTTGCTTTTCCTGTTTCTGTAATATTGTCACAACGGTGGGATTCAAACGGCGTTGCCGGACTGCAATTATCTTCACCACAGCGTTGTTATTCTTCAGGCAAGGGGGGGATATATGGTTGATTTGTTCATCTCTATGAATTGTATTTTGTATGGAACGATACCCTAGTTGCAGGGGGCAAAGGCAAAAAGGACCACGAGGCAAAAGGGTCAAACGAACATGTACATACAGACGAATGGGTGCGTGGCAAAGAGAAGGGGGTTGTACACGTCCATGGCAGCAGCGCACCTTGCTGGCTGCCGGAGTCAGCGTCTTACTCATGAAGTTATTTGGTAGGTGTCAAGTAGTAGGCGGTGTTAATGCAAGAAATAAAACAACATGGAATAGCCATATATATCTATATATAGCATATCTCGAGACTCGTGGCATCTGTAAAGGATGCAGGCTCTGACTCAAGTGCACCCTCGTAAGCCTGTCGTGAAGCGCTGACAGTTGAGCTGGGCGCGCTGAAGTCTCGCCTCGTGAAGAGGCAACCATGGTCGATGCATGCGCCAGTTGCCTATTGGCTGGCAACTAACTTGGATAGGAAGACACCTCTTACTCCTGAATCCGTCCAGATGGCCACTAAAGAAGATTGTAATCTTCCTCTTTCGCCACCGAGTAGCCACGACGTCACTAACGACCGGCAGATGACGGTACGAAATACCCAGTGCGTGTACGAGAAACGTGTACGGGTATGGAGGTGCACATAGTACTGCGCTCAGCCAAAGCTTGAGACGGACGGGATGAGGCAGGCTGCTGCAAAAACAGGAGACAAATCATGAGGAAAATTCAGCTGTAGAAAGATATGAAATAATTTAAAAAAGGCGGTTTGTAAGATTCATGGCATGATTTTTATTTTACTCGTCGTTAATATCCCCTCCTGTTGGTGTCTCAAGGTCATCTCCGAAAGGACATGAGCACAAGAAAGCGTGGTGCGCCACCTTGCGAAGACGGTAATTTGCACTGTGTCGCACGGAGTACGCCGTGCCAATCGCGTGAATACGGTACGAAACTCGCAGCCTCCTGTACGGAGTATTGGATGGTGGGAATGAGGTCGACTCATAGTCTACAATACACGTGCTCCGCGACGTTGATGTGCGCTGGAACCTTCTCGGGTCAAAGATTAAGTGCTTACCTTGGAGGTGCCTCTCAGAGTAAGACGTGTGCTGATGAGGGATTTGTTACAAGTCATATCATTCACGGCTCTTTTTGTCTAGGTACCTACCTAGGTAGTTATCGGCTCTGAAAGGAATGGAAGAGAGAGAGCGAGAGAGGAACAAAAGGCCAATTCAACTGCGCTTGTCAGGTAGGGTGCTACCTAGGCCTAGGTAGCTAGAGCTAGGCAGATTGCCAGGGCCTGCCCACTAAGCGCAGGGCGCGTGAAAGGGCCCGAAATGAGGAAATTCAATAGCACCACTGCCACGAGATGAAAGCCCATGCAAGTACGGGGTGCCTGTGCTGCTAGTCATGTACCGGACAGGGTTTGGCTGGGTAAGACTTTTTTTCTTTTATTTTTCCTTTGGGATTGATTGAGACTTTCCCATGCTGTGCTGCCTACCTGCCTGCCTGTCCTGTCACCTGAAGAGTCACCACATGGGGGTTGTGCTCGTGTTGGCGCACGTCATTCACGGTGATGCTGAGATGAGTGAGCGCATGTTGTTTTGATGTACCTACCGAGGTATAGTACCTGGTAGTGCACCTCTCTTCTGCAGGCGGCCTGATGCGTTCAATTAGCACCTTGGGCCCATGAATGGATCCAGTTCTGGTACTGCACGCACAGTATGTACCTGCGTTGGCACATGCTCACTGCCAAAAGCGCTCCAGCTCCAGGTGGCAACTCAACTTTGGAACTTACAGTAGTGCAGAAACGCCCACTAAAAACGGTGCAGCAGCAGCTGTACAGTAGAGCCCTGCACAGAAGCCACGGAAGCCCTGGCGGAACAGCGCTGAGAGGCAAGGGGTGGGGCCCGCGAGGCCCGTGCGACGCTTCTAGAAAGCTTCCGCAGGGCCCTTGTCTCGAGCCATAGGCCGCCTCCTCTTGCCTCCCCCACCTCAGCATTTCCCTCTGGACGGGCATCAGCCAATTTACCTTTTTTTTGCGCGATTGATTGGACTCGAGCTTCAATTTTGCAGCGAGCAGCTCCCGCCCACTAAGCTGGTGTTGGTGCTAGTGCTACTGTAAGTTGAGCACTAAAAGTTTGCTGCCCTTTTTGCCGTTGACGTGGTGGCCGTTGCTGTCCCAGCTTCTGTACGGAGGTACTGCAGCTGTCGAATTCTGGCCAGCTGCTGCTGCCCACATCCCATTGATCCATCCATCCCATCCATTTCTTTGCGCCTCAGGAAGCTTCTTTTCCGCTGCAAAAACTCCTCCTCTCATCATCCCTCAGAGCTCTCACTCTCACTCAGGCAATCAATCCCAGCAGCAAAAACCCCCGCGAGCATCATTGATCATCCCATCATCCATCATCCACCATCCATCCGGGCAAGGCCCACCAGACCTCGTTCGCAGCGTCCGTCACCTTTTGGCTCGTCATCTTTCTTCCCCACGCCGTCTTCCGCTTCGCCCTTCTAGGCTCGGCCCCTCTTCTCCCTTCGTTTGCCCGTCGTTCGGTCGATCCAAAGGCTCCTTGGTCCTGTCGCACGACCCCTCCTCGTCCCCTCGTCTTCGCCTTTGTTCCCCTTCGCGCCTCTCTCTCATCTCCTCATCTAATCTCGTCGTGCTGCCGCAGCCTTGGCCCGTATCCTCGCCCGCTGCACCGCTACTGCTGGTAGGTCACAAGTCTATTTTTCTCACTCGTCTGCATCTCCTTTTCTGTCCTGCTCCAGACGGGGGTTTGGCCTCGGCTCCCACGCAACAGCTCAGGTAGCGTTGCTGGTGACGTTTCGGCCGCCACCTTTTATTTTCTGGCTGTCACTCGCTGCGTTTGTGCCTCGTTTGCCGCCGTCCTGCAGCCCCCAGCCTGGCCCGTCTGCCCTCGTTTTTGATTTCATTTTCTTCCTGTCATGCCTGCCCAACCCATTGCCATGCCGCCCGATCGGGTGCTAGCGAGCCCTTGTCCTTGCTCTTCCCTCTAGTCGTTCGCATCTCGGCCTCCCCGGTAACGACGCCGTCTGCCAGGCCTGGTCTGGGGGGCGTGCCAAATGCCCACGACTTGCGGCCCTTGTCGATTGGCCCCTCTGTTTGAATTTCCCGTCCTCTTGTCTGCGATGGCGGGCCACCCGGTTCTGAACCCCGGCCGCCTGGTAGCGTGCTGCTAATTCTCGTCGCGCAGCTTCGCGCATACAAAACGGCTCTACATCCCAGACCCGCTCCCGCGCAAGCTGTAGGTCCAACTCACTCCGGTCATTACTTGTACCTTTCAAATACGCTCCTTTTCCGAGTTGCCTTCTTTTTTGTTGTCGAGTTTCTACGTCATACATATCTGTTTAATACCAGCCAACACACCCTTCACTGGTCATGTCTCTACCAGAAGCTTACCAATATGAGATCCAAGCTCTCAACCGGCAGGTTCTGCAAACCTGTCCTTCCGATATCCTCCAGTTCTGCGCCGACTTCTTCAACTCGCGACTAGCATCCGAACGAGCGGCGAGCATTTCCATCTTCCGCGACCGAGGCACTCCCTCGCCAAGATTCTCTCCGTCGCCCACTAGCAACTTTGCAATGATGTCTAGCCAATTCTCAAGCCCTTTTGGGGCCAATGCCAACCCCTTTGGAGGCAACACGTCGCCCATGGCATCCAACGTGATGCACCGTGTCGTTGAGGAGGATGAAAACGACCATTTGGCCCCCGGCGCCCCCTTGTTCTCAGGAGCATTTGGGGGGGACGCATCTACCGAGGCTCCACCGACCTTGAGAGCCCCCCCTACTACCGATAGCTATCCGGCACAGTACAACTTTTCACGTCGGACGTCCGTTTCAGCAGAGTCGCTGAAGCCGAGCGCCGATAGCTACGACAACTGGACCCCTCCGTTTACCGAAAAGACCCCCGAGCAGGTTGAGCGACTCAAGCATGCCATCGAGGGAAATTTCCTCTTCAGCCACTTGGACGATGAACAGAGCGCGCAGATTTTGGGTGCTCTTGTCGAGAAGCCCATTCCCGCCAGGGGCATCAAGGTAAGCGCAACACAACGATAAAAACACTCAACACGCATGTTTTCAGTTGCTAACAGCACGACATTATAGGTGATTAGCCAGGGCGATGCCGGTGACTACTTCTACGTGGTTGAGCGAGGCTCGTTTGACGTCTACGTCAACCCCTGCGGCTTTATTGAGCCTGGCCCGGATGGACTGGGCTCCAAGGTCAGCACCATTCAGGCCGGCGGCTCCTTTGGCGAGCTTGCTCTCATGTACAACGCGCCCCGTGCGGCAACCATTATCTCTGCCGAGGGAAGTTGCACTCTGTGGGCTTTGGACAGAGTGACATTCCGTCGTATCCTCATGGAGTCGACCTTTGCTCGGAGACGGATGTACGAGAGCTTCTTGGAGGAAGTCCCCATCCTTTCTTCGCTCACTCCCTACGAACGATCCAAGATTTCAGATGCCCTCGAAACTCAAAAGTTTGCTCCAGGAGACGTCATTATCCACGAAGGTGACCCCGGCCACTCCTTCTACCTTCTTGAGAGTGGTGAGGCAGACGCATTCAAGGGAACCGAAAAGGTGCTGTCGTACAAGAAGGGCGACTTCTTTGGCGAGCTGGCGCTGCTTAACGATGCCCCGCGAGCCGCTAGTGTCGTGGCTTCGACAGATGTCAAGGTGGCTACGCTGGGCAAGAATGCATTCCAACGGCTCCTGGGCCCTGTCGAGGGTCTCCTCCGAAGGACGAGATATCAAGGCGTCAAGACGGGCGTGGAAGAGATGGACCCCCTGCAGCAGGAGTAAGCTGCCAACGAAGGAGCGAGCATCCTTACGAGTACGGTTGTATCGTTTTCAGGGTGTATAATGTCTGCACGGGTATAAGTTACAGGTGTGGTGATGACGCTAGCAGTTTAAGAGGCAGGATTTTCTGGACATGAAAAGGGTACCGAGCATAGATGGGCTCCACAGATCGGTTCTACGGGAGTGACGGGAGCAGGCTGGGGCATTGGCAAAAGGGTTGCATTTTTACATGGCCGATTGCGAATTCGTGCAAACGACTGCTCGCTTTATCGGAGGCCCTATGTAACGGGCACGGCTTACCGGCGTTTTCGGGATACTCTTTGTTTTGCTTTTTTATTTTTATTTCCCCCCTAACATCACCACCCTCGTTATTATCCCTCACTATGAGACATTGTCTATTTGAGCAGATACCTTGTTTGATACCGTTATCAATGCGACTAATATCTCTTGAGGGCTGACTTTGGGTGATCACTCATTCTGATATCACCGTAATCCCCTTTCCCCCACCTACTTTCATTATTGTTTTGTTACAGGAAAAGAATATATTGTACCTCATATCAAGATGTCTGTGTAGTTTATTTTTATGTTTAGCTAATCAAGGTAGTTTTTACGCCAGCAGTGCTTCCCGTATGTCTTGTAAATTGATATGCCATGGATTTCCAGTCACGATCCATTAACCCTTTCCTTTGAGAAAATATAAGGTTTTAAGAAGAAAAAAATTAAGAGAAGTTGAGCAAGAAGAAAGGAGTAAAAACAAGGAACAAAATCCACCATTTCTTTGTTGCCGCTATAAAGCAGCAGGATGCTCAGCAGCGCTGGCCCTACTCCTCAGCTCCTGTCGTATCTGCTCCCTGAGTTCCTGGACGGCAATTTCCGTCTCGAGAACCCTGCCAACGCCCTCGCGCCAGTTTTGCTCGAGCCCTTGCATCTCGGCCTTGACATCGTTTTGGCGGGATGCGCGCGCGGCGTTGAGGAGGTCCATGTCGCGTTTCGTGGCGGCGAGGTCGCGCTCGAGGGAGCGGAGCTCAGCCTCGAGGTGGTAGTTTGAGAGGAGCCATGCGTTGCGGCCGTGGGAGTCTAGGAGGGATAGGTTTTGGGCGCGGGAGGAGAGGTAGGAGGATGAGATGAAGGCGTTTGAAAGGGGTTGCCTTGAAGCCTCTGCCGCAGAAGAGGAGGAGGCCGATTTTGAGGATGATTTTTTGGATGAGCGGGTTGATGTCTTTGTTGGAGGGGGGGGAAGCTCTTGGGCTTCGTAGCGGGAGAGATCGAGGGGCTGGGAGGGGGTTGATGAGGCGATGCGGGCGAGTTCGGTGGCGATGGCGGGCGAGAAGGATGGTTCTTGGGGGTGTTCTTGAGGAGGAGGAGGGGAGAAGGTTGATTGTTCGGCGGCGATGAGGGCGCGGGCGGCGGCGAGGGCTTCTTGGGAGGGTTCGGGGTCGATGTCTGGAAGGGAGGAGGAAGAGGTTAGTTTATTTGGATTTTGTTTCGTGGTTTGTTTTTGCTTGAGTTGGTGTTTAGGATGGGAGGGAGGCGGGAGGGCGTACATGGGAGGGATTCGTGGTAGGCTGGTGGCATGGCCATTTTATCGGTTTCTTTTTTTTCTCTTGGTTTGTATGATTGTATGGTAAAGTGATTGTTTGTTCAAAGGGCCTTTGTTAGCCGGTGAATTGGCCGACTGGGCGCAGCGAAAGTCGTCGTAGTGTCGCAAGGCTGAAGATTCTTGCGATAGCTATATCTTCGATTCGAGATTGCTCAAACGGCGCCGCGAGAGGCGTGAGCTAATAGCGCGTGTTTCAAAGATGACAACTCGATGTTGATTAACTTCACAAGCTGTAGTTTTTCTTTCTAGATTTCCAATTTATCGATAAAAAAGGGGGAGCGTAAGAGTCATCAATCAAATTCAATGGAGTTTCTTCCTGAAAAAGAAGCGAAGCAAAAAGAACGGCGACGGCAAGCAGCACCAGTTTCGGCCAACCAGCACGTGTTTTCCGCAACGCAAGGCTGAAGCTCCTGCTTACCTAATCCATTCCAGACCAGAAAAGGGCGTTTAGCGTGTCTGCAGCTTTTGCTTCTTTCCGGTGCACGGGCCAGACGCGGTAAAAGTGGGGGCTGGTGTCCGGGGGCGACGGAGGTGGAAGAGAAGAGAGACGAAGGATGAGCTGCTGGAAGAGGCAGGACGGTTGCTCTGGATGGGGGTTTGTATTATCATATCGACACGAAGTATACATGCTCCATACAGGGGTGATAGAGGTCAAGTAGATGTCCAAGGTAGTGTATATATACAGCGTCTTTGGTTGAACTCCAGGTACTGCTTCCCATCGCCAAACCCATCAGGCTCATGCATCAGGCCGCGTGTGTCTCTGTCCAGAACACACAACCACAACTGGGCATCAGTGCAGCAGCGCATTTTCCTACCTCACGTCTTCCCCCAACACAGGTGTCAGGCGTACGTCCTCTATGCAGTGTGTCGAGCGTAATATCCGACTGCCGATACATCCCCCATTCACCCATCGATCTGCAGCCTCTCTCTTTGGGCTATTCACTTGCATTTACCCCGAGCGGGGTACGCTGTCGTATCGGCGACCACCGACACGGTGAGTCTGGGACGCTGGCTGCAAGTCTTGTCTTGTTCGAGTAAGGCCTTACGTGTCGCTTGAAGCATTGATAAATGACTCGGGCAATCATAGCTGGGCAAGCTGGGATTGAAACGGTTGACGCTGAGGGGCTGCAGATAAGCATGCAGGGAACTCTGGGTCTGGCCTTCATGGCAATGTAAACACTCAACTAGTCTTCACGAATGAGCGCAATTCATCATAAAATGTTACACGGCTTTGATTGGTTCTATCAGAGAGCCCGAGCCTTCATATGGTTTGCGAGAGAAAAAAAGAAAGAAAAGCCTATTATACAGTAATACATGTCATCCCGCCGTCAAGGTGGGTATGTATCATGAGTTTGGCCTCAGATGAGTGCCGTCATGTCCAGTTCCGTGGCTGTCATATCCCACTGTTCCATTCCTTCCCGATTAAAAGAAAAAAAGAGAAGAATAAAAAAAGCTAAAGTAAATATGAATCATCATGATCGTGGGAGGCATCCATGACATTTCCAGGGTGGGTATGACTAATAGAAACGCTCTCTGGGCATGCGAGACAACTTGTCTCGTCTAGACGGAGTGGACACTCTCCGCGGAGTCCGTCTTGGAGAGGTCATCGCCGTTCTCCTCATCAACAGGTCCGTGGATGTGCTCCTCGAAGAGAGGATCGGGCTCATTCACCTCGAACTTGGTCTTGAAGTCGGAGAGATGCTGGTGGGAAAAGCTGTTGGAGCGGCGGCGGGCGTTGGTGAAGCGGAAACCCTCATCCATAGCTTCTTCGCCGGCACTTCCCCTGTAGTAGCATACTTTGTTAATAGTGTGAACCAAGTGACGAAACAAGATCAAACAGTTTGTAACCACTTACCAGTTGCCTTTACCATTACCGTCCTTCTTGACCTTCTTGGGGTCAGTGTCAACGTAGCCACTCTTGGCAAAGAAGCGAGGCAGGTTTTCTGTCGGAGAGACACTGCCGTCGGCAAGACCCTTGTGGTCACGGTCGTTGTACTTGTGAGAACGAGTCACTGTTACAAGACGACCAGGTTAGCATGTTGATCCCGGTAAAATGGGCATCAATGGGAATGGGCTTCAAGCTGACTGTTTGGGTGAGTGATGTGTGTGGTTATCAAGTTCTGATGGAAGAGGCCCAGACAGTTGACCTCTGATTGTGTATGTAGATGTAATTGTATATGCCTATGCGGTGTGTGAGAGGGGCGAGCAGGATGATGGAAAGGAGAAACGTCGCAATGTAACAGGGAGAGACGTGATACAGATGCGGGGGTGCGTAGCTGCAGCTGGAAACTTACTTTTGATGGATGGATGGCGAGAGGCGACAAAATGAGAACTAGGCGCAGAAGGGGTAAGACGGAGGCAGAGCGGGGGGGATCTATGGCGATGAATTGGTCGGAGAGAGATGGTAGAGGGAGACAGAGTTGGAGTAAGGTGAGGAGGCGTTGCCCGAACGGGTGGCAGTGGTTTTTGGGAGGCTTTTTTTTGAGGGGGTGACACTGTTTATAGATGGGATGGGTTGTGGCGGAGGAGGAGGCGATGGATTGGGATTTGTTGTTGACTTTGTATAGAGAGAGAGATGGAGGTGGTTTGTTTGTGACAAGTGATATGCGATGAGATGAGATGAGATGGGAAGAGAGAGACACTCAAGAGGCTGGGCAGTTTGGGCTTTTGTATGTCAAGGTGAATGGAGGCAGCATTATATCACAAGGTGTCACGCGAGACGTCGGGGGGGGTGGCGCCAACAGACGGGAGAAGCACGACGGGCCAATGGCGAGGCTGGAATGGATGCAACGGTGAGGTGAATTGAATTGACCTGGGTAGGAGAGATGAAGCGGTTTGAGAGCAATCGCTGGGGGAGAGAGAGGGGGGAGGGGGTGGGATGGGCATTGATGGATGGCGTCAGGTCAGGTACCGCGGATGTATCGAGGCGACTGCTGAGTCACTGCAATCAACGCAAATCAACGCAGATCAACACACGCAAGCAGCAGAGCAAACGGGGTGACTGTACCTGCAAACGACCTGCAAACGACCCGGTCCAGCGCGTGTATGTACTCCGTGCGTGCTTTGGTGCTCTTGCCGCGTGCGTTCTTGCCCGGAACGACGAGTGGCTCAATAGCATTGGATCATATATCGCGTGACCTGACGCAACAAGCGCTACGCTGTGCCTTCGCCTCCTTTTGGGCCTTGCCGTCCTGGGCCAGCAGGAGCGATTTGCGGTGTTGCATTGCAGCAATTCGAATGTTGAATTTGCAATTGGCATTGACACAGTGCATCTGCCTCTCCTTTTCCCTCGATTACTGCGTATTCCAATCACATTCCCTTTCTCTCTTCCGCCTCAATTGACTTTCCAATTGGGCTGACGCCGCCTGCTGCACCTACTGCAGTCACGCACCGCCCGCTTGCGGCACTGCTGCCTTGTTCTGGACCCCTGGGCCCCGTTTACCCCAGACTTTAGTGACGTTGTGAAGTGGACTTGTGCTCGGTACTCACATGAGAGCTGTAGGTACTTGCTGTACTGGGTACGGCCTAGTCGGTGAGCCGGCCGCAGCGCAGCGGGGTACGGTGTACATGCATACAGTACATGCAGAGGCCATTACTTAATGCTCCGTGCTGTTTCTTAGTGCCAAAACGCCAGTTGTCGCTCCGTACAGCGGAGTACTAACAAATACAGTACCTAGGTACCTAATACAGTACGAGTACGAGTCCATTAGCACTTGCGTCACCTCAACCACCTACTGTACAGACAGCAGCACAAACAGTCGCTGTAACCACCACAGAGGCTTTCGACGTTCCCTGCCCAACTGAAACCAGCTGAGTTACAGTCAATCAATTCCTGCTGCGCGCTCGGCGGTATTTTTGGCGCTCATCTCTACTAATCTCCAGCCTCCAGCCTCCTCCTCCTCCTCCCAGTAGCGTCGCCTCTCTTTGCACGGAGCCCCGGCGGTGGAGACGCCGTGGCAAAGTCTCAGCCGAGTTGCTTCCGTCTCCGGCCGAGCACGCGAAAACATGGCCAGACACCAGCCAACGTTGGCTAGTTGAGACTCCACCGGTCTCTCGCTCTGGGAGTCATTCTTGGCCATGATCCGGACAAGAGGCCACGTTTGTGGAAAACGCACGGCCACTCTGCGGTTCCGTACGGCTACTAGGGAGTTTGTCCATCTCTGCCGATGTCGCTGCAGGGAGGCAATGCGGGCCGGGCGTGTCAATGGCAGGTGGCCACGCGATATATCGGAGTCATCCGAGTCTGTTGACATCGGCAGCTGGTGTACGAGGCAATTGCGGATACCCGTATGGGGGAAACGACCTCGAATCCGCGCGGAGACCGCACATGAAGTCTTCAGCTGATGCCGGGAATTGAGGATCCATTGTCTTGGCCAGTCATTGACGTGACTTGAGACATGACACGGCCCGTACATGTCTTGAGATGCAATTGGGCATCGACTACTGCGTCGTTTCGGGCAGATAGTCTTGAATGGCATGCAAGGGGTAATGGAGAGTAGGTAATGAAGTGGCGGCCAAATACTCCATCCAGCTATCAATGCCCTTTCCCAACAGGATTGTCTCATATTCTGCATATCCACCCAGAAAAGAGGCAATGTATCCCTAGCCTTGTTCATCTGAACATATGATGTAAATGTCCTCAACACTCTCTCTTGCATGTTGATTGATAGCGATTGCTGGTGGCCAAGTCAAGCATCTGAAGAGAAACATGGTGGGATATCTCAGCGTAGATGGTTGATCATGATTCCCTCGTAGACTTCTTCAATAGTTGGGTTGATGATATTGCTGGTGCCAATTGCCTCAGCTGAACAAGCAAAACACGCCCCTTGTTATCTTTCACTTGGGCACAACAACGCCAGTATCCGAGCCCGATTTGACCGTATAGCGATGAAATGATCCCTCATTGGGCCACAGACGACAAGGCTGGCAAGTTGGTTTGTAAGTTGGTGGAAGGATGCAACAACTGGATTTGGTAGTGCTCTCTACAGCCGTTCTCATGACTAATCCGGGAAAGGGGCCCTTTAGACGACCCAATTTACTCAGTTAACACGGCGTAATAGAGATAACTACCAATACTTGGAAGCAGCTATTTACATTAAAACTGCTCTTTGTCATATTTGCAAAGAGTCGATTGCTCCGAATGTAGGCTGGCGCTATTATGGTAGATCGGAACGAGGATATAGACAAGGAAATATACACGAGCAGATGTAACACATCCGGGTAGTTTATTCTACAGAGATTGCGCCGACGTATAAGCACTTACATGCAAATGATGGTCTATATTTAGAGGTTCTTAGGAATATCATTCGCTATTCAGCACTTGTCAAACTGTACTTCATCTGCCACCTACAGCAAGCAGGCTGCTCATACCAAATTAGCCAACAGGAAAAAAGAAAACATTGCCGGCCATCACAACCACAGATCTGTCCTACATTAATATCACAATCACAGGCTTTGGACATGTTTGTCTTTGCCAATTCCTGGCATTCCGCAGCTCCGATTTGTACGTACCGGGTAAGACGCCCGATAGAATCTGGGACGATCTGAGCAAAGAGTAAAAGATTTCCATTTCCCAGGAGCTTAACGGATATATTTTGCAACTGCGCAAACTCAGGGGCACCTACATTGGGGCCTCGACCGGGGAAAAGCCTTGATCGGGAAGTAGATGCCGCTCGAATGTGGCCCCTTTGTGACAGAGCGCAAGTTTACCAAGTCCATTCTGGAAGACATTGCCAATACAACAGCAGGTATGTTGCGAAAGTATTCAAAGTACGTCATGTCGCACAATCACCAGATTGTCTTCACTCATGGCGATTTTGCTCCTCGCAACATCATGCCCCCCTCAACTCGAGCGTAACATCCAACCCCTCGTCATCACTTCAGCGGTAAGAGCGACGCAAAGGACAGACTAGGTACAAACACGGCTCATATTTTACATATAATTTAAGAATTCACATACATGGTTAAAACAGATTGAGAATTGAACAAGGCATGGGCAAGTGTGTGCATGCAGCGCCCCCTGAAATGTAGCTTTAGTTGAAGTTGTTCCACCCACACTGTTTATACCCCTCATGGTCCACGCAGCGCAATATGAAAAATACCTTTGGGATTTAAGAATTAATTTACAACTACACCATGACAGAATCGCTTCTCTCGGTGTTAAACCCCCTGCGAATTACAGCTACAGCCGAGGGTTGGGTGCACGTGAGATCAATGATTGATCATGGTGCTTCTTCTAAGCGAACTAGCACAGGCACACAGCGGGGGCTCTGAATCCTTCGCAACTCTTATAAATAAGACTAACAGCTTCTCAGATGAAATAAAAAACTCTCTCCTCCTTGGTGTGTCATGCTGAAGCTAACGCAGCGATACGGCGGAAGAATTACTAGCCAAATCTGCCGTGAGCATTCTTCATAAGCTGTGAGCTCAGCTCATCGTCATCCATTCCTCCATCGCGTGGCAAAACTACGAACCCCCTTCCACAATGGACCACCCACCGGAAATCGTTGCACTGCTGCAGAAATATCCCTCATTGAGAGGGCCAATAGAGACTGGTGTCGAAGTATTATTCCCCTGACATCAAAAATCCAGCGCAAAAAAACATTGTAGACACGTCGCTAATCACCCCCTTTATTAGTCCCACGATGGCCGCGAAGAGAGGCTCCTCGAGTTCATCCTCTCTCATCCCCATCTAGAGGACATGAGAAACAACCCCTCCAAGCTGCTCTCCGTCATTGATGAATTCTCAGCCAAGCATGACTTCCTCATCAGCATCGGCGGCCACAAGGCCAAGATCATGTCCGACTTGGTAGCGGAAGAAAAACCACAGACCCTCGTCGAGCTGGGTGGCTATCTCGGATACTCGGCCATTCTGCTCGCAGACGCAATGCGCCGCAACAGCAAGCCGGGCCAGCAGCCCCGCGTTTGGAGTCTGGAGATGAGCAGCGAGTTTTCGGCCATTGCCAGAGAGCTGATTATGCTTGCAGGGCTGTCCGACATTGTCAAGGTCGTCACTGGCCCGGCGGAAGAGTCTCTCCGCAAGCTGCACAAAGAGGGCACCTTGACGAATATCGACTTTTTATTTTTGGACCACGTCGAGGATCTGTACCTCCCTGATTTCAAGGTTTGTGAGGAACTGGGACTCTTGCAGCAGGGCGCGGTCATTGCGGCCGACAATGTGGTGAGGCCCGGCGCCCCTGGATACCGCAAGTTCGTGAGGAGCCATCCGAGACTACAGAGTAACGGAGTGGTGGGTTTGATTCAGCCTGGAGACCTCGAGGTAAGGACTTTCAGCTTATAACAGCGTCTACAGTCACTAACGTTGGCAAAGGATGAAATAGAAATCAGCCGTGTTACGAGTTCGGCCTAAAACATTTGCTGATACGGTTCGGTTTGAGAGGTGCAAAAGGCAGACTTTTACTGCTATTAATCTTGGATGTAACATCTACCGTCGCTCTCAATTGCTACCATGAAAGACAAGTGCCGCAATTTCTCATTTCATATATCCCACCCAACATGGGACACACATTCTCTAGGAGCATAGTATTTCCTGTTTCATACATGACAGCGAGATACCACCTTATTATTATCGATATGTGTTCCGCACCTCATCTCTCATATATCAATCAGATGCACAAATATGTAATTCGTAGCATGTAATTTTCAGTTACAACAAAAAAGAATGCCACGCTACCACAAGGATAATAAACCGCCAATGGTATTATAACCAGCCACTAATACCAGAAAAAGGAGCGTCAAAAAGGCAGCAAACGCAAAAAAAGAATTGAGCGACACCTGCAGGATTCGAACCTGCGCGTGCGAACACAATGCCTATGATACCTGTAGATAGCAGGGCATCGCCTTAACCACTCGGCCAAAGTGTCTTCTGATTGGTCTATGCTGTGCATGCCAATATTTTACATGATAAATATTTCGGCGTGGAGAAAACAGGCGTGGAACTAGTCTAGCAATAGCCTAGGTTGAAGATATAATGCTCATTACCAGCCTGATCTGATAAGAATTGATAAGACACTTTGGCCGAGTGGTTAAGGCGATGCCCTGCTATCTACAGGTATCATAGGCATTGTGTTCGCACGCGCAGGTTCGAATCCTGCAGGTGTCGTTTCTTTTTTGCACTTTTCTCATAACATGTGTATGGTCTATTACCCGCTTCTTTTCTTTCTGTTTCTTTCCTCTCTCTCTTTTCATTCCCTTTTGTCTTCTACCAAGTCATGTATTGATGAGCCTTTGTAAACAAACAACCCGACTTGACTGCTGCTCCTCGTTGGACAAGCATTTTGGAATCCAGTCACCTATGATCTCGCATCATATCCATGCACTCTGTATTTACCAACCTAGCTGCATCGATCGATTCAAGAGCAGGCTTATTCCAAGTCAGTTGACATGCATTCATCAACCCAGCTAGCCCCCAAAAATCAAGTTAACCTATTATTCTAATCTTTTGTTTTTGTTTTCCATGGATATTGCTTCTCGTCCATGCCACCCCTCAGCCGTCAGCCCCAATCTCTCTCTTGCAATAGTAATAATAAACAAATGAGGAAAAAAAGTATTTTTCGCTCCCAAGGACTGCTATCGAGTTCCTCCCGAGCCAATTGAATCCCGACTTTCTACACAATGATACTAAATAATCAACACACACGAGTCATTAAATCTGTAACCCTAGATTTCGCTTTTTTCCATGTCCACCTGCAGGCCACGTCTAGGTCATCATTATTCTCCGGTCTTAGCGCGCCCCCATCTTGGAAAACTCATTCTGGAACCGCAGCTTGAATCCGTTACACAGGGCACGCATATCAGGATACTGATATCCTCTGAGCTCAAACCCTTGAGGAATGGTCCGCACCGGCAGGCCAATCACCCGCGCCGTCTTGCTCGCCTTGAAGCATAGCCAGAAGTATCCTGGATGCTTGGTGTCGATGCAAAAGGCATATGCGGATCGGTTGGGGTTAGCATCCACATAGGTGATGAGCCATTTCTCTGCTTCAACATTAGAGTGATATTCATCCGGAGATTAGGTGGGAAAGCTGATTAAAGGATAACTTACCAGTCTCGTTGCGCGACCTGTTTTGGTATTTGTCGTTTCTCATCATCTCTTCGACCTTTCTGGCCATGGCCTTAACATGATCCACAATCAACTCGTCAAGATCGCTGTAGGTGTATTTGCCACCTATTCGGAGAAGCTTGCCGACAGAGAACTCTGTGTCCTTTTGCATTTCCAGCACGTCAATGTGCTGGTAAACGCCGTCGGCAACCTTCCAAGTAATAGCCAAGTGGTCATTACCCTTCGAAGAAGGTCGAATAATGACCTCACCAGGAGGTTGCGATCCGAGGTACTCTTCTGCCTGAATTGAGTTGTAGGGCTTGAAGTTGGGGTGCTTCACCACACGCTGAGTCCTGCCCGTGGTCTTGTCTTTCTCGCGAAGCTCCTCCTTGTCGGCGGCCTCGAGGGCATAGTCCCAGCCATCGCGACCAAAGTTGATGGGGGCCTTGTAGGGGATGCGCAGAGACTCTTCCCGCATGGAGAGCTTAGCCATGAAATCTTTGTAGTTCATCTCAAGAATCTTGGCTTGCACCGTTTGCCCCGAGCTCAGGACGTCCTTGACAGAGGACCGGTTCGATACTTCGTGGCCTTCAATCCTGCCTTCGATGCCGCAGTCCAGCTTCACAATGGCAAAGTCGTCTCTGACCATACGCACGTTGACTGGAACAATCATGCCCTCACAGAGTGTCGCCTTGGTCTCACCAGTAAACATGGTGAAAACGTCAGACGGCGTAAGGAGCGCAAAGCTCCTGCGCAACTCTTCATAGGGCGCTTGCAGTTCGGCACTGATGGCCTCGAGAGTGGCTCGCTTGCGTTGGCTGAAATTCCTCTGCAGCTGGTCGGCGTATTCATCAAGCACCAGTTCGTTGACCCTCTCCTGCTCGTCTTGCTTGAAGAGCTTTCGCACAATGGCGCCAGGTCCATTCTCGTCCGTCTCCGCTTTAACGTCCTCTTCATCCAATTCAAGAGCATCTGCCGCCATCTTGCGGCCCAATTCGTAGTCTTCAGGGTGGACACGGGTGTTGTCGAGAGGATCCGATGAGGGATTCGTCGCGTCGTACTCGATATACAGAAAACTAGCGCAGTTGTTCCAGACGCGTGGTCCGACAACTGGTAGCTTTCCGCTGTCTGGGTCACCAACAAGCTCGTCTCTGGTGTTGACTACGCCTCCATTCGCGTTGATGGTCTTGATAACGCTGGTAGCCTTTCGCGGTCCTAATCCGGCGACGAAAGGGAGAAGGTTGGCCGTGTACGTGTCCGTCATAGCGTCGTTGATATTGACTCCGACCATGTTGACAGTATCAACCATGGCGGATTCCAGATACTTCATCAGCTTATCCGGAGGCAGCAGGTTTTGGCATGGATGGAATGAAAGAGATGCCACGTCTTTGCCCAGCGCAGCGTACTCCTTCATCGGGTTCTGCAAATACCGCGCCAGGGCGATGCAGTATCTCGTGACGGGATTAAGAGAGGGGTGCTCAGCAATGGCACGAGGACTGTCTTTGTAAAGGCGTGCGACTTCATCCTCGACGACGATGACTTCCAGCAGCTCGGTTCGGTAGTCGTTTGTCTCGGGGTCCTCGAACTCTGCTCCCATGAGGCCCTTTTCGCTCACCAGGCCCTCCAAATCGCGTACCAGTTTCTGAGTATCTGATGCCCAACCACTGACGCCAATGACATCAGGTCGTCGCCGTCGCACAAGCTCGACAAAGTTCTCACGCTGGGTTTCGTCTCGACCCAGGTTGCCAAACTTGCCTTGTTCAAGCACCCGGCCTTCTTCTTCCACCCAAGCCCAGCACACAGGGTCGCGAGTAGGATCGCCGCCTCCGTTGGACAGCACCAGGACCCGCGGCGTGGTACCCAGGATCATGCCCTTGGGCTTGTAAGGAGCCTGGTCAAGTTTGCGGTAAAACTCTTGCCGACACATCTTGAGAACTTCATCTTGGCAGAACGTCCTGATGACTTCCTTGATGTTTTTGGCCACAATCTTTTCCAGCTTGGGATAGGCAAGATCCAGCACCTTTTTGCGTTCCTCGCGCCACTGCTCCGCCCGATCACTGAAGTTCTCCGACTCGAATTCCTGATAGAGCTGCCTCCGGAAATCGTATCGTGGAGGCATCTCAAGCTTGATTTCCACCAGGCCTTCCTCCTCGGCGCGCATCATCTTGAGGAACACTTCGGGTTGGTGTACCAGGTCCGCAATTGCCTGGTTTTGAATATACTTTACTTCGTAGTACGGGTGCGTGTCGTCAATCTTTCGTAAGCCCTTGTCTGTTCGACGGCAGCTGATTTCAGCCGCCTGATAGAAGGAAGCTCTCAAGTACTTGCGCATCCGAGGACTAGCAAAAAGCTCTTCAGCATACATTTGACGAGCAGCATTAATGACTTGATCACCGGTGCTAAAGCTGTCATCGAGCAGACCATCAGCAAGATCCATCGGATACTGCTCATGATCATCCGGAGCGACTTTTCTACCCTGGCGAAGGGCATTCTTCGCTAGCTGGTCAGCAGTTATGCCGTAGGCCTTGACAAAGTAGTATGCCTTTCCATTGCGGACGCGATCGAACAGTGAGGATTTTGAACCTGGGCGTTTCGTTTGCGACGCAGTACCGGATAGAGATGCGAGGTCTCTCAGCTTGTTGGCATATTGGAACTGCAGATAATCTTGTAGATCCTGAATCTCTTCCATGGTGGCGGCCTCGGGAATCATCTCCTCGACCATGGCATCCTGGACGTCCATGGATTTGAGATTGTCAAACGACTTCTCAAGAGAATTTCTCTTTTCCACGAATGAACGAAATTTGATATCCAGCTCCAGAATTCTCCATAGATCATCTTGGTTCAACAGCTTGTCTGACTGAATCGTATAATCGGGGCCGTCGGGATCGTCCCTTGTGGATTTTCGAATTTTCTTGGAGTGGAGGAGGTAATCCTTTCGGTGTTGAAACACAAATGGAACCTCGACTTCGTCAACAATGAAGAACTCGAGTACCTTACCAACCGCCTTGCCAAAAGGGGCCTGGAGTTCCTGAGCCAAGCCCTTCTTCGGCCACAGCTGGTTGGTAATCCACCGAGCCTCCTCCTTGAATTGATCGGGAGTGAGCTGCAGATTCTTGAACGGCTTGCGGTCGAGTTGAAAGCGTTCGGGCTCGTCTGTAAACCGAATCTCGTTATCCTCGTCGGTGAGCAGTTTTTCTTTGAGCTGTGAAGGCTCAAAGACGTCCTTGAGTTCGATTCCTTGCTCCTCTCTCTCCCTGTCCTCTTCCTCTTCTTCCATCTGAAGTGCCCAGTCGTAGTCTTCGCCGTTGCCAAAGATGGCCTCCATATCATCCAGCGCATCCTTGTCCAGCCCTGTGGTATCGACGACACCACCGACACCGCGATCCCTAGGGCGGGCGACTTCGGCATCTTCCTGTTGGCGTATGCGCTCATCCTCATCCTCGGGATAGTCTTCCTCGATGAAGTCGTCGAACTCGTCGACTTGGGAACGGAAGCCAGGTCTACCATAACCACGCTGTTCAGTGGCGTCCTCGTCGTCATCTGCAAAGATTTCTTCCAAGCCTCGCTTTTCGTAGGCTGCATCGTCCTCGTCTCGGTGGCCACGTTTGAGGCGTTTGAACTTTGACTAAATATGAGGTGTTAATAAAAAAAATCAAGACAGGCGAACAGCGAGAGACTAACTGGCGCCTGGGGCTTTGGCTGTTCCCCAAACTGTTCGCCAATGAGTTCCAAATCTTCCTCGTCGAGTGCTTCTTCCTCTTCACGGTTCCGATGCTCTCGCTTTCTCTTTACAGGCCGGCTGTCGACGTCAGACTCAGGCTCTTCTTCCTCTTCGTCCTCATCGACAATGAAGCCCTCGCGGATCTAGAGCAAGTAGGCGCGTTAGTGGGTAATCGTATCAGCATTGAATAATGCTTCGGTGTTACCTTGCGAGCCTCTTCTTCGTCGTCATCGTCTTCTTCCTCTTCACTGGAGTCGTCGACATGGGCGGATGGCTTCCTTCTTCGACGTTCCTCGCCAGTATCTTCATCAAAAGACTCGTCATCTTCCTCGTCATCCAACTCGGCCTCTCCCGAAATCAGGTCGCGCATCGCGGAGCTCATCTTGTCGGTGCCTGGCGCTATCGCGTTGGATGGATGTCACAAGGTTGATCGAGGGACTCGCGTCCGAATTGGGCGCGGATAACGCAATTCAGCTGATGGCTGGATATATATCCGATGAAGCCGGAGAGAAGGCCTGGATTACTGCCAAAATTGTCGAAAAGCTCGATGAGGCCAGCTGACTTCTCTCCTGACAAGCCTCTATGAATTTTTGAGCAGTCCCGGCGACCACCTTCAGCCTCGTGTCGCGTGTGGCAGGGGGTGAAGCGGAACTATGTTTGTCCGCTTTTTGGTATTGCTTATGTAATTGCTTGAGGCTGCATGTTGCGCCATCAAATCCTCCGATGCAGAGGTACGGAGTATAAACCAATACACATTGAAGTGAATTGAAATAGAGTTTAATCTCCTAGCTGATAAAAAGTGAAAACTCTGGCCATGAAGATGTCAAAAGCGACTCGAGATGTTCTGAAGTGAAATCTAGTTTACCAATAATCTAGGCAATTCTTTTCCTTTTCCTCTTTACTATTTCATCTCGAGCTCAGAGCATAGTCTAAACACAGCCGAGAATAACGAGAATTATGTACTCTGCTCTTGAATATGGCTACTAGGTAGTAGCAGAGTGCTCTGCTAGTATGCAGCCAAGTCGACACATACTTGGTATGCTCCCCACCGGCGAACATTCGGGAAACGGCAAATACTGCAGCTTCGCTCTAGTTTCACGATCGGGCCTCAGCTTTGGATTGCTACAGCGAGTGTGGAGTCACAGGCCTAATGCCAACATGTACGGTAAATACTGGCCCCGCAGATTGCGGCAGCCCGGAGACTTAAATTAGAAGACGGACTGAGGACCCCACATCAACATCAGCTATTGGTATTGAAAGAGAGGGAGTATGAGACTTTTGGGAAAAAGTGTTGCAAAGTGATTAGTATAAATTCATTCGCAAGCCAGTGAAAATGGCTGGTTGGGTTGGGTCATATCAAATCAGCGCCTTAGGTTGGGATATTGCTGTATGAATGAATGTACTTGTACCTAGATATTGGTTTGCTAAGCTCCTTTCGTTGCAGCATCGCGTAGCAACCTTGATGTCCACGATACCCTGGAAAGAAAACCTCACGACTGGAATTGGGTGATATTCTAGCTGATTGGCTAATCTACAGGTGCAAACAATGATTGATTACGTTTGTCTCCCATAGTATGCCAATGAAAAGTCCAGAAAAAGGTAAAGCTGCGCCGATAAGTTGTTGCTATAGGGGAACTCATCGCAATAGGCAGGCCAGTTCATCCTACCTAGTAGTAGGGATAATACATGTTGAGGCCCTGAAACAACTTTTCGTAACACTACGTCATGGAGGATAATGGAGCAATATCCAAACAGGCAACGCCCATGGAAGATGAGACGGCAAACGTGCGCTTGGACTGATGTGGCATCAAATGGCTTTTCTTTCACCTGAGCTGGAGTCGTTTAAAAGGCCCTTTACAGTAGAAAGGAGATGGCGGGCTCTCTCACCTGAATCGTCCCGCAGCCGGTAGGGTTTCGGCGCTAGTCCGATGCCATGCGTGAGCTTGTGCCTGTCCTGTATGCGGCCTCTAGGGGTGCCAGATCTGGGTTTGCATGATTGGTGAGGGCCAAGCGCGCCCAGGAGCGTTTAACATGTTAGCTGGGTTTCATCCCCTCTGTGCTTCGTATATATGAGGCATCTCCATCTTTCAAACATGTCCAAACGTGCCGGCTGTTCGCTAACGTGCGCGGGAATGGCCCGGGGCCCGCTGACGAGCCCAGATGCTCAGCGAACGCCGCGACTCGTGTGGGCATTTGGTGGTTATGAAGCATGGACGGAGTTGTCTTGTGCTGATGCTGATGCTGTATGATCAGTGCGCTGCAATTGAACCTTGAAGCTATGATAGGGGGAGCCAGGCTTGGGCGCCTAAACAAGGCCAGCGACTTAGGGGCTGGTGGTGGTGGCTCTTGGTCGCCCAAACAGGCAACGTGCATTCAACCACGATTCTCTGTGTGGCTGCTGGCTATAAAAATAGAACGCGGTACGGCATGATTGGAGAAATTCTCCTGACGCGGGATTTCATCTCATGTCCTGCCGGTGCATTGATGATTGATGAGAGAATCCTTTCGAGTCCGGCCGGAGACATTTAAAGAGCCAGCGAGTCCAGGCCCGACAATCAATCTGATCTGGGCTTCTTTGTACTGCTTTGTTGCCTCGCTCCCCAAGCCAAAACGACCAGGATCACGTTATCTCTGCAGGACCCCACACTGGACCACTGCAGCGCTACAGGGCACCACTAATTAACGTGCCTGTAGCCTCGACCCCGTCGCTTTGCCTGGGATTTCGTGCACGGAGTACGGAGACCTGCCCGTAAATAATCCCCACGGCTCCCGACTTCGAGGGGTGTCCTCTAATCTGCGGAGAAGCGAAAAGACGCCCAGAGGCATTTTCAACTCGATACTTGCTCGCTGCCTTTTATTTCTCTCTGGCTGTTCATCCATCTAGGCGGCTTTAGTCCTACCTGAACCTGTTTGACGCCGACCGCCAGCGACTTGACGAAGAATCTGCGCTATTCCGAGCGGCGACAACGCATCACTCCTCTCCTCTACACGCAAGGCTCTGGACTTCCACCCGCAGCCTTTCTCCGTGACGAGCATACGAGCACTGCCTGCTGGATAGTAAGGCTTTGCTAGGTTGCCTTTTGCTCTGCCTTTGGCGAGCCTTGCCCAAGTCATCTGGACTTGAGCCCCTAATCGACGCTCGCCCCGCGCCTTGCTGCGAAGCATCACCAATCCACAATTTCTTCTCCCGTTCAACATCCTCGATTTTTTGCCCAACATGGCTGACGCTTTCGCACCGCGCACGATGAAGCGCAAGAACGTCAAGGGCCTTGCTCTGACACCGGCAGCGCCACGAGCTCCGGCGGCGGCCGATACTGGTAGACGTGGTTCAGAAATTAGCAAAGACGATGCCGGCAAGGAAGAGCAGCTGGAAATTGGCATCGAATACAAGCTCGATCTGAGACCAGAGGAACTTGAGGTCATAAAAGAACTCGGATCTGGCAATGGCGGTACTGTTAGCAAAGTCAGACATCTGACGACGGGGACCGTCATGGCTCGCAAGGTACAATCGCTCCTGTTACCCCTGAAATCCTTCCCGAGTGTCCTTGATGGAGCCTCTGAGCTAACGCTGAATATCTAGATCATCCACGTCGAGGCCAAGAAGGAAATGCGAAGGCGAATTGTTCGAGAGCTTCAGATTATGCACGGATGCCACTCCGACTACATTGTCACATTTTATGGCGCCTTTTTGAATCACAATAATGATGTCATTATGTGTATGGAGTATATGGATGTTGGGTAAGCTTTATTTTATGCATCCAAGATACGAGATTGGGTTGTTTATATTGCATGTGACTGACCCTGATACCCGAATAGTGCGCTGGACAGAGTTTCGAGAGTCTTTGGCCCAATCCGTGTGGATGTACTGGGCAAGATTGCAGAGGCAACTTTGGGCGGCCTGACCTATCTCTACATAAAACACCATATCATGCACCGCGATATCAAGCCGTCAAATATTCTCATCAACTCTCGCGGTTCCATCAAGCTGTGCGATTTTGGAGTGTCTGGAGAGCTGGTCAACTCCATTGCCGATACCTTTGTCGGCACATCCACGTACATGGCCCCTGAGCGAATTCAAGGCGAGAAGTACACAGTCAAGTCTGACGTCTGGAGTTTTGGCTTGACCATTATGGAGCTTGCCATTGGCAAATTCCCCTTTGCAAGCGAGCACATTGACGATCCTGACGCGGGCCCGGCTGGAATCTTGGATCTGCTGCAGCAGATTGTCAACGAGCCCGCCCCGAAGCTTCCCAAGAGCGACGCATTCCCCAGCATCCTGGAAGACATGGTCCAGAAGTGTCTGTTCAAGGAGCCAGAGAAACGGCCTACCCCGCAAGAATTATATGTAAGTTGATGTCTCCTCCCCCCTGCATCATCGCCGGTAATGGTGACTGAGACATTCCTTCTAGGAGCGAGATCCTTTTGTGCAAGCAGCCAAGAGAACGCCAGTAGACCTTAAGGAGTGGGCTGTTGGCCTCATGGAGAGGGACAATCGCAAGTCTCATCTTGTACCCCAGCTTTCGCCCAGCGGCACCCACGAACTGCTCCGATCTAGCGACTCATCGCCGCAGTCGCGGAATGAAGAGCTGCCGCTCGACACCCCCCAATTCGGAGACATTCCGATTGCTGGAGCCGGAATCCTCTCACCAAGAGATCAACTACCTATGCAAAATCGATCACCATCGCGAAATGGTGCTGGCGCGAGCCGGCCCGCCCATCCAAGCCTCGGACAACGGGCCGCCACAAACTCGGCGTCTGGCTACTCAGATGGTTCCCATCACTCTTCCTCCAACACCTTTAACCTTCCAGTCCGACCAGCGCCACCAACAAGCGCCTTTGCGCAAGGAGCACAGCAAAAATCGGTGTCAGATGAGGCGCGAGGTCAGAGCCGGAGGCAAGTCAAAACCTACGGGCTGCCCCCGAACCCTTCATACGGCGTATAGGATCCGCCGCCACCATACTACTGACCCTCTGACCTACTTGTATCTACATCCTCTTCATCAACTCTCTGCCTTAGCATCATCTCGGCGCAATTTCTTTTTTGATGGACATGCCTCTTTTCCCCACATCTCGTCTGATTAGGGACGCCAAACAAGAAATGATGGCCAAAGAGGAAAATCTCTGGAACGACTCTCTGAAATGGGCTGTGAAACAACTATAAGTTGCACATGAAAAGAAAAACAATTTTTGGTACACTTTAACGCAATGAAACCGCTTGGATTGTGTTTTATGTTCTAGTGTGATGTATATGTAGCAAACGCTGAGCGTTTGAATCTAGCAACTAAACAAAGCTGGGCGAAAATGAGATGAGACGAAAGAAATAAAAAGTTGGCTTTTGCAATTGAGCATTAGTTGAGTTTTGTATTTTGCCATTTCCCCCATATGCATTGAGTATATATATATATGTCTGTGTCCGGTGTGTAGTTGATGGACTTGAGTACATGTGTTGTGCTTTATGCTGAGAAGCGCCTGAATCTAACGTTTGGATATATGCGAAAATCACAATGGTAAACGCCCTGGTTCTATCACTCTCCCCTGAAATCCGTTTTCCAGGATTTGCACCAACTCGTCTAGCTGGTGGATTACCAGGTCGGTATTCTCATGGGTGGCCAGCTCCTTGTTTACGTCGTTGAGCAGCAGCACCGTGGCAGCGCCCGCCAACCTCCCCGCCGTCAGATCATCGAGGGAATCGCCAACCATAATCAAGCCGCTGGTGTCTACGGCGCCGGAGCTGTCTACCAGGCCCCAGCTCTGGGCGATATGCATGATACCTGCCGGATGGGGCTTAGGAGGGCGAAAGTCGCGGGTGATGACGGGATAGAACTGAGAACTGGGCAGAAACTTTGAGATGAGGTGCTGGACGGGGATGTCGAAGTTGCGGGTGCAGATGGCCTTGGGGACTTGGTAGGCCTCGAGGTAGGACATGAGGTCTTGGAGGCCGGGCTGGGGCGTCTGTGAGGCCATGGCCTTGCGTTCGATGGCGCGGATGGCCTCGTGGGCGGGCGGCTGTTGATGAGGGGGCAGCTTGTCAATGTGTTCGAGAATGTCCACGGACTGGGGGATGCCGAGGACGGAGCGCATTTCCCTGAACATGTATGTTTGAGGCTCACTATCAACGGTTATCAGAGACAATGCCAATTTCTGAAAAGTATTTGCTCCTTCATTTCATTCTCTTCTCTTCTCTTCTCTTCTCCTGGCTTTTTTTTCTTGCAATACCTCCTTTTTCATGTCGGGATGAGGGGCACAGTACGGAGTAAGCAAGTGAGTCAGGTTCTGCGGCAACGAGGCTGCCGAGCAAAACTTGCCATTGCCCAAACCCCGCAATACTGAAGACAAATCACCTTATCTTGTCTCTAGAACAACAGGGTAACCAAGCCCAAGAAAGGGTTTATAAGAAGAAAAGCATTGATGGCTTTCTACAACGGAATGGCTTTGAGACGAGAAGAGATGAAAGAGAGGGAAGGGGGATTAGGTAAGACAATGTAGGGTGTTTCATACCACAACGTCCCGTCCATGTCAAATATTATGCCCTTGAGCGGCGGATCGACATGGAAAGGAGATATGCCTGCTGGTCCTCGCAAAGGGGCGAACCTTCTAGGCCCCGGAGTAGCCATGGCGGACATGAGCCGTCGTCGGATATACGACAAGGTGGCCAGCGTGGCGATTTGGCTTTTTGTTATGGAGGAAGCGGGAAGCCTACCTAGCAGGTAGGTTGGTAGAGGCAGAGGCAGAGGCAGCGGCAGCGGCAGAGGCCGAGACAGAAGCGTCTAAGTTAGACGAGCCGGAGTGGATGGGAGAAAGAAAGAAGCGGCGCAAAATGGCGTGAGGAGGAGAGGCTTATCGCGGTTTCTATGTCACCAGCAGGTCAGATAATAGCACAATGGCACTTGTTTTGGGCTCCATGAATGTGCACGGCGCCAAGCGTTAGAGTCAAGATCCGTTGCGTCTTGGACATATGCAACAGGCTCAAAAAGGCCAGTGACTGGAGCAGGGCCCGAGTTTAGGAGCCGCTTGATAAGGCATCAAATCGTGGCTAGTGGGTGATGGTTGGTGGTGGTGGCGCAGCCCGACTGTGCAGAAGCGCCCAAATAACGCCCTGCCGGTGCAGGATCAACTTGGCTATTGAAGTTGCTGGAGTCCATCTGATCAGTTTCTTGCTCGGCACTAGCATTGCCGTGGTGCATGGATGTCGACGGCCTATGGGAGGCGGCCATGAGATCGCCAAGGGTTCAAGGTTGGTCGCGATCTGGCGTTAATTTGCACTGACGGCTGGCCCCAAGCCCGGAGTACATACAGCTGGCCCACTGCTGGCCCCGCTGGAACTGTCACTACCGGTATTACGGTATTACTCTCTGGTACCTGGACTGGACAGCTCCAGCGGCTCCAGCACGCTCAGGGCCGCTAACGCCCACTGCGCCATCCATCCATGCCATAAGCTCCCGGCATTCGGTACCTACCGCTAAATGGATGTTTACCTGCACCAGTTTGTTTTTCAAACCAGCTCGTGCTTGGGCTTCTCCCGTCATCGCGGCTAGCTTCACTGGTGGCAGCCTAACCCCAGCAATCACCACCGCCTACCAACGTACGAGCACGAGAACACAACAGCATTGCCCCGAGCAGCCGATCGCGGGCTGACCTGGAGAGACGGCCCTGGGCCTTTCTCGAGCCCTTGAGAATGCTGGTCCTGTCCTCCCGCAGCAGCCGCGGCCAACGCATCCAGCCATGAGTAGCTCCAACGGGAGCAGACACAGCTCGTCGACAACGGCTGCATTGCCGCCCTCGCGTCCCTCCAAGAGGAGTGTACGTGGCTCGCCTTCCCCGTTCCAGATTGCTTTGCATGAGGCGCTTTGCTAAACTCGGTCGTTTCGTATCAATAGAAAATGCGCAATGGCACCTTCATCATCCCTGCCACAGGCGAGCGGTCCCGGCGCCAATTTACCCTCCGCACGCCCCGGAATCGATCGCGCTGCAACGGATCCGAGCGACGCCCGCCCGCGAATTCGGTGACTTCCGTTGGCCAACACCTCCAGGCGGCTTCGAGAGCTCTTCGGACCAAGTCGCTGGCGGCCTGGCGATGGCTGCAGACCGACGACGGCCGCCAGGTGCTCAAGTGCACGCTGGCATATCTCCTGGGCACTACGGCGACGTTTTGGCCGCCGTTGTCCAACTTCCTGGGCCGCCGAGATGGCAAACACATTGCGGCGACGTTGACGGTGTATTTCCATCCGGCTCGTACGGCTGGTTCCATGCTTGAGGCCGTCATGATTGCCATCCTGGCCGTGGTATATGCCGAGCTGGTCTGTATGTTGTCGATGGGTATAGCTATTGCCTCTCGTGCCATCTCGGGATCTGCCGCTCCCGCACATGCTATCGTCCTAATTGTTTGCATTGGAGGCGGTCTTGGCTTGGTCGGTTGGACTAAGCAGCGATTAAACCAGCCACTTGTGAATACCGCCTCTACATTGGCATCAATGACTATTATATCCGTCATTACCAAAGAAGAGACTGTCAACAATGGCTACTTCTCCCTGGACAAGATTGTCCAGATGTTCAAGCTGCTACTACTTGGAATCTCCTTCACTGTGGCTGTTAATCTCCTGGTATGGCGCGTGTCGGCAAGAAAAGTGTTGCGCCAATCTGTCCGTACGGCAGCGGTGGCACTGAGTGATCGCTTGTCGTTCATCACCAGCGGATTTTTAAACGGATCAGAGGACGAGGTCGACTCTCCCGAGTATGCCCAGGCATCTGCCCAGTATAATTCAGCGTATGCCCAGATAATGACGACTCTTCGAGAGTCTAAGATCGAACAATACTTCCTTGGGAGGGAGAGAATATACTCGTTGGATAAACGTCTCATCAAGTCGTTGGAAACAGTATCACAGGCGATTGGGGGTCTGCGTAGTGCACTTCAGACCCAGCTGACGCTTCTGAAAGAGGGGCCCAACTCTGGTGCGCCGCCGCATTCAAATTTATTTTCTCCTGAACCACCATCTGGAATGTCTCGAAGTGTTTCGTACTTTTCTGACGATGCTAGAGATCGCCTATCAGTCATCGAAGAAGACGAATTTGAACGCCGTTCGGCCCTCAATAGCCACTCAGACCCTACGCTTGACAAGTCACCCATATTTCGCGTGCCATCTGATATATTCGCGCTCTTTTTGGCACTACTGGGTCCCTCTATGAAGTCTTTGGCATTTACTCTATCAGAAACGCTCAAAGAGAATCCTTTTGGTAAAAATCCCGAAGATCAAGTAGCTGTCAATGAGCATCTGCGTGATAGTCTCAGGGATGCGTTGAATCTGTACAATAATGCCAGGGGGAAGGCCCTTCGCGAATTATATCGAAGCATCGAGCTTGGAAGATCACGAACCGAAGATATTCAAGCGGATATTGAAGAGGTTGCCGCTGCCTGTGGTCACTTTTCCTTCAGTTTGCAGGCCGTGGCAGATGAGATGGATGCTTATCTCGACGTTCTTGAATCCTTGCAGCATTCAATAAAACACTCGGATCGCAGCTGGAAGTGGATTAAATTCTGGAGAAACTGGAAGCTGTTTCAACGTCGCAGCCATGCTGATGCGGAAAACGAACCACTCTTGATCAGACCGCCCAGGAGCCGAATGAAGTCCCCCACCCCACAGGGTCTGCCCAGGGCCATGCTGAAGAAAAGAGACTCGTTCCATTGGGATGCTTCACCGCAGAAATCTAACTCCTTTGTTCGCAAGTGTTCCCAAACTTTACTCAAGTTTCTTCGACTCCTGACGCGTGAGGATGTGATGTTTGGCATCAAGGTGGGTATTGGTGCCGTCTTATGGGCCATGCTTGCTTTCATCCCTGCTACAAGGCCAATATATCAGCACTGGAGAGGCGAGTGGGGCCTGCTGTCCTACATGATTGTTGTCGGAATGACCACTGGTGCCTCCAACACAACAGGTAGCTCTCGATTCATTGGAACCTTGATAGGGGGGGCCTGTGCTTGCTTCGCATGGTCGGTAAGCTTTTCCAACCCCTGGCTCCTCGAGCTCTGCACTTGCATTGTAGCGCTGGGAAACTTTTATGTAATTCTAGCCATGAAGAAGGCTCCCCTGGGGAGAATTTCTCTTCTGGCGTACAACGTCATCGTTTTGTATGCTTACAGCTTGACGCAAGATGTTGATGATGACGATGACGATGAGGGTGGAATCGATCCTCTCATTTTTGAGATCACGTACCATCGTGTAGTGGCGGTCACGTTGGGAATCCTGTGGGGTATTCTCATCTGCCGATTGTTGTGGCCAATCTCTGGGAGAAAGAAATTCAGAGAAGGACTTTCGGTACTATATCTGCAGCTTGGACTTATTTGGAAGCGCGGACCTCTAGCAGCCCTACTAGACGGGAGTGATGATGGCCTAGATTTCATGAAGGAGGGAGAGCAGATGGCCCTTCGACGATATGGTATTGTTAACCCCCCTTTACGAGTCTGATTGCTCTTGCTAATTACTGGCATTTTCGTTTACAGTTTTCAAGTTGGAGTCGCTGCGAGAGTCTGCCAAATCCGAGTTTGAACTTCGTGGGCCGTTCCCTGACGCCGCCTATGGCCGAATTATGCGCTCTACCAAGCACATCCTGGATGGCCTCTACGCCATGCGTCTCATCACACAACGTCGGGATACGCTCTCGGAGGGCGAGAGTGCCCTTTTGGAAATTACGGCTGCTGAGAGGATGCAGCTGTGCGAACGACTATGCCACGTTTTCCAGGTCCTGGCATCTTGCGTCATGCTAGAGTATCCTCTTACGGATGCGATTCCTACTATTGACCGTACCAGAGACCGCCTCTTGAACAAAATCTATCAATACCGCAAGGAGCACATGGAGATGAACTTGAGAAGTACCGAGGACGATGCCGTTCAAGCCATGACGGAAGAAAAAGACTATGCTTTGCTTTATGCGTATACCCTTGTCACGGCGCAAGTGGCTGCCGAATTGAAGAAAATTAAGAAGGAGATTGAGGAGTTGTTTGGAGTTTTGCATCAGGATGAACTTCTGTTGGAGTAATATGTGAAATCAAGCAGATGGAATTTGATCAGTCGTTCCTTCATGCAGCTTAACATGTGGAAGAATGTTTGAGATATCCAAGTACACGACTTTTTTTGGGGTAAAATAATGAGGGCTAGGTTATTGATAATGGAAGCATTGAATGAAGCATACGAAGCGAATCATGATGGCGCACGGGATTTTGATTTCTTGAACATTCAGATATACCTAATATAGCATTATGGTGTCTTGGGTTGATCAATTCTCATAATAATGTGTCTCATATCTATTGACGAGTCTTTCTTGACTAGTTCTTTCATGCGTTAAATGATGCTACATCTAGTTCCATATCCCCTAACCGAAATTTCTTTCTTTTTTGCCTCCTATATTAAGAACCTCCTATTTCCCTCGACCAAAATAGGTATGCTGCATCCAGGATTACAATGTACATTCTCTCAGCTTCCCTAGTCGCCCAATCTCATACTCTACCCATCTTCCAACACCCTTCCGGCCTGGCACGAGGATGCTCCCTGGGTTCATAACGTGACACCCTTCATACGTGATACAAAACGGCGGCGCCGTTGTATCGATGAGTGCCATGGCAGTAGGGAGGGGGTATAAATGCAGTGCGGAAGCGTAATCCCAGTGCACGGGGCGGGTGGACTGCCGAAAGGGGGATAGGTAGCCCTGGTCGAGGATCGTCTTGACGAGCTTCTGGGCTGTTTTTATGTCGAGGGGAATGGAAGAGGAGGTGCTTGTGGAGGGCTTGTCGATCTCCATGGCGTCCTCAGCATCTGGTGATGCTGATGGGTCGTCGTTTGGAATATCGGGAGAGGCGTCATCGACTTCTGGCGCGCCATTTGTTTCGGCGGCGGGCTTGCGCTTGAGTGTTACTGAGGTACGCCTTAGTCTGGCGGATATGTCGTCCCTGAACAAGACTAGTTCGTGGTTTGGTCCAAACAGCGACATTCTGCTCGGATTGCTCGTCCATACAGCAGAGCCCTGAACACCAGTATTGCCGGCTTCGGCGTTGGCCGCGGCGAAAGCACGGCGGATGCGCGAGGTGAACATCTCGGGAACGGGCTTTCGAGGCAGCGGCACAGAGGCACCGCCCGTGAAGGAGGAGACCCAGCCATCGTTGTCGCCGGGGACAAAGACAAAGGTGGAGGATTGGAGGAGCGTGGGGAAGTCGGAAAAGGTCGAGGCAAGGGCGTCAAAGTATTCTTTGTATTCGATACTGCCGCCGCTGCCGCCTCGGGCCATGACGGCGTGCTGCGTGAAGTTGCCGGCCAGCACAAATGTAAGAGGCGAGGTGCCCTCGGGCTCGGCGGCGTATAATGACAGGATCTTGCGGAGGGCTTGGAGGGCTCGCGGCTGGTCGAGGTTGATTTCCCCGATAATCACGACGCGATTTCGCGAGGGCATGTCCTGTTCAGGGGCGGGCTGCAGCAGTCTTCTCTCTAGCCTTCGCATCTTGGATCCGACTGCACGCTCGCTGCCGACGCCGAGGAAGTCGATCCAGCCGAAGCCTCCCCCGATGGTCTGGTCATGGTCGGTTCCATCGAGCCCACTGATGCCGAGAGTCGACTTACGCTTCTCGCATGGAGGCTGTCCGATGAAGAACCCCTGGAACCGGCCCCCGAGAGTGCCTCCAACACCGCTACTGCCGCTCAGTCCTTTGCCGACTGACTCCTCTTCCTCCTCGTACACGCCGTCCACAAGGACCATCATTCCTGGGCAAAACCACGCCGAATCCTCGGGAATGGCAACGGCCTGTGAAAGATCGAGAGCAATAGTACCTGTCAGGTCACTTATGGCAAGGTCTCCTGTCGGTAGGATATTCAGCTGGCCGAGGAGCATGTGATTGCTTCCATGTCGACCAAGCAAATTGGCAATTGGCGTGATTTTGAGGGATTGTTGGTTTGAGAGCGAGCGTTGCAGGGTGTGTTTGCGGGATGAAGTAACGGAAGATGTCTGAAAGGATTCGTTTCGGAGGAGACGTTGGTGGATGACGTGGTAGCGGTTTCGAAAGACGATGGTTTTGTGAGAAGCTGGAGGTAGTAATGAGGGCTTGGCCGTATCTCTGTGTTCCCCATGTGAGTATGTATTGAAGGACGGGATAAACAGAGGAGAATTCAGCACATCTTACCTTTCAAAGTGTTTCTTATCAACATTGTAAAGAAGTCGTGGCTGGTCATAGGCGTCAATGACCTTGAGCCAGGCTCGGGCATCGCTGGCTTCCTCATCGTCATCCGCCTCCTCTTGCACGCCCAATCCAGACATGCCGAAGCTGGCATTGCTGTCTTGCCGAGGAAGTGTCGTTGGTCTGATGCCGAGTCTGGTGTTTATCGTATCGCTGTCGCTAATCTCCAGCATGCTGTCCCCCCTTGGAAGCCCTCTGCCCTGGCCCATGATCTTGCCGCCGCTCATGTTCCCCTCCAGCGTCTTGAGGATGTCTTGCAGCTCCTTGCTTGACCCCTCTACCATGACGCCGCCATTGCGATTCTTCCAGCTTCTAGCCACCTCCTCCAGCACTCTCTCTGCTAAGCCTTCCTCACGCCATCCCGAGCCGCAGTGTCGCCCGATGAAGGACGCAAGCTCTTGCAGCGCAGACGAAGTGAGCGTCAGCGAGTGCTTCTTTGTGAATGTGCGGAAGGCGAGCGGTCGGAGGGTCGCAGGCGGGAGGATGATGGGAAGGATCGCGGCTTTGGGAGCATTGATGCTGAATGGCTTCGGAGGGTGGACTGGAGTTCCGAATGCCGGCGACGACGAGGGCGCCACGGATGAGGATGGAATCAGTGGACGCTGCTTGCGGAAGATGGGAGCCGGTGTTTTGTCCATGGTTTGATGCTGTCGAGATTAAGAGCTCGAAGCCGGCACCGCCCAGACACGGGATATAAGAATCGAGACAGCAATTGCCCGAGGATTAATTGATAGCCCACCTTGATCTCATCTTTCGCGAACTTTGGAGGGGAGACCGCGTCGACGCGTCTAATTGATTTCGCATAGATGCATAAATGCGCGTACCGGGGAGCGTGGGGTAAAGTCTGAGCTGCCAAAAGCTCGAGCTCTGAATGACCTCATTGGCTTTAAGTAATTTGCTTTTCATCAGCCTTTTCTTCTACACATGTCTGATTGGAACCTGTAAAAAAAGCAAACATGATATCAACCAAATTTCGAATAGCTCACCAAAGCTCAAGAGTGTTTCTTAGAGCAGTGTCTACGCTGAAGAACAACTCATATATTGTTAGTCGCGAAGCTGTTTACACTGAGAATGTCAAGCTTACCAAATCCACTCTAGAAAGTCTTTGACAATGCAGCAGCACCATCATCACATATCCTCACCTATCTAGGCTCAAATCCTCCTTCTAAAACGCTCGCAATTGGCGTTACAACAGCAATTCCCCCGACACCTCAGTCATTTACAGAGAACCCAAAGTTTGTATCGATCCTCAACGAAGTCGTATCTGAACATGGCCATCAAGACGAGGATGTGATTGCGCAAGCAAAAGCTTTTGCCAGCCCAGGAGGGTTCAATCTCGGGTCCGGAGGCTCATTCTTCCCCGGTCAGCGCCAAGAGCACCATCGAGGATCTTCCCGCAAGCAAGGAGGCGGCGGCGGAGCTGGAGGAGATGGAGCCGGAGGAGCGAGTGCGCAAGGTGGGCCAGGGGGTGCAGGCCGAGGTGGGTTTGTTCATCTGAGCGATCGTAGGAATCCGCCAGACTTTGGCCGGATCGCCTGGCCGGAAGATATCCTGGGGAGCGTTGAAGTAAATGAGTCTGGAGAAGTTGTCGGGAGACTTCAGCCAAGTGGAACATACAGGATCGTGACGAACGAAGGAATGTAAGTCTTGAATAAACCCAGCTGATTTTCAGCTCCATCTCCCCCATTTTCTCCTTTCTAGCTAACCAGATTGTTTCAAGTCTCGGACTGAGTCCGTTCTTGAGAGGCAAGCTCATAGATAGGCTCTGCAAGGAGGAGGCTAAGGAGAGAGGATCTTAATACGGCTGAAAAACGCAAAAGAATTGGCACACCTCCGAAATCTTGGGACGAGACCATCGCTACACTTTATGTATATTAATAACAGCCACATTTCCTGGTGATTTGTGTGGTTTTCTGCCATTTAGTAGTACCTGCTTCCAAACCATGCATTTCCGGACTCTAAATTTGGAGCCATATCATTCCGTTTTTGGTAGTCAAGCAACCCCGCTTACCTAGGAAGATACAGGTATCCTGCTGAGAGGCGATTTCATGGCCTTTAATACGCATATTTCATCTCCAGTCCCAGCATGGTTCTGATTGCTTATTGAGGATCGGTGTCCCAGCACAGTATGAAATCCGCGATATTGATATAACTAATGCCGACTGAATTATACAGATCGAATTGCCTGATCGACTAATCAGCTCGCCAAGATGGTCAACACAGGAAAGCCTAGCATGGCTTGCGCCACTTGTAAAGTGCGCAGGGTTAAAGTATTCACCCGTCCAAAGACGTTGGCTGTGCCGATTGAAGCTTTATTGCGCATTTGCATGTTCTAATTTGGAAAGTAGTGTGACAGACAGCGGCCCGCTTGCTCGCAGTGCCGCAAATCTGGATGGATCTGCCCAGGCCTCCCGTCCGAAGCCGACGTTATCTTTCGGCACCAGACACCTGCCTCTCAGCAGGCAAGCATTGGCCGTCGTAGCCAACCAGGTAGAGTTATTGACCTGTCACCTGCAGTTACGGATAGGGCAACATCCTTCTTCCTCTACCAATATGTCTTTGATACAAGCACTGGCTCCAATACTGTCGCTCCGGGAGTTCATGAGCATCTGCCAGTCCTCCTCCGACAGGAAACGCCCACTGGGGCCCTTAGCACCATCATTTCGGCCGCGGGTCTCGCTGCTTTGGCGAATGCTGGAATTTCAACGCAGTGGAAACACGAGGCCTATCGTCTATACGGCGAGGCCCTCCAAAAGCTACGGACTGACCTCCAGGATTCAGCCCGCATGAAATCGGATAGCACATTGGCAGCTGTGATACTGATGGGTACTTTTGAGGTGAAACACCTCTTTGTCGTAACCAACAGGACTGACTCTCCTTCTAGACGATTGCCAGTGCTGACGCGACTTCTATGGAGTCTTTCGGCCACCACATTGTCGCCGGCGCTCGGTGTGTTGAGATCCGTGGACCAAACCAATTCCGCAATGTAGTATCCGCCATGCTGTTTATTCAATTGCGCCGCCTCATTGTACGGGCTATCTTTACTCCATGAGTGGTTGATCGAGCACTTATCGGTAATAGATCACGACTTGTCACCAACTACAGGAGCCATTGCCCTATGCTCTCAAGACGTGGTCTCGCTGGGCTGAGCCCACTCAAACGAGAGATGAAGCTTCTTTGAATCGCTTTGCTGAATTGAATGAGCACCTCGCAGCCGTCCGGGCCGAGATTAAACGAAAGGGTATCCGCAACCCTGCAGCTGTTGCCGCGATGCTAGATCCGGTCGATCGCCAGCTTAAAGATTGGGAAACGAGGCTCCCAGATACGTGGAGATTTAAATCCTACCGAAGTCTTGGCTCAGAGGCCGATTCGGCTGGGAGCTACAACATGCAGTATGACGAATACCCGGATTTCTGGGTTGCCTCCACTTGGAATAATTACCGGATGGTCCGTATTCTGGTTCATGAATCCAAGATGACAGCGACGATGAAATACGGCTCGGACAAAGAGAAGAAGGAGCTCCAGCATTCAGCCCAGACACTCGCAGAAATGACAAATGGCATTTGCTATAGTGTTGCATACATTTTAGGCGACCGGCCCACTGGACTCTATTCGAAGGGGGCCCACCAGGCTGAAAGTCCTGATGGACTACCAAAGCCGGGCGGATACTTGTTGCTATGGCCACTGTTTCTAGCGGGGTCTTGTTGTACTACTTCAAGGGATCAGAGAGGCTGGATTGCCCGTGCTCTGAGAGATATAGGTCTACGCATGGGCATGCAATTGGCTGTATCGATGGCGACAAAATTAGAGCAGACAGCCATCTCGCTTTCAGACCGTGAGATGTGGATTTTTGGGGAGTTCTTCCCTAGCAACTGACAAGTTGGTATTCATCTTACTTTATTTAATTTTAATTGCGAAATGACACCAAGACGAGTTCATGAAGGCGCAAACGCCGGGGCGGTGTAATGTACATGTCTTCTTTGTTACCGTAACCCACAATGGCAAAGTCCAGGATATTTGCGCTTCTGTGGATCGCAAAGCCTCCGCGACATTGGGAGGACGCCCGTGATGTGCTTGAGAAGCAAATTGCCCGTAGACTGTCGCGTATGATTAGTCGGCGAATGCCTTATAGATGACTTGGATATGCAGAAGGCTGCATTTACTATACACACTAAACTAGCTGACATGTAGGCTGTGCTATGCCTTATCCGGCTAGCCTTTCGAGCTGGCCAATCAGAGACTCTGCTGCCCTCCTCCAATGCCTATATTTGGTCTGTATCCTTGTTGGGTACCAATCATCAATAGGTACTTTGAAGTGAATATTACAGTTATTATCAGTATAGTCTTTGCCGGTTTCCGAAGTCGAATAGAATTTCAAATTCCTCCTGAGTTTATAAGTTTACCAGGATGTAGTTGCTCATCCTCTTCAGAGGTTGAATATTTAAATGCCTAGTTACCCCCCTCACTCTGTCTAAACACTCACTCTACATGCACTTTGTCTTCATCCTTCCTTGGCTCTTTGTATGAAAAGATGAGGTTCTTATCTCTCGCCCTCGCTGTCTCTCTGGCAACAGCGCCAAGCTATGCTTCTGAGTGCTCCCCAGATTCGTCGCCATCGGTGACGACTAGGGACGGAACATTGCTGGGCGGAAGATGTAGCACGACAGATGTAAATTTCTTCTTGTCTATTCCGTACGCAAACACCCCCAAAAGGTTTCATGCTCCTGTGCAGTACACTGGAGTGTATCATAAACGAAACGCGACGGTCCCCGCCCCAGCCTGCCCACAGTTTGGCACGACCTTCATTGAGACAGAGACACAGTCCGAGGACTGGTACGTATCACTACAGCCTTCTCTATACATATGACCCTTCTTCTTTGTCTGACAATATCTACAGCCTCTTTCTTGACATCTGGGTCCCAGCAAACAAACCCTCCAAGTCCAAGCTGCCTGTGAAGATCTGGATCTTTGGTGGCAGCGATGAGGCGGGCGGCATATCAAATGCAATGTATACGGGTTGCTACGCCGCTGAGAACGTCATCCAGGTCAACATCAACTATCGCCTGGGACCACTGGGATTTCTGGCAGTCCGGGAGGCTGGAATAAATGGCAATTTCGGTATACAAGATCAGCTACTGGCATTGAAGTGGATCAAGGCAAACATTGAATCTTTTGGCGGTGATCCTGTAAGATTTCCTCCCACTCCACTTGCACTCTTTCTTCCAGTCACTGATGGTATGTTTTCGATGGACTCTAGGACAGAATGGTTCTCTTTGGACAGTCAGCTGGCTCCTTCAATACTTTCACTATCGCGACTCTTAATGAAGCCCCTCATTTGATTAGTGCTGCCATCATGGAGTCGGGAGGAGGTAGCGACTTCGCTTCAGTCGTCGAGGCCCAGCCCTGGAATGACCTGTTCGTCACTACCCTTGGCTGCCGGCCATCAGATGTGAGTGACTTGCGCTTGCCATTGCATGCTTCTAATGATCTCTGCTGAATCCGAATCTAACCGCGCCTTAGTTCTCCTGCATCGACTCCAAGAGCGTGGCCGAAATGCAGAAAGCCGTCCTGGCGATGCCGGCTGGGGTCGGACCATCAATTGGCAGCCCTATAGCCCACATCGGCCGAGGCTTCAGCTGGGGGCCTCTTGTAGATGGCAAAGTAATCCCCAAGGAGCCCGCATCAGTCGGCGTCAAGGTTCCCTCCATCTTCGGCTCGACCGCTACAGAGGGCATGCTCTTCGTCTTGGCCACCTACGCAAAAAACTTGACAACCCAAACCCAGGCCACTTATGACGACTTCTTAAATTACCAGTTCGGCCCCCTCGCATCGCGCGTCAACTCAACCTACCCGCTCTCTAAATTCCCGCCAACCGCCTCCGTCCCCAACTCCGCTGACGCTGCCATAAACGCCGTCTATACCGACTACTCTTACAAGTGTACAGCTTACAGAGGCCTCCAGAAGGGCATCACCAACCGCGTCCCTGTTTACACATATTTCTTCGCCCACACCCCTTCCTGTACCTGGATGACGTCTGTTCCCGACAGTCCTTTTGTCCACAGCTTTCTTGGTGCTACACACACCGCTGAGCTTCCTTTTGTCTTTGGCGTACTGGACGGACTTCCCGCCCCTGGAGGGAACTGCACTTCGACCTCGGCCGAGTTACAGCTAAGTAAACAGATCATCTCCTCATGGGACAGTATGGCTGCCGTAGCTAGTCCTGGATGGCCGCGCTACTTGGGGCCGGGTAAAGGTAATGGCCTGGGAATGATGTATCTCGAGAATAATACAATTGTAAGCGAGGTAGACTATAGCATTTGCCCGTTCTGGGATGAGATAAGGGATGAGCTATTGGCTCTGCGGGCTCAGGGGAAAGTGACCCGGTCCTGAGCGAGGAGTTTAGAAGCGGTATAGGTGTTTATAAGTTTTATTCTAGATCCCGATATCATATCAATTAGTAGTAAAGATTAATTTTTTAATTCATTTACACAACGCTGGAGTCGAAAGGCTAGTACATACGATAGATATGATACCTATTAGAATAACGGGATCTCGTCTGCTTCCCTATGGACAAGCTGCTAGTCGGTAGATAGGGCGACCATCAACGATGACTAGTTGTTGTAAGTTTTCTTTTTCGCTGTCTTAGTATCCCGTCCACGGCTTGATCTGCATGTCTTACTTAGTCTAGATATATTTGGCCATTGGCACATGTCTCATTGATCCCGTCATTTCATGCGGGACTTTTTAGCACATGTCGACCTGGAATAGTCCGTTGTTTAAAGTATCTATAAAGTAAGGGTTGGTGATGTTAGTCCTGCATTCTGATATGCAAGACATGCATATACAGCATCCGTGGAGTACTATAGACGGGAAAGGAAGAAGAACAAGGCTTGTTTATTCCGATTCAGGGTCGAGACCTTGCTTGCCCTCAGTTACCCCCCTTCAACCTTTGTAATAATGCTAATTTTGCACGTCGAACCTTTGATCAAAGTGATTGAACAATGGCTGTGAGAGGATCTCAGTGCAGAGGATTAATCTACATGCACATAGGATGCATGTAGGTGGCCGTTTCCGGTCGGGCTCTTAGCCGAAACAACATGCTAGGCAGTGTCGGCTATTGCCCTTAGACATGGCACGAATATTAGAGAGAAACCTTAGTGCTACACTGCTGTACACTCAAGTCACAGACAAACCGACATATTGGCCAGTCGTTGTGTGCCACCTATACCTATATGTACTCTCAACCTAATGCAGTGGCGCATACTTACTCTTCATACCGAGGAGGCGGGTTGTAATTAGAGTAAGCTGCATATTGGTGGAGTATACTTTAAATTCGCTAAAACCTGCCTGAAACAAGAAGCGCCTATGACAAGAAGTTACCAGGGACTTGATGATTGGCATGACTATTGGCTGCGCCTAATACGAGTAGCTATGTAGAACTGATAGAGAAAGCAAACTCCTTGATATATCATAAGAGCTAAGTAGCTTAATACCTCGCTACCATCCTAGGTTATAGTATGAAATATGTCCAGAAATATTACGTATGTCTTGACGTCCTGTGCATGTGTGGCGATAATCTCTATACTCCGCTTGGTGATAGGGAAGTCTAGATTATCAGTGGTTCAAGTGTTGTTACATATATATACAACTATGTGGCTGGCGCTTCCGAGGACCAAAGGATTGGCTACGTTTTGTATCAAGCCTATTCTACACGGCATGATGCTAGCTTTTACGTCCTGTCACTTATCGCAGAGCACGTTTATGAAACATAGTAGCATGGAGTAGGGTTACTTTTATTGTAGGGATTAGAGGCTGGAGGTCTAGACCAAGCGAAAAGCGGCAACGCGGTCCAGACTGTTTCTTCTGAGTGAAGAATTTGCGTGGGCCGTCAATCCGGCCCCTGTTTGAGTTGTATCCGAAGCATGTTGAGCGACTTCGGAAGTATACACGGGAAGAGGGGATTAGACATTTTACAACCCCTTGGTCTTGGAACATCAGATTCGAAAGATTTATATTGGATTCCGCAAGATGTTGAGTTTGAGAATGTCTTGAGTTACATGAAAGTGGCTTAAAGTTCTGTGACAGAACTCCACTTGATTGAGACCAGAATTCAAAGTCTACCTATGGCGACAAGTTCTGGACCACCCCGGGAGCAGTGAGTCAAAGAATACCCACTGCCAACTCAGAAGGTGTCGCGGCTCTGCATAGAACTAACCTTTACAAGGAGACGAAATGATTCACAGCGGCATGATAACTGGAGCGGTGTGCATGTACTACAGGAACAAAACAATAGAGACTTTAATAGCGAGGAGGAGATGAAATTTACCTTGGATAAAGTGGCATATGAGAAATATATAAAGGACCAGAATTCTCTCTGCTCAATCTCACCTCCTAAGCACAGTTCGACCATCAAAAACAAACAAACAACTTCCAAAGTTTTAATTCTAACTCGTCTTTTACTGTACATCCTAAGATGGCAAGTGAAGCTGTTAACGGCAAGATTACTGCTGACACCATCACTGTATGTCCATAACATATTTATCCTGAAGGATATTGGTCTAAGTTAAAAGTTTAAACCAGGTCAAATGGGATGTTAAAGGAGGAGCGGATCGGACTGAGCACCCAGAAATCGGTGAAAACCGTGTGCTCGCGGGTACTCCGTAAGTAAATCATCCCCCCCCTTCATTAATTACTGTATTTAAACTTTGTATAGCAATATCCAGGGCATTACTATTACGAGTGACGTCGACGTGACGGTGCATTGCTGGGCGTAAGTGGTAACCTTTATGAGTGCAACTAAGAATATGCAATAACAATTACTTGTATTTCAGTGACGCCTCTGCGAGTGGCGAACCAACTGAGTCGATTGATGGGCCAACTAATGGCAAGGAAAAACTCAACCCTACCAGGATTGGGTCGTACCGTGTTGACCTCCGTTAATAAGGCGTTGATAAAGCTTTTGAGCCTGCCCTATGAACGCACGTTAACTTGAATTGGTGGCTAAGCTTGGGAGGCCCGGCTTATTGTATGTAAACGAGGGCTGGATCTCGCCTGTCTAGATAGAAGAATTGGACAAGGTATTCGCCTCAGAACGAGCTATGCAAGTGATCTCATCACGGTAGGAGCAAGACCACAGCAGCTACCTCAAATGATGCCTTGGCTTGTTTTCGTGATATTGTCCTATTGGCCGGGGTTATCTAGGTTTCTGAAGTTGAATTTGTTGTGTTAGTGAGGATCGGTTCAGGTGTGCGTGAAGTGGGTGTGCTGATGTCTCAACTGGGGATATTCTCCGCTGATATTTTTCGTACGTCTCATTAAGTGCTGTAAACTACGTCCAAGTGCTTGACCTTGAGTGTGGATACTGAAAAGCCCATTGAGAATGTCAAGCAGCTGCCAAAACCAAACAGTATGAAAATGTCATAGACGACACACTTCCCATTTCTTCCCGACTCTCATGAGGGATCCGAATCGATTCGAGTTAGTAGTCTCGATGATAATATGTATATGCAAACGATACTTTTCGTTAGGTATGAATCATCAGATGTGTAGCAAAATGCCAATGCGAAGCAAAGGGAAAGGACACACCCGAGTCTAGCGGGCATCGAGAGAACAAAAGCCCACAAATGCCAACTTGCTCTTGTGCAAAAGTAGGCATGGCTGCGGACCTGGTGCAGAGGTTCATCATTAGCCAGGGCCGATTTAGTACAGCTTCACTAAAAGGGACTTTATGCGCAATTCCAACAAACATCCGACAAAGAGTTCTTTCTCCAAAGTGTTTGTGTTGAGGTTTGCAATTAAACATCTCGCTATTCTGCCCGCGATAAAGTCGATGAGGTCTTTTCTCGTGCTTTCTCTAGGCTTACCTTCGCCAACATTGGCGCTACCCAGGACCAGCAAGCTGCCTCCACCAGCTAACTCACGGGTTGTTGGAAGGATTTGAGCAAATTCATACGCAGTCTGCGATGAGATGCGTTAGTCACAGTATTAACAGGCTAGGTTTACCTAGTGTCATACCAGGCGCGCTTTGTCGTCTATTGGCTGCCAATGATGCGGATCGGAAAGACATCCATTGAACATCACTGCGTCTACGTGATTGCATTCATGATACACGGTATCAGAATCTCTGAAATCGTATACCCGGAGCGGAACCAAAAAAGTCTCTCCTAGAACTCTCTTATGACTCGAAAAAGAGCTGGGACTGTATATTCATATACATATCCTCCACATTGTTACAGCATCATGCTGTTGCAAGCTTGACTGCTTCTGTGGATTCGTTATTGTCAACCTTTGTCAGTTTTGCTTCGCTAGGAGATGATAAAATGCGAAATACTTGTCCCTCGGGTCAGTTGATTTATGGGCCAGCTTCACAGAGAAGGAAATGTAATGACTGCGTATTGCAATTCATCTGTCCTGTTGCTCATCTTGTCCTGGGCGGGGGCAGAAGAGAATGTGTCTTGGATTGGTATTTCCACAACATAGAAGGCGATCTAAGTTTCTGAAGTTAAATTTGTTGTGCTAGTGTGGATTAGTTTAGGTGTGCGTGAAGTCGGTGTGCCTGTGTCTCAGCTGGGGGTATTCACCGCTTGTGTACTCCGCACGTCTTACTAAGAGCTGTAAGCTACGTCTGAATGAATCTTCGCGGTAGCGTAGAGCTTCTCTGTGGGATGGTATATTGGTTTATGTATACCTTCAGGCCATTGTCATAATGCGTAGGACGTATGGTCTCGAGAATAGGATTATGTCGTCGACCAAGCCCACGGGTGGTATGTGATTCCTCCATCCGTATAATGAACATTCTGCTGCTCTTGGGTCAAGGCGACGGACGGCTGGATTGCATAGTCTTATCCTAGTAAATATGGTTAATCATATGACATCTCTTATTCTCCCTTATATATGTAAGCCAATACATGCTATTAGTCATGGATTCTTGACTGAGACATTTGGAGCCAATGGCAGCTGCCTGAGAGCTATGCAAGTCTAAGACACATCTAACAACATGTCTTAGGATAAAGAGTACAGTCATCCACTGTCTCAAACCATCGTCATACTTCAGACAATATGACTACTAACTATTCATATTACTACTGCCTTGACGTCAGCTCTATCTCTAGGTCTAATAGATAGGGGAGCTGGCAACTATAAATAAATGGTAAAGAGTCCCGAATTTTTCATCTCAAGCTGCCGTGAATAAATCATTCAGACAAACAACAGATTCTTTACCTTCATCGATCAAGAATACAATACATAACACCCAAAATGCGCACTTTTTCTGCTGCGGCTCTTTTATTAATTGCTTACGCTACTGGCATTTACAGCCATGATGTCGGCACATTTGATACTTTTACCGATATATCCTGTAGCGAGGGAGGGGAGGGAATCACTCTTCCAGACGAAGCCTCCTCTGGCACACTCTCTTCTGACGTTCAGTCGGTTAAGGCTTATATTCCTAACTGTGCCCGTAAGTCTCCGTGCTCAGAATGTTTTCTATGTTGTTGATTGAAAGAAAAGTGTATTAATATTTAACTTTATCAGTTGTTATTTGGGTTAACGGCGGAGGCTGGTATCCCTTGGTCATTCGTCCGGGCGATTCGTCGTGTTACGAACTTACCGGACCTGGGCGCAGCTGGAATCTTTCCTGTTAAGCTTATGCTACACAGCCTAGTATAGGTTATTTTAATGAAGGGTTTTGACTGATCTTGTGGTTGATTGGTGGCTAGGTTTGGCGACTGAGCCAAGGCTATCCCGGATTTCTGATGGTGAAGGGGATTGTTTCCTCGATTTATACAGAAGAAATAAACAAGTTTATGTCCCTCCAGATATCTATGGATACATGTACCGATTCACACTGAAATCTAGCACATGCGACCACAGTTAGTGGAGAATTCGGGGTCCCATCAAGTTCTTTCTTTTGGTTCATTGTCTGTCATTATGCACACCATTGGGATCCAAGCTCTGACTCACGTGGTTCTCTTTCCCGAGGCCTGCAAACTTACACTAAGCCTATAATGTGCCCCATGATGTTTACACATGTGTGAAAAAAAAAAGGAAACGATAATATTAAATAAACCTTGTTGCCTCTAGTGAGTTGGCTGGCGGTGATTGTTGGCTGTGATTGTTGGTGATTTGTGGTCGTGGTAGTGATTGTGGTGGTGATTGTGGTGGTGGTCCAAAAAGATGGAAGAAGAGGCCTCTGGACGCGTTGAACCATTGAAGGTACGCGATTGGAGAGCTATGCGAATCGGTGCTTAAGTTGGCCAATAACTGCGACCCGGTGGGGAAGCGATGACGACGAAACGGATGAGGAGGATGAGCATGGGGTGGTGGTGCTGGTGGTGGTGCTGGAGGTGTTGTTGTGTCCCGTCGGTGGAGATGAATTCTGCCTATAAAGTTCCAAGTTTCCTCCAACTCACCACTGCCACATCGCTCCCTCTTCATCTACGAGACCTGCTTTCACAACAAAGTTGGTAACCATCATTATAGACTACTCCTGCCGTATTGTTTCGTCGAGAATAATATCTGGAATGACTTCTTCGCGATCACAGCTCGGTCTAGACCTGACTGATGATGGAGAGTTAAAATTCAACAGCCCATCGAACAATCCATACGTGGATTCTTTCAGCGAAGAGCTGGGCACATATGTTAGAGATACTAGCAGTCTCTTGTGTAATAATGAATCAGAGGCTTACTATGACCAAGAAATTTCGTAAGTTTACAACAACCCTATATTTATTTTTACGTTATTCTCCGAGGAATATGGTGTATCAAACAAAGTCAATTAAATCTACGCGCTACTTTCTATTAGAAAATATAACTAAAGGAGATAACCGAGAATCTCTAACTTTTATGAGTCTCGAGTTAATTGCCCCGGGCTGTGAACGACCTCACAGTCTACAAGAACTATAACACCAAAGAATTGCGTCCAGTGGTAGGTGACTGTCGTACGGAGTACGAACGAGCTAGAGAAATATGGCGCTTTTATACCGGTAAGAAGAGCAGAAAACAAAAAGGGCAATCAGGTAGATCAGCGAGCTTGTCCGTATGATGACAGGCTCAACTATATATAGCTCTCGCCTTAGGATAAGGCGATGATCTCCTCCTTGCTCGGCGGCTTCCCGCTTTCTAAGGTCGACGCAATTCTCTGACGAGATAGCTTTTATCCACACAATGTTTGTAGAGGAACTTAGCTTACCATTAAAAATTGTGAAAGTTTGAGCCAGCTCTCGGAGATGTGCGATGAATTTTGGATTGGTGGTCTAAGTGCTACGAATGTAGCCACTTCCACTAGCAATGGTTTATCGGTGGATATGCGCGACAAGGGCAACTTAGACAGTTCGAGCCATCTAGAGATCAATGATATTCCTTCGTTTAGTGACGATCTTAAAGACCAAAAACATCTCGCTACGCCTGAAAGTGTGGTACTCCGGTCTGGTTTTGAAGCGATGTACCCCGCGTCGGGCGATCCCGCCGGTAGGGCGTTGGAGTAAGTTCAACGCTTTCAAACGGAATAAGATCTCCAATGCTCACATATTGACGGTAGAAAAACTAAACCATTTCTTTGCGAAATTTGCCAGGCTTGTTTTACAGAGAGACGTTCTCTTAAACGCCATTCAATGTACTAAATTTTATTCCGTGAATTTTTCTGAAATACTAATTTGTTAGCAGTACCATCCACTCTTCCGAAAGGCCTTTTGCTTGCAAGCATTGTCCCGAGACTTTTAAAAGGAGAGACGCACTCAAACGCCACGAAAGGTACCTACCAACTCAATTTTTGTGAATTAAGTCCGAAATACTAAGAGAGTCAGGCGGTTCCATTTTTAAGGCAGCCCTTTTAGCTCGTGTTGGACGCTTCTTTATAGAACAGATAATGGCATGCGTCGCTTGAAAAGTCAACAGTTTGGATGGAGGGCTCGTATTAAATATTTCAAGATTGAAGGAATGGATGGGCTAGGATAAGCAGGCCCCTGATGGTATATGATGTCTCTCAGTGGATTATCTGATAGCTAAATCAACAAATCTCTTTCAACATCTAGCTATCTCTTATACCAGATACTATATTAGACCATCTCTCTCTCTCTCTCTCTCTCAATGATAATGTGTATAAACAATCGTGGAAGATATATACTTAGGCATGACTAATAGCTGTTTCGTAGTGTATCAATAACTCGTACTCAAATAAAGTTATATACCATGTTGTTAATTTAATTGGATAGATATAAGTCAAATTGGCTCAGTTTCCAAGCACATACGACCATAGGTAGTTGAGAATTCAGGGTCCTGTCAAGCTCTTTTCTTACGTTGGATGTCTTCTATTTCCCTTACCTAAAGACTGTAAATTTGGAGTCATATGCTTCCGGTTCTAGAGGAGGAGCTCCACACTAAGCATCGACTACCGTTAAATCGCATGACATGAGTTAAAGCAGAGCTGATAATACCGCCCCAAGGTTATTTATTCTCCTAGCTGTACTTCTAGCAGCTATAAGAGACATTAATTAGAAACAAGATGATAATCTTAAATCAATATCTGTATCGAAGTAGTCATTTCCATTTCAGTTTGGATGTGCAGGTTCTATCCGCACAAAATGTAAAATGAATATCCTTATAGCTTGTATATGTCATCAGTTATTTCCCCTGTAGCTTCTTCTTCATTTGAATTCTCGATGATTTTCTAATTCCCTTCAAACCTTCACTCGGCGACTTTCTATTCCCCTTTAAAGTTCTACTCGGCGATTTCCACTTTTCCAAGAATTTTCTAGAATCCTGTGTAAATGGATGATCTGGGCCCAAGACAGAACACCTCCCTTGCACGCACTCTTGCATTAAAGTAAGAGCGTCATTACGACGACCGCGACTGCGTAATGCAACGGCTAGGTTATGCTTGGATTGGAGAGTATAAGGGTGTTCCTCTCCCAGCATCTTTTGACCAATTTCTAGCGCTTCTTTAGCAAGAGCTTCAGCCTGTTTATAGTTGTGCATATCGCAATATATAGCCCCGAGTTGGGTTATACTCCGCTGCGTGTCTGGGTGGTTCTCGCCAAGCGTTTCCCGACGAAGATCCAGAGTTTCCTGATAGAGAGCTTTGGCTTCTTTATACTGGCCCAGGCCCTGGCATGTCGCTGCAAGGGATCCAATATTCCAAAGCGTTAATGGATGTTTCTCGCCAAGTATCTCCCGTTGGAGAGCTAAAGTTCTCATCTTCATAGGTTTGGCTTTCTCATAATAACCCTGGTAGTGATATATTGCTGAAATTGAAGCGAAGCTGAAAATCGTATCTATGTGCTTCTCTCCAAGTACTTCCCGCTGAATTTCCATAGTTTTCTTATAAATAGCTTCGGCCTCCTTATACTGACCATGGCTTTGGTATACTGTTCCAAGTAAAGCCATAGCCCGAAGGGTATCTGGATGCTTCTCTCCAAGTGTCTGTTGCCGAAGTTCTATGGCTTCTTTGTAACAAGCTTTGGCATTCTCATGCTGACCCTGGTAATGATATGCTGCTGCAAGTGAAGCTATGCTTTCAAGCGTATGTGGGTGTCGCTCCCCGAGGGCTTTTCGTCTTAGTTCTAGCGCTCTCTGGTCCACGAGCGCTTTCTCTCTCCAACGCCCTCGGTCATATAAATACCCAGACGCTTTGCTCAAAAGTTCAGAGGTGTCGGCCTCCCTCTTACTTATTTCTGCCCAGACCCCCATTCCTATAGCATGAGCCAAATACCTCTCACACTGTCCCCACGACTCTGGCTTTGAAGTTGGAAAGAGTTCTGACAATGCCTGCAAGGCAATTCCTGTGTAATATACCTCATCGCTTGGTTCTGTCTGCATCAAAGTTCCTTGCGCAGGTATTCCCTGAAGGCCTCGCAGTGTTAGCCTGTATCTTGCTGCCTCTTGCACAAGCTTATGCATCTCATAGCTTGGACCGCCATCCTCAATATGGCGTGTCTTGAGGAATGAGAACTCTTGGAGCCGCCTGATTGCAGATGTCACTTCCAATTCTTCTAGCTGCCTAGTCGTATCCTCGTTGCTGTACTTGCTGATTTTTAAAATTAACTCGTGCGGCAAATTTTGGTTGTCTAGATAAGCGATGATATGGAGAACTTGGTAAGCCGTTCTGTTCTCACTATGAATTCGTTCCATTGAGACAGTCCACGTGTCAAGTACACTATTGGGCATTTCAGGCCTTCTATGCCGATCGAATCCAGTGGTCTTAAGGGTATTCCATCGGCGTTTGCTTTCTCGAAGCAAAGACAGGTAGCCGGAAGCAGTCATCTGCATTCGCCGCATATATGCACCAGCTTGAGAGATAGCAAGCGGAAACCGCTCCAGTTCCCCAATAAGCATTTCAATATCGTCAAGTTCTCCAAAACTGGCTTTCTTATTTCTCATTACTTCCAGAAGTTCGATAGCTTCGTCAGATTCCATAGATGTAACCTCAACGCCCCTTTGTGCGCCGACCAGAGTACCTGCAATATTGGCATCGCGACTTGTCCACAGTACTGTCCCCGTAGGCCCGTTTGGGATATATTCGTATAGGCTGTTTGCAGCTTCATCGGTCGATAGCCCAACGCCAAATAATTCGAGATTATCAACATTATCGAGGATAAGTACCCATGATGGGCGTGCCTCGATACCGTTACGTACAGATCTAAGCAGGTCATTCCCATCGGCAGCGGTAGTTTGGTCAATGCCAATTTTGTTTGCAATTGTCTTATAATCGTGTATAAACGTCGCTTTGCTGTCTGCATGCACCCAGAATATACTGCATTTATCGTCTTCGCTTCGTCCGTACGCATAGTCAAGGGCGATCTGAGTTTTTCTGGGTTCTTGGTTAACAACATCCATATATTTTGCCTCAACGGAAACCTACCCCGATCCTCCTAGTCCCCAAAGAGCAGCACTGTGGAACTTCGATCCCCGTGGCAGAAGTTGATTCAGTCGATTTACCAAGTCTCGGCGGTAGATCACATCCTCGTTACGGGGATATGGAATAACATGGGTCGGTCTATCAAGGCCGGGTGATAGAGAACCGTGTGTCAGATTATAATGGATGTCACCTTGGTTGATGATGGTATTGTTTCCAAAATTATTTTGGCCGATGTGACGCGGATGGGACATCGGGTAACTCATGGTTAATGATCAAGTGATCCTAAGGCCTAGACAGCTTAAGATTAGACATCTTGGGTCGAGATTTAGAAGTTTCAATTCCTAGAGTATATATAGCCAGCCAACCGACATGTAGGGCAGCTTTGGGCCGCATTGCGAAGCGATACTGCGAGTGAGCCTGTGAGTGAGCCTGCAAAGCGAGAGTTTGCCAAAAGATAAGAGCATCCAATAAGCCATCTACATAACAGCACGTGGATGAATATTACAATGAAATGGGCTGTGATCTACAGATGACAATTATACAAAAAGGGTCATAGGAAATGCAAACAATTATAACGGTGGAGATTCATGGATCTCGCGTATTAACCTGACGAAAGCCTTACCTTCAATGAGGCTATAAAGCTGGCTAGCTATACGCTTTAAACACTATTAAGGGGTATAAAAAGAAATGATGGTAGAGTTCATTTAGTAGCTGCTCAGTGGTACGACTGATTTTAGTTAATCCTACCAAGGTGAAGCAGATTGTTGACAGACCAAAATGTAGCCTAAATCTCTAGATTAGCAACCCGCCTGAGTAACTTAGCAGCTCTTATATACTGATTCGTACTATCATTTAGCACAACAACTGTTGATAGTGGAAAATCCGGAGTCTCGTCAAGCTCTTTATCATGATGATTTGCACAAATCTCTCGCTATTTGCTCTTCCTGTCTCAAGTCGTCTCCAACATTCTCCCGACACCCAAACTCAGAACATAATATCTTTCTTACACACTATATTTGAAATGAATATTCTGCCGATCCGTCATGTCAGCCTCGCCGTTGATTGTTCCTTGATGAGCTGATTGTTCCGGCGTCATTCTCATTTCTGCAATCTTTTTCGCCCGTCTCTTATTCTCCGCCATGTCTTGTTGGCATGATTAGCCTTGAAAACTTCATAAAGTTGAATCCTGGCTACTCACAATATAGTCTCCATGCGATGAAAAGAGCGCACATCACCCCATACATGATTCCGCATATAATGATTGCAGGGATATATCTGGGCGCCCACTCGGCCCGGAAAGTTTGAGCGCCAATCGCACTACCTACACAGTATCCAACAAACATAACAATACCGATGACAGATCTCTTAGTTCGACCAGCTATATTAGATGGTACTAATGTCCACATCAGTAATCCAGTTAGGCGGCCAGTTGCAGTCATCAGGTAAAGGCCCCATCAAGTCCACAGCATGCCTTCTTTAGGTAGTAAGCCTAAGGCTAACATGCCAATAAAGGCAGGAATAGTTGAGAGTACCATAAAATAAACTAACAATTATGGTTAGCATAAATGAAGTAAGTGAAGTAAGATAACTACATGCAACCTTACATCTCGTCTGGGGCCACTTTAATGTTGAGAATCCAACGAATAGGAACCAGACAGCGCTCACAAGGTCCAGAGGGACAGTGCCCTTGACTATAGTCTCCAAGTTGGTAAACCCAAATGAGACATAAACAAGATTACCAAATGCTGCTGTCCCGCTAGAAGGTATACCACTGATAAGTAAGCCGAAGAAGAAAAAGTAGGTTTGCGGATCTTCCATTGCCTCTAGGACCTGGTCCCAGCGCCATGGTCGCCTCTGACCTCTATCGGACCCAGTTTGGTTACTGGCGACTCTCGCCGCTGCAATGCGTCTCTCGTCCTTCGATAGCCATCGAACTTCACTAAGTGTGCCTAGAATGAGTAGTGAAAAAAACGATAATATTATCGTCCACAGCCCTAGGAAGACGCTGATCCATCGCCACGCGCCAAAGCTGCTATTGTGGTTCTGCTTCTGAGCAGCGTTGCCAATAGCATATATACCCAGCTGTGTTATTATATCCATGCCGCTACTTGAAGTACTCCAAATAATTGATCGTAGAGTATGTTCACGGCTGACATAGAAAGACCCCGTGATAATAAGTAAAGCAGGGCCCATGATGCCCTCGAGAAACCCCTGCAGGGAACGTAATGCCACAAGATGGGCAAAGTTCTGAGCAAAGGCAAGGCACAAGACGATGACACCCCAGAGGAACATATAGATGAACAGCACCTTATTCACCCCAAAGCGTTGCATGAGATAATTTGAAGGAGCTTCGCCGATGAGATAGGATAGAAAGAACGCGGTGGTCAGCCCTGTAACTTCAATATCAGTTTCTATACACTGCATGACACTATTGATTTCTCTAGATTGTGTCTGTCCTGGCAATTGCCTACATGAAAACTGCTGGCCAACAAGATTGGTATCACGTAGCAATCCAAAGGTTGCTTGTGCAGAGATGGATGACTTGTCTGCTGCTTGAGTACCAGAGCATAGCCACATGAACGGCAGCAGAACAAGGTCAACCTTCCAGAGAACGCGTTTGTACTCGGCTTCAGTATAATTGGCGTTAACCGTATCCAATTCAGGATCTTGGGCCTCAACAGAATAAGCTGCGTTGGTGGCTTCGGCAGATATGCCAATACTACTCGCCTTCTCATCGACAGCATTTTCTTTCATGTCCCCTGGCTGCGTCATGATACTGGATCGTGAAAGAGCAAATTTATGTCAATGCCAAAAAAAAATTGTATCAGCTTCTTTTTGCCCTTTCCAGTGCCGCCGATTACATATTTTAAATAGTTTCTGCTGTCCTGATATGAACTTTTTCGATATAGGTTGCAGCTCCCTAGCCAGGGGCGTGATCCTAACAGAAGCTTCCCTGCTTCCGCATAAAAGCTCACCTCCTGCTACGTTCAGTAATAGACACCATTATTGGAACAGAGGCTATCGCGGCGTCTCATCCAAGATTCAGCTGATAACTGGACCAATCCACGAAGAGCACCGCTCGCCAAGATGTCTATTCTCAGAGACTTTTGTAATCACATTTCGACTTTCGTAACCGAGCCTCGTCATTCACCCCATTTCCCAAGTAGAGATTTCATCATAATCCGCTTTCGCAGTCGAGACTTGTCAACTACCTCACTTTCTAAGCATCATTGCATTGTAATCAGCTTTCAGCTTCAGACTTCAGCTTGTATCATTCACACCCTCACCAACGGCCCGCAGCTATGGCCCCTCTTTACCATTCTGACATGCAATTGATGAGCCAATCAAAGAAACTGAAGCCATCCCCAGGTGATAGCTAAGCAGTAGCTTCAGGGTTCAGAGCATTAGCTTGCAACGGCAGTTGCATCTCTTAGGCCTGATGTGACATCGTTTTACTCGCAGCCTTATCGATCTCTTGCGCATGATGTGGCATTGTTTTACTCGCAGCCTGACCAAGTTCAGGGGCATATTATTCAGTGCAGGCTAGAATGTTCATTCGCCACAAGGCGGTGCTGACCGGTTTCGTACAGGGGGTCTTCACCAATGAATTCAGCACGTTGTCGCCCATTATAGCCTCCAGGTGGGAGAGCCATGAATGATCAAGAAGGCATTTGATAACGGCCCCCAATGCCATCATTTTACCTATGTAGAAGCGGCTGAGCGAGCTAAGGTCACGCGACCCTAATGACTTTGACCATCCAATCGGGCATACCTGAGACGACATCATTCCACGGTGTGTGAGGCAGAAGACGCATGAGTAGGAAAACCATAAGCCGCAAAGCCAGCTGAAGGGAGGCATCTAGATGTAGTCGAGTTACTCGTTGAGAACGGTGCTAATACAGAGTCAAAGGAACAATCAGGGCAGATCCGGCCTGATTTGTTAGTTGAAATTGGTTGCCAAAGCACAGGCGGATATACTTGTTTGAATACTAAACCACCAAGGCTATGGCAGATGAACACAATAGATCTGTGCTGCTCTGCATCACTCCTCCGGTGAGCTTTCACTTCCGCAAGGAGCTCTGAGGCATAGTCTTGGACATCTGAGTTTGACTGAAACATTTGGCCGAGTTATAGCCACAACTGAAGACTCGCGCACTTGGAACGTCCTTTGGGAGGCAGGATGCGTCACTTAACCAGTTAACATTCGTTGTCTTATCGGTCCAGGTTCCCACGCGATCACCATTCAGTCTATGAATAGCAACAATGTCCACGGTATTTCTCTTATCGAGTGGTTGGCTGACGAGTACCTGCAGGCCATGATGGGATTCGCGAACAACTTGCCGGGATCATGCTGAAAGTCCACTTGCAGTATCTCACAAATTGTTTGAGGGCCGCATTGGCTAGTATGAGGCGGGTTCAATGGCTCTGGTACCATCGCGGTCTTGGACCATGGCATCCAAAGTAGAATCACCGTTAGTCTCAAGAGTAGCTAACCGCTTGGCTGTTTGTTTAGAATTTTTAGATAGTAGTCGTCTCACATGGCGGAACATGGTCAGAAACAACGGGGGCGAATGTGCTGAATGATTGCTGTGTGGGATTTCTGAGTATTCAGTTGAAGATACATGTATGGCAGCATCCCGATCAAATCTGCAAAAGCGTGAAAATGAATTATAGCTAAAACAACCCCCACTGCGCCCCATTTAGTTGCGCCTGATGTTGTGTTGGCTAGCATTTGCAGCTCTTTTGCATTGACCCTTTCCAACTCTCAGAGCGAATAGCAGGGGAGCTGTAAGCGCCAAGTCATTTGTCAGCTCTAGAACAACACTGCAGCTGAAATTCTACGAACCAGTCTACATTTTACTCCAAACAACAATAAATTTACAAACTTCAATCGAGCCGCATCATTTATTACCACAAAACCTAAATGACATAGAAGGCATAGATTTTGTGCGACATTGTATGCTCTAATCTATGCGCTTATATACACTGCTCCTCGACGAGGCTGGAAGTTCATTCAACGTTAGGCTTCTGCATCTTCACGACAAGCTTCATAAGCCGAATGAGGCCGATCACAAGCACATACGACCATAGGTAGAGGAGAATTCGGGGTCCCGTCTGCTCCCCCATAGACAAGCCTCTAACCGGCAGATTAGTAGTTGAGTGGGTGACCATCAGCGAACACCGGCTGTTGTATGTTTTTGCTTTTTTGATATCCTCCGCTGGCTTGTCCAGTTAAACCGAATCGCCTCTGTGATCAAGCACATACGACCATATCCATTCGAAAATACGGGATCCCGTCCGCTCTCCCAGAGTCAAGCGAATGAGAGGCAGATTAGTAGTCAGGTGGGTGACCACTGGCGAACACCGGCTGTTGTATGTCTTTCCTTTTGCTTTTTTTACTGTCTTTTTATTCTACTTGTGAACTTAAACACAATTACCCCGGTGATTAAGTATATACAACTATATCTATTAGAATGTAGGAGTTCCCCTCTGAGAGGCAAATCAACCATTATCTATCAAGCCCTATAGCCATTCCATCAACAACAGCGCCGGCAGCAGCAGAGGTATTGGCAGCAGTAGTAGCGCCTACACTGCGGTATGATGACCCATGGGCTATCTATCAGAGATATACTACAGTAAGAGAAGCTTGGTATAAGGCTCAGCCTTGCGGCAGTATTAAGACTAACCAGCAATATCGGAAGGCAATGGGTCTACCTTTACGATATAGTAAAGCTGATTATGATTGGTGTTTTGACTGGAAGCAGATGAATAAGCGCTGTATAACACCAACAGGCTCTAGGGAATGGATTAAAGAAGAGATGATGGCTTATCTTGACTGGGATAAGTCTGAGAATGACCGTCTTGATGCCTAGGTAGCCGATGAGATAGTAGTGCAACCATTTTCCAGCAGACGAGGGCCGAGCGAGATTTGGAGAGTATGTGAGAAGGATATCGAGGAGCAGCAAGCCTTCTATAACACTATATAGCTGTATTTCATTTGTAGTTGTGTTATTTAATTGGAATTCATTATGCCTACATAGCCGTGTGTATTGGTGGCCGGCAGCGCTTACATACCTAGTAATCACCACGGTGCCCGTGGCCCTATTGGATCCCTGGCTTCAGGCCAGATGATATGAGCGCAGACAAGGATTCAGCGCCACGCCCACCAGTCAGAGTGTGTTGCTCACTTCTTGACCTCCTTAACCTCCTTCTCCTCCTTGGCGTACTTGTGCCTAGAGTGGACAAAAGGCTCCAGCATAGGCATCCAGAAGTCCATCTTGCCGAGTGGCACGCCCTTCATGCGCAGGAGAGCGTAGGCGGTGGTGAGGTGAAAGTAGAGGTTCGGCGTTGTCCAGCCAAGCGCGAAACCCATAGCGTCGGTCACGACTATGTCCATTGGCGGGCGTGGGCTGAACTCGATGATCTTGTCCTCGACGCCCTCGAGGTCGCCGGGCTTGATCTTGCGCATCAGCTTGAGACCCTTATCGGCGCACGCGATCAGGTCATCCATAGTCTTGAGGTCCTTGTGGTCGCCCACCTCAGGCCGCTCTATCTCCAGCAGCAGCTTCTCGAGGCAGACAGATGCCGCCATGGCATACACTACCCAGATCTGGTATGTGAGAGGATACATATCCGCGTATAGGCGTGTTGTGACAAACGAGTCGGCCTCGGCCCCAGCGTGCTCCTTGGCCTTTTGGAAGATGGCCTTAAACGTCTCAAACGCCCGGATGTACGGGTCGATACCGAGTTGGTAGAGCGTGGGCGGCGCCATGATGTCGAGATGTCGAATTGTCGAATTGTTGTAGCTGGTGGCTGGTGTGATTTGTTGATATATAGTTCAGTCTGGGTGCCACTGATCAATCATGGAAAGTGTCCTCTCAATGAGACTCTTGGACCAGGTGCCTTAGGCTGCACTACCTCTTTGTCTCCGCAAACCACTCCTGGTTACACTCAACGGCTTATGCATCATCGTACAGAAGTTCCTTACAGCTCTACTCCGTAGTCGTAAGGAGACAGTTGGTTACTAGTAGACAACTAAATAAGCCCCGGCCCGCATGCAATTAAATTGTATAGTACTATTACGCTACATGCTATCACTTCTGTTTAAGATACAGAAGCATAAGGTCATAGAGAGAAATATTAACAAGTGCGCGCCTTGTATGAAACTGGTGTATCTTATTTTACTTAGTAACTGCTGTATTATAGCACTTTACAGCACTACTTAAGTACATAACTTTTCGTACAGTTAAATTAGGTATTACTATAGGTCCCGCTAGTGACAGGTCATCCCATAATACCCCGCTAGTTATATATAGGGAGGATCTGGTACCTTTGGCCACAGTATAATCGCTTAATTTATACTAGAGTGTTACGACCTGGTTCCTCGTAATAGTTAGATCCCTTATAAATAGCTGGTTCTGTCACATTAATTGCTACCATTGCGATTATTGGCCTAATCTTTTGCCCCATTTGGTTTAACGGTATGACAGATCGTTGCATAGGATAAAGCCTCTCTTAAACTATCCCTTATTCTTAATGCTAATACTCTTGTTCCACTCCTTAAAATAATTAGCAGAAGTCAAAGAATGATCTTTTATATATATAGTCGGTTTTTAAGTCTATGTTATACTCCTTGGTTATCTAATGGTTATTTATATATATAAATATATATATAATATTTATTAATAATATAATATTATAAATAAAAGTAGTTTTATTCAAAATTATTTATTTATTTAATAAAATATTAAGTAAAATGAAACTAATAAAATGAAATAATAAATAATTAATACACTTTACTTTTACTTACGTAATAGTAAAGCTAAATAGGCTAGGATTCGGTAGCCAGCAATTATACCAATTATAATACCAATCCATGTTCCTTGAAGTCCAGTACTAATACTAAACAGTTGAAGAACATCGGTACCTCGGAATCTTCCCTCGGAGTTCAAATTGCTCGGATACGCGCACTGGTACTGACCGGGTGAAGACTCGGCGCAGTCGTATTGGCGATATTGAAACTCATTGACCATCATTCCTTGGAAGACATAGGCCTGGTAGTCAATATAATGGAAAACATACTTCCAAAAAGGGTTTAAAATATTCATCGGCACCAAAAACCCATCAACGCACATCCAAAGACCATTAGCAAAAGCTGTAATAGCTAAAGCAACAACAAAAATATTAAAAACAGAGGAAATAAGAACAACAAGAGACTCCGCAGCCACTAAATCCAGAAAGAGCCATAAAACCCACATAAAAAAGGTCGATGCATCAGAGCGGAATCCAATAAGCCAATATACAACGACTGAAAAGAGTGTTGTAATAATAAAGAGAAATGGGAGGCCAATGATGAAGTTAGACGTCATAAATGCCAAAGGTCCAACCAGGCCATTAGCTCGCTCCTGCTTAAAGGTATTAACGTCTTCCAAAAAAGCTGGGACGTAGGCAACGGCCATAAAGGACATAAAAGCACTGCCGAAAAAAATAGCGTTAATATAGGGCTGCACATATTTTTGCTCTGTGCTGAATTGGAGAAAAACGGTGCCCATAAGGATAGCAAGACCAAGATACATGACGATACGGATACCGTATGCCATAATATCGCGGTATGACTTTATCCATGACCTATGAAGCAGCACCATCGGAACATTCCACGGACTGGGCCGTTCGACAGAGTAATGCAATGTATCTTTTGAAGCAGCTTCTCGAGATTTCTGTACGACGAGTTCAAGGCGCTTCTGACTCTCAGATGCAACCCAAGATTGACAGATCTGATCAGTTCGACGGCGAATCTCTCCGTCTTTATCCAGGTCTGTATTAATCAAGTCCAGGAAGAACTCGGCCGGGTTTGTCTCAGCAGGGATTGAGTGCCCGACGTTGGCAAAGTATGCAGTCGCGGCAGAGATCGGTCCAAAGTAACAGGTACGTCCTCCAGATAGAAGACAGAGTGAATCGAATTGCATAAATGTTGCCGACGACGGCTGGTGGATCGATGCCACAATTACTAGCTGCATGACGAAAGCAGTGCTTGATTAGCAACGATTGCGAAGTATACGTGAACTAGGGTTATTAAATATGACTTACATTGTGCCTGCGGCCAATATCCTTGATATAAGTGCAAACCTCAAGACTAAGAGCGGAGTCCAACCCGCTCGTCGGCTCGTCGAGAAAGAGAATCTTGGGATTTGTCACCAAGCGACTTGCAACTCCCAGCCGTTTCTTTTGACCTCCACTCAGACCCTTCTTCATAGTCGTGCCAACAATTGTGTGTGCCTGGGATTGCAAACCGAAGCTAGCGATCAGATCGTCAACACGCTGAAATGCTTCTCGTTTAGTCACGGTTCTGCAAATGTATGTTAGCGTCCACGGTTAACAAAATACAAGCCCTGGCAGTCGGCTCGCACAATTGTGCGGGCACATCAGGTGTTGACGCACGCTGGAAGTGAGAGGCGAGCCGCGAATATCATTGTTTCCCGAACCGTCAAGCTACCAATCAGAGCGTCTTCTTGCTCCACGTAACTAGACAAGTCTCGAATCGTTTGCAAGGATGCCTTGGAACCATTCAACAAGATATCCCCACAAGTTGTAGCTCCGGCAGCAGCCACCCGATGCGCTAGAGCATTAAGTAGAGTCGTCTTTCCGGAGCCGCTGGGCCCCATGATGGCAAGCACCTCTCCCGCTCTAACTATTCCGCACACCTTATCTAAGATGGACAGCTGACGGCCTGTTTGGTGGTCCTTGACAACGACGCTGAGGTTGTGCCATGCGAACGAAGAGACAATGTCATTGGCTAACACAGTACTTTGAATGCGGTTCATTTCCAGATCTGCGGCCGCATTGCCTTGGCCATCGTTGGGATGCATGATGTCTTGTGTAAATGATGCAATCACGCAAAGTATTATGATTCGAAAGAAGAAAAAAAAAAGTGCTGTAAAAATGCGTAGTGTGATGATCGGTTGTCAGAAGGTGTTTGGCAAGCGTTATGGCACATCCGGTCGGGGAGGAGGTGCGATTATATTATCTCGCAGGTATCAAAGGTTACGGCGACCGCTTTCACGCTGGGAGAGCCTATTTTAGGTTGTGAAACACAGCGGACAATCCACCGCGGACAATCCACCGCGGACATTTACAGCATGCGTCATTCTTGCTCACAAATGAGATTAAAAAAAAAGTATATTCAACTACGATATCGGCGACTCTGTGGGAACTTTGAGGCCCGTTAGCAATCCTTTAGGCTAGGGGCCACTCATTCCTCCGGACATCCACATGGCATCGCTGGTGGATTCCAAGATGCGGCGCTAGTCGCCGACCATAGGATGTGTAATAATGAACATTGAACTCTTGCAGCGCCAAGGTCGGCGACCCGGTGTATGTGTCAGCGTCGGACTTTCGCCACTGATTCTCTTTGTCCTAGGCCCTTGATGGGTGGATTGTTCTCGAACAGTGCCGTAGTTTTCCCTGTTCCCTAATCTAATGATGTTGGAGCAGCTTGTAAATCAACACATCTACAACCACACTGTAAACGAGCATATTCCTCCTCATATCAATGGTCTCCGTCTTCTCCTCACCACTCTTCGTCACGGAAAGAAAAAAAAAAAAGGAAGGAAAAGAAGGGGGATCTTGAGCTTTCATGAGGAAAACTAAAACGTAAAAAGAGAAAAATTATTGTCAACCTTGTCAGGCGAGCTTGCGGAATGGAAAGCTTTCTATCCATCCTGGATGATTATCCAGAAGTGTCGCATCTGAGCCCGACATTCTCTTGGGCCACGTCTCCAGTTGTCGACCAATCAATTAACCCCGAAACTACACCAGCAGATAACATCAAAGATAATCAAGCACCTGTCATCCCATACACGGAGACACAGAAAGATGCTCCCAGGTCGCTGGCTGTAAAGACCTGTCTGACATGTGTAGGTGCTTCAGCGAGATCCCTATGCTTCTTGTTATGGTTAATCCGCTCTGCTTGAGCAGCTGTATACTAAACCATGAAACAAAATATAGCGTCGCAGACATCTGAAATGCAGTGGATCAAATCCGTGTGCTCGATGCATCACCTCTCAAGTAGAATGCGTCTTCATTCCATCACAGCGAGGATACCACCGTCTGAGACGATCCACGGTTCAAGGCAAAGAACGGTTACCACTGGCAGGCACATCACAGCTGCAGTATCAACCTCCTTCGCCAGGACCTTCAGTGAATGCAGCTCGCGGCAATACGCCGAACCGCGATCAAGCCTCTGATAACGGAGTCGAGTCACATTCATTGTCGGCCAGTTCCCGGCTGAGCAAGCTATCGGCATACGATACGAGTGCGCTTCACAACCAGATTTCGCTGCCGCAGTTGACAATTATGGATGATTCGGACCGACCTTTAACTTCATTTTATTACCATGCATTTGCATCCAACCCGTTTGTCCTTCCACGTTGCCATCTCTCTCAAATTGACGACGCGAAGAGCTTGCATACCTTGGTTACAGCCATGAGGTGGGTGGGCTCTCTGTATATCAACGCATACGCCACTGTCCAAACCGATTTGTATAACGCCGCACATTCCTCTATATATGATGACCAGACGCCGCGTAACGGGTTTCTTGTCCAGGCCATGATGCTGCTTTTGGTGGCATTAGACGGCAGTTGCCAGCGGCGCGAAGCCCTCAGAATATTAAGTGATGTGGAGCTGCTTGCACTGGAGATTGGTTTACACAAACGCAACTTCGCAGCACTTCATGGAAGAGACTCTCGTATCCTAGAAGAGTCTTGGCGACGGACATGGTGGTACCTCTACATTGTGGATGGCATGATTGCGGGCATACATCGCGAAACCAGCTTTGCACTGTTTGACATCTCAACTGATGTGTTACTTCCTTGTGAGGAACACCAATATCTTTCCGGGGTGGGTGAAACAAATGAGACTCTTTATTATTCATTTTACTCAACAGTTTTTCAAAATTTATTATGGTCGAACTAACTGCTAGCTTTAGGAAATTCCAAAGCCGCTGTCTCTACAGGATCTGCAGGATAGAAATTTCGACGAAGACGAACACCAATTCTCGTCTTTTGCACAATTGATCATATGTGGTCAAAATCTCGGTAAATTTTTGCAGTTACCTCCTATATGTAAACCTGAGGACCCTAATGTAAAAGAGTTGGAATTGCTTCTTACGAGTTGGAGGCTGCATCTACCTCACTTCAAACGCCACATGTTACAGCAAGACGGTGAGCTGGACGAGATGATGTTTCAGGCATATATGATAACGCATGCCATACTCATACTCCTATACCAGCCATACTGTCGATTTAATACCACACCAGTCCAGGTAATCGACACCTGCGCGCCGGTCCAGCGGACCTTAAGCAGTGACTACATCGACTATTACACGATTGAGACGATTTCATCAGCCACCGCCATCAGTGCCATGATTGCACGAAGAGAGCCACTGCTCTCGCACACACACTTCTTTACATGTGCCCTCACGCTGTCGTCCATTGTTCATCTCAGCCACTGGGCACTGCTGTCGCCAGATGCTCGTGATTCTGCCTCACGGGAAAGCATTCGCTTGAACCTGGGCGCTTTAAAACTCCGCGCTAGTGTTTGGCCTGCTGCTGCCGAAGCGCAAGCACAGGTCGCTGCCGTAGCCAAGACGATCCATCGAATAAAAAAAACTGAATCCGCTGAATCCAATGTTTTAAATATTTTAATAAATAACAAAAGTATATAAAATAGCTTCATAATAAATAAATAAAAAATGCACAATAAACAAAGTCTAGCACTTATGAACTTTATTAATTTTAAATAAAATATAAAAAATAAAATAATATAATTGATTATTATAACTAAGGGTTAAAATAAAGTGAAATAATTAAATAAACTTTACTTACAGCTTTATAATATATATACTTCATATTATAATTTAATTTTAAAATTTATATTAATTTTTTTTTAAAAAAATTCCTTTATATTAATTTATATTAATACGCCATTCAAAGCTCCTCTCATACGAAAACAAGTCACACCAGCATCAAACTCCTTACGGAGAACATACATGCCGTCCCAATTTCATATAGTACTGAGAGTCGTAAACAGATTTTCTGAGTCACAGGTTCACACTTCGATATCCTTGTCATTTATGCGAAGCGTGAAGCCATATATTCCCCGCAATTTTGACTTGGCTAAGAACGGCATATCTGAGGATATTATCCACGTCTGCCACGCCATTTATGGAGACAAGGAGCGGATGCAAGGCCTTGGTTGCCACGTTTGAACACCAGGGGCGCATTGCCGCGTGGGTTAGCGGTGGTTAATTTTCCAGAACTCTTGCCTTTGCCGCTAAGTCTACTATTATGATGAATCTATAATTCTTGTGACAGAGTCTTGCTACTGTACTCTTTAGCTATAGTTCGCAGGAAGATAAGGTAATGCACAGGGGGCTGTCCTGTAGGTTGCCGACGATGCGTTAAATGTTTAAAAAGTGAAAAAACTATGGGCTAGGTGTGCTTGATGATGTAAGTAGACTAGCCAGTGTGTACGTGATAAGTTTTACAAGTATTACAGCAGAGACCGAAATAATTGTCCAGCTTTTTTTCTATTGAGCCTGTGGCTTATACAGTAGGAATAAGAATATAGCGACAAGTACTATTCTGGATTTCACTTCTGGCTTCAGTTCTGCTCCAAACCGCTGATACATTTGGTCGATACTCTGGAGGCAACCAATCCAGAGGCTTACTGTCTTTTAGAATCCATGTCTTATCAGAGCTTATGCCATAGTAGTATCTCGTGATAAGACTCCTGGTGGCATCTTTATAATGGATGCATTAATTCATAGGACGCATGATCGGTAATAAGACATAAGTTATCCGTTGCATCGAATTCTAGGTATTGTATAGACTGACTACGAGTCAAGGCGGCGCCATGAGACCAATGCGCGTGCGGACAGAACAGAGAAACGGTAGAGCACTTTCTCTTCAATACACGACAACGCAAAGAGGCAACATATCTTTCTACAATCAAAGCCAGTATTAAATTCGCAATCGCCACCGGTCGTCTCGACCCGAATTAGGGAGCCTGTTTGCTCCCTCATACACTAGCCTTTAACCGGCAGATTAAGTAGTTAGGTGGGTGACTATTGGCGAACACTGGCTGTTGTATATCTTTCCTTTTGCTTTTTTTGCTGTCTTTTTGTTCTACTTATAAACTTAAACACAATCACCCCGGTGATTAAGCATATACAACTATATCCATTAGATTGTATGAGTTCCCCTCCGAGAGGCAAATCAACCATCATCTATCAAGCCCTATTTTATACCATTCTCTGATTTAATCAGTTGTCCGTCACGCAAACGTATTCATATCAAAACCAAACACCTCATTCATATTTACATCGCCATCCAACAGACCATCCCAATAGGACATATCCATCGGCACATCCCAAAGCCCCTGATTCATCGTTTGGTTCACAGACATGTCATTGCTCCCCTCACCTTGTCCACCCAGGCTCGCCCCAGGAAAGGAGCTGTTCTCAATTAATTTTCTTACCTCGCAGGATAGCCGGTCAAATGCCACCCAGTGTGGAGTTACTGCCGTCCACTTTAGAGAAATGTCTTTAAGCATCTGGCGACAGTCGTCGAGAGCTTTGATGATGGAGCGGGGCTCCGGAATCTGATCTGTGGCTATAGAAGAAGCGGCGGCTTCATCTTGGCTGCTGAGAATGTTTGAGGTGTGGATTCCACAGTATAGAATCATGAATCCAGAGCGTAGTATATCTTGTATCCACGTCCTACAGAATTACAATTAGTTTCAGTCATCAAATTAAAACATATTCGACGCTTACCATAATGTCGTCTTGACACCCTTGGCCAACAGAGTCTGGTAAAGGAAGATGATTTGAACGGCTGGGTCCAAGCAGTGCCTGAGATATGCCACGTCAGGCCTAAATAAATGCGCCTCCTGGCCAGTCGGGACGACCAATGTAGAGAAAATAAAGAGCTTCTCTCGATAAAAGTTGACTTCCATGTACTCTTTTGTCAAAAAGATACATGGAGAATGGGAGACAGTACTCATCTCCTCGTGTAAGAGACGCCACTGTTCAAGCTCCGCATTGAGTTGAGTGGCGGCCTCTGCCTTGGCTTGAAAGCTAGCGTTTGTGCGTCTTTCGTAGAGCTGTTCGCGAACCTTTGTTGAGATTCTGCGCAGTTGAGCTTGTCGGATGAGCACAGCAACCTCGGCTCTATTAGGTATGCTCGTGTCAAGCCCCTTTTGCAAGTCATCCAGACAGACGTAATCGGGCATCTATGCTCATCTGTTAGCACGCAAGTACACGAAATGCCGTAAATCCCTGAGTACACCCACCTCAACGGTAATGTCACAGTCAGCAATGGCTATAGGCCTTCCCAGTCCACATGCAGCAAACCGCTCCTGAACGTAGCAGCACCAAAACAGCCGTCTCCGCCTTTGTTCAGTTACAGCATCAAGAGGCTTGGAGGGAGCTCTGTGGTATCCGAGCTGAATACATGTTCTCATAGCCTGCCTCGCTAGTTTCCACCTGCTGCCGACTGGATGAAAGATATGAGTCAGCATGGTGTCCAAGGCTTTTAGTTGTGTTACTTACTTCCAGTGGCGTGCTGATGAGCGAAAACGAGGAGTAGCAGGGTGTTTTGGATTTGAGTCTCGCCATCTGTGAGTGACAAGACCTCTTCGGCATACTGCATGGCGGAAGCATAGTAATGGATTGGAGATTTGCTTGATGATGGCCGCCTCGAATATGGCGAACCGACTGCAAAAATCATGAACAGCTGATACAAGTCGTTTTTTCTTTCAAGGGGGGATCCTGAGGAAGAGCGATTGTCATACAAACGCTCGATCTGCTCATAGGCCTGACTTTTACTCATAAAAGGAGAGACTCTTTGAAAGCCTATCTCAAAACTGAAGGTGTTATATTAGCAGGCTGACCATATTGTGCTTAAAGGAGTAAAAGTTGAAAGCTCACTAGGCATCAGTCAGATCGCAAGCCACAGAGAGAGGCGGCAGGTTGTCCTCATCGCTCAGAGAGATCTCAATGCCATCGGTTTGTTGCTGTAGCAGTGATCCCGCTTGGAATCCCATGCCTTGGGGGAAGTGCATAGACAGCGCTGCGGCTACCAGATGCCCAAGACTAGAAGAGGTCAGTCGGTCTAGTTGAAGACTTGATAAGCGAAAAACGGCCATTGACTCACCTAAAAATACTGCCGTCGGTGAATCTGGGAGTCCCTGTAGCCTTAGATGAAGACCCGGCAATAGATTTCACGTTTGGCGAGATGTCATGGCCTTGAAGCTCAACAGGAGTCGAGACATTCGGCGGTACGGCCTGTGAATATGGACTATTGGCCTTGGCTTGAAGATAGGCGGCTCGAAGATAGGCTGCTCGCGCCTTTAAGTCTTCAATGTATCTAATGAGAAATGAGCGATTACAGTTCTGTTATATGATATCCTGCGACCCCTATCTCACCCTCTCTCGTACTGCTCCCCAGAGATCGGATCAATCTCTATGCATGGGGTCTTTGCGCGGTCACAGTTGGCGCAGACTCGAGCATTTCTATCGCACTTGAAAGTGGTAATATTAGTTAAAACGTGCGGTAATCAGAATTCCAAAGAGCGAAAACAGAAAAAGAGGGCGAGTGCATTTTTGGCTGAACCAGCTCATTCTATTCCTTCATTACCTTGAGCTTCTTCGAACGACAATGGGCGCATGCGCCAGAAAAGTTGGTGAGTTGACGCGGCATGCTCAGAAGATGCCAACACTCTGGGGGCCTTGCATCTCCAACCCAGAAACCGGCGAGATTTCCTTTCAACGAACCGTCTGACGCGGATGTTGGTGATGCTGCTTCGGTGAACGCTGCTATCGCCGACCCTCGAGGTTACATCCGTATAATCACTTCCGAGCCGCTAACAGACCGACGGCGCTATTGAATGACTCCAAGTCCAGCATCAGTTGTGGGTGGCGTCTTGTCTAAACGCCTCGTCCATGCAGCACTTGGTGGAAACGCCCCAAACGAAACATTCGATGCGTTGTGCCAGAAACGTCTCTCCGAACAACGGAGGATTCCATCACAGAACAGCAATTGGCGAGATGGCCGAGTTGGTTATGGCGTCAGGTTAAGGCTACCTTAACAGCAATTCCTGGTGGAGCAATCCGCGTGGGTTCGAGTCCCACTCTCGTCAAGCATTTCTTTTTGCGTTTTTGATATCTTTTTGCCATGTCTACTTAACTTATGGCTTTGCTTTACGCCGAGGACCTGGCCAACATACGAGACTCTGAGGTCGCCTGCTCTTCTCTTCATCTCCGGGACTTCCTCTCCTTTTTACATGATTACCTTTTATCTATGAGCATTTTTGGCTATTTGGACCGCTTTTGAGAGCTTCTCCATACAACTAACCAAGAGGACCTATATGCCACCAAGCCAGAACAAGTGGATTCCAGAGATCCGGTTAATGGGAGGATGGGGTAGTTCTCGGAGTTGCGTCCGCATGAAAATTTGTTGTTGGCGGACAGCATTCCGAGACTTGCCTATTTAGGAAACTTTGGTGGATTAGCATCCTCCCCGAGTCCGATCTCGAGGTCTTGGAGAGACGTAAGAAAGGAACAAAAGGTTTCAAAAAGATATGAATCATAACAACATTGAGAAGTATGGTTTGAGTTCTTTTGGAAAAGCAAGATGCCGTTGTTGAGGTGACAGATGCAGTTTCAGCAGTGGTGATAGGCTTATATAGACAGACTAGACGCTGTCCTCCAACGAAGAACAAGCGTAATTGGTTTAGTGGTAAAATTCTCCGTTGCCATCCGAGCAACGTCGGGGAGCCCTGGGTTCGATTCCCAGATTACGCATTGAATTTCATTTTTTGATCATGTTCCTTTATTTTTTGGTTCCATTTCTGCTCCGAATCACCTAACCGATAAGGAGGTGGTTGGTCATTCGGTTTATCCGACTTGAAAGCTAGCAGTATCATCACTGAGTGGGTAGACAATGAGTTTGTAAATTCCAGCAGTATGTATTCGTCTGAGAGCATCTCATCAATTGGAGATGCTCATGTCAACGGACCTCAGAGCATTCCTACAGAATTCGTATAAATCACTTCCGTCAAGAAAGTCGATATTGTGTCGGTAGTCGACATCGGAAGATGTCATCTGCGTGAGTACCTTATCTACAAGCGCGCAGTGAGGGTATAAGCCTGGAAATTTAGTGCTGATAACGGACAAAATCATTTCAACCAAGGACAGAGTCTGAGAAATTTGGCTTATTCTCTGTTTTTCAGGTAACCCATCGCAAAGCAAAATTTGTAGCAGGCCAAGCTGGAATATGCTGTATCCTGTGATCCACGGCAGAGCGAACCATATGGTGACTGAGTTCTGAAGAACTGTCAAGTGGTCTTGCACCACTTTGCTCATGGCTTCAAATGCAGAGCCGGTTCCAGTCGACTTCCTTAGACTCTGAGTTGCAAGCTGGAGTCCAAGCACCCTTGGTAGATAAGATATCTCTCCTTTGCGGTTCAATCTCCTGCGATGTATGTATTCATTGTAGTACGATAGGTAGCCAGCAGCATCGTTTTGGGGGTTGTTGCAAAGCTCATATGCCCAGCTAAACATCTCCACAAGGGATAACCCTTTCTCCCCGGAGTCGGGAGTACAGATATCTGGAGGTTTGACTATGTATGCCTCCCAGCCGGAGGAGATGTCGCGATTTTGAATGCACATTGGCAATCCCAACGCCGAGCTAGTGCAACTGTTTAATCATGCAATGAGATGGTTAGCCTTGAAACCATAGAATGGGGGTGAATCATCTTACAAGTCAAGTACGTAAGCCGCCTGGAATAGCTTTATACCGTCTCCATCGGCCTCTGCTGTTACTCTCAATTCGGGTTGGAGCTGGTGATATCCCATAACAATGCAAGCTTGCATGGCAAGGTCCATTAGGTGCCACGAGCTGCCTGTACTGGGATCGAAGAGTGAACAAATAGTAAGAAGGAGGAGAATCTGCGCCGTGGTAGCCGATTCGTCATAAGAGTATTGGATTTCCATTGCGTGTATGAAATAGTCGGTCGAATTGAGGGTATCAAAGGCGGCTGATGAGTTTATTGGAAGAATGGCCCCAATTGAAAGGATAAGATAGTATATAACGCGGTCCCCAAGATCAGTTTGGCTGCCTACTGCGACTTTGTTTAGTGTGCTCCGAACTATATCTTCAGAGACAATAGGGAATGTCGGGTGGATGTAAGAGAAGTATTTGTTGGCGTAGGAGACTGCAACATTATTGTCCAAGTACTCGCTCAATGCATTTGATCTTGAGTAAACAGAGCTGCCATATGATGCTAATAGGCTCTTCTTTGGAGAGAGATCTAGTATACCACGAGGATCGCAGTTTGCCAGTCGAAGTGCTCTTTGAGTCATCTTTTGCAGGCTATAGAGTTCGCCGCGATAAAGTGATACAGTCTCAACTTCCCTGAGAACATCCAAATCAACAGTATCCATAGATTGCTCCCTGGAAGTTATTGATGGGATGGAGGCTTCAAAGTGCGCGGGAGTTGGATCAATCTGCTGTTGGAAGACGGCGGAGGTTGGATGGAGCTCCGCCGCAGTAGTCTGTAGCCGTGATAGCTGAGTTTCAAGGTTTGATATTTCCTTTTCAAGACTTTGAACGGCTCTACATGATTGATTAGCGTCTTACGGTAGCTTGATAGCGAGCTGTGATGCTGACCCTTCTTGTCCCTCCGTACTCTTGACGACTTGCATGACACATTCCAGACCTCGCCTCATGCACATACCGCAACGAGGGACTTGGCGATCACACTATAACGTATTCGTTATTGATAGAACAGAGACGGTAGGATAGGATAATGAATGGCTAACCTTCCTCTTCCTTTGTCTGCAATTCTGGCAGGCGAGACCACTGCGCGGAGAGCCCACGCTTTCAACAGACTCGTTCATTGTTGGTCACTTGGGGAAAGCTCGAAAATAAAGGATCGCTAGGGACAATATTGATCCTTGATGAGTTTGATGAGTGTGAGAAAGGAAGTCTCAGAAGAGTTGCTTTCATCCATCTGCCATTGCTGTGTAGGTCGTCACGAAGTGTCCAGGAAAGGGGAGGAACAAATTGTCAGTGTTTCAATCCAAAGGAGTCATGACCTGGATTTATCCATCCTGCCACAATATGACAGCTAGGCCTTTTCTCCCCTTCTCTCAGTCTGATGGGAGCAGAGTAAAATAGAGTAAAAGTTCTTGGGGAATTATAACGAACAAGCGATGATTTAAGTGTTAATGGGACAGCACTGACGCTGCAGTCCACTGGAGCCACCAATTTATCTCGGATCAAAGTCCGCCCCGATTAAGTGGCTTACCCTGGAAAGCGGATTCATTCCCGAGGGAGTCTGGGGGCTCGCTGAGCTTGGAATCGCAATTGCCTTTTATGATGCGTTCCCTCTGGTGATTTTGTGATTTTGCCTGTAGTTCATAAATCCAAAAGAATGTTCGCGCAAAACATTCGTATGTGTGCTATGCTATAAAGCAGATTAAGAGGAGAAACGCAGCTAACAATTCGATCATACTCCGTGCTCTTGCTAGATCGCCCGCTGTTGATCAGCATGATTGTAATTGAAACAGTATAACGTACCTAGGTATCTGCATTCACATCTCTTGTTACATCAGCTACCTAGTAGTAATATCTACTAAGATGCTCCCGTGACTTTTTTTTCTCCTTGTCCCTCAATTGCTCTGACAAAGCCAGATGAATATAGAATATTATTTGCTCTAGGGTAAATAAAGCTTGTAGTTCTAAGGCATGGGTCACTGAGCGTATTGTATTGGAGAAAGTTTGAATAGCTTATAAGTTCAAATAAATGCCACCTTCGCCACACCGGATCAACCGGATTCCGATCGGTTCCTTAGCTCAGTGGTTTAGAGCGAGAGATTGCAGTTTCGCGCAGTCATCTCTAGGTCGCGTGTTCGATTCACGCAGGAACCTCATTTCTTTTTGCCGTTTTCTGCAATTCTTTTTATTTTATTTTATTTTTCCTCCTCGCTTTCGCTCCTGCAATGCAATCAATCACTCCCGGTATTTACTTTACTACCTTCTTCATAGCCTGCCCTCCTCCCCTACCATGGCCTATTTAAGTTTAATGGCAAAGTGCTTTGGAGGTACAAGTAGACATAATCGCGAAGAGCGAGCAAACTCAAAACGGGACGGGACGTTGTGGCAGGGCAAAAAGCCCCGGAAACCTCCAAAACGACCTCGGCGCCTGGCGTGCAGTACTAAGTAGGCAAGTAGGCTATCTACCAAATTAACAGCCGACGGCATGTATCGGAATGCCACCGAGTCGTATGACAATTGCTGAGTGGCAACGCAATGATGATGGTGTTTCGCGACCAAAAGGCGAGCGAACTCATCCGTCTCGGCTCGCCCCAAACAATTGGGCTCTGGAGGTCCAATCAGAGCGCCCGGCAATGGCAGGAATGCGATACATCTCATGCAGGTCTCAGGCTAATGCTGATGGAAGCTGTCAGCGGGCGAGGCTGTTGTGACAAGTCCATATAGTTTGCATAGCATGTGAAGGGGGCTGCTTGGACGGAGTACCTAGCCATCTTCCAATGGCTTGGCTGTATGTGATGGTTTCCCTATCGCTGCATGCTGGCTGGGTACAAGCAAGTACTCGTACATGTGCTCTCCGCTTGCATCTCGTCGTAACATGTACTCGTACATTCATTCATATCAAATCGTACATCTGGCCCTATCTACCTAATCTGCAACGCTGCGCTGGAACACTGCGGCATTCCATTGATTCAATCCATCCGTCTCAGCAGCTCTGCCCAGCTGAGATGGCGCATGCCCGTCGTAGGTTTGGGCGGCGCAAAGGCTCAGCAGTTCCTCAGCCCGACGATGGTGGCGGCTCTCAACTTTGACAGCGCTGCTAACATGGCAAGCGAGCACCGGTGAAGCCTCTAAACCTCTAAACGGCGCCCTGTAATTCCTCCAGCCTTGGCAGTTTGGCAGCTTTTGTCCGCTAATTCTCCTCGCAGTGGAGTCCACACACCCCTAGCGCCTCAACGCCTGTAGCACGGCTGGCCTGCGACCTGTAATTTTCCGGACTTGGTAGTGACGTTACCCCTCCATCTCGACCAGACGTAGAACTCTCGCTCCACCATTGCCAAAGCCAGCGCCAGTCATTCTCCACGTCTGGCATTGATTGACCGCGCATCTGAGCGTTGAGAAACACAAATATCCATCATCCTTACCGAACCCTTGAGCAGCACATATAAACCCCCAGCGAGCGCCCAGCCTCTTCCCGCTGCCCGCCATGGCCCCCCGAGGCTTCGAGGATGAGGAGCTGACCATCTCCATGTCGTCCACCCACGTCCGCCGGCACCAGCCGCAGCCGCAGCAGGAAGACGTCGCGACGGCGCCCAAGAACATCGCGCGGGCCGATCAGCAGCCGCAGGAGAAGAAATCCAGGGCCGAGCAGCGCATCGGCGCCTACACCGTTGTCCGCACGCTGGGCGAGGGCTCCTTTGGCAAGGTCCGCCTGGCCATCCACAATGGCACCGGCCAGCAGGTTGCTCTCAAGATCATCACCCGCAAGAAGCTCATCAGCCGCGACATGGCCGGTCGAGTCGAGCGTGAGATCGAGTATCTCCAGCTGCTACGCCACCCGCATATCATCAAGCTGTATGTGACTTCCTCGCCCCTGGCCGCCAATTGTTGCTAATCTGCGTGTTCGTCGACTAGGTATACCGTCATAAAGACCCCGGCCGAAATCATCATGGTGCTTGAGTACGCCGGTGGCGAGCTGTTTGACTACATCGTCCAGAACGGCCGCATGAAGGAGGCAGAGGCCCGCCGTTTCTTCCAGCAGATGATATGTGCTGTCGAGTACTGCCATCGTCACAAGATTGTCCACCGAGACCTCAAGCCAGAGAACCTTTTACTGGATGAGAATCTCAATGTCAAGATTGCCGACTTTGGTCTGAGCAACATCATGACTGACGGCAACTTCCTCAAGACCAGCTGCGGTAGCCCCAACTACGCAGCCCCCGAGGTCATCGGCGGAAAGCTCTATGCCGGCTCTGAAGTGGACGTCTGGAGCTGCGGTGTCATTCTCTACGTCCTGCTCGTCGGCAGACTGCCCTTTGATGACGAGCACATTCCCAGCCTCTTTGCCAAAATCGCCAGGGGTACCTACAGCATGCCGCAATGGATGCCGGCTGGTGCAGCCGCCTTGATCAAGGGCATGCTGGTGGTCAATCCCGTCCAGCGTATGACCATTGACGAGATCAGGGCTGACCCGTGGTTCAACACCGACTTGCCCGCGTACTTGCAGCCTCCCGTCGAGGAGTTCTTCCATACTGGCGTTGATCCCAACAAAGCAATCCAGAAGAGCGACATTGCGCCCAATGCTCCCGAAAAGGTGCAAGAGAAGCTCCACAACGAAGTTACAGAAAAGATTAGCAAGACCATGGGCTACGGCAAGGACGATGTCGAGGAGGCTCTTCAATCTGAGGAGCCCTCAGCAATCAAGGATGCCTACATGATTGTCCGAGAAAACAAGCTCATGTTAGCAAATAGTGAGTCCACATCATTCATTCCCCATTAACCTGCCGCTTGTTTGTAACCAAGCCAGCCGGATACTAACTGCCTTCCAGATCCAGAATCTGGCCTCACTGGTGAGGAAGGCAGTCCTATGATGAGCATATCTTCTACCCGATCCGCCATTTCACCTGGAGGCACATCCCCACGTCCCTATGTCAACAAGGTCGGCATCCTGCCCAGCAGTCTCCCCGCATACCACAAAGATTACATGGAGAGGGAAAAGAATGGAATCGATCACGACCCTCAGCCCCCGGCTATAGCTATTAACGACGAGCTGCCCGCGACTCGCACTGAGGCCGAAAAGGAAGAGGCAGCACGTCGCCTAAATCCTCACGCACGCCCTCTACGCCTGGACGAATCCAGCAAACGCCCGCAAGGAATGACACCAATCACTACACCCGCTAAAAAGCCCAAGCCCGTGCGCTGGCAATTTGGCATCCGGTCTCGCAATGCGCCATGGGAGGCCCTCCTCTGTATTCACAAAGCTCTGCATAAGCTTGGCGCATCCCATCTCCGCGATGAGGGCTATGACGAGGCGCATGGCAGAGGGGACGACGCAGCAAGCCGCGACGGTAGCTTCGCAAACGGTGTTCCTTTAGCTCGCGAATCTAACCTCAATGATACTGATCCGACCAAGAGGTATAAACTGCCTGCAGATCCGTGGCACATCCAAGTTAGATGGCCATCAACAAGTGAGTCTCGATTGAACTTTCACCCCGCCATGCGATGTAACGTTGGACATTTGTCATCTAATGAATTGAACCCAATGACTAGGCATGCAAAAAGAGGCAGAGCGCCGAGAAGACCCCGAAATCAAGGGCGGATCTCCAGACAGCTTCCACGTCTACTCTCCCGAAGACCCGACGTCGCGCAAGGATTTCGTCGCTCTACACATGGACATTCAAATCTATGAGATGGAACAGGGGGTCTATCTTGTGGACTTCAAATGCTCTGGCTACGAAACCCAGGACGGAAGGCTGCTCGAGGAGAAGGAGGTTACCAGCCCGTTCCCCTTCTTGGATCGGGCGGCCAAGCTGATCATGCAGCTAGCCGAGGCCGACTAGGCTTGGCCCAGAATCGCTGCTTTTCTCGGCTTTCTTCCGTGGGAGAACTGGCTGGCTGGTGTCTCCAGAGGTGCTTTGGCTGTGTTCCAGAGACAACGGAGAGGACAACAGAGCGACCTCTAGACATAACCTTCGGGGCTCGTTGTCCTTTTATCCCATGCTGCTGAGCTTTTCTATGACCTCTTTTTTTTGTTCAAGGGAGACGTTTTCTAGGGGGCATGCAACATTAGGAATCAAACATTGATGCTCTGTTTACAGACGCCTCTTGTTTGCTCATCATTTCTTCACATCTTGGTTTTTGCTTCAAACATCCGTGATATTCTGGGTGGGCGTCATATGGTTAGACTGGGTGCGCAGCATTATTGTCCACGCCACGGGGAGCGAGGACGGATCGGTGGCTGGTGGCTGGTGACTTGACGATGATGATTCAACGTTCAGCGCCAATAGCATGCTGACTGCGGTTCAGGGATTTTTTTCAAGCCGTTTGCATTGCTGAATCTTTGGGAAACAGTATCGACTACAAGTACATATTTTTAATGTGTAACAAATTTTTTTTTAACTATGTTTCTGTAGTAGTCAATCTTTTGATCCCAAATCAGGTGTTACGTATTATCCAAGAAACTAAAACCAATTTACTCCTCTCATGCTCTGGAACAGGGTATAAAGATTGGCGGAAGGGGGGTGAAGGAATGGGGGGAGAGAAAATAGAGGTCCCTAATGGAATTGGTCCTCAGTGACTCCTTTACCCATGGCCGCCGTAGAGCTCACTCCACCAGTCACCATCTTTTGCAGCTCATCAACGTAGTTGGCACCGCTCCACTTCTGGTGCTTGACAACGTCGACGCCCTGCTCCATCTCGGGCTCCTGGACAAGCTCACCATACGCACGCATGCCATGGGAGGCGTATGCGCTGGCAAACTGGTGGCTGATGAGAGCGGTCGTGTGTAGACCAGCAAGGGTGATGAACTGCCAGCAGTAGCCCAGGCTTGCAAGTCGACGGATGTAAGTCTCCTGCTCGTCACGAGGCATGGCAGTCTTCCAGTTGAAAGAGGGTGAGAGGTTGTATGCGAGCCTATTGTAAATATTCGTTAGTTAAACAACTCAGAATTATAGAAAAGAGAGGGTAGAATTTACTTCTTCTCAGGCCAAACAGCGTGGACACCGTCGGCAAACTCCTTGGCTTGAGCATAATCGGGCAGTTTGCTCTCCATCCAGACAGCATCACAGAAGGGGCCGTAAGCAATAGCGCGGTTGATGGCGCAGTCACAGCCACCCTTCAGGCGGTAGTAGCCCTCTCGGGTTCGAGGAGCCTCCCAGTCGAAGAAGAGGTCCTTGCCAAGCAGACTCTTGGCGAGAGCACGAGCCTCGGCGTTGCTCTTGCCCTTGGCGCGAGCAAGGTAGTCACTCTTGACCTTGGCTGCGTTGGGGACAGAGCTGGCCTCAATGGCAGCAACAACGGCGTCATCAAATCGTTTCAGGCCAGCAGCGGCAATCCATTGGTCCTCAATGCGCTGAAGCTCATCACCAGTCTTTCCGCCCTGTTCGGCAGCGATCATAAGATCGTTCAAGGGCTGCAGGCTGGGGTTGGTAGAACCAAGGATGAAAGCATGGTCACGAGGATCAATTGTGGTGGTGATGAGAGTTGCAGCCTCGGCATCGGTACGGGCGACGGCGATCAAGTCGGAGCCCATGATATCGGCCTGCGCGCGAATAGCAACCAGACGGTTGATGTGCTCGCTAATGGGGACGAGCACCTTGCCGGCCATGTGGCCGCACTTCTTGGTGCCGGGAGCCTGGTCCTCAATATGGATACCAGCAGCACCCTTCTCAACAAAGAGCTTGGTGAGCTTCATGACGGCAGTCAGACCACCATGACCGGTATCAGCATCGGCAATGATGGGTCGCAGGTAGTCAATATTAGCCAGTTTGGCACGCTGAGCCTTGGGTACGCTCAAGCGTTCCTGGCGTTGCTTTCGATCATGGAAGAGCTGGGCCGTGAAGAGATGGCCGACTTTGTTGGGCACAGTGGTCTAAGAGGAAAGAAATCAGCTAAACCGGATCTTGTGCACATGTCTAGTGATCGAGGGTCTTACGTAGGGGTAGTCAGCCAAATCAGGGCCGGGCTCATCTGACGAAGAGGCGGTTGAAGATGATTGCCAGCCGGAGACATAGACGGTGTCGAGATACTTGGCCATCTGAGTGACCATTGTAGGCTCTAAGCAGCCATAGGTATAACTGGCATCTTTGTTCTACATCGTGTTAATAAATCGCCTTAGGGATATCACCATAGCAAGAATGATTTGCGTGACTCACCTGGAAACGGCCCTCCAGGATGTTCCATAGCTTCTTGGCCTGGGCATTGCTGGGATAGTCAATCTTAAGATGGCCTCTCTTAGAGACGATCTGCTCGGCGGTGAAGGGACGCTTGGTGTGCCTCCATCGTGAATCACGCCACCAATCCTTGACCTGCTGGACTTCTGCCAGGAAGAGGTCGTCCTCTTTGTCCGGGTTCACAGCCGGTGACACCATGTTGTTGGAAGCCATGATGGATGATGCAAGTGGTTACTACTTGTTAGACAAGGAATGGATCAAGCCAATTGAGTAGAGGATGAGGAAACAAGGAGATTCAGAGGACTAATCACCCAACCAAGTTGCTCCAGAAGAGGAAAAAATGATGCGGAAGAAAGATTTAAGAGGAGGAGGAAGAGGAACAAGTTTAAGTTTGAGCCGAGTCACAGGCCACGACCCGTGCTCTCACACAACCATCAAACGCGGCGTCCAGTCATGGCTCCGAGTCCAGCCACAGCAGCTGTCTCTCCCTTTCCCCCATTATAGTATCACCTCGGATCTTGGAGTCTGGCTCCCACGGCTGCCTCTCCACTCGCCTTCTGAGCGCCGGAATGGCCCGACACCTCAGCAAGGCCCAGCCACTTAAACGAGGCATGGGGAGTTGTAGCTCGGCACTCGTGAGGGCAACGACTCATATGCCAAACCCCCCTGCAGCTTAGACAGCGTGACGTGACCGAGCTTCACTGCTGCTAGGCGCAAAAAGCCACAGACGCTGCCAGAGTCCAGATGCGGCGCGGCTCCAGCTCGGCTCAAGGGGAGCTTCAATGGGCGACAGATCGATGGAGTGGGTTAGCCGTCATTGGCCGAGATGCCGACGAGGTCAGCCGTCGGCCCCGCGTTGTCGAGTGGCCTCCATGTGTCCGTACTTTGTGTATAACACCTGGATAGTTCCAGCCGGTAATGCGATTTGGAGAAATCTAGGGCATGCAGCGAGAGAGAGAAAAATCCCACTTATGCAGCTACATAGGCGGTTCTATTTCCTGCCTTCGTTTTCTTTTTTTCTCACTTCTCCGTCTCTCCTTCTTCCCTTCAACGACGCCTCTCCTGCCAAACCATGCGACGCCCAGTCGTACCTTCTTTCCGGCTGGCTTTAAGTGGCGAATCTCTCCACAGCACGCTCAAATCGGCAACTCACCAGCCAATCCACTTTCCCCACGGCCCACCGGAACTCGTTTTTGCATGTGAAGTGACGCATCTAGATTCTACTCTACGGAGTACGTCCAAGTGAGATGCTCCAGCTGATAAGTGCTTATCCGTATATTGGAATGTGCAGTTGAATCGTGATGGTGCTGAAGGAAAATAACTGATTCTGGCCGTCAATACAAAAACTATCAAGAAATGGCCAAACTGCTCTCCATACATCATTACTGTGAATGTTCAATCACAGGCGTGTCTTCAAGCAAGTGTTCCAAGTACGGAACAAGTCGTGTTGCATGGAAATGAAGGAGAGCACACTCGGAGCAGACTCGGCAAAATGATCAACCGCGATATCACCGACCCAGTCTTGCACCAGCAACCCGCAGGCTGGTGCAATTGATGGCAGATATGACTCCTACAGTCCGAGTTTACACGAGCCCAACTATCATCCATCCTACTACGAGAGCCTACCAAGACCATAATCACATGGAATTACATTTACACGCGCGCGAATGAGCTGCATGATCACCCCCCTCATAACGTGTTCGTGGCTACTATACGAGTAATCGGCTAGGTACTATCAATACACGGCATCTACTAGGTATGTCAGACTAAAGGCGTTTCAAACAACGTCATTTTATTGCTTGCTTTCTGTTTTACTTCTTATGTGTTCCAATTGACCCATAGGCTGCCAGGACAGCTCTCACGATGTTTTCTAAGTCAGCGTATCTGTCTCCGCAAGCCCGATTACTTCATATTCCCTTTTCAGCCTTGGCGGCGCATGGGTGGCATTCTTGTAGCCGCGCATCGTGTCGTCTCGGGACAACCACCGCTTCGGTATTGGCCTCCGCAGTCCAGGATGTCACGTCAGAGTCAGGTTGGCCAGGGCTCGTTCGTTGTTCAGCTCAATCGCCTTGATAAACGTTTCGTACGGAGTCAACGTTCCCAGTGCTCGTCGCATATGCGCATTCACAATCTGGAGTCCGTACACATAACTGGCATTGACCCATCCGAACCTATCGCGCCTTTACGTTAGCATCTCACAATAGTATCCAGCAGGGGTAGGTAATGCTCACCCTTCCTTCGCAACGCCCTTAAAGTCTAGGCCTTGGTTTCCATACTCGGCATCAACACGATGAGGGTCAACCGGACGCGTGACATCGTACTTTTCAACCACCACTCCGTTGAAGTCGACAAACGCCTTGGTGATCATGAATAACCATTTATAGGCGAGGCGCTCAGCTTCTTCGGTGAAGCTGTACCGAAGCAGGCCAGTCCAGGCCAGCATCTGCTGCGGGGCCCAGCCGTATGGGTAATCCCACTGCCGGTTGGGGCGTTCCAATCCAATCTCGCCCCGAGACTTCTCCGTTCCAGCCACTACACCACCAAACATCTCGAACCTAGGCAAGCCCTTCTTCACCAAATCGGCTGCCTGTTTGGGCGTTGCAATTCCAGCCCAGAGCGCCCACAAAGTAGTGGCAGTCTCATACGTGCACCTCTGTCTCTTGGCTGTGTCGTAGTCAAAGAACATGCCCTCCTCTTCGTTCCACATCAGCTTGTCCATTGTTAACTTTCTGCGCTTGGCACGTCGGTCCCACACTGCTGAAGACACTGCCTCGCCGGGCTGGTATGGCGTTCCCTGGCAGAACTCGGCTGGAATGACCAACTTATCGCCAAATAGGCTTCGAATGGTCCGTCCGATATCTGTCTCGTACTTGAACAATAGAGAGTTTAGGTCGATAGTGGCGAGATCAGCACAGACGCCCTCCAGGCGGTATGATGTATCATGGCCAGATTCGCGGACGGCACGGTCATGCAAAAAGTACTCGTCAAGCTCAGGCTCTTTGATCTCACCGTAGTTGTAAGCTCGAACAAAGTCCTGGAACTCCATCTTGTGCTTCTCAATGTAAGGCTTCAAGATGTGGACGAAGTGGGTGGCCTCCGTTTCGGGAGGCACTCCTAGACCCTCTGGTCGGTACCTTGAGAGGCCAGTTACCGGATCCAATCGAGGCTCGCTGGTCCAGACACTGTGATACTCTTTGATGGCTGCGAGGATGGCTCGTCTCAAAAACTCCTTGGAATCCGGCTCATGCTTGATCTTCTCGTATACTCGAAGAGCCATGTCCGTCAGGAAAGGAGGCTGAGATCGGCCAAGATAGTAGGATCGAGTGGCATTGAGAATCTTGCCATAGTGCTCGATGCAGAAGCAAAAGTTGAGCACCATAGCCTTGGCTAGGTCGACCCTTTCATGGATCAACAAGCCGAGAGACTCCATGTAGCTATCCCAGCCATAGAGTTCGTTGAAGCGGCCACCAGGGACGACAAAGGGAAGCCCCTTTAAGCTTGTCGTCTTGTTACCTAGTTCATCTTCCTCTTCCACCTTCTCCACAGCCACAGCCAGCAGACCCGGCTTGTCGTTCATGTCACGAATCAATTCCGGCGTGATCTTTTCTGGCAGCTGCTGAACGTCAAGTCGGAGCTCTGGCCTGTCAGCAGCAACCTTTTGATAGTACTCGTACTGCTCAGGTGCTCCAATGGGAACATAGATTCTCGGGCGAGGGTCGTCTGTCCAGTCCTTAGGGTCACGAGCAGCAATCTCGATACTAGATGCGTCTATGCGCCTGGTAAGACCATCCCAGAAATGGTCTCGGATCAGACGGGACAAACGATCAACAGGGTTCTCGTTCAAGCGGCCTTCATCGAGGATGATTTGCTTGCGTCCATACTCCTTGGCCAATGTCAACTCCTGTAGGAGATTCGACAGCATGTACGTTCCTCGAACTTCGAATCGATTGTGGCCAGCTGAGGCAGCTGTTCTCAGGGAAATGACTTTGGGGCCATTATCCTCAATCGTGATTTGCATATTTCCATCAGTGTCCTCCTGGTTCTTTAGGATTTCCAACGTGGCATCAACTTGAACGAGGAATCGGCGACCCGTCTCCATGGTGCTCTCATCTACACAAATATAGTTAAAAATCTTGCATCCCACTTCCCCATTGATATGGGAAGAGACGACTAACCGTGGCTTCCACGCCTGAACGGCTCTTGTGCCCCCATCCGCTCCAGCTGCTTCACCAAGCTGTTCTATAGCAAGCTCCATTAGTTTTTTTTCCCTCTCATTCTTCTCTAGTATTGATTAAGGACCTACCTGCGAGTAGGTTCGAGTTCGGACTCCATAACGGTTGCTGTGCCGCTCCTCGGACGCATAGTACGTCTTTGCATCATCGTAAACCCCGTACTCCTCAGAACCGCGAGAGCGGTGGCCAGAAGTGCCTTGCATGTGGAATATGTATGTGCTGAACGCTTATCGAATCGGCTGGATTGGCTTGGATGTGACGATGGAGGCTATCAGGGTATCAATTAGGACGGTGGTGGTGTCGTGATGGACCAGTAGAAGAAGGGTCGGAGAACCGCAGCAGCTCTGGTCCAACAGTTCCGGGGGATGATAAATAACTTGAGGGCTCTGGAGGTGACACCGATGGCCGGTCTGGAGAAGTCAGCAAACAGGAATGCAAAGTACAGGCTACTCCGGCTCGCATCGCATCAGGGGGGTCACGAGCGTGGGCAAGCTCCCATCTCCGTCACCACCTTTCCAGTTACTGCAATGACCACCACTACAGCTTGCATGGACCCTGCGGGGCAGAAATTTGGGCGGCCAAGGGGCGAAGCTGGACGTACCGGTACGTGGCGGCAGGGCCTGAGCTTGCGCGGCGGCGAGGTAGCTGTAGGTATCGGCAACGGGGCGATCTGGTAGAGGGCAAACGACTGATAGGAATAATGATACAACTGGACCAAGGGCTGATGTCGAGGAGCCTTGATCGACGGAGGGGAAAAGGCAGAGGATGTTGCATCAACCCGACGCTGCTGCCAAACCAGTTACGCAGCTGTGGGTTTGAGCTGCTTGCTGCTCAACTCAATTCGTTCACCGCCCACCCCACTGTGGCACCTGCACGGGATGCGTGCACATACAAACAAGTCATTGGAAGGTGACGATATGACGCATGTTGCTGTGCCGGCCAACAAGGGCCCGCTGATAGCGACATCGAGATGTCTGGCGTCTGCTAGAGCCCCCCACGTTTCGGCCCCTACAGGGCGCTGCCCCCTTTCGCAAGTGAGGAATTTACAGGGCTTGCAGCGCCCTAAGGGTCCCCCTCATTACAGTAGCACCCGACATCAATTACGGAGTACAGGTCAGCGGTCCTGCCGGGATTGATGACACTCCGTAAATTGCCATTCATGGCCGTTCTGAAGCCCGCTAGAACATCAAATCTATCCACTGCGGTCCACCGTTTGCGGCAACACAACACGAGCTAGCCTTGAAATCTTATGGATTGAAGCGATTGCCAAGGACCAAGAGCTGGGAGCCTTGAGCCTTTTGTGAGTATTTGGTACCTGTGCGTAGTGCGAATGACTGACAAAATTACATGTAAACACCACTTAGCGTCCTTGTACTCCCACGACATCCCGCTCAGGGGCTTGCACCGGACTTGCGTTCCCCCATCCTTCCGCCCTCCTTTGCACAAGGATTCCAAGACCGAAAGGGAAAAAAGGGGGGGGACGAAGCCGAAAACACGGGCCTCACAGGTACTGTCTACTTCGTACAAGACGGGCTGTTACACGTTATGCTTACGATGCTCATACACTCATACAGCGCATCACGCTCAGCATCAGCCCCCTTGCATCTGGTGATGGCCTCCTGCGCTCGAATGTTTCCACCAAATGTTGCCCTTGGGCCTGCTTGGACTCGTGCCACATCAGCCTACATCTACACCGACTGCGCGTCGTACCCGTACATGAGGCGTCTATATGTTGTCAGCTCAATGTGTCCGGTTACGCTGGCTCAGATTTTAGAGGCCCAAAGTATGACCAACTGTATACATGCAAGATAGGTGGTGTACTTGTATGAAAGTAATGGTGGAATCAAGAGTCAGATCCAATCTCACCGATGTTACCTCATTACCAAGGTACAGGTACTGTTGCCGCCTACCTAGTTCCCCGAAGACATCGATGAGTGGTCTGATCGTCGCACCAACGCTCTGTGCCTAGTAGTTCACTGCCTCAAAGAATCATCCGGTACGAAGTAGGCTATCAAATATCAAGACCGGAAGGCTCATTCAGTCAAACACCTACGGCCAACCGCTTTACAACTAAAACTCTTTTTGCTCACAAGACGTACACAAAGTTCAACTTACGTTATAGTATTAATACTTGGTAGACTATCAGAGCCCCTTGTAGAGTCAAACCAAAAAGCCAAAAGTATGATAAACGAAAGACAGAACTGCCGTTCGGGGTATCCCTCGTTAAATGTGTTGAGATAAATGAAGAAGAAGAAAAACGCCAAAAATGGTATCTCATGAACAATAACCTCAACGTGCAGCGTTGTCAGTCGCTGTTTGCTGCTGAGTCGTCTTTGGTCTCGCAGCCAAGCGGCTTCTCCGTTTTGCAGCGGTTTCCGCATCCCACAGACCAGCAAAAACAGCCTCGCACTCGTCCTCATCCGAAGAGTCAAACTCGATTTCACTGTGCTCTTCACCATCGTCATCGTCTTTGCTAATTTTGTCTTCTTTCTCCTCCACTTCATGTATGAGCTCCTGGCCCTCAGAAATGGGGGTGTCTTCCCAGCTCCGGTGTGTCACCACCCGTTCCGTCTCCAGAATAAACTTGCCCACCTTGTACTTTTGTGATTCCTCCTTGGCATCCACGTACTTCCAGCCAAGCTTGCGCGAGCATATCCCGCAGCAGATATCCGCCACCACGTGCCACCCCGTAACAAGCTGTCTGTTCTCGTTCTTGCCGATGCGGATATTCAGCAGCGCTGAGTCTGCTGGAGGGGGCGAGATTAGATACGCTCGGCCGTAGCGACCAGTGAATCCCTTGGAAATGATTTGCGACGTGAAGGCTATGTCCGTTGCACAGCTTGAGCAGCGCAGCGTATCCGCCGCCGTTCGAGAGAGCCGTCGGGGCTCTGCTGAGCTTCTCAGGCTGTTGAATGCCGAATCGCCATCTGGGGGAGAGCCGTCCGGCGTGGTCACTGCCGACGAGGCGCCATCACTACGGCTGCTAGACGGTTCCGACCCCGTTGATGCTGTTGACGATGTCGACGACGTAGAGTGGCGGCGATGCCCAGGAAAGGCGAATTTGAAGCTCGGTAGAAGGTAGCTGGGAAATATCGGCTTGGTCGCCGAGATGCCGCTCTCTCGCACCATGGCCCGAATGTCTTCCTCGAAAAAGAAAGCCTCCCAAATACCTCCCGCCATATAGCAAGTGGTAAGTCCAAGAAGGTGAAAGAGATGAGGTGTTCAGAGGAAGAAACGGTCAGAGTAGAGGAATAAGGAATCCCGGCCCAGATGAGGTGCCACCGCAGAGCTTCCCTGGTGGCTTGACCCGACCGCCGACCGCCCAAACTCTCCCTGTCTTGGAGCTCACCTGCTGCTCGTTTATGCGCAAGTATCTGGCGAGTACCGCTATTGATTTGATCGATCAACCACCAACCCCGCAGACAACTTAAGTACTATCCATGCCTTAGTACATGTCAGGTATTCCCTCCTTTCTGTTGCACTGGCGAAGCAGCCAGGTAGATACATATAGGTACCCAACTTCGGATTCATACGTCAGTGCGGTATATGTAAGATGCCTCCAGTCTCCTTCAAAGCTATTTGCTCCTATTATCACAAAGTATCGCCATGCTCTTGCTTGCAATATCGCGTAATTCCCGCTCTACATGTATTCCCTCGCAATGACACACGCAGCCTAAAACTCCCCAGACACCTGGCAAGACCTGGATAGAGCAACTAATACTGCTTGAGTTGCTGAACCGTCCGCCCGCCCGCGATTGAGGGTCATGGGGCGTCAAAATGCCCTTTAGTGATTAGCGGCCAGCCGCAGCGCCGGTACTTGTCTCTGACTTGCTTGCAATCGATCCATCAAAGTGATCCATCCATGCGCGATTGTCCATTAATTGGGCCGCTAGCCGGAAACCGCGGCCGCACGGATGGGGAGGGGCCACTAACAAGAGGAATAGGCGATGAGGCCCGATCGAGATTATTCAAATATTTTCATACTTATCTGATTGGTATTAGTGCACATAAATAAATGAAGACGCCTGTAGAAACCATTTGTGTTATTTCAAGTATTCGTTGGCAACGTCAGTCGCTGCCTCTTCAATCTTTGGAGGATTTGGAAACAAGGGATAATCCAAATATTACAACTTATGACGTAAGTGTACAGAGAGCAGAAGAGAGTGGCAGAGCCGGCAAATTTTCACATAGATTGCGACCTTCATGCGCAGTATCAACATCCTATGGTTTCGTAATGTACACGCTTTTGATTACAATGCCTCTTGATATCTTTGTTTATTCATTTCTTCTTGATTTAGTTCTGGGGCTCCTCGGCGACGTAGTGCAGGTAAGCACCCAGCAGCTTAATGCCCTCAATGTAGTTGCGCTTGTCAAGCTTCTCGTTGATGGAGTGGGCGCCATCTGTTGAGCTTCCCATGGGCAGCAGCAAGACGTTCTTGCCAGTGGCCTCCTCAAAGGTAAGGGTGACGGGGATACTGCAGGATGATGTTAGTACTCTGTAGCGATAGTAGGATAGGGAGGAGAGGGCCAGTGGGAGGGAACATGGAAAAGATAACTCACCTTCCACCCTCACGAGTGAAGTCGGGCTCGACACCCCAGACACGCTCAACGGCCTTGGCAGCCGCGGAAAAGTTCCAGTGCTTTGGTGAGGCAACCCACCACTTTCCGGTGTGCTGGGCATAAACCTTCATGGAGTTCTTGCTGCCAAGCTTGGCAAACTGCTCCTCAACATACTTGTAGACAACGGCATTGGTGGTGTCAATGTCCATGTCGGGAACAGTTCGGATGGAGAACTTGCCAACGACCTTGGCGGGGATAACAGTCTTAGCACCAGGAGCAGAGAAAGCACCCTCGATACCGTGAAGTGAGAGAGACGGGTATCTCCAGCGAGCCATCAGAGTGGGCTTGGTCTCATCGTGGATGGTGGTGGTGCTGCCCAGAGACTCATGCAGGTTCTCCATGGTGAAAGCAATGCTTTGGTAGAGCTTCTCCTCATCCGCAGTCACGGGGGCAACCTGCTCCGCGATGCCGGGGATCTGGATGTTGCCCTTGGAGTCAACAAGGGTGCCCATGACGCGAACAAGATCGGTCATGGGTTCGTGGGCCTGTCCGCCAAACACACCGCTGTGCAAGTCGGCACCAGGGCCAGAAACCTCGATGGAGTAGTAGTTGCAGCCTCGGAGACCATAAGTCAAGCAGGGCTTCTCGGTTCCAAGCCAGTAGTTGTCCGAAATGCAGACGGCATCGGCATCGGCGAAGAACTTCTTAGCCTCAGCCTTGATCAGATCATCAAGACCCTCGGATCCATACTCCTCCATACCCTCAAAGCACATCAACAGGTTGACGGGGAAATCAACGCCAGCCTTCTGGTGGGCCTCGATGGCGTTGAGCCAACCCAGGACAGGTCCCTTGTCGTCGGTCGAGCCACGACCGAACATGCGGCCCTTGTCGTCGACCGTGAGCTCAAAGGGTTCGGTTGCCCATCCGTCGCTCTTCTCGGCGGGCTGGACATCGTAGTGGCCGTACACCAGGATTGTTCGCTTGTTCTTGTCGTTTCCATATCGTCCGAGGACAACGGGAGGCAGGTCAAGGTGCTCCTTGTGAGGCTGCTTGCCGAGCGGGCGCAGTTCGACCTCAGCACCCAAGGCCTTCAGCTCGTCAGCCAGGAAGTGGCCCATGCGGACGACATCAGGTCGGCGGGCATCCTCAGCGGAGACGGAGGGGATGGCGACAGCCTTGCGCAGACGCTCGATGAAGACATCGGTAGAGCTGTCAACCTGCTTAAAGAAGCTGTCGAGTTGAGGCGCCATCTTTCTAGCTTGGTGAGCACGGATCGAGTCGGTGAGATACGGTCGAAACGAGGGAGTCGCTATTCGAGGACTCTGTACGAATTGGGAAGAGAAAGGCTTTATCCTCGTCCAGATTTGTCGAGGGCAGCGGAGAGAAGTCATGAAGAAAGATGGTGCGGGGCATGTCGCCCTACCTCTTGCCGCGCGAAGATACACGCACTCTGCTGCAGAAGCTTCACGCGGCGGGGCATATTGGAGGGGAACTTTTTTTGGCGAGCCGGTTACCAACGGCCGCAGCTGAAGATACGACGGAGGTACGGCAGGAGTACTTACTCCAAGCAGCTACCTTGATGTCTCAGCCCCCAGATTGTGTGGGCAGAGACGCAACAAAGCTTGGTGCCAGAAGTACCACTCAGGTCACCCTTGTCTTTCCCTTATCGCTCCTTAGCCTTCTCCAGCACGGAGTTTCGGCACGTGAGCACTCGGCGCTGGGGGAAAGTTTTGCCGGTAATAGCAAACGCTACTAGCAGGAATCTGCCGGTGCGAAAAGTGGCCTGCGCTCACTATCAATACGCGCGCCTCCCATTAATAATGGACTAACGGTCCCCAGTCCTCCGCTTCTCTTTTTTTCTCCTCACTTCTCCCTGTTTGCATCACCGATCCATCGTCCTCCCATCGAAGCCACCACCGAACCATCGACGATTTGCGCACAGGTGATTGCTCGCTCGCCGTCTATTGATTTTCATCGCGCTGCGCAGCGACTTCGGCGGGTTCAAAGCTCTCGCAGTCACTGTTGACGTGATCGATCCGGTAGAACCGTCCACGTAGCCCAGCCATTTGGCGGCCTCTCGCCCGAAACGACGCTCATACCTTGTGCCTTTTTTCTTTTCTTTTCTTCCCAGCGAATAAATCCTCATTTATTTGCTTCGTCTTCATTTCTTTTTTTGGAGTTTGCTGGCCTGTCTGACGGAGGTTCCAGAGACGGCTAACAATTGGTTGTTTATTTGCTGGTGCATAGGCTGGTCTGTTATGGTGATCAGGAAGTGAGGGGGAACTCTAGGGTTGTCTTTCCTTCTGGCTTACTGCCGCTTGTACTCCATTTACTCATCATACCCATTTGCCCTGTTGTCTTTGTCTTTCTTCCAATTACCATCAGAATTGATTATTTTGAGTTCATCTTGAGTTGAGACAGCACCCAGGTGCAGAACCAAGAAGAGAAGAAGAATCAAAACAAGAAAAAAAGTTCGCTAGCAGCAAGAAAAAATCAATACTCACTTCGTCATTGTTTTATGGCTGAGGTCTTCCGACGTATTTACTTTACAGATATATAGCCCCTTCGGTCTTACTTTTGACGAGTCTAACGTCCTTGACATCTCTTATTTTATTTTTGCAATTTGCATTTTGTTGCCCGTAACCCCAAGAAAGAAAACCGCCCTCTTCAGCAACAATGTCTTCCTCGGTGTTCTTCAAGTTCAAGTCGCAGAAGGAGCCCACTAGAGTGGAATTTGACGGCACAGGTATCTCAGTCTTTGAACTCAAGCGTGAGATCATCAACAAGAGCGGATTGGGTGACGGCACGGATTTCGACCTTTATATTTACACAGACGACAACAGTGAAGGTGAGTCTCAGCAGACAAGAACCCATCTCTTGGTCTCAGGTGCTAACTTAGGATTACGCAGAGTACGATGATGATACCACAATTGTTCCCAGATCGACGACGGTGATTGCTCGGCGACAGCCGGCCGTGAAGCCTGGCGCTGGACGAGCCGCTCGATATGTCTCAGGCAAAATGCCCGTAGCGGCCAAGAATGCCGGCCGAAAGGAACAGTTGACAAAGGTCTCGGCCACCAAGCCAAATACGAATGCTTTTAGCCAGATGAACGATGCCATGACGGAGGAAGATCGAATGGCCGCTATGTTTGCTGCCCAAACGGAGCAGTGGTCAGCCCAACAAGAAGAGTTGTCTCAGTAAGTTGCTTTTTTTTATTTTACTACCGTTCTTTCGTCTGCTGCAATCAAGTTGCTAACCATCCAAACAGCCAAGCACCGGTACCTTTCGGCAAGCCTGGCTCCAAGCGGCCGGCGAATGTTCCAGACCATGACCCTCCCAACGGGTACATTTGCTATCGATGCGGAAACAAGGGCCATTGGATCCAACTGTGCCCAACCAACGATGATCCCGATTTTGACAACCGACCTCGTGTCAAGCGCACAACAGGCATTCCTCGTTCATTTCTGCAAAAGGTGGATAAGTCTGTCATTTTAGCTCAATCGGAAGGTGATGAAACCAAACGGCCCTCAGGAATCATGGTCAACGCTGAGGGAGACTTTGTCATTGCTGAGCCAGACAAGGCATCTTGGGAGCAATTCCAAGCCAAGGCCAAGTCCTCTTCCGCCGCGGCCAAGACGGCGCAGGCGGAGGACAAGGAAATGCAAGAGCGTGGTCTCGAATGTTCAATTGACAAGAAGATGTTCATAGAGCCAATGAAAACCCCGTGCTGCCAGAAGACGTTTTGCAATGACTGCATAACCAATGCACTCATCGAAAGCGACTTCGTCTGCCCTGCTTGTCAGACTGAAGGTGTGCTAATAGATGATCTCCAGCCTGATGAAGAAGTGTCAAAGAAGATTCAAGAGTATATTAAGGAAAAGGAAGCTGCCAAGGTCACTCCCCCGTCGTCACCAAAGGGCAACTCGGAAGAAGTGCCAGGCACCTCGGAGAATGATCAAGCTAAAGACGCAGCAAATAAAGAAGAAACTGGAGCAGACGCTGCAGAGGACAAGACGAGGCGAAAGAGCATCGAGTCTTCAGAGCAGAAACCCAACTCACCAGCTACAGAATCAGTCGCTTCGGCATCCAAGTCCCCCTCAGCCGAGTCAAAGAGTCTCGTTCCCAGCTCTCAGGCTGCAGATGGCAAGACCGAAATAGTCAAGGCAGAAGATGCCGTTTCGAAGAAGAGGCCCGCTGAAGACTTCCTAGAGAATCCCAAGATACCCAAAGGACCCCGCGCCATGCAGAACCAACAGTCGCAAAACATGATGAACGGCAACATGATGAACGGCATGCCCAACATGGGTATGAATAACATGATGTTTAATGGAGGCATGGGCATGATGCCGAACATGATGGGCATGGGCGGCATGGGAATGAATATGGGCATGAACATGGGCATGAACATGGGCATGCCTATGCCTATGCCTATGATGAACATGCCCATGATGGGTATGCAGGGCTTCAACAACATGAATGGGGGATACGGAAATATGAATGGGGGAGGATATGGTATGAACAACATGAACGGCATGAACAATATGAACAACATGAATGGCGGTGGCATGAACAGCAACTGGGGCATGAACAATATGGGTGGGATGAATGGGATGAATGCCATGGGCGGAATGAGTGGTGGCATGAACGGCATGAACGGCGCAGGCATGATGAACGGCTTCCAAAATGGCGGCAACTTCACGCAAGGAGCCGGCGAAGACGATGCCTATTTCCGAAAGCCTGTCAACCCCCATCGACACCAGAACAAGCAACGCAGAGTCCGGCCAAGCGATTACCGAGAGCTTTGAGCGTGGCAGAGAGAGAAGTTGTTATGACAATATCTACTACAAACTTGCATTCGACGGCCATCCGGAATGGCTTCAGGTCGAAACTCGGAGCAAGGGAGGCATTTTTTCTCTTTCGGTTTCTTTCAACGACTACGTTTAATACTGGCTGCACTGCGTGCTTTATAACGCAAACACATCAAAAAGAAGAAAAAAATCGACCCCAATCGCATTTAGCAGGCACGCACTTACAACACAATACAATGGATGAACAGGAAGGAAATACCACACAATATTTGGGGGGTGACCCTCATATCAGAGCTCAGTTTGGCTTGGATTAGGCGTTTGTTTTTTTTTTTTTTGTTTTTCTCCTCGCTTTTTTTACTTTCGACTGTGTCGTTTGACTCTCTACGCATGTTTTCTTTTTTTTTCCCCTTCTAGGATGACAGCCATGGATGGCAAAGAGGAGAAACGGCTCAACGTCCTTTTTATTTGTTGTCCCCTCTTTTTGGGGAGAATGCACTGGTACGCTGTGCAGCATGTATGGTGTTTTCGAGCGAGAATAGCTGGGAGGTTGTATTACGGAAAACGAGATGAGGTATTGACGAAAGCGCATTTGGGACTTTGGTAGGATAGGAGCCAACAGCTTCGAGAAAACGGGAGCTTCAATTTAAGAAACGAACTTGATAAACTTTTGTTGCCCGAATCCAGTGAATGAATCCAGTGAATAAAGCATGTGAATGAGTATTGGGGATGCCCGATATTGAAACAAGGTTCTTGTCTGTTTATTGTGGTTGACTACATACAAACATACATATGTAACAGAAAAATCACCCACCCATATTACTAACTGGAAGCAACTATAATCTATTTCAGGGAGAATATCTAGACGCATACATGACCCATAAAGTAAGCGTTGCTCGTACATGAAATTGGTTTCTCTTTTCAATAATTTTTTTTCTTTTTAAATCTATTATTTCTCTCTCCTCACAAACCCCTCTTCTCCCTTACTGGGGCGGAACATATGGCTTGACCAGCATCTCGCTAAACTTCTCCAGCTTCTCCTTTCCTCGCACCTCCTCCACCAGCAGGGGCATCTTGACGACGTTGAAGTCCTCGGAGTAGAGCTCCTCGTACTGGTCGAGGTACTTGCGCTGCATCTTCCTACGAGCGTTGCACTGCTCGCACTCGCTCTCCTTCTTGGGGAACAGCAGCTGGTTGACGACGATGCTGTGGGTGTCGATGCCATAGTTTGCCAGCTCCTGGATCATGCGCTCCGTCTCGTAGAGACTGAGAAACTCGGCGATGCAGACGCACACAAAGGTGGTGAGCTCGGCGTCCTTGAACTGGGTGTTGACCTCTGAGATTGTGCCGCGGAGGGACTCGAGCTTCTCCATCATCTCGCCGAGGTTCTGGCCGTTGGGCAGGGCACCGTTGGAGCCGAGGAAGCCGTTGAGGAGCGGGCCGTACTGGGAGGAGAGCTGGGAGACCTTTGCGAGAGCCTTTTCGAGGACCGAGGGGAACTGGAGGAAGCGGAGGGTGTGGCCCGTGGGGGCGGTGTCGAAGATGATGGTTTCGTACGAGAGGGACTTGACCTGCTTGAGGACTTCGGCAAAGGACATGGCTTCGTCGATACCGGGGATCTATAGGGGTGTAACCAGATGGCAATAGATTAGTTTATGTTCGTATATATCTTACACAAGTCGGAGAGGCAAGGAGACAACGTACGGCAAAGGCAAGATCCTGCATCATGCCTCCAATCCCCCCGCTCATGGCGTTGAGATCCTCGGCGCTCTCGCCCTGGCCGGCCAGCAGGTCCTGCATGCTGCCATTGGGGTCAATCTCCATGGCGCTCAGGTTGTCGAAGCCGTTGATGAGGCGGGCCTCCTTGCCGAACTTTTGGTTGAAGGCATCGGACAGGTTGTGGGCGGGATCGGTGCTGATGAGCAGGACGGAGCGGCGGACCTTGGCCAGCTGGATGGCCAGGGAGCACGACGTCGTGGTCTTGCCGACGCCTCCCTTGCCGCCAACGAAGATCCAGCGGAGGGAGCGCTGGTCGAGGAGAGTCTGGAGAGACGGCTCGAGGGCGTCTTCGTCGATGACTGCGGCCATGGTGGAGAGAGACGCGGGGGGGGGTTCGAAGAAGGCGACGGGAATGTGAAGAAGAGTAAAAATAGAAAATGGACACGCAAGGAAGAGGCCGCAGCAGAAGAGAGAAGCAGCAGGTACGAGAAAGAGGCGAGGCTGGCAGTGACGCGGTTACGAGGCTACAGGGCAGGACAAAAAAAAAGGGTTCCGAGGGGGGCGTTTCGAAGGCGGAAGAGTCCCATGGAGGGGCAATTCGCGGACCAAAAGCCCAAAGGTGGCGGCCATGTGGTGAGAAGCCACCGGCGTATTTTGGCCCCCGATTAGGAGACGCGATGCGGTCATGCATTTCTGATTGTTTCTGTTTTGTCTGTGTCTCTCGATGCTAAAAAGGAGAAAGTGCGGCGGCTGTGACGACATGCCGCACACAATGGACGGTTTGTCGCATTGCCATTGCATCGTATCGTATCATGTCATATCGTGTTCGTGGCTTGGCCGGGCTGGCGACTTGAAATCGATATGGAGATCAGAGCACCTGTCACTTTCATCTCCCAGATACAGATACAGAACAGCCGCCGTCCGCTAAACAGCAGCGCTCTGCAGGCGGCCACCTCCACTAACGGCACCCGGCGCACAGCGTGGCTGAGCCGCCCACTGATTGGATGCCCGGCCAAGTTCAACATTGAAAGTCCTACACTATTAGGTTGCTACCGTATCTTAGTACGGAGTATTGCTGTGGTATTGTAGAGATTGTTGACTCCAGCCTGCATCGACTAACATCAAACCTGCAGCAACCACAGCTTCAAGAATAGAAACAACTCCAGCCTTGGGCCTGCCGTTGTCTCGTCACAGTCCTTTGTCGTCTCGTGTTGCATGAGTTGAGTGCATATAAGAGAAGCAAAGATCCTCCCCCCTTTTTGCTGCCTTTCGTGCTCTGCTTCTTCTCCATCTAGTTGGGGGGATTCACACTCACTTCCTGAGGCCGCATCTCATTCAGCTCTACCCCACCATCTTGCAACCCATCATCCATCTCATCCCACTTTCACAAATATACACCTGCACCTGCACCTGCATCTGCATCTGCACTTGCATCTACAATCTACAATCTACAATCTTCCAGAAAAGACAGGATCCTATCTTGAAAAACACCACAGTCCCGCATCATGGCCAGCAAAGACCGCATCACCTGCCACGTCCTCGACACCACCGCCGGCCGCCCCGCAAAGGGTCTCCGCGTCCGCCTCGAAGGCCCCGGCTCCAACTCCAGCAACTCCCACCACTCCGCCGTCAAGACCTTCGAGTCTCTCACCAACGACGACGGCCGCATCACCGTGTGGCTGCCCTACAGCTCCGAGACCTCGTCCGGCGAGGTGCCCGTCTACACCCTCGAGGACGTCTTGGGCTCTGTCCAGGGCGCCTCGCGGTGGACGCTGCGTTTCGACACCGCCGGCTACTTTGGCGAGGAGAATACCTTCTTCCCGGAGGCTACGATTGTGTTTCGTGTTGAGCAGGGTCAGCACTATCATGTGCCGCTGTTGCTGAGTCCCTACAGCTACACCACTTACCGAGGAAGCTAAAGGCGGGAAAGGAGGACAACGGGGCTTCACAGCCACAGTCGTTTCACAGTCTTCCTACAGGTATACCTGCTCTTCTATCCCTGTTTCTGATAGATGAAACCTCAATAAACATAGAGAGATATACCCCTTTGGTTCGATAAAAACACCATAGCAGCGATGATAATGAAAACATGCTAATAGTGGCAATGTCAACACTGTCACTTTTTTTTTTATTACACATCAGCTACTGCAGTTCCTTATGTGCCATGTCGTTAGTTCACAAAACAGATGCAAAGCAGTATACTTGTCGCCAAGTTAAAGACAGATTCCCTTCTCTTGAAGGGAAGACCAACAGTAATATCCATGATTTCAAGACAAAGGCCGTGTCGTCCATCTGTTGTCTTGTTTCCAATTTCAAGCCCGCCCCAAACTCCGTCGCTTATAGATTAAGATGAAAAATATGTTATAAAGCAAAACACAAAAGAGAGTCGTAACTTCGTTTCCATCTTTTTTCTTCCCCTTTTTTCTTCCAGTGTCCAAGAGAATCAAGAAAAATGTATGATGCATGTCGCCCAGCGGGCACGTTTGTCAAAAGGCGGTATGTACTTGTATATGGCCCGCTGTTCAGTCTCGGTCTTCACCTCGAGAGCGTCGCCACTTGCCGAACCGGTGGGTCTTCTTGGGGCTGTGGCCTACGGTGTCTGGTGAAGATGGCGGTGTCTCGTCTTCCTTCTTGGTCGATTCCGCACTCTCGCTGCCGCTCTTGGATTGAAAGCTGGAAGTCGAAGGACTCGTCAGCTTAGGGGCTAGGGCTGCCTCTCCGACCTGGAGGCTGCTGCTGGAGCGTGATAGCGACAGTGACAAGACACTGCTGACGAGTTCGGTTTGCGGGCCAATGATTCCATGCATCAGGGTTCGCCTGTTCTTGTGTCGGTGTAAGAACGAGAGTCGCTTTCTCTTGAGAGCATGGTCGCCAGCCAGGTCATCGTGTGAGATGCAAGCGTTTGGTGAGAGGTCGGCGTCAGGGTGGGGGAGAGTAGTATTGCTAACTTCAGAGAGAGAGAGAGAATGTTAGTTGAATGATGAGTAAAGATGAGAGAACCTTAGTATAGGAAAGGTTTAATCTGCTCACATTGATCAAAGGGTTCTGGAAAGCCAGTATCCCGGCTCAGACGACGGGATTTCCGAGATGTCGACTGAGAAGCCATGATGGTGAGATGTTGGATGAGATTATCGAAAGGACAACCAAGATACAGAGAAAAAAGAAAAAAGAAATCCCGGAGAAGACAGAATCAAATAGAAAAGGAGACAGGAGAGGAATAAAAATAGGGCAAGCTGGATGGGCCTGACGGAAAACAGATACCCGAATGACAGCAAGGTGCGTGGCCTTGTAAGAGGGAGTCCAGCAGAGTTTGGTGGCTGGTGAGTGAGCGCCCCGCTGCAGATGCGTTGGATGTATATGTAAAGCCAAGGCACAGTAAGGTATGCTACTTTGTATGCGTAATGGGAGGGCGGCGGGGGCCAGGTTCTTCTTAAAGGCCTCGGTGAGATCTAATCGTCAAAGAAGGCTTTGAATGCTTCGGGAAAGTCGAATGAATCCCTTCATTTGAACAAGGATCGCTCTGATAGTGCTTCAAAGGAGCCGAACCGCCCGGGTCTAGGGTGTGGGAAATTCAGCGAGATGAGGGCGGCTACTCTCAGGTTATAAAGCAAATAAGTCGGTAGCGCCAAGGTAGGGACAGGCATGAGTACAGATACTTTGCAGGCCCCGTTAGTCTGTATATGTAGCAGCAGTCCAGGCGCTGCATGCATGCAGGCGATGAATCGGTTGAATTGCTAGCTAGTGAGCACTTTGTTGTTGAGGAGGCAGCTGATTCCACCACGGCTCAGAGGGCCCGAGACGCTACTAACCAAACAATCCCCGGAAGCCGTCGCCCTCGCCGATGGCTCGGAAATCCTAATGGTGCCTTGAGACTGGAGAGCTAGCATATGTCATTGCCAGCCCAGCACGGAGATTTGGAACTTCAGCATGCTCGTGCTGTGGGGGCTTTCGCTTTCCATCAATGGGATTCGCCTTGCCAGTGGAAGATCGTCTTTGCCCTGTCGATGGGAGAGCATATTCGCCGCGTTGCAGCCTTCTGGGCTGGTCATGGGCTGCAGCCTGATGACTACTAGGTACCCAGCAGTGCTCGTTTTCACAACACACGGTCGCTGGCCCTGCTGAGCGCAAGCGTCAGACACAGCTTGTCCTGTCCTATCCAGTCCTGCCAAATCTGTGCCGAGTGTGGGCGGCAAACAGGGGGTCGTCAGATGGGGCTCTGCTTGGCTTGGAGGCACTTTGACGGTCAGTCTCGTCGATTTGCTGCGCCTCGCCCTTGGGTGGAGATGGGGGTGGGTGAGTATACCAGCCAAGACAAAGAAAAGCTGGGGACTCTGTACATACAGTAGGCGAGAAACAACAAGTCCTGGCTCTTGGATTAGCGGCAACCAGAGACTCGAGCCAAGCAAATCGCGTGATGGCAATGGGTAGCCTTTGAGGTCTGTTTGCTTGAGCGTAGTCAGTAGCACGTGTAACCCATAGTCTCCCACTAACATCGCCAAAGAGTGGATGGACAGCTAGTGTTTGCTCTGTATTAGCAAAGCAGCCCATCATCGATGGCTGGATTGATGGATGGATGGCAGCACGAATATAGAAACGAAGAATCGGAGGGAATTGTGTTTCATGTAATACTACTACCTAATCATCAGCTTGGGTCAGAGAATGACGTCCGCTTGTACTCCGTAGGTACAAAATGCAGAATGTACTCGTACTCGTATGTACGAGTACTGCCCAGAGCGCTGATCGCACCTTCCTCGATACGTCCTTCCAAGACCTGTATGTCTCACACATACATACTGGTACATGGCCATTTTGTCCAGTAGGCGGTCAAGCATCTGATCATGACCATCGATAGTTCGCTACAAAGGCAGGGAAAGGTATCCATATCACTTAACAACACCTAACAAGACACACCGCTTACAACCTGAACAACTCAGCGACAAAGCATTGTCTCTGTACTGTACAAAGCACTTGTTCAAGGGATCTGATCTGATCTTATGCTGCCAGCCACCACTGTTCTCGTATGGCAAACTCTAAGTACTGCAAGTCTGGGGCAGGGCAATGGATGGTGACAAACGGTGCGGCAAAGGCGACAACCCGTAGCACAGCTTGGTTGGTCGATGATCTACTGATGCACTATACTCGGCTCTTTCCCGTGAGTCTTGGCATTTTCAACGACAGCCGGACTCAATTGCAAAACTGTTGCAGTGCTAAGTTTTAGAGGCGGCAACGCTCTGTCCTGAGCTACCATACGCGTTCCGCACAGGGACATCAGGAGCTAATCATGGAAAAGACGGCACAGTTGCTCAAACGACGCCACGCAAGCTGGCAACGAATTGGAATCGCCCCTACAAAGTTCGGCGCATCAGGACGATGCGGAGGAGCGGCTGCTGCCACGGCCGGGCTTTCAGCCTATCAACAGCCGTTATGGGGTCGAGACGAACCAGACACGCGCGGAGTTTCGAGACCGGGCGGCCTGGACCACTCAGTGGAGGGTGAGGTGCATAGCCTGTCTAGATCAAGGCGGCACAGGTTCGACAGGCTGGCAACTGGAATCCGAGACGTCGTAAGTCCGACAACATGCCATCATGACAAACACCTACGGAGGAAATATGACGGCGATGAGGAGCCTTTAATAGAATAAACGCAGCATTCGCCTCTCCGGGGCTCGGCGCTGTCGTCAGCCGTCCTTCAGCCGTTGAAGGAATTGGCCACATCGGATATGCGTGCCGGACCGGCATACCTGTTCTCATTTCCTCAAGTACCAGCCAAAGGGGACGAACGGCACACGCCCTCGCTGGTTTCCCAACAGATGGGGGCCATGTCTTGTCTCATCTGCATCATGGGGTATAACGCAGACATTACTGTGCTCTGTACTGCTAATCGCACTAGTGTTGCCTACAACAAGAGCATAGGGAAGCTGAGAGTTGAGGTCGGCTGAACCCCTTGACCATCCTCGAGATTGTCTGACCATGCTTTGCACGGCTTACTCAGGATTCACATGTACGAGTACACCTGGATGTACCTCGTATGGCGACCGTACTTGATGTGCACAGGTACATTTGAACCCATTGCAACAAAATTTTCATGACCTGAACATCCCTGTACATCTGAACGATGTGCGATGTGCATGTGCATATTGACGACCAGTCTGGCTTCTCGGCTTCGTCCCCAGCTTTACTCAATTGGGCCGCATAAGCATGTCTCGCAGCCGCAGCCAGCCAACCATGACGCCTGGCGTCACTAGCTCCAGCTGCGCAGACAACCACAAGACAAAAGGGCAGACAAGTTCTGAGACATGTACAAACAAGAACTGTACAAGGTGCATCCGACGGTGGTTGGGTCGCTACCTCCGCTCTCCAGCGAGCAGTAACTTGGACTGCATGAAGCCCCAGGTCCCCTCCGCCTTGATACATGAGCGACTTGCCGCTAGCATCTGGCGGTGACGAAACTAATCGTTATACGCACACGAATGGCTCTTATTCACAGGGAAATAGCATCAATGAGCAGGACAGGGTTGAGAGAGGAACAGGAGAAGCTAAGGCATATGCGAAGGGCCGATCCAACGATACCCGGCTGCGATGACGATTGATCTTCTCGTGGAAGACGGCATCAGCTTGCATCGGTTGATGGGCTCCGCACTTGGATGAAGAGCCCATGTGGTGTTCCACCGACGGAGATACTATTGAAAATCACTCATCCTCGTAGCCGATGCTAATCCAGCTTGTCCATGTGCTGGCTTAACGCTTGGCAAGTCATACCCATGAGTAGGGGAAACATGGTCGTTTTCACTGGCTGTTGATCAGAATTTACCGCTTGGGGCTCGCACCCATAGCTCGACAGTGATGGACGGTTCCGATATTAGTTCGGTCCATCTATACACTATTGCTCGTCGCTCCAAATTCTAGAATATTGGAGACACGCCTGTGACAGCTATTGGTAAGTCATGCGCTAGATTGGCTCCCACGGAGATGTTGTACAAGTAGAAGCGAGATGGAGTGGTCAGGCTATCCTTCATGCCATGCTCCTCCCTGGCCTCCTTTCTTCCCGCAACTTGGGAAATCAGTTGTGGCCATCGAAATAACATCGGCGAAATGATGGTCGTTGGAGGCCTTACAGAGTAAGGAGAATGAAGAAGCAGTAGATCGGAACGCTGCTTGAAGCGAGCAACAGTGTTGGCTTACCTAGTGCTTCTATGGGTAATACGCCGTCATAATTCTGCAGCGCATGGACTCCATCTCATCTTAAAATGAATTAACACTAATCACATAACTATACCTGGCTATGCCTTACGGGGGTAATTATTGGCCGATGCGCGTCATCTCGCAAACACACATACCACGCGCATAGAAAAGTTGGAAAGAAGGGAAAAAAGAAAAGAAGAATGCCAGCCTCATCGACGACTCTCCTCAGCTACTCCCAAGCGTTGCAATGCCCGCCTACCCTAGAGCGTGCCAAATGCCAGGTACTTGTTGATAGGTAGATCACGGACATGGAAAGTCCGGATCCTTGCTGACGAAGCAATGCACCGCCACCCTCACACACAGCCTTGGCGAACTCGTAATGGGCACTTCAGCCACAGCCATGAGCACTCTCACTCAAAGTCCCCGTGTCGAGGACATTCAAACAAACCCCTTGGAACACAGACTCCGTCAATCACCATCTTGTAATCGCCAGCCTCTCCTCGATATCCGCGCATTGTTGTTCCTGTCGAACTCGCCGACATGTCCGACTCACCGCGGGGAGGTCATACTGACTCCATCGACTCCCACGACTCGGCCCCGAACAAGCCGGACAAGAAGAAGAGCCGCCGCCCTGCGAGTGAGTGCTCGACGATGCCTCTGGATGCGCTGCTGGGACACGCCGGATTGCTGACCATGAGATCCTCATAGACACGGCCTTTCGACAACAGCGACTCAAAGCCTGGCAGTAGGTTTTCCGCACGATGCAACGGCGCAAAGGCCCGGGTCTTCGGGATGCTGACAGCCTCGCAGGCCAATTCTTACTCCAAAGACAGTCCTGCCTCTCTTCTTCGCCATCGGCATCATATTCGCTCCAATCGGTGGCTTGCTGTTATACGCCAGTTCCCAGGTATGTCCGGAGATGCTGTCTTTGGTTTTGTGTCTCTGTTCGCGTACTGGCACTGACAGAGTGCCCATGTTTTAGGTGCAAGAGATTCGCCTGGATTACACCCGCTGCACGCTCGATGCTCCGGACTTCAACAACGGCAAGGGCTTCGGCTCCATGCCCAGCAGCGACATAGAGACCCAATTCAAGAGCTCCAACTCGTCGATCGACGCGCAATGGGCCGTCCAGTCCGGCATCAACATCACAGTCAACACGGGCGTCAAGGTGCCTGGCCAGCGATGCTATTTGAGATTCAACATCCCCGAGAGCATGGGCCCGCCGGTCCTGTTCTACTACCAGCTCACCAACTTTTACCAAAACCATCGTCGATACGCTGATTCGTTCGATGTCGAACAGCTCAAGGGAACCAACCGCTCGTATGGCGACATCCACGGCTCAAAATGCACCCCTCTGTATGGTGACACCGTCGACGGCGTCAAGAAGCCGTACTATCCGTGCGGACTTATTGCCAACTCCATGTTCAACGACTCCTTCACCAGCCCTGAGCTGTTGAACCCCCCCGGAGGCCGTGGCAACGAGACCCAGACATACCTCATGGCCAACAACACCAACATCGCCTGGAGCAGTGACAGAGACCTGTACAACCCAACCAAGCAGGCGCCGAGCGACCTCTTGCCGCCCCCCAACTGGGCTCTGCGTTATCCAAACGGCTATACTGAGGCCAACCCTCCACCCAACCTCAAGGAGTGGGAGGCGTTCCAGGTCTGGATGCGCACTGCCGGCTTGCCGACTTTCAGCAAGCTCTACCAGCGCAATGACACCGTAGCGATGGCTGAGGGACGCTACCAAATCGTTATTGATGACTGTACGTGACGTATCATTGAGTACAATACTTACTACCTGGTGTGCTAACTATGATATGACAGTTTTCCCCACAATCGAGTATAGAGGCAAGAAGTCCATCATCATCACCACTCGCACCGTTGTGGGCGGTCGCAACAACTTCCTGGGCATCGCCTACATTGTTGTTGCTGGTCTGTGCATTGTTCTCGGTGTCGTCTTCCTCGCATCTCATCTTATCAAGCCAAGGTACGTCTATTCTGCTTTACTCCCATACACTTTCTCTTCTAACGCGCCAACCATCAGGAAACTCGGTGACCACACCTACCTGTCGTGGAACAACGTCCCTACATCCAAGCCCGGCGGCAGCACTGCCATGGCCTCGGGCCGCGAGATCCGTCCCGGCGAGGCTTAGGCTACTCGCGACAGCTCCCGCGCCGTGCTCGGCATGGCCTCGATGCCTTCTGGTGGTGGCTCCAGCTCTCGCATCTTCCTGGGGCCCATGAGCCCGAGGTTTCACAGCAAATTATATGACCGATTGGGCCATTCGCCTGCATAGAATCAAAAGAGAAAAAAAAAGAAGTCAAAAGCAGCGGGGACAATGTGGCGCTGTAGAGAGATAAAGGGTGCTCTACGCCCACCCCTCTCTTTTGTTATAATGCGCTTTTATCGATGTAATGCCTTGTTTGTTCTCCCGTGCGCTGGCTGGCTTTTGTTTAACCCTGTTCTCGTTTCTTGTTATCCCTTTTTGTTTTGTTTTTTTGGGTTGTCCAGGCCAGGTTGAACTTTGCCTTATTCTTACTATCCACGTTCTTTTTTTCTAGCTTACAAAACAAGGAGGATGATAAAACTCTGAAAGAGAAGAGGGGGGAGGCTATCAAAGACACGAAGTTTGCGAGAGGGAAGCAGAATTTGGGGGAAAACTTTGGGTGAGGTTTTTCCTACCCTCTCGATAAATTCGCTAGGGGGAGGTTTTTGCCTGTCGGAGTTGAGGAGTTTGAAACCGTTGTTTTTATTTTTATCACACATTTTTTAAAGTTTTGTTTCCCCTCCAGTGTCCTGTGCTTCTTGTTTTTTAAATGCTGGGAAGGGGCTATTGATAGAAAAATGTAGCATCTTTGTTACCAACTCAGCAGATCTAAACTCCAAACCTCTCCTTTCTCAAGTGAACCAACATGCGATTTAGTACGGCAAACGTAAACACGATTAAATTGTGAATTGCAAAGACACCCCTTTCATTCAGACCACTTCAGCTAAAGCCTACAAGAGCCATCACTACAATCATTTTCATTCTACAAAAGCCATCACAACAAGCATCTTCATTATGCGCCATCTCAAATCTGAGAAAACAAAAATCATGAAGAAAAAAGAAGCCAAAAACAGGCCATTACACAGCCGCATCAGCACTGAATTTTTTTAATACAAGTTCCAGTATTTAAAACATTCTGCCCAAAATAAACTGAAAAAAAAACAAAGCCCTATTCACTCCCCTATTTAACGGTTCGGCTTCGAGCCACTTCGTCTGAATTCGTATCCCTTGCCTGTCCAATTTATCGCTTGCGTGTTGCCTTCTTTCCACCACGGCCTTCATCGTCGTTGAGGCCACTCTCGCGGTCGCGCTTCCTGGCCTTCTTCTCTAACTCATCCCAATCCTCGCCTTCATCCTCACTATCGACGTCGGCATCTTCATCATCGTCATCATCGCTGGCGTTGCTTCCAAAGTCGGAATCTTCCTCGCTGGACTCGGACGCTTCATCCATCTCCTCGTCGTCCATCTCGAAAGCCGATTCCTCCTCGGACTCATCTTCAGCGCCGGAATCGTCCGAGTCGGCCTGCAGGAACGACCAACCGCCATCCACGAAGAACTGGTGGGTATCTTGGTTAACCGTCTTCATGATTGTCGGCCAGTTGAGGTTAAGAGGACCCTCAGTAAAGGCAATGTCTGAAGAATCTAGAAAGTCCTTGACCTGATCAAGGAATTCGACGGGAATGGTGTTGATGTGATATGGAGCACGCGTAAAGTCTTTGAAGACGAACACCATGTCAAAGTTCTTCAAACCGAACTGGACACGCTCTAGATGGGCGACTTCAATGTCTTCAATGGTGATGACCATGAATGGGGGCTCAACAACCTGAATGAGACAGTCCGTAGTTGGCTGAATGAAGACGTTACTGCGGAAAGGCACGCCGTTGAATCCAAGGTCTCGGATGGGCATGTCCACCTCGATATTCTCACTGCGACCGGCCTCAGCAATCTTCTGGGCGAAGCCCTGGAATAGCCTGTCCAGTTCGGCACGACGGCGGCGCTCTTCTTGTTCAGCCTCGAACTCGTCTTCATCTCCATAGCGGTACTTTCGCTTTCTATTGCCAGTCTCGTCAAACTGGATGTCGGTTGCTTCACGGTAGAACTGCACATCCTTGGTCTTCTTCTTGTTGCCCACAATAATGGGGTCTTTCAGATGAATGTGGATGATGACAATCAACTCGTGCTGACAGGGCTGGAAGAAGAGATGCTTGACGTTTGAGAAGAGAATATCCACGCGATGCTGGGCATTGAGAGGGGACTGGTATCGGATACCATTCTGGTGTATCTCGACCTTTCCAGGCACTCTCTTGCCTTCCATAGCTGGTCGGATATACACGTTGTCCAAAACAGCCGGGCGACGGTCTTGGCGCCATAAGTTAGTATCCATCATTCACGAGTTGGCACTTCCGGTAGCAGAAATTTTGAACTTACTTCTGATTTCCGCCAGCTTGTCTTGCTCCACCACATCTTCCATGTCCTTCTTCTCTTGCTCCTTCTTGACGACGTCGCGCTTCAGGTTCGAGATCTGAGTAGCTATCTCACTATATCTGTCTCCGTCGAGCGATCTGAATGTTAAGCTGCGGACAAAGTGGGCGGAAGCGTCCTCAAAGGGCTGATCGTCCTTTCTACCAACACCCTGGCCGGGAGACAGGAAGTTTATCCGCAAAAAAGCGAATTCTCCCTCATCGCTCTTACTGGCATTTTTGATGGTGTTAATATGGAACGGGACAGGCCGCCCCATGATGGGGAGCACAACAGTGCTGTTCTTGGAATCGACGATAATCTCAAGGTTCTTGATCTTCAGGGGGAACTGGTTATCCCGCTTGTACGACTCGAAACGCTTGAATTTCTTGACCTCCCCGCCATTTTGCCCACTAGTTGACTCAGAGAATCTGGCCAAGCCCTCCTTCTGCTTCTTGGAGGCAAGTTCCTTCTGATGCTCTCGACGCTTCTTGTCGGCGTCCTCGTCCGTTTGTGTGGTGCGCTCGGAGCGAAGGCGAGTGCTTGTTATGTTCTTGGTGGCGACTGCGCCAACCCTCGAATCCTTCTTCTCCTTCTTAGGCGTGGGCTGTGCCTCCTCATCATCCTTGAAGAAGAATGAGTTGGCGTCGGCGCTTGTCGGTGCCTCAGCCGTGAAAACCACTGGCTCTGCCGCTGTTACTCTAATGGTATCAGTAAGGACTAGAGAATAAATCTTGCTGCTCTTGTCTTGAGGCTGTGGGTTCTCAATATCCTGGAATCCAGTATTGATGATCAAAGTCATTCCGTCCTTGAGAACGCGCTGGTTTTTGGCATTCAAGATAAGAGTAGGATCTTTGTTTTCCAGGCCAACGCCCCAACCGACATTCTTGAGGAAGTGCTTCTCCATTTCTGGCTTCTTGCTCTTGATGACGCCCAATGCCTTGGCATAGACATCCTTCGCAGTCATGCCGTCGCGGATCTCCTTGATGATGGTGTTGTGCACCATCGAAAGGAGCTTGTAGTTGCTCTCCTGAGACTTGTTGGGATCGACGAGGTACGTTCGTGCAATCGTTGAGCAGTATGACTTGTATCGCAGACCCAGGGCGGCAATGATGATGCCGGCGTGCAGGTTGTCGTCGTTTGGCTCGGCGCCAAACCGCAGGTCGTATTTACCACCACTCTGGATGGAGGGACCCAGGATCCAATCCAGCTGGGCGGGGTCGAGGTCCGAAGGCAGCTTGCCTTTGCTGGGGAGCTCAACAGTCTTCCAAAAACCGTTATCGTCAAGCTTCTTATCCACCTTGTCGGCCAGGACGGAGTGCTTGACTTTCTTCTCGGCATCGAGAATATTGGACATTTCGTCGAGGAAGTAGGGCGTCATGAGGGCCACGCAAGCTTTGGAAGCCGTTCGCATCGCTCGTAGTTCGCTTTCGTCTTTGATGGAGAAGGCGTGAGTGGACAAAGCGGTGGAAATGTCCACCTCCTCGACATCTTTGCATTGTTCGGCAAACACCTTCTTCCACTCATCGACGAATGGGCCTTTGGACGTATCCTTGGAGATGACGCCAACTTTTTTCTGTTGTCAAATTGGATTAGTTTTTAAGCTCGTATGCGCAAAGGAATAGGCATCGAAGGTGGTTTTTACCCCCGCTTCCTTGATCTTGTCTGCCACAGTGACAAACAACTTCTCATTTTCGGCTGCATCCTTGCCTCGAACAAGCACCTCGATGGGGAAACGGCCGCCCTTGAGCTGTTCGAGATGTTTTGCTGTCTCGGGTGTTAGCGTTCGGGAGGGCTTCACAGCAGCGTGGTCTGGGTGGCAGGCGATTCACGTACCCTTCTTTTGCGTGGTGAGGATGTAGAGAGTGTCGACAGTGAAGAGCATCAGGGTCGTCGGAAACTCGTATCCCAAAAGCCAAAACTGAGAATGGGCATTAGCTTTCACGGTCGGATTGCAGCGGTCTCGGCGCGCGGGTCGGCTCTTACGTGGACGGCGTTGTTCTTGAGCAATTCGGGAGCCTCCTCGACCTTGCCCATCATGATGACGAAGGACGAGGCGCCGCCGAAGAGCCCATCCTTGGATCGGAGGTCATTCTTCCAGGCGGTGACAAAGTGCGAGAGGCGCTCCTGGAAGAGCTTGCTGTCGATCTTGATCTCCGCCATTGTGGTTAACGGATGAACATTTGGCAGGAGAGGGAGCTATAGCGTGGATCATTGGCCTGCGACGCGCAGGAAAAAGTGCAGTCGCGTAAAGAGCAAAGCGCAGAGCTGCTGCACGATCACGTGATCCCACGTCCCACCGTTCCAATTGCATCACTCACTGTAAGGGACACAGAACAGCAACGCCCTCCCTAATCTACATCTTCGTTTTAGTTGTTGTTTAGTATCTTAATATCACCGTATTCATTACTACTGCATCTAATAGTAACTGGGTACCTAGGCATTCACAAATACCTATAAATACAGAAAAAGGGAAGTGTCTCGTAATCATCATCCTCATTCGCGGGGACTGTGCTGTGCCCTGCAGCCGTTCCCAAGTCCCTTGTAATATAGGCACCAGCTTAGTACCTAGTAGGCGATATGTGATCCATGAGATGCATACCTACCATCATCCTTCGAGCCCGAGGCATAAACTCGTATAAACCCGTCAACCCTCCCTTCAAGCAGGTAGCAGCGTAGTAATGGCCCTTTATTGGCTGGAATAAATAAGGAGGGTGCCTTTGGTAATGCTACTAGGCACTTGCATTATGCATACCAAGGTACGGAAAGAAAGAGCTCCTCCTTTGGTCGCTTTGCATGTGCGGCTCTCGAGCAGAGCCGCATCCGCCCCCTGTCGACCAGGGTGGTGTTAGTCGTTAGTAGTACTCCGTAGCATTCTGCCGCCATCACAAGGGAGGGACTTTATGCTGTGTTACACTCACTTATCCTGCCGAGAAAAAGCTAAGAACCAAAGCTAAGAACCAAAGCCAAGCAAGGATCGTGTTAGCCGAGCCGAGAGATCATGTTTTCAGGTACTCCTCGCTGCTCCGTGCCCAGGAGCTGGAGCGCCTTCACAGCCGCCACGGCGTCGCTCAGCCTTTTTAGTATCCGTCTTAGCCTCGTCCATGCTCCTGGCTAGCCTCCATGATTCAGTACTCGTAAGAGAATAAGCACCCCTCTCGAAAAGGCGAAGTCTAATCCTACTACTAATACTACTACGGGGGTGGACACAGCTCCTATCCCTGCTTGCGGCTCTGTCACTGTGAGACTCGAGTACGGTCTGTGTCTCAAGATGGAACCCTTCCGCGATGGCCAGCTACTTATTTGTACCCTGTCGCCCGACTCACCGAACCTCTCGTGATACCTTTGGCACTCAATGCGAATGAGGAACTGCCACGGCCTGGATTGCTGTGACTGTGCCCAACTTACACGTCGTCCCGTCCATGCACAGCGCGTCTTTGGATAACCACATTGAAGCGTCGCTTCGAGCCAGCAAGTGCTGTGAGGCTCTTTGGACAGACTGTCCGTCGGATGAATTGAGGTAGTACACACAGCTCGGGAATTTAGGTACTAGTTTCTAAAAAGAGGAAAAAGAGGAGGCAGGCGGCGCGGTTGCTCATATAGGCAATCCCTGGTCATCGACTGTTACAGGCATCTTAAAGGAAAAGCCCTCACCAGCCTTCAGTCCCCCTCCCTCTGAACTGTTTACCTTTTTTCCTTGCTTGCTTGTCCATCCTGCAGCCATGAGTCTATGCAGTGTGCCTTCTGAAATTCTTCGGCTCATTGCCGTCAACCTTGGTCCCGATGATTTATTCCACCTGGCTATCAGCAGCCGCCAGTTCAAGCGCATCCTGGAGGATAAGGTCATCTGCCGAAAGGTCCTGGAGGTTCGTTGTCACGACATGTTGCGTTTATTTATTACTCACCACGAATGCTAACTACTTTAAAAAGAGTATTAGATATTCGTCAGACTATACGCAAGAGCGTGAAACCGGAGATTATGACAAGGCGCTGAGGAGGCTCATCAAGCGACGCGAGGCTCTCCAGATGGCAAGGCCGTTTCATGTGCTGCAAGTTTCCAGTGAAGCTCTACAATTTACGTATACAAATGGCGCCGTGTGTTATACTACGATGAAGAACTCACCTACCTACCAGCGCCACCTGCGAGTCCTGGTTCTCGAGGGTCCTTCTGTCAAAGAAGTAAGCATCGACATTCCTAGCCTCATAAAAGCCTCTGATATACCCAATTTCGATGAGTCTCTACCGTACCAATTCAGGCCACTTTATCATGCGGATGGCATAGTTTCGTGCTTATACGAGCAGAAAAGGTCCCCTGGTTCTAGCCGCTCGTTGATTATATACAACCTCAAGGAAGGAAAAATTCTCGATTCCCACTCTCTGTCCTCGACTGCGAACATTTTTGTCCGCAACAATAGCCAGTATCTTTACTACGGCACAAAGTCTTACCCGGGCTCTGGGCAGCGCCGATGGATGCTCGAAGGGTTCTCTCTGGAACACTCGACGTGGCTACGCAGAATCGTTCTCTGGGATTTGGCTGGTTCTGATATGGGGTCAACGATATGCTTCGAGATCTTTGGCGACCATCTGTATGGCGTTTCCAGCCAAGAATTGACCGAAGCGGAGGACTCTGAATGGGACTCGCCGGCCCATGCGCTAGATTCCTATTATTACGCCTTTCGGCTCCCACTGAAGGACCCTTCCCGAGTCCAGGTTTTGCCAAGATCAGCTCTATGGCGGCGAGGTGCGACGGACGGGCCCATTGATGATCGATGGTGTCATCTGCAACTTGGACAGGACGAAAAATCCGGTCAAATATCTATTTTCGAAACCAGAAAAGAGTGGCTCTCTTCATGGAGCCGTCGCACTTGTTACCAAAAGCAGCTCGACTGGCCCTCTATACCGCAGAGCACAGACGGCCATCCCGAAGACGATTGCTCCGACGGTCAGGACGACGCGGCCCACTGCGAAACAGCCCCAGAAGATAGTGTCCATCGCGGTGACACCGGCTTCTCCTCTTCGACTTTCGATTTCCGCAATTCCCCTGTTCGTTCCTATAACCCCAGCTGTCAGGCCTTTGTGGATATTGTTAGCAGCACAACAGCATCCAGTCCGACAGCCAAACGCCTGCGTTTGCGGGTCAGGAGACGGCCAAAGGAGCTGTGCCCAACCTCAGAATCAGGCCATATGCCATCATCACCGACGGGGCTGGCGGATGTTGCCAATGAGTCGGAAGATCAATATGTCAGGCTATGGCCTGCTGACCAGGGAGAGCAGGGAGACAAGCAGCCCAACCAGTCTCTTGACCACTATGTCGACGAGCTTCTCAACCCTCAGGCGCATTTTGATGAAGTCGACTTCGCAATGGATGAACGGGTCTTGGTTTACTCACCCAAGTCTTTGAATAGCCCCAATGACCCACGTTCCATCGTCCTCGTTTCCTTTGATCCAGCCCTGCATTTCCAAGGGCTCTCTCGTTGCTATGGGCACTCGACACCGCCATATTCGATGGGCCACCAGCTGAACCACGACGGAAATGCCCACTCCTGCGGCTCAAGCATGATTATGGATGGGGAAATCGCGGCGGACTATTCCTCAAAGATCCATGGTGTCGACTTATCTCTCCCTAGGGGAACCGGGCAGAGGACCCGTGCTTCCTCCACCTCGACACCGAAGACTGATTTGACTGGATTTCGATCCAGGAAGAAGCCACGTCTTGAGGGGGCTTGTATACCAAATAACAAGGTCTCCTTACATTGCGGATGAATTGGGAATCACGGCCCGAAGTGATCTATCATTTCGTCGGCAGCAGAGGCGCGGATGGGAAGTGTATTTACAACAGGCGCATCATCTGGGGCAATACCGCCAATTGGCATCGACCCGCGTTCAGCCTCTTTGAAACCCAACATGGGGGGGGGGGGGGGTTACAGGCGAAAAGTTCTCTTGCGACAATTTTTTTTAGTTGCATTATCTGAGAATTAATCGCTCAAGTACTCTTTTTTGTGTGTTTGGGTGTCTGTCTATCTCGCTGGTGTTTCACGAGAAGCGAGGGTTTTATACCGAAATCAATCTCTACTGGCCGGGCCAGTTTAGCATTCACTACCTACCTATGCACTGCAAATTGTTATGACGGGATCAGTCTGGGCACAATTCCTGTCCATAGGTTTATTGGCCTTGCTAATTTACCTTGCGTGCAAACTAGACCAACACGGGTTGGCAATGCTTGAGTTGCATCTTAAGCGAACATTTTCGGGCACAATCACAGCTACGCCGCCCGTAGCCATTTATCGCCCGCCTCCTCACTTTAACCTACACATGACCAGTCCTTTTACTCTTTCATATGTCACACTACCTAATGACGGCAGTTTTTCACGGCTCACGGCTGGAACCCGAGAGTTGGGAGACATGCACGTATGCCTCACATTTTGCCCGACTGTGGCAGCTTCTTTATGATGTTTCTATATTGCTTATATTGCTTGTACGCGCTAAGGCACAGCCTACCTCATGCTATACGCTCGAGATTACTACCTATTATGTACCTACTATTAATACATTATCTTACTACATTCAAAATCCTCTGCTGCCTGGCTTCAGCTGAGCCTCTTCCCTCCCTTTGTACAATTGTCAATGCGTTATTGGAGCCACATGCCACGCGTGCATGACTTCAAGTTTGAGTGATGTAAAAATGCGTTGATGTGTAACTTCATCCGCTGATGTCAACATCGATCGTATGAATAACTGACCAATACCGGTTTATAGCCAGAATGAATCATTTCTCACAAATCTCAGTCATATTCACTCAGAGACAATTCGTCATGGTGGGACTCAACACCTCATCATCCGCTTTAATCATGATTATCAAAGTACACTATACACATATATAGGCTAACCTGTCGATTCCCTGGTATGCTCTAATAAAGTTGAGGATAAAAAAAAAACCCCATGGGCAAAGTTTCTTCTACTTCTTCGTCTCTCTCCCCTTCTCTCTTCCTCTCTTCACATTCGCGCAATGCATAATGGAGCACATTGTTATCTCCCTCCCCATTGCCACACTCCGTAGGTCTCACAGCCTCTAATTCAGCTTGACATAATTTCCTACAGCAGGCGTTAGCATCCAAAGGCGCAACAGGGGATTGCAGCAGTGGCAAAAGCAACACAAACATACCTGGAAACTGTCCTTGCTTTCCATTTACCTTGCCTTGCCACCACTCATTCTCGTTTTGGGTTCTTTGTATAATCTCAATGACATCGCCTGCTCGGAAACTCAGGTCACCCTCTGCTTGTGCCGCAAAGTCGTACAGAGCCGTCACCGTCTCAGGAGGCGGCGCACCGCTCAGACGGGTCGGCTTGGGCTTCGGTGGTGGTGGAGGCTTCGCCTTGCCAGCAACAATCGATGAAAGGCCGGGCTTTGTAGAGGGGCTATATGGCGGCGGTGCAGCCGCTTCGCCCGAGTCCTCTGCCGGGAAGCCGCCGAATTTGGGACTCGTCTTCTCTGATGTTGCAGAACCTGCAGTGAGCAATCCCTGAGGCTTAGCTGCCTCAATCGTAGGGCGACCACCAGCCTTGGGAGGCGGCCGCCGCTGCCCAGTGGTCTTGAATCGTACAATACTAAGCGCTTCAGCTTGCTCCTGGATATCGCCTCGCTTCTCGTTAAAGGCCTCTTCGATGTCCCTAGTCAGGTCGAAGTATCCAATATCGCACCGCTGCATCCGCTCGTGTAATGTGTAAAAAATGTTAAGCTGCATGTAGTAGAAGGACTGGAAGAGAGGCTTGATAAACTCCTGTTCTAGCTGGAAGAGCTTGGGCAGCTCGTCCTTCAAGAGGTTGTTGTAGTATTCAAAATCCTGCGTTGCCTGCTCGCAATCGCCTTCGGCCTTCCACATGGCCTTTTCGTCCTTGGCAGAGCGGTCCTTCTTATCCTGCAGCTTCTTGAGAGTAGTGCGGTGCCGATCGTAGTCGAGCTGCTTGTGGTCTCGCTTCACAGCAGTCTTTCGAATGACCTTGATCACGTCCAGCAGCTCGTTGGCCGGCCGGATGACTCTGGATTCTATAGTCTCCAGCTCTGGAGCCAGAGTCTCCTGCAGCTCTTGCACAACAGCCTCATATTCTTCACAGGCAGCAATACCTTCCGGGTTGCCTTCAGGCCTTATGGAGTCGGGGTCGGACACGCGACCCGAGATGGGTTTATAGACCTCCGTCATTGCTTTGCTAAATTCAATCTGGTGGTTGAGCATGCCATTGATGGCCTCGAAGTATTTTTTGGACTCATCGTGGAGCTTCTTTGTCTCCTTTTCCAGCTCCTGGAATCGTCGCTCGGCGTCGATGTATACGGCGTCTTTGGTGTGCTCGCCGATGTTGAACTTTGACTTGAATTGTTGCGGCGCCTAGATTGCACGAGTTAGCTGCTTGAGTACATGGCAACCTCCGGCACGGCATCCCATTGTTTGCTTCTCGAAATTTCGGAGGGGCGGCTTTCTGTTGCTGCCGCGTTGGGTGAGGGGCAAGGGGAATCAAAGAGAGCATTTACCCTAACAAGGCTCTTTTGGAAGCCTTTGAAACTCATGGCGACGGGCTCTTGGTTGGAACTGGATACGGAAGCAAGTAAAGAAGCGGAATTTGTGGTGGTGACAAAGAGCAAGTTGTGCGCGCAAAGCACCGGCGATCCGGGAGGCGGACAGATGCCTTCGCGAGCTGGGCTGGAGGTCAAAGTCTAAGTTAATGTATGGACGGTGACGACTTTGGGTGGCTGTGCTAGAGCTTTTAGCATGTGGCGCATGTCCAACTCCGGGCCTCCGCAGCGCGTTGGAAGCCGCCGGAATTTGCCTGGGGGCAGAACCCCAAGCTATTATACCCTGTTCTCTGTAGGTAATATGATGACTTGATTTTGATTTCCCCAAAATTGGGGCTGCTTATCATCATTATTGCTGCGTCCCTAAGCAAGGTAAGCTTAACATTGACAGTCTACATGTTATATAAGGTGCCTTGGGTTGACATCAATGCAGACTGGCATGCAGTAGATGCCCTAGCGCTAATGGAATCAAAATGCAGCAGCACCCTCACTTCATACCGCCTCCTCTTTCAGGATATGGCTGAAGAAGGTGATATTGATGCATCGATACAATCGATAACCGTCTACCGAGAAAACGCAGACTTTCAAGGCTACTATACAGCAATATCAGTAGAAAATGGACGCTCACGCGCGGTTTATTAAGGTGCTGAACTGAGCACCAGCTTGTGACATGACGTCGTTGGCCTCGATGTCCGAGACCTTTTTTGCCGTCAATGGCAAAATGGGTCATATTACCAGCTCAAGCACCTAAAGGCGCTACCTATGCCCGCTAAAGGGTCTGGCCCAGTTTGGCCTTCAAGCCTTTTCACGTCAAAGACAGCGCGCCCTGGAGCCGCTTTCCCGACATTCAGCCGAATATTCCACATTATGGACATTTCCAGCCAATTACCCGCACGTATCACCGAGTACCGAGCCGACCCATTGACAAATCCCCCAATTACAAAATTCGCGTTGATTTAAGAAAAAACCACCCCTCCTCAGCACCTCCAACTTCTCGCCTGGTTGGAAGTTTCTGTCCCCATGTAAACTATCCATCCGCACAACAGCCATGGCTAGTATTGCATCGTCAGCGCTGAGGTCGGCGAGCCGCCTTGGCTCCAGCACGGCCGTCGCCGCGGCGCCGTTGCGAGGAATTCACCGAGCTGCCCTGGTGGCGGCTACGAGGAGGAGCGGGAGGCGAGGCTACGTGACCGAGTCCAAGAGAGACAATGCGCGGGTCGAAACCGCCGTCAAGCTGGACAAGAAGGACTTTGTCGACATTCCTCCGCAGATGGACATGACCTCCCCTAACATGAAGGTCAGCCCGATGGCCGGTATGCCCTCCTCGGTCACCTCTTGTTGTGAAATGCACGAATGAAGAGCACACAGAGGCTAATGCGCAATTGCAGAGGTCCTCAAGACCGCAGCCGTCATGGAGGAAGGCCAGAGACCAATCTATCTCGACATGCAGGCCACCACACCTGTTGACCCCCGTGTCCTGGACGCCATGCTGCCGTTTTACGTCGGCGAGTTCGGCAACCCCCACTCAAGAACGCACGCTTACGGCTGGGAGAGTGAAAAGGCTGTTGAAGAAGCCCGAGAGCATGTGGCGAACCTGATTGGCGCCGACCCGAAGGAGATTATCTTCACCAGCGGTGCCACAGAGAGCAACAACATGAGCATCAAGGGCGTTGCTCGGTTCTTCGGCCGATCCGGCAAGAAGAAGCACATCATCACCACTCAGACCGAACACAAGTGTGTGCTGGACAGCTGCAGACATCTGCAGGACGAAGGGTTCGAGATTACCTATCTACCTGTCCAGAGCAACGGTCTGATCAAGATGGAGGATCTTGAAGCTGCTATTCGGCCTGAAACGGCCCTGGTCAGCATCATGACCGTGAACAATGAGATTGGAGTCATCCAGCCAATTGAGCAGATTGGTAAGCTCTGCCGTGAGAAGAAGGTCTTTTTCCACACCGATGCCGCACAGGCTGTCGGCAAGATCCCCCTGGACGTCAATGCCATGAACATTGACCTCATGTCCATTTCATCACATAAGATTTACGGCCCCAAGGGCATTGGCGCATGCTATGTCCGCAGACGCCCGAGGGTTCGGCTCGACCCCCTCATCACTGGTGGTGGGCAAGAGCGAGGCCTGCGAAGCGGTACCTTGGCGCCGCCGCTGGTTGCTGGCTTTGGTGAGGCATGCCGCGTTGCCAAGGAAGAGATGGAGGTATGTTGGCACCTGTTTTCCTTTCTTTATTCCTCCTGTCTTTTCCATTCCAGCCTCCTTTTGAAATCCCTTTCCGCATCCATGTGATGATCTGCTTATACATGCATGGCTTTCTGAATGGCCCGTGACAAGGCCCTTCGTGTTGAGTGTAGCAAACTGTCTGATTCTTGCGGTTTCTTTTCTCGCTTTCTACATAATCTTGGTTTCAAATCATATTGCATGTCCTGTTTTGGCATAGCTAACCGAGCATTACTGTGTAGTACGACTCCAAGAGGATCAAGTTCCTATCAGACCGACTGTTGGGTGGGCTGCTGGCTATGGAGCACACCAACCAGAATGGCGATTCGAAATCATTCTACCCTGGCTGTGTCAACGTTTCATTTGCCTACGTTGAGGGCGAATCCCTATTGATGGCACTAAAGGACATTGCGCTGTCTTCGGGTAGCGCATGTACTTCGGCCTCGCTTGAGCCCAGCTATGTGCTCCGTGCGCTTGGAAACAGCGACGAGAATGCACACAGCAGCATCCGGTTCGGCATTGGCCGCTTTACCACGGAGGAAGAGATTGACTACGTGCTGAAGGCGGTTAGGGAGCGTGTCACGTTCCTGCGCGAGCTCAGCCCACTGTGGGAGCTTGTGCAAGAGGGCATCGACCTGAACACGATCCAGTGGAGCCAGCACTGAGGTGCCTCAAGATTGAACATGACGCAATCTGGTGTTTTAGGTTGGGGAGGTTATCAACTGGGTCTGGGTATAAGCGGAACCCAAGGGGTCTGGCCAAAGGCGCTGAATTTGTGCCAGCCAGGCCACTGTAATAGCACACTGTAGTATAAGATACCTGATTTACGAGTACGAAATAATGACAATTCCACCAATGATTAAACTGGATTGCTTCATCTATCATGATACGGTTGTCTCTGCTGCGTGTACCTAGGGGGTGACTTGTATAGAAGCAATGACAAGTCACTGACTGCCGCTTGGATGACTGGTGTTTGATAGGGACCTTCGAGACGCTTCTATTGGTAGCGCTCAAACCTGCTCCTCTGCCCCTCTCGTAGCAGCTATCCAACCGACGCCAGCCATGTATCCCAAACCGGCAATGGGGCTCTTTACACCGATTCGTGCCAGCCAGTATTGGCAGCCCATTTGTCCAGGTGCAGCACCAGCATTATCCCGACAATGCTCTGGGCGTCTTAATACACCAGAGCGATCTATACCGCATTGCCCACTCAAAGACAGTATAATATGTAGTATCTATTTACTGAGGTATCCAGTAATTGATATGCGTTTATCCAGCAGAGCGTCCTGTTTCCAGTTTCCAATGGCGAGTCTCAGTGGCGGCAGTCAATGATATCGCCATGACGTCAGCTGCGCCACAGCTTGCAACACCTGCCAAAGAAGCCTTCACAAGCAAACGCAACTGGCTTTCGATGACATCAACTGTGGATTTTAGAACCGTTGGAAGCTGCCACGCGTGGATCGTGGATGGCTGTTGCATCTATCGTCATCGGCATCATGATTGCGGTTTCCCTTGATGGGGATGATTTGCGTGGGCGGGTGATTGTTATTTAAGGCCCAAGCCGTCTTGGCTTTTATCTTGCATTTACTTCTTCATTCATCACAGCAAACACAGTCTATCATCAACAGCATCCTATACAAACCCACACACTTACACACTATATTCATTCACAACAACCGCAATCATGTCTGACAACTCCAACAACAACAAGCCCTCCACACTCCAGTCCTACATCGACTCTGCCACTGGTGCCGTCCAGAGTGCCGTGGGCAGCTTGACGGGCAACTCGGGCGATCAGGCCAAGGGCGACCTTCGTCAGGACAAGGCTCAGGCTGAGTACGACGCCTCTCAAGCGGCAGTCAAGATCCCCGGCGGCACCATCTCCAGCGCAGGTGCTTTTGCCAAGGATGACCCCAACAGGACTCAGGGTTCGTGGAACCAGACCGTTGGTGCTGCTAAGGAGACGCTTGGTGGCCTTGTCGGCAATGAGGTATGCTTCCCTTGAATACACGCACCCTCTTTATTACTTTCTTTATCTAACATGCGTGTCATTGCAGTCCCTAAAGTCAGCTGGCCGCCAGCAGAATCTTGAGGGCCAACAGCAGGAAGCCAAGGGCCAGCTACACGACTACGGTCATGGAATGGGCGATCGTGTTCAAGGAACGGTTGGCGGTGCCGTCGCTGGCCTGACTGGAGACAAGGAAGGTCAGGCGCACTACGAGGAGTTGCACGATAAGGGCAAGACACAACAGCGTGGTGCTGAGCACGATATCCAGAAGCAAGGGGAGGCCAACTACTAAGATTGACAGAGTTGATGGTTATTAGGAGGAGAGAGACGTTGACGGAGTGGAAAGATACCCTATCCGTGTCATGATTACCGGAAATCCTACGAATAGTCTTTGTCTTGATCGATCACAAAATTGACTCCATTTTCTTCATCTGCTTTTGCATCCCTGAATTCAACGTGTAATTGTACTTGCATTTCTATAATTGGCCGAGCTGAACTGCGGCTTTGTCTGTAGAGATCTGTCTGCGATATATCCAAACTGGCACGTTCTGAAGAAGTTAAAAAGAAGATGGAGTATCTGGTGCAACAAATAGAGTCATGACGTGCGTGCTAATCTAGCCAATGTGTCGCTAATTATATAGAAGATAATGGCCTATCCACGTTGCATGTAGGGAGCACCTCGAACTATGGCTCATTTGTAATACTCGCCTTGGCTTCGCCCTGATAAGCACGATGACTCGTCAATAGCAAACATCACCCTTACGACCCGACCATGTCAACAGACAAGTCGCAACAGAAATGGCCATTCCAAGGCAGAATGGAAAGCCTAACCACGATCTAAGGCCAACATCAAAGAGCGGACCAATGATCAGCTCGCATGCTAGCATCCCCAAGACCTCCCCAGCAGCGATGACACCAAAGACAGAGCCAGTTCTGTGCTCGCCCACAAGAGCCACGAGAAGAGTGCGGCACAAAGTCGGGACTCCAGATCCAAGGCCAGAGATGACAAGGCCAAGGACGAAGAGGCTTACTTTGCTGCCAATCATGAGGAAGAGCGAGCCGAGGACGAAGAGAAGGACGCTGGCTCTGGCAAGGAGACGGTCGCGCTCAAGGGCAGAGGTGGAAGTGTTTCGGTGGAGGAGGTAGGATGTCGCGGGGAGGATGACGAGCAGTGTGAGGAGGGTGACGGCGGCGTTGAGGGAGAAGAGCAGGGATGTTCGAGATAGGGGCCAGTCGAAGCGGATGGGCATGATGCGCATGATGATACCGAACTGTGATGTGACGGCGGGCATGGCGAGGATTGCGCCGGGGAGGAGGCAGATTGCGGGACGGCGGAAGAGGGCCGTGAGGGTGGACTTTGTGGAGGCGAGGGCGGATTTGCTATCATTGGTGTTGCTGATGATGGGGGTGTCTTCGCTGATATGAGCCAGAGCGATGCGGCTGGGAAGGGTTTCAGGCATGAACAGGATGAGAACGATGCCACCGACAGCAATGAGACCGAGTTGGATGAGGAGGGGGTGCCAGATGGAGAGCTCGGTGAGGCGGTTTGCGATTAGGGGGCCGAAGAGCTGGGATGAGAGAACGGCGGCGACGGCCCATTGGAAGCAAGTTGCTCTAAGAAGGGCATCAGTATAAGCAAGAAAAAGATCATACGGGTGAGACTTTGGAGATTCGTTACCGCTTCGATTCAGGCATCACATCTGATATACTGGTGAAGACCATTGCCTCTGCGACTCCTCGTCCGCCGCCCAGCAGCATGATGGCGCCTGAGCCCCAGATTGCTCTCAGGGGAATCTGGCGCCATTTCCAGCAGATGAGGAGGCCGTAACCTTGGGCAAGGAACAGGCTCATGATACTCAGGGCAAGGATTGGCACACGGCCTACTCTGTCGGATAGCATGCCAAGAGGCAGAGCTACGAGAGCACCTGATTTTTGCCTTTCAGTTAGCGGTGTGCTGCTTCTGTCCTCGAGTTTGCTTGTAAGACGTACTACCAAGTGTGACAGACACCGATTGGCCAATGTCGACAATGTTGAGCTCTCGCTGTACGACCCTGTCATGGCATTCCGATTCGGGGAGGAGTTCGTCTGATGAGAGGCTGAGGTGATGTTTGCAGATGATGTCCTGCCATAGCTTCGTGGACGGGTAGCTGCTTATCGAGAGGCCGAGGTTGATGACGAAGAGGTTGACGACGAGGAGCGGTATGAGCCATTGCACTGGGACAGCGGGACGACGGAATTTCAGGGCCATTATGATTTTTCAGCCCCTTGGGATAGGAGATGGTGAGAGCTTGTGTAAATGCGTAGATCTTGGTGTTGAAGGTCGAGAATTTTTTTTCTTCTTTCGCAGCTTGAGTATCTTTACGACTATTCACATGAAAAGAAAAAGAAGTATACGGCAGTAATGAGAGTGAAACGATTGCTTGATTGATGTCTTACGGACAAGACGGCTGTTTTGTGGACTTTTAACCCATTTGGCTGGAGAACAATGGGAAACAGAATCGAGACAATGGCCATATGGTCGGCGTTTAGGTTTTCGCGCACGACAATAACAGCAAACTTCTATTCAAGCCTCTATTTCGACTTATCCTGCGACAAAATCAATAGTCTCGGGTTGCTGCTTTACTGCTACTCTCTTTCTAGCTGAATCTACAGGCCAAGGGTGTTGGGATTTGCTAGTTGGTTATGGTGTTGACGCGGGTCGATGCGGCTTCCCGCTTTGCTCATCCGCACAGACGTTGAGATATGGGGCACTTTATTTGTTTGTGGTATGGTTGAAGGTCTCTTCGTAATTACGCAGTCATTGCTATTAATTTTGTTATTATTGATGCTTTGCAGCTTGTATGGCTTTATCTACCGTCTAGATACATGTATCATCCCCTCATGCCTCAGTACATATTGCGTTTTTCACATCGTGGCAGCAAACCAAAAGTGAGCTGCCGGCTTGTTAACTCAATGAGCCTGTTAGAGTAGTATTCGGTAAAGACTTGATTATTGCTTGCTTGTATCGATTTTAATTTAATTGGACTTGTTGTAAGATAAATACTAAAGTGAGGCGAGTAGTTGGCTATCACGAGAACCCTTCTCCGATCCAACAAGGTAACAAACCGCACATTCCCTTGATTTATGCCTGCTCAAGACGATTCATAAATGATCACGCACAAACAGAACTGAAGTGTCTGTAAACTAGAGCAACCAAATCTATAGCGCCATCTTGGCTAGGCAGAACCGAGTGATTGAAACCGCAAACACAAAATGGCGACTTAACAAACCTCTAGTACTACCTCTCATACGTGTCTACATCCAGCTTACAACTACCTATGCAAGTTACTGTGCATCCGAAGCAAGCAATCCTCTCGGAGCAACATTTTGAGCTTGGACCAGGATATACATCAAGCCGCACAATAAAGCCTTCCGTCTCTAGCAAGTGCGGACATCGGGGTTCGCCGAGCTGACATCAAGTTTGCGTGGGCTTGACGGGAGGACACCTTTGTGTCACGCATCTCACCGTTTTCGCCTGAGGTTGCTGATGCTACAAAGGATGCCGATGCGGAGCCATGTCACTGCCGATCTCGAATATCTCCTTTGGGGAGGGGAATACAAGGGATGGAGATTTCATCCTTTCATGGGGTGAACAAGGCTGACTGACCAGGTGATGCCCTGTACATTTATTCAACAAGATGATCTAGAAACAGTATCGATGGATATTCTCTCTCCGAGCAAACCGGTGAGCAGCGACAATTTGGTTCCTTCAATTCATATCTGTTGATACCCATGCATCCGTTACATGGGTATGCTTTGTTGGTTGGAAATGCCGGGGCATCTCGTTCAACTGCCGCTGTCCTTGCTGGTGGTCAACAAATCTACAAGGTCCCCAGTTGCACAAACACGGCAGCCCCGGAATAGTGCCTTGTTGAGCGTCTGGCCAGGGCAGTTTTTGCTGAAGAAGAATGTCCTATTGGTGGACCGAGCCTCGATATAGTTGCAAAAAATGCATCTCGTGCTGCTTGTATGCGTTAGTTAAGGTGATCTATGCAGTCAGCAGCCACTCTTCAGGCAGGTGGGAAACCGCAGTGCAACGCTCGATATTACATGTACAGTACTACTACTGCTGCATTTTCTACTACTGGTATAAGCAGCATTGAGCATTAGACAGATGTTGGCTCCTCCTGTGAGCACAACGCCTCAGCGTCTTCCGACCTTGGAGGATCCGTGTACTCCGAGACATGCTTAAGACCTACATGTACAAGTGCTCCGCTGAATGCAGGGCTATAGTAGTGGTATATTGCTACAGGGGCTAAGCAGTCAAGATAAGCGACCAGTCACGCCCAGCCAGTCCCGAGTTTAATTCTGCCCGTGGCTGAGAAAAGGCCGTCTTCTGTGGTAGAGTGCTTGGCACGGATTGTGGAGTAAGTATGCTCAACTACTAGGTAGAAAACAAATCGAGCTGGAATGTCGACAGCTGAGGCTCTAGCGCAAAGCAAGGTCGCCGTCAAGTAGAAACGAAACAGCCTTGGGAAATCCCCATGGCATTAGTCGCCTCCGGCGTGTTTCGCCTTCTGGCCATTGCCTCGTAGTCTTTTCCTTATTGGCCCAGCGTCAAGACAGGTCAGATACGCCACAAGGTCCGGGCCTGGCGGCCATACCGGCTCGGGATTTGGGCATGCTCTTGGGGCCATCTGTAGTGGGCGGGGAGATGGATGGCCAATGCTCCGTCGTTTATGGGTGAGGGGGGGCAATTAATCAAGGGACGGATGCTCCGTAAGAAACCATGCACCGTGCCTTGCAAATAACCCACGTGTATGAAGAGTAGCAGCAGTTTACCGCACAAAGCCTTGTATGTGTTTTGTGCTTTGGTAGGTAGTATTAGATGGTCTGTCTGTCAAAGGATCCAGGAGCGTTGCCTCAAAGGATCTCGTTTGACAGAACTACGAGGCTGCTAGTGGTGTTGGCCGGCGATTCACTTCGTCATAGTGGCTGGGAGTTGAGATTAGCTTGAAATGGTGCTTCAAAGACAAAGCTTGAGAGGGGAGCGCAACGGGTCGGTGCGGCGGGAGCCAGAGAGATTTGTGCCAGTGTGAGCCGTCGTGAGATGGTACTGTCCGGGCCAATGTTGAGATGCTCCCAAGCACGGGTGGTCTTAGGTGACTCGTATGGCCGTGATGCCGCAAATAACGTGCACGTTTTCGAATACTAGCAGAACGAAATCATCTTGAGACAACTGTAGGCTTCAGATTCTATACACACAGATGTCGTCGTGCCATGATCCCTGGCGCGTGGAGCAATCGCGCCGCATATAAACGACTAGCCCGTGAGGCTAGCAGGCCAAACAACGGAGTTTGTCTCGTGTCGTTTCGCCCTTCTCTTAGAGACCAAGAGACTAGCAAAGCAGACAGATTGTGTCCGAGTCAGGTTTCTCGATGGTGTGCTGAGCTGCAAACGCCCTACAGCTGTCCCGTCCAGGAAAAAAAGTTTTCTCTCGTCTTCGGATGAACTCCGTAACTCGATTCCATCACGACAGCTGCAGATAGCGCCCGTAGCGTTGGCCCGTTGACATGAGGACTGCCGCTTTAGGCAGTGTTGGACTAACCGATGGGCACCTTGGCGATACAACCCGGCTGACCTATCGAAACTCTGAGTAGAAACGCGGATGCAGAGGGTGTGGAGGCGCAATGTGAGGGAGTCGTAGTCGAGATTGTATGTACGTGTACGTGTTGCTATGCTGTGATCAGCCAACACAGTGTGTACTCGTAGGCCACAGGCAGAGTACAGCAGTCGTAAGCATTGTTGCACCAGACGAGGCGGGAAAATGGACTCAATGAGAAACACGTTGTTACGAGTACTCACTCTGTTAGGCTCCAGACCCCAAGAAATGAGCCATCCCAGCATCGAGGCTCCAAATCTCGTCCCGATATTAATTTGAGCGGCATGTTGATGCGACCCCTGAAAGCTTGCTGATTCGAGTGCTGGCAGGCTCCTTCTAGCGGCTGTGGGAACACGGCTAAGGGCCCAAAGAACACGCTAGGGCCTCTGTGCTAGGCTCCTTCAGGCATCCTGGCCAGCCAAGTTCAGGCAAGCCAGGGCCCGTCTCGCCATGGCCTGGGGCGGAGTGGAGGCGGGACTTTGCAGGATTGGGATTGGAAACGGACGAGCGAGTCGGCCGTTGGGGGTCAAGGCCGAAGGGCAAATGAAGAGGAAGGGAAAAAAGATCCGATGAGGCGGGGAATTGGAAGAACGAAGAGGAAAAAAAATTGTGAAGAGGGTGAGATGGAGGAGGGAGGAAGGAGGAGGAGGAGGAGGCCCAGTACAGACGGTTTAGTGTGTTTGATCAGCGAGAAAAGGATGGACATGTAGGTACTTGTAGCTGGAAAAGAAAACTGTGGCCAATCTGTTGCAAGCAAGGCAGGCATTGTGAAATCCCAAGTACTAACCGTGCGTATCTGCATTCATGCAAGAGAGCACTTGATGGCATGTCGATCCTTTTCCTAGGCTTATTTTAGAGGAACCCTGCTCGTTTCTTCTTCTTTAAAGCATCTACTCACGTACGAGTACAGCTCCATGCTTTCAACGGGCGACTAAGAACTGCCATCCAGGTACTAGCAGCAGCATTAAGCTCTAGCGAAAGGGGTCCAGTCCTCATTTCAAAAAGAGCCAGAGGGGAATCCCGTCCACTGCCATACGAGTACATACTGTAAGCAATGAGGTGCTCTTTGTTCTGAGCTCCAGTCCCGTGCCTCACGTTCTTTTCGTATCGCAACGCCTCGACTTGTTTTACATTCTCAACCACCTGCAGCAGCGGGCATGCCACGAGCCGTGCTTCGTCTGCATTGACTCGCCAGCGCACATCTTCACGTCTCCAACGTGTACTGCAGGTAAGAAAAATACTTGCCATGATCCCGTGAGCTACCTCGAGCTGCAGCACTCTACGTGCACTGAGCAAAGTACTGCTTCTGGTGGTGGCTGCTGTCTGAGCGTCAGCCAGTACCAAGCGGTACCGGCTTTCTTCGTCCCCCCTTGATCCTTGATGCTCTCCCTCCCTCCTTTTGCTTCACTTCTCGACATGGTCTGGCTACGGCCTCCCATTTCCCCTCGCCTCTCGCAAGTGCATCTTTTTCATCTTCTTCATTTCAGCAACCTCATGCTTTTCATCGTTAGCCATCATCCTGTGGAATCAGTGTCGTTGCGCATATCTGATTGCTAGTGCCAACATCAGCCTGACCTGCTCCATTGTGGCACCACGCCGTGTCTTTTCCATCACAGGCTGGAGTCACTTTTGACCAGCATCTATCCTCCTGTGTCTCATCATCCCGGTCCCCAGAAAGCCATGTGCTTGCGGGCCTGTCGCCATTCCAGTCGTTCGATTGTGTCCCGATTCATGAACTAATGAACGACCAGGGGGCTTCTATCTAGAGCATTGATTACCCTTTCCCGGCCCCATTTCCACGAATAGCTAGGTAGTCGCATTACTCTGCTTGTCGCCTACGAGTACTCGCATTAACTGCCGACGACCTGCAAAATCCGACACGAGGACGCGGGCTTCTCTTCTTCTCTCACTTGATTTGGTATTATACAAATCATCATTGCTGGTGAAAGCGACAGGCAGGGAAGAAGAAAGGAAGGAAAAGGAAAGAAAACCCCATATTCTTTACACCGCATCCGATAGAAAATCCAGCTTCAGCCATGACGGGCTCCGCCGTCGAGTCGCGCCCGGCGAGCAGCGTCAGTTCGCCGCGCCAAGTGCGATCACAGAGCATCTCCAGCGACAGACCTTCGATCGCCAGCCACATTTTCTTTGCCCCTCCGCTAAATGTATCGCCAGAGGCCGCCTTCATTGCTTCGACTGCAGCTTCCCAGATTGTATCTAATGATCACGATGGGCACGAAAGCACCTGGTACGACCAAAACGGCGTCGAGCCGTCTGGAGAAGCCGCTCAGATCTCCCCTGCCGCCCTGCAGCTAGTCAACAGTTTCCTCGACCAACTACTATTAAACTTCCTACAAGTTGCTAGATCTACCTCTCTCTCCGCTCTGCGACCTGCCGTCTCGGACGTGCTCAAGCCTAAATTGGCCAAAGAAACTATAAGTAATGCCGATGAAGAGCTGAGGGAGTATCTTGGGGGTTCTGAGGAAGAAGAAGACACGAACTCTCAAAGCCCGAATGCGCGGGATTGGGACGTCGAATTGGCCTGGAAGCGAGCCAGGTTGAGGTGTATGGTCTACTCTTCTCTGGGGGATTTAGAGGAGGAGGACGAAGACAAGTACATGACGCAGGAGAATCTCGAAATTGGCGAGCATGAGAAAACTTCTGATATCATCTCGCCTGCTGTGGCCATCTTCCTGACTTCAGTCTTGGAATACATGGGTGAGCTCACACTCACTGTTGCTGGACAGGCGGCCAGCCAAAGAATGCGCTCCAAGATTGAAAAGGAGCTCAAGGATGGATCGCGCAGCCCTGCTGCTGTTTCCGAAAGAATCGTAGTGGAGGACATCGATATGGAACGAGTTGCGCTTGATCGAACTCTCGGCCGCTTATGGCGAGGATGGAAAAAGAGGATGCGTGCAACACCGGGCGAATTCGCCACAAGCCGGTCTCTCTCCAGCAGCCACTTGAAGGTAGATGGCCCAGCTGGTGGGCTTCACGATGGGAAGACCCGTGCCAGTGAAGATGGCAATGGCTCTGACGTGGTACAAGATCGACCTGAGAGCGCCGTTGCAGAGGATATCCACCCCATGAACATTCCACTACCAATCGGGGACAATGACGTTGCTGAAATTGAGGTGCCGGGTCTGGCCCACCACAGTGACGATGAGGAAGAGGAGGAAGAGAAGGACAATGTTGACGCACGCCGTGTCAAGTCATTCGCCGGGACGGCTTCCTTAATGGGCGATACTCTAGCAACAGAGTCAGGGCAATACGCCACCCTGCTTAAACTTCACAGAAGATCTACCTCACTACCAACTTCTAGAAGGTCGGTCTTTTATGCAACGGCACGGCCAAGCTCGAAATCGGCCGAGGTAGAGCATGACGCCGCTGAATCGAAGGAGCTCAAAGAGACATCCGAGGATAAGGAGGGCTCTCTCAAGAAGAACCGCGACTCGGATGAAAGTGGATCGGATGAATTCGACGAGATTGTATACGAAAAAGCTGAGATACTGACATCTTCCAGAGTGTCAGTCTCCAGCACTTCTTCTCGTTCCGCCTCGGATTCTGGTAGAGCTATCCATCTGAGCCGGTCGTCCAGTGTTCACTCCGCGCGCCTCATTGACGTCCCGCCACGTAGTCCCGCCACTACTCGGCCGCCGTCATTGGAATCGACGGAGCGGCCGCGTGCAAGCACCGTGTCTGGCACAAGCCCTCTGTCACGCTCGGGAGGCGCCGACGAGCTGCGAAAAGCCAAGGCAATCGACACCAGCTCACGAGCGGGAGCGCCTCTATCAGCGGCAAGGTCTCCGGTCGAGAGGATGAGACCACCAATTCCAAATGCTGCCACCATCTCTGAATCCGAGGAAGACACTGACCAAGTAAACTCTATTGCCAAGCCTGCGCCGGCGTCTCGGACTCGAGATCAGCTGGGTCGTCTCCCGCATGGCCTGCAGACAAACGTTGGTTCTGCCTCTCAGGGCGAGCAGGGTCATCAAAGGTCGTTCTCGCTGAAAGCCACCAAAAGCGCCACCGATGCACAGTTTTCAGATATTCCTTATAGACCTGCAGCGCATCCTAATCGACAGATTCCTGTGACTGCAGTCGACTTGCCAGTGCCCGAGGAGAGTGAGGAAACAGCGTTGCATTCCATTGCTCCTCCTCGCCAGATCCACACGTCTGGGTCGTCTGCATCTTCGGGTGCCAGCCGATTCAAGGCGGTCAGAACCACTTCAGACGACTCATCAAACCGCGCCGAGAGCATGGCGCGCAACTTCGAAGAGCTCATCCAAAGCAACCAAACCATCACATATACGTTGACGCCGGAGAATATGCGTGATATTGATGTAAGCCCCGACCTTTCTCTTTTTTTAGGTAAGCATATATAAAGTTTGCTAACTTGCTCCGCTAGGTCAAAACACCTCATGACAGCCCAGTTGTGACCAAAGTCGTTCGCAAGAGCGAAGATTTGATGCGGTCCTCACCCATGGTTTCGAATGCTTCATCATCAAACCCAAGGGTGCAGCCCTCCAGCCCTCGAGCTCCTGAGCACAAACCCAGGCTTTCTGGACCAATTCCTCGTGCCCCTATCGCAGCCACTGCAGTGTCTGGTCGAATGGGCGGACCTCAGGCTCGTGATGCTCGCACACCTGGCGAGTCGCTCGCAGATTTTGCCGAGTTCATCAAATCTACAGGCCCGCCGGGCGACAAAGGCCCAGTAGCTCTGCGCAATGTTCGCGTTCCTGCCAGCCCGACTACGAGCATCCCAGAGCCCAAGCAATCTTTTTCTTCAATGGCTAGTCGCAACAACAATCGAAATCGGTACCAGCCTCGAGAAGCTGCTGCTAGCAGCAGAAACGACAATTCGGACCTGATCGATTTTATTCGACAAGGCCCCCCCATTCCAGGTAGCCAAAATCACATTCCTCGACATGTGGCGCCTTTCCGTAACACGATGGATTTGGACATGATGTCTGGCGCTGTGGGTGGCCGAGCAGTTGATGCGGTTCTTCCTGACATGCGACACAGCCAGGCATCTACAAGCGTGACGGATAATTCGATGCCGTCGATGCAGTCTTCCGTCAACTCCAGCTCTGCGCTGCTCAGGAACAAGGGCATGTCAAAGGCGAATAACATGTTTGGTGAAGAAGATGATGACGACATGGGCATGCCTATGCCCGTGAGAAAAACTCGCCGCGTTCGCGACCCATACGCAATCGATTTCAGCGATGAAGAAGAAGACGATTTTGACATGGCCCCCAGGCCTCCCCCTAAGAAGGAGGAGAGTCTTGCAGAATTCCTGCTCAACTACGACCCGCCGCCGGAGCCCCCATCCCCACCCATGAAGATGCCAAAGAAGAAGACGAGCACGCCTAGTCTAATTGGCCGGTTTACTCGCAGTGGCTCCAAGGAAGTCAATACTTTCAACGAGGCACGGGCACCTAGTGGTCGAGCTGGCGCCCTGGGCTTTGGTACTGAAGGACGTTCCTTGAATGGCCGAAGCAAACACACTCCAATCCAGATGCCACCGGGCTACGACGCGTATGGGCCGACCAACGTCAACCCTCCTCCTGTGAGCAGTATGAACAGAGCCCCCATGAAGAGATATGAGACACGGGAGCCCGTCTCCTTTGGCCAGACGGCGGATCTGGCGAGGTTTCTGCGCGATTCAGAACCCCCGCCAGAGATTGTTCCCACTCAAGCTTCAGTCCCTCAAGATGAGCCCAGTGGGTTCGCCAGAATGTTTGGGCGAAGGAGAAAGGCATCCGTTGTTTAGGAGCCAGATTCACCATATTTTCATAATATGAGCGTTCATTCTTGTTTCATTTTTTCCCCCTTCTATACATTCCACTGCTTGATAGCATTACCTAGCCCCGCGTTTTGCGTTTTGCGTTTTGCATTGAGCAATTGCTATTTTTCCAATTCAATGATATTTATCCGTGCTGAAAAGGGTGCTGATAAATGATCCAATCGACGGGGATTGGATAGAGCATTTGATGGCAGCGCGCTCTTTACATCACATTATTCATTCTATTATATCCAAGATTACTGATACCCAAGATTAATCATACGGACTGGGGAGATTCTGCGTTAAGAGCAGTCGAGATATAGGGGCTGATGATAACTAAATGGGGACATTGCCAGGGAGGCAGAGAACAAAATGTTGGGCGGACTCGGAGGCTGGTTTCATTAGTCTATTTTCGTCCTCTTCTTTTGAAGCATTTTATTTCGTTAGCTGTGTTATTTAGATTAATGGATAGCTCGTGCTACATGACTCTAATATGTGTTGGGTGACGGAATTAGGTGTGTACGTATTTTGTCTTGCACGCTCCATCATAAGGACTTGAGTCTGCTCAGCTTGTCACATTTGCAACACGCTGGAATGATTCGAGGTACGATTTGAGAGAGGCATAATAGCACAATCGCCAGCGTGAAATGGACAATTTGAACAAATAATAAGCATTAAATACTTGAAAACTAATTGCATAGCCCGCCGAATATCAGATATAGAATAGCCATCGATGCCTCTTGCCAGCGAGGCGGATCGGAGCATTACTGCGTTATATATACGTGTACCGCCTGATTCCATAGATTAAAAACACGAAAAAAGAAAAGGAAACAAGAGAATAAAATAGAACTAATATAAATGCAAATCATCGTTTCCGCAAGGATGACATTTTACCCAAGCACGAAAAGCAAAATAAAAAAGGACGCAGCAACAAAGAATAAATAGCCACCTTTTCTCACTGAGGTAGCCACCAATTGTTCCAAAGTAACACAGCATGATGAAAAATAAAAGGAGACGAAGAAGAAGAAAAAAAGGAAAGGAAAAGAAAGGTGACGATAGGAGAGCAATAAAAGTCAAACAAACAAAAGTCGTAAAACTCCGGGCGACGTTGTTCCCAGTCGCTCTCACCGACCAGAACCAAAAACCTTGCGCCACGCTAAAGGACACAATCATGATCATAGCAATGATAAATAAAGCATAGCAGGGTGAGAGAGGCCCCATGGATCAATCCATCCAAAAATAGACAAGAATAGCAAGCAGGAGCAATGAGGTGGAGAGAGAGGGTGGGAAGGGAGGCTCGAGAAGAGTATTGTCGGTTGTGGCTCTCCATTTCCGTAAGTCCCAAGACTGGGAGTAGGTAGATATAGCCTCATGATGAGACAGGTTGAGTCCTTCCATGCAAATAGGAGTATTTAGGTGGGCATGTGCCCTCTTTGTCATGCCAAAGCGCGTGTCCTTGTTGAAAAGGACATGATATTCTCCTTGAGCTGATTGGAGACAGTGTAGTTTGACTGGAGGCCGGCTTAAATCTCCATGCGGCCTGCAACATCCTCACTCATAAGCCTCTCCCGTCTTGTACTTGTCATGTCGTAGTCGTCATCTTCGTCCTCGTCTTCATCAACCGGCTCATCCTCAGCAAAATCGTCATCCGAGAACTGGACGATATCGCCATCTTCTCCACGGTTCCAGTAGAGGCCATCATCCATCGGCTCTTCGTCGTCCTCATACGGCGGTACTAGTTCAGCGTCTTGATCGCCGAGCCAGTATTTTGTGCGCTTCTTTGCACCGTCCGACTCGACCGCCGTGTGTCGCTTGTGGACGCCGCCCTTTACGGGTCTCAATGTTGGGCTCTGTGAGGAGATGACGGGGACGACGCGGACATAGAGATAGGCGACTCGCTTGAGCGCTCTGTTGAAGAAGAAGTAGTGCACTGCCCAAATGGCACTTTCGTCTTCCTCAAAGGGGTCGACTTCGGGGTGGTAGCTGAAGATGGTGCACTCGTTCAGGCGCATCTCTTTGTTGATCAAAGACCAGCAGTGAGGCCCCCACTGGGCGTTGACGTCGCTGCCAGCGGAGGAGTCATACGAGGAGCCCAAATCGAAACCAGGCCGTGTGTTTTGCAGGATTGAGTCCAGGTTGGCCATGACACGCTTCAGGTTCCTCTCCCGCTTGAAGTCGCCGGGCCGCAGGACATGGGAGAAGTCGTAGTGAGGGTGGCTTGCGTTGAGCGTCGCAATCAGGTAAGCAAACGTCCGCCGACTGGAAAGCTCGGATAGCGGGCCAAATGCGCTCGAGTGTGAGAAAAGCTGCATGCTGCGCGATGTTGCGAGCATGTGCTCCCTGTCGGGTGGTGACAGGCTGGCGCCCAACTTGAGCAGCGCAGCATGCTGGGAACTGAGGTCTTTGTCGATGTTTCTGTAAAGTTTCTTGTCGGACCCGGTAGATTTAGTCGTGTAAAGATCGCATCCGCCCGTGACATTGCAGTCGGGAGTGTTGAAGTTTAGAGCGCCGGTTACGGCCTCGAACTCTTGGACTGGGAGGTACTGCGTAGTGGGGATGTCTCGTCAGCCGGGGGATTGTCTCACGTCGGAGTTCAGCTGGTCATGTATTCCGCTCACCTTCATGTTGGCTGCTGGATGCGGCTCTGATTCTTTGCATTAATTGGCAAGTGACGGAGAAGAGCCGACGCAAAGAAATAACGTGCGGTGAAGGCTGTGAATTGCACTGAAGCTGGATCTCCGAGCGATGAGCGGTGAATGCGACGGTAATAAAGGCGAGGTTTGGAAACGGAGACTCAAAGCGTCTCCAGAGCCGACAAGATTGGTAGCAGATGGCGTGCAGTATCGCTTTGTTCAGGCGTTGGTGTTGCGCACAAAGAGCACCCAAAGGCGATGTCGGGCTCGTCGCAGTGACGGTCGTCGGTTGTTCGGTCTATACTCTGGGGCCGTGATCGCGGATCCGCACGGCGATCGAGCTGAAGCAGGGGGGAGAAGCGCTGCGATGCAATGCGATCCAGCGTCCCTGTTGGTTGCTGCCGTGCAGTAAGTAGGGAGAAGGGGCCGTGGTCGTAGTCTTGGAAATGATTGTCTGGTCACCCAAGGCGAGGAGGGTCAGGGTGAGGGTGAAGGAGGAGGAATCAGGGATTGGTGGTGATGCGGCAAGGCTCGACTTGAGATCGAGTAGCGTTAACGTTGTTGACGCTAAGTGCAGCTGATTCGTGAACAAGCAGACAGGGCTGGATGAAGACCGGCAGATTAACAGGCTAGAGGGCTAGAGGACTAGAGGACTAGAGGACTAGAGGAGAGGGAGGAGAGAGATTGAAGGAAAGCTGCGACACTGTGTGGTTTGTCGGGTTCGGTTCATTAGTGATTAGTGGACAAGAAGCCGGATTGGGGGTGACACGCATCAGCATCCCGACATTGGCAGTGACATCAATCAGTCGCCAGATGGTGGGGGCTTGCGTGCTGCAGCGGTGGAGGCGGAGCGAGGGGGTGGATTCACTGTACTCACTGTATTCTGGGGGAGAGAATAGGGAGCTGCAGCGCTGTAGCCATGTGGCCTCAGCTGCCCGTCTTCGCTGGCTTGTGCTGGGCTGTTGATCTGGAACTAGACAAGCCAGCTGAAGAGCAAAGTTAGAACGTCCATCGCCATTCCATGCATGGCCCACGTTTCTCACAGGCCAACAGTCGGTGGGTTTGGCGCTTCTCCTTAAAGTTCCGAATCCGATCGCCGCGTCGGCCGCGCCCGGCAAATGGCCAGATGGGCTGGACAGTACTCCGTAGTACTCGTAAGACGACCAAGAGCAGCACCACCACAGACAAGCTACTGCTAGTCATGGCGCCGGAAAAGAGGGGGCAGTTGGCAGAGTGGGCGATTCTGGCGAGCCCATTTGCTGGTGTCAGCTTTGGCACTGCAACGAATAACGACGCATGGAGCTGCCACGCGCGGCAATGACAAGAGCAAGTGATGCGGGATGCGGGATGTGGGATGCGGGAGGCCGGAACGAGACGAGACGAGACGAGACAAACTGTGCAGCAGGTGAATTGGACTGAACTCAATGACGTTGTGGAAATCTTCTTGAATTGGCTTCGATGCTTTGGCTCCTTCTCCTTGTCTCCTGGTATATATTAGATTCACACCACAACTGAATGGCCAAGTCATGGCCCTTGCCCATGATTGCCGGCAAACACCGTCCGCCGACTCCGGGGACCCTTGATGCCTCTGTTTTCTCTTGACACGGGAGAGGATGGTTTTCCATCCTCCAAGATCTATAAACACAAAGAAAAATAACGCGATATTCTCTCTCTCTCCCAGCACATCCACATTCAGCAACCCCCATCTCCTTCTCCCCAATGTGTCCTCTCTTCCCATCGAAGAGATGCTCAGTATTCTGAGACTTGTGTATCAAAGAATCCCCACTTCGCGAAGCTTCTCTGTAATTTGCTCGCCCTGCAACGCCAATTGTTAACTATCAAATCCATCTCAACTCTTGCGCCTTGACGACTCCAAGTAGCTGGTGGGACGATAGGGGGCTTTTCATGTGTGGTAAGTGGTGGATGACGGGCCGGTCGGCGGGAACGGATCGCTCGTCCAAAAGGCTGCGCGCTCGTGTACCCACGTCGCATGCACGCAATTTACAGAATCTTGGTGACCTCGTCTTCGACCTTTGCGTTGAGGAAATTCGGTGTCAGCTGGGTCAAGTCGCATAGCTGTAACCGGAGCGGAGGCGGCGGACACGCATCACGCCAGGGAAGCGCCAAGGGTCGGTGTGATGCAGCCGTCAGAATCAACTGTGTATAGCACTTACCTCCATGTCTTCGAGTGAATCCTGCTGTCCGATACAGCGCAGCACGTTCTTTTTGCTGCTCTCCTGTAGCTCTCCGGCAAGAAGCAGTTCGTCGAGGATGTAGTATGCCTTGGTGAAGGAAAAGATGATGTCGAGCTCGCACACGTTGCCGTAGTACTTGTCCATCTGCTCGACGTATCGGTGGATGATTTCAAGCGTAATCAGCTCGTTGTCCTCGGAGGAGCATCCTGCAATGAAGAAGAGCGAGGCGTATCGTCGATATACAATTTTGGTGTCTGTTTGATGATGCCAGATATTCGTCAGCTAGACTTGCCATGGCCAACGAAGCAACGAAGCAACGATGACATTCATCACGTACCTTTGTACTCCAGAAAGTTGCACATGCGTGTTCTTCGAGCGAGGACCAGCTGTGAGACGTCCTTGACGATCTTGGCCTTGTCCTTGGGGGACAGCGTGGTAAACCACTTGGCAAGACGCTGATTGTGAGAGAGTCGGTCAGCAAGACACGCACATGGCAGATTCTACCGCTATCCAACGGCATCGGCAGCACCAGGAGCGACGAAGAGCTACGCACCACTTTCCCCTGACGGGACAATAGAATCAGATAGCTAGAGAGATGCCGGTCAGCATCATTCCGACGGGCGGCGCAGCAGCAGAGACGGTACGCACTGAATCGCCATTGTGACGGCTCTCTCACATCACCAGCGACGATGGACGCGCGGTGACAGAGGCAAGATGCGGTTTGAATAGACTTGAGCTGGCGTACTCTTGTTCAGACCAGGTAAGTTTGCCAGGTCGGTGACGAGGCAGTAGCGCGTGCTTGGACGGATAACTGCTGTACGTAGTCGGTACCTTGCTCCATGCCCCGTTCGCCGCCGGTTTGGGCTGTACCTTGTGCCGTACCTTGTGCCCCTCTCTATGTCACCACGAGCCTTCAGTGCCAACAGTGCTTGACAAATGATTGCAGCGCTAAGGAGCCCTGCGTCTTTAGGGCCAGATGGGCTGTAAGGCTCAACCCCGCGTGGCCTCGTTCAAATCCCATCCATGACGAGTCTGTTTTTTTCTGAAGGGTCCTCGCTAAACATTATTCGGCAAAACTCAATTTGAGACAGCTCGTAAAGTTTGAGACTACACGGAGAAAAAATCCCGTAAAATAAAATAATAATAAAATATGTAAATACCACGAGACAAAAAGTGGGGAGATTCTCTCTCGTTTTCTTGGACATCACCAGGCACATGGAAAACATCATACGAAAAGTCCGGCTACAAAGGGCGGCATATAAACATCTTCCCCTCTCCTCAAGCAACCACTTCAATATCGGCAAACTCGTACAACCTGAGCCATTTCGTGTAAGAATAGCTGATACTACCCGCCTACAACGCCGCCGAGGCCGCATCCCACCCGGCAACCCCCATTAGTAATACCTGCTATGAACCGCCACAAGCGCCATCTGGAGTAAATAGTATGGGATATTACTACGGAGTACGGAGTACAATAAACCTTGGTTATAACGAACCCCACCTGTAATGATAAGTCTTTCTACAGCGATTAAAAGCCCAGAACAGTTATAATTTTACACTTATCAACTGCAAAGCCTTAAATAATAATAATATTAGTTAAAATTTAGTAACTAACCTATATAAATAACTAAAAAAAATTATTATATAGTTTAAGCTAAGCCTAGTTAAGTAGTTAATTTTTAATTTAATTATTATTTTTTTAATATTATATAATAAAATTATTAATAATTTATATTTTTATATATGTTAATTAATTTTTTATAATTTTAATAATATTATAAAATAATAAAAGCTTTTAAATTATAATTTTTTTTTTAAAAAAAATAATTATTATTAAAAAAAAATATTAAAACCTTTTTTTAAACATAAATTTAACTAAACCTTTAAGTTAAAAATAAATTTAAATATAAGTTTTTTTAATTAATATTTTTAAATTATTAAATAATTATTATATTTACATTAATAATATTTTTAAAATTAAAAATATTTAATATATTTTTTATATTAATTAATTTTAAAAAATAATAAAAACCCTTTAATTTTATACTATTATAAATATTATATAACAAATAATATATATTTTTTATAAATTAATAATTAATATAAAATAAGTTAAGATAGTAATAGTCTTTAGATTAATATCTTATAATAGCTTTAGGTATAAATTACTAATATTTCTGTTATCAAATATATTACCCTTATAAAACCTGGTTCTAACGATTACCCGGCTGTAACGATACTATAGGCCGTGCTGACCTACATCGTTATAACCAAGGTTTACTGTATTATATTTAGTTATGCATTTTGAGAGAAAAAAAAACATGCCGAGAACCGGGTTTGGTGCTTTGGACTTATAGAACACTATCGAACCCGCCGGCCTCTTATCTTCCCTTGATCCTTCAAGGCCTTTACCTAAACTCCATTCATTGCAGATATCAAGGACCCTAACCAACATCACAATGACCAAGATCATTCTTTCTACGGGGTTTGTCCTCCTCCCAGTCGCAGACACTCTCTCCGCGGTCTCGCTAACCCAGGCGCCATTGCAGCAATGTCATGTCCGGAAGCCCATCCATCATTCGCAAAGGCGGCGGTAACTCCAAATCGAACCTCGAGCTCGTCAACTCTCTCCGAGACAACTTCGTCTCCACGCAGCTAGACTATGCGATTGATGCATCGCCGACCAACGGCTCCAACACCTTGCCCTCACCCCCTCAGACGCCGGTAGAGGTGTGGACGGAGCGAGACGACAAGACGCTCTACATCCCCAGGATCAACTGGGAAACCGCCGGTCTGCGCGAAGAGGCCAGCGATTATGAAATCACCGTCAAGCTGTTCCTCCTCCCGGGCACATCCGTTTCGGAGCGCGAGCAGTATGCGCGCGAGGCCCTCGACCTAGTTCGCAAGGAGCTCAACATCCAAACAATCGACCTTCTCATCGTCTCCTTTCCCGGAATGTCGTTTGTGGGCACATGCGAAAAGGAAGCCGAGCGCATCAACGCCCAGCAGGGCAACCTGGAGGAGGAGCTGGCCTCGTGGAAGGTCTTTGAAGACCTTCACAGCCAGGGCCTTGTCAAGCGACTCGGTGTCGCCGAGTTTGGTAGCGAGAAGCTTCGCGCTTTCATCGAGCGCACATCGATTCGCCCGACTGTTGACCAGATCAACCTCCAAGACTGCTGCAACGCCCCCGCGCCCCTCCAGAGGCTGGCCGAGGAAGAGGGCGTAGAGTTGAATGTCCACACGGACTGCACCGATATCTTGCCCCGCGGCACGCTGCGGGAGCTGCTCGGCCACGGACCTCAGGGAGCCGGAGTGCTGGCCGATGCTGCTCACGGCGGCGCTGGTCTCGAGGGTGAGCTCTCTCCTCAATGGGTTGTTCGATACGTGGCGTTTGTCAAGGACCGCGGCGTTCTCGAGAACAAGGGCTACTTTGCAGGAGCTGAGCTTCAGTGAAGAACAAAAGGACGGGTTGTTTCGGGCTTATTTGGATATCATGTTTCTTTTGTCACTAAAAGCGATATTTATTGTTTGTTTGATTTGGTCTGTCCATCTGGATATCATAAAGTGGGCATCATTACAGGGAGCTATGTCACATAATTTCCTCCCTTCGTTCTCCGGCTAGCGAGAAAGAACAGAGAATAAAGATTTTTCTTTTTTTTTTTTTTTTTTTTTTTTGTCTTTGCTTGTCTTGGCTCGTCATGTCACGTTCTAACCGAGCATGCTTCTCTTGCGGCCCCTCATTCTCACTTCTTCCAGTTTCTTGAGGGCCACGCCAGCCTGCTTGAATGACTGTTTGTATGCGTCCAGGACCTCTCCAAAAATGCATTCGGCACGGGGGTGTGTGCTGCCAAAGGCACGCTCAAGGACGTACAGGTCGACAGCCCGATCCTCATCGTGTACTCCTCCACTGGCAAGTCCAAGATCGATGATGACAATCTCACCCTCGAGTCCACTCACGTTGTCGGTTTCGGTCTGGCCCGCTGGGGGATTCAGCATCATGTTGCTCGTCGTCAGGTCGCCGTGGATGATGCCGATGCTGTGCATCTTGCCCACGGCGGCGCCGATTCTTCGCATCAAATCCTTGAGCTCCTCGTCGGCTTCAATGCCTTCTGTCCTGTCGCCCAGCCTCTGGTTGATGTTGATTCGCACAGGCGTGCCCTGAACCCATTCCAGCATCAGCCACCCTGCCGCCTCATCCAGAGCGTAGACGTCGGGAACGCGGAGGCCATCTCTGCGACACTTGGAGAGGATGCGAGCCTCGGACAGGATGCGGTGTTTGGTCAGACGCTGGTCAAGGATCGGGTGTCGCCATGGCTTCGGCGGCCGGTACTTTAGGGCGCAGGGGATGCTGGGCAGCAGGTATGTCGTCTTGTAGAGCCGACCTTCGGCGCCCTGGGTGATGAGCGTTGGCGGGGTCGACGCGGGGTTGGTGAGAATCGTGGGCAGTGGAAATTCATGCACCACGGCCTCCGAGGCGGTGGCCGTCATGGCTGGAGAGTCGGTGAGAAGCGGAGGAGAGAAATTTGCCTAGGCACAGGCCCGGATAAGATAACAGGTCAAGTGGAAATCTACAAATAAACGAAACAAGTCTGCTTTGGGGCTGGGCCGCTGCGATGCACTCTGCAGGTCATTGCAAGGTGCCCAACCGCAGTCACGGCCCTTTTCCTGCAGCAAAGTTCGCAAGAAAAAAAAAAGAGCACGAAAAAAGGTACTACGCGCTGTAGTGGGGTTGACAGCGAGGGTTTGCCGGTACTATTGGCTGGAGATCGACGCCCGCAGGTACCGGCGCAGCAGTCAAGCGTGAAAAGAGGCCGATATGCAGGACAAAGAACGGGATGGAAGCAGAAGTCACTGGACAGTCTGCCATTTGTGGGCTGGACTGGGTCCGTTTGCTGCAGGGCTCAACGGGGAAAAGATGAGCGAGATCTGTTTTTGGGGTGATGCTTTTGGAAAAGACCTCTTGAAACATATAGTACCTGTATTCGGCCTCCCAGTGCTGATGTTGGTGCTTCAGGGAATCAAGGTACCTAGGTATAGAGGGACCTTAGTACGGAACAGTACCTCTTGTAGCCCATCTTCTTGATCCCGCGTCATGGGAACATTGTACGACAAAAATCCATGTGACTCCTACAGTCTCAACACCCTTCCCCAACCATCTCTGCCCGTCGTCATAGCTGGGCCTAGCTGATGCCCTTGCAGGGGCCGACGCATACTATGTACGAGTGCCTACGGAATCTGGGAGTCCGTCATGTTTGCTTGCTTCGCCTCTGTGCGCTCCCAGAGCCCTTGGGCCAACAAAATCCGACACACAGTATCTGCTCCTCCGCTAGTAGCACTATGAGTCTACCTGCTTCTCCTCTCCCTCGGCTTTTTAGCCCACGATGGTTGCATACGAGTACATGCCTTGCTTTTAAAAGAGAGAGCTGGTGTGTTATTATTACCTCTCTGCTGCCACACCGGCCCAATCAGGGCTTGGATCAGGGCTCTCCTCCTCCACTACGTAATATCGCAATCCGTTTCGCCGCTTTAGCTGGTGATTCTGTTTCCTTTTGATTCTTTCTTCTCTCTTCTCTCTTCTTCCTCTTTTCTTCCTTCTCTCTCCTCCCTCCTCCCTCAGTTGACCGCCAAAGCTCCCGCCTCCTCCCGCCGGACCATGCCTCTGCCCTTCCAGGACGACATCACGACTTGTGCTTCGTTGCCCTCCGCTGCATAATGGCCGACTCAGGCTGGCTCCAGTGGGCCTACCTCTTGGCCACCACCGCCACTGGCATGTCCATCGTGATGATCGCACAGACTGCGAATTCGTACTGGGCGGCATACAAGGTTGCGCCGCAGGAGGTGGCTAGCTTTATCGACACTCTTGATTTTTCTCTCGAGGAGAACGAAGGGTACGACCGGGACGTCTCCAAGGTCCAGCGTCTTGAGGACAAGATCCGCCTTAATCGCTTGCTGAGGGAAATCCAAAAGATCGGAGATGACTTGCGCGATGAGCTGAGCTGCCTGGTCCTCGAGGAGGGCGAAACCAAGCTACGGACCAGCTCAAGGCTCATGTGGGCGTCGAAGCGCTCGCAGCTGGAGGAGAGAATGAAGCGACTGGAGACGCTGCGCATGCGCTTCATGATGGTCTATTTAGGCATTATAACTTCAATCGCAAAAAAGCAGCCGCCGCCTCCGCCTCCGCTGCCCAAGCAGCTGCCGGAAAAGACCACTTACACAACACCCACCAGGCCCTCGGCAAAGAAGTCGTTTGATGATCTGCCCCGACGCACGCCTGCCCGAAGACTTACCACGCAGGCCATCGGGCACAATGAGCATGTTGAGACACCCCAGCGCAGTGGCTGGGCCGGAGTCGTCCAGGAGTTGCAGATGTCGCCGCGGATGCGGGCACGGCACGCCTCCATCGAAAAGCTCATGGAAGACTCGTCACCCTAAAAGAAAAACCTTGCATCTGCTTGGTTTTTCTTGTTTGTTGGGCCGATCCTGTTCCCTTACTGTTTCTTCACCCCCCTTTTTTATTACTTTGATTTATTCCTCGTCCGGTTCCTCTCAAAACCAGCCGATTATGATATATCACACATACACACACCCACAATTCAACGGCATGCAGACAGTAGAAGTTTACGATGACATGGCCATGACTTTCGTTACGAATTTTACACGACACTATCAACAATGAGAACGAATAAAAGAGACTGATTGATACACTAGAACAAGTGTTCGATGGCAAGCTTTACTTACGACGTATGAGAGAAGAAAAAGAATTTTAGTTCTATGAGGCACGAATTGGTTTATTTACTACGGCGCGCGCGGATATGGATGGGACATGGATGGGATATGGGATATGGGATGTGGGCGGTGGACTTTGGGTCTTTTGACGGTTTTATCTTTTTTATTCAATCACATCACATCACACTTCTTCTTGGATAGGATACCCCGTTTATTCCACTTTCCTTTCACTTCACCAAGATTGCTCACGCAGACTTTCACCCACTTTTATCTCTATCACAGTTAATGATTTTATTTTCTTCCGTGCGACTTTTTTACACTCATTATTATTCAGCTCTACGCTTCTTCTATTTCCTTCTCTATGTCCTTTCCTGTTTTGAATCAACGATGAGTACAGTCTCCAGACCAAATTCCGATCAATGAGCAGACAACACAGCATCTGGGCCAGTACCATTCTTTTCACCCACTATACGCAAAGTTAGAGATTGGCAAACAGATTTGAAATAGAAAACAAAAGATTGAGACTAGGATAAACTTGAGCTTACCATCCAGAGCAACCAAAAATCTGCTCACACAGTTGTAGGCAGCGACCTGTGATGCCAAATTTCCATTGTGAGCAAAACATTTCCAAAATACAGTCTCGCATTTATTGTAGGAAAAGGAAATAAGGGTTCTTACCGTTGCCGTAATTTCTACAACCTCCTGGTCGTTGAAATGCTGCTTCAAGAGCGCAAATGTCTCGTCCCTGACTTGCACATTCTTGGTCATCTCATCCGCATACACCAGCGCCGCCCACTGCTTCTCACTCAACAGTCCCTCTGGCCTCTCCCCCAGGGAATCTTCCTTGACATGCTCCATGGCAGCCACGCCCACACCGCCCTGGATGGCCAACGGCGCATGGTGGCCCCATTCATACCACGCCTTGTTGCATACGGCGACTCGCGAAATAGCCAGCTCACGCACATCATCGCTGAGAGACGTCTTGGTGCGAACAGCGCCTAGGAAGGAATTCCAGCCATCTGCTACGTGGGGCGAGTGCAGGAGAGTCAGATCCAGGGCCTGGAGAGGGCGAGGAGCACGACGGTCTTGGATGCGCTGCACGATGGCGGCATCTTGCTCGGTTTGGGTTGGGGGAGGATCGGCGACGTAGGGGAGACGCATGATGACGGCGATACGTGATATCTAGGTGTTTACCTTGGTGTTTTTAAAGGAATGGACAAGATTGATGCTGTTGGCTGTTCACGTTCTGCATATATATCGCATCGTCCGGGGAAATGACCGGACGGAATCGGCAGAAACTCGCGCGGGGTACCGGAGTCACATCCCGACCCGCAAGTCCACATCGGGCCCGAAAACCGGCAATTGCTTCTTCCATGACAGAGCAGAGCAGGGTTTGGAGACTGGGGTCCGGGTGAAGGTTTTTGAGCATTTCAAGGCAAGTTGTGGGTTGCTAATACTGACTCAGCTCTCATTGGAGCCATCAGGTACCCTGACTGTTACAATGTACGGGAAGAATTGCAGTGCGACTGGTCTGAGCTTCTGAGTCTTGAGCAACGTGGACAGAGAGATTATCCTCTTCATGTCCGCCACTGCTAGAAAAGGACCATGGATTGCTGGCTGCTTGTCATTTGTATTGACTCATGTCAAAACTTGACAAAGATGAATCTATTCTTGATTTCAATGTTGGGGGGTAGGTACTTGGTGCACAGATTAACCCACCTTTGTAAATCGCCTATGTTACTAGACACTGAAGAAGCATGATGCAGTTCTACAGATGTTACTCTTCGGCCAAAAAGGACAGCCACAATGAGCCTAATGTTGCCCTAGTGGATTCGCTCGGGGTAAGCCAGATTAAGTTCAGCCAACAGCCAAAAGACAAAAGGAAAAAAAAAAGAAACAGGTTCTAGAGGGAGTCGAACCCTCGCTGCCGGAATCAAAATCCGGAGTCATAACCGTTAGACCATAGAACCACGAAGGTTCAATGGTCAAAATTGGCGTATTCGGGCTTATACACCGTTCACCATTGCATTTTTTCTCTTTTACTCTAGGGTAGCATTCGCAACTCCGCGGAAAAATATCCGCTGAGTAAATTGGATTTCAATTTTTGGTGAAAAAGTTTTTGTCGCTGGCCCATTCACCCATTCGTCGAGATTCCACATCATTGCATTGATGAAAGGAGGGGTGCAATGCTGTGAGTGGTGATCTGTAGCTGGTTGAGTAAAGATTCAATGCTGGTGAGAATAAAGCATGATCCCTGTGCCAGCACTCGATTGGGCCAGCGGCAACTTAAGAAATTGATTGAAAGATAAAAAAAAAAAACACCCCGTGCCCGTTTTCACGCATGCTTGGCTCGAATAGTACATTGCTGAATGAAAGGTTGCATAGTGGATAAGAGTTGCTCGGGAATCTAGCCGCAAAAATCGGATACTGTGCGTCAACGAAGGATTTCATCAATGACTGACCAAGAAGACACTTTGAGATCGTAGATGATGTAGGCAGCCAGTATCCGATATTTGGGAATAATCTTGAAATGAAAATCGCTTGAATTAGTCAACATGATGGATTGGACCAATGAAAGCAAACTGAAAAGGACCTTTTTTACTTTCAACCGCCTTGAGTAGTCGCTGCAACTTGCCTATTCTGACTCAGAGCGAGCGAGACGGACTTACAGTGTCCAAACTGTATACAACAACCCCGTGTAAGGCACATTGCTTTTGGCAGGATTCGCACTTACACCTTTAGATCTCTCTCCTCCAACTTACACTCCTGCCGCTCCCCTCGACGATAATAAAGAAATTAAAATGAGACACTCTTACTTCGATGATCTTGCGGTGCCCTTCGAGGTCGACCGGCTTATCGAAATTCGCACGTCCGCAATGAAGCGAATGCCTGGCCTGACCATCATGTCTGGCATTGACAAGGAGCTTCGCACTGTCTCGATGAAAGTCGACAGGCTGGGATTGGAAGGGGATGAACACGACCTTACATTTCATGGCGGTCTAGACAAGGCCATCCTTGGATGTAATTATTTCCCCATGACTGCTGTGAATAGGAGACAGACTGACGTTTGGACTTATTCTATTAGACTGCTCATCGCATTATCCATCCTGGCAGGAATCTTACCCCGACCGCGTCGACAAATTCGTCCCAGGAGGCTTCGGAGAGAATTTCGTCACAGCGCACATGAACGAGCGAAATGTTTGCATCGGAGATGTTATATCCGTCGGTCCTGAAGTCGTCCTCCAGGTGTCCCTACCAAGGCAGCCGTGCTTCAAACTCAACCATCGCTTCTCATTGAAGAATTTCGCCCCTGAAACTTACAAGACGAGTCGTACCGGATGGTACTACCGAGTCCTCCGCGAGGGCACTGTTAGCGCTGGTGATGAACTGAAGCTGGTTGAGAGAAAGTGGCCAGAGTGGACGGTTGAGCGCGTGCAGGAGTATTTACACCGCGTGACTGACAATGATGAAATGAATGAGAAGCTGGCCGAAGTGGAGGCTCTAGGCAACGAGGCCCGTGGCCAATTCAAGAAACGCGTGGCCAAGGCACAGAGACGAAAGCAACAGAAGAAAGAAGAACCTTGGGAAACTTACAAGGTGGTCAGCTGGAAGATGGAGACACCTCGGACAATTTCGCTGGTCATTGAGGCTGCTGCCAAGCCCCAATTTGACGGCTTCCCATCGGCGGCTCACGCCAAACTTAGACTTGCCAACGGCCTTGTGAGGACATATTCAGTTGTGTCAAGTAGCGGCAAGGGAACCGAATCGGTCAGAAGGCTTGAGTTTGGTATTGCTCTTGACGAGAACAGCCGAGGCGGCTCCCGGTATCTCCACGAATCTCTCAATGTTGGAGATAGTATTGAAGTGGGCAGTGTGGTGAGTGATGTCAACGGACCAGTTAACGCGGCAAGCCACCACGTCTTGATAGCTGGAGGGATTGGCATCACGGCCTTTTTGGAACTCATGAAACTGTATGACTCTATTAACTGGAGCTTTCAACTCCACTATGCTGTACGGTCCTCGGACGATATCCCTTTCCGAGAGCAGCTGGAGTCGTATGGAGATAGGGTTATCATATATGACAAGTCGAAAGACCAACGGATGGATATCAACAACGTCATGAAGACCATGCCTTGGAACAGCTTCCTGTACGTCTGCGGACCCAATCGTATGATGGAAGCGGCCAAAGCTGCTGCCGAAGATGCTGCCATTTCCCCTCAGGAGATACACTTTGAGGCCTTTTCCGCCGACACTACTGGAGATCCTTTCGAAGTACAAGTCGTCAACAGGAACGACAAGGTTGTCAAAGTGGGCGAAGAGGAGAGCCTCTTGGAGGTCCTTCAGCGCGAATTTGGGGATATCCCTTCGAGCTGCGAGGTGGGCAATTGCGGCACCTGCAAAGTTACTGTCAAGAGCGGAGAGGTGCTTCATCGAGGTTCGGCACTTATGCCGGGCGAGAAAGAATCTTCCATGTTGACTTGTGTGAGCCGTGGTGTTGGAAGGATTGCAATTGAAGTATAGATCGATGTCGGGAAGATTTTTCTAATAGATGGCGGTACTGCATGTACATGAAGTAAGAATTTGATAGCTGAATTAAATTTCTCCTTCATCTCAAGTACGATACTAGTAACATCTTGTTAACACGCCATTCACTTCTCACATTTTCAATCTCTCATAGAGATTTTCCAATCTCAAACTCAATTGCGGCGCGAATGCCTGAGGAGACGGAAGGGCTCTTGATGCAATTATTCCAATCGCAAAGCATCGAACGGCGAGATGGCCGAGTTGGTTATGGCGTCAGGTTAAGGCTACCTTAACAGCAATTCCTGGTGGAGCAATCCGCGTGGGTTCGAGTCCCACTCTCGTCATTTTTTGATGTTTTCGGATATCTATTTTTGCTGAAACTAGCATCATGAGCTTCGTTGTTTTGACGGTGATCATGGGGAATTTCTTTGTATGCTGTCAGCTTTTTTTGTACTGGATTAATCACTTGATTATTCGAATGTGAATAGTATCGTTCCTTCCACAATTAACACAAAATGACCCACTCGTATCGATAGCAATAGTGGGGCCATTTTTTTCTCTGGACTTTCAGAGCGTCGAGCTGCTAACAAAACTTCGTCCTGCTACACCCAAAGCCGAATCATCTTTCATAAAACCACATCTCCCTCAGGGGCCATAAATCGCAAAAATATGGTTCCCGTAGACGCGGCCGGCGATCAATTCGCCATTCTTCCGATCCAGATGCCACCAGTGCCTTCATTCCCCGAGACTGCTCTGCATGAAGTGCGGATACGAAGAAATGCACCCAAAATCCCCACGGCGAATGATTCTCGGAGTCTTTTCCTGAAGAATATTCCCGCAGATAGCACAGAGCCTCATTTTAGAGCCGTTTTCACCGAGCTCGTCGGAGCTGGACGATTCGAGACGATAACGTTTGAGGGGGAGGAAAAGGCGGCAGTTGTCATTGACCCTGCCAGAGCAATCAAGGCTGCTGCGCTTGCGCGCAAGCGGAAGCGAGGGGACGTGGAGGAAGAAGAAAAAGCGGAAGAAGAAGCTGCGCGGCTACCAGGTATCTGGACACGTCAACTTCACCGAAGCAGTAGCACGGCGATTGTGTTGCTCGCTGATGAGAAGAGTGTGCAGCTCGTTCTCAAGGCGATCACGAAGCTTCAAAAGACCAAAAAATACCCTGTATGGGGACAGGGCCTATCGGACGATGTTCAGCCACTGGGTGCTACGTGGGTGTCTTCCCATCTGCGCCTTAGCCGCGCTGATAAGGCCGAGGTGCAAAAGGCTACACATGCATTCTTCAATGTGTTCAATAGGAAGGAGAAGGAAGCTGCTGAAATCAGCAAGCGACTACGCAACGAACCTGATGAAGATGGCTTCGTTACTGTTACTCGTGGTGGAAAGGGTACTCCTGCAAACCAATTCGAAGCTGAGGAGGCCAGACGGAAGATGGTCGAAAAGGCTGCCAAGAAGAAGTCGGAAATGAAGGACTTTTACCGATTCCAACTGCGAGAACGACGGAAGCAGGAGCAGGCGGAGCTGCTGAAGCGCTTCGAAGAGGACAAGAAGAAGGTCAATGCTATGAGGGAAAAGAGAGGAAAATTCAAGCCCGAAACATGATGTGGATGAACTTGTTACAAAGCGTCCGTGAAGTGAAGTAAGTCGAGCTTTCATTGTTCACTTTTTTTCGCCCTCAAGCATGATGACGCACGCGGGGCCATCGAGAGGCTGGAATGGACTCGGGTTAGCCTGAGTCCTGCTCGGCTGATGTCGACAAAAACCGCGTAAAACAATCTTCTCAAACTGCTCTGAAGCTTGGATGAATAATCAATGGCGCTTTCTTGTGATGGTTGAGGACAAGAAATGGTATTAATGCCATGCACAGGAACATTGAAGTTATCGATTTTATGAGGGCGCTGAACAAGCGAAGAGGAAACGATACCTACGTGGATCAATCGTATCATCTCGATATCGCCTGCTGGAGTCTTGCAGCTACACAGGATACTGCATCGGATTTAGTTCTCCTGGCTTGATGATCGCCATCGAACTCGCTTGCAAGTTGAGTGCTGCGCTCTGCTAATGCGGCAGCAAGGCTCATTATGAGGATATCATGCCGCGGAAGCGTATGTGGATAATGATACCCCCAATGTATATAAATAATAAATATCCTCAGATGGACTACGGAGTTCAAAAAAAGCTGCCTATCGCAAATACAGATGCTTGAAAGCGCAAATAATACAGGATAGTTCGATGTACTTGTTAAGGTGGGGCCAATGAAATGCCCTTGAATATAGGAAAATACAATTATAGAAAATCATTTCGCCTTTCCTTTCTCTTCCTGTAAAAGAAGCTATATTTGAGCAGAAATGCATCTTCTGGATGTTAGTAGAATTCACATCTGGTGTATGAAATCTTTGCTTAGTCATGCACATCCACTTAGTCACCCGCCGCACGGGCATTGTTTACTTTCTCCGCCCGGCAACCAAATCTTCTGATAACAGAGGAGCATCAACGAGCTTTTGCGTCCACAGCGGCTTTGAACGAGGGACATGACGCTGAAAAATCGGAGATAAGACCAATCTGATATTTGTTTTTTCTTACCATCCTTTTTCTGCCGCTGAGCTGTTGCTCATCATGATTGATACGGAGAACCTCCGGACGGCCTCGTTGTACATCAACAATCAGCTGCTCTCGAGAGGCCTGATCAGAGATGGCCACGACATTAATTTCGCAGACTTTGGAGAAAGAGGACTTGGAAGCCCTCACACCGCAAGCCGAATCATCGGTGTATTGAATGATCTGATCATTCGACGGGATGTACGCTTATCGGCAGTTCGTTTTGCTTGGGCAACATTGGCTAACCCCTCCTCAGCGCGACGCAGAGCAGCGCGAGTCCTTCTCGACAACAGTTCTCAATCTTCGAGCAGAGAACTTAAAGCACACGAATGACATTGCCCGGTTGTCAGAGAGATGCGCCGAGGCACAACGAAGGAGCGACATCGCAGCGACCTCCGAGGCGAATCTCAAGACGCAGCTCAAATCGGCCGAGTCGGCCATGAAGGGGCTTAAAGACGAGCTGGCACGGACAAAAGGATTGGTAGCTCAGGTGCGAGCATCATGCGCAACCGAGATACGGAGGCGTGATCGCCAAATCGAGACCCTCAAGAAGCAAGTCGGCGAGGCGGGCCGTGCCAGAGGGACAAAGTCTAGCTCTGGAATCCTGTCAATTACAGTGACGGGAGATATGGATAGTGAAGAGAAGAGATCATCCATGCGCGGAGGAAACCTCGAGGACAAGGACTATTCTTTGCGCAGCGAGACGAACAGTTTCTTGGCGAGTTTGGCACAGAATTTGAGCGACGAAAATGAAACTCTCTTGAGAGTCGTGCAGCAGGCGAAAGACCATTTGCGAGAAATGAGCGGCTATATCGGCGAAGGTAAAGAGGATTCTGAGGTGGTAAAGCCTCAAGGCTGGGAGGAGATGACAGCGGAGCTTGGTGCTGTGATCAACCACATGAGAAACATCTTGACGAACCCATCGTTTGTGCCGATCGAAGAGGTTATGATGCGAGAGGAACAAATTAACAGTCTCAAGGAGGCCGTGCTTAAAATGGAGAGCCGATGGGAAGATACTGTCCTTTTGATGGATGGTTGGCGGAAGAGAATGGCGACAACCGGCACGCCTATTGGGGAGGATGATATTATGATGGGATTGCACTTGAGCCCAGTTCGTGTCTCTGGTGTCGAGGAAACGAGAGCCGCTCGTGAGCCTAAACTACCAGCCGTTGAGGAGGAGGAAGAGCCTGAGGAAGATATATATGGTGATAGTGATGACGAATTCAGTGGCTTCTCTGGCGATGGCGACAACGACGACAACGACGACAACGACAATGATGTGCTAGCTTTTGAATATGACGCTGAAGAGCAGGATGACCCCATGTCAGGAATAGAAGAGACCGCAATGGAAATCGACGATGAACCGCAATCTATAGAGCCTCAGCCTGCCCCCCTTCAAAATTCTTCCTCAGCAGGCAATCGTGGTCCTCAACAGAGCACACTCCGGCAAAAGCCTAGTGGCTCTGCTTCCACCGCAGCAAGGGGGGCACAACAACTAGCTGGAGCAGCCAATACCGAAACGGCCAAGCAGATGTCTAGCCAAGTTACGAGGTCTTTTATTACCCAACGATCACGACCTGTTGCCGCGAAGGCTACCAGACCCGAAGAGGGGATCCGTATGGAGTCTACAACATCTCTAGACGAAGCTCCTGAAGAACATACTCCTTTGAGAGCCGGGCCTTTCGTTGGTGCTGCTTCCAAAGCGGGCAATTTACGCTCAGACCCTCGCCGCATACCCGTTCGGTTAACGCAGCCTCGGCCAAATGGCGCGCGGCCTCAGCCTACTTCACCATCCAAAACTGCCATTGCTGCTAAGCTTGCGGCTTCAGAAAAGCAAGCTGATGCCGCCCGCACCCGCGCAAAGCTCAGAGCTCTCCACACTACCGGAGGTGCTCAAAGGCCGACCATAGCCTCTGCGGCGGGATCATCGAAGCTACCAGCAGCGAGGACGGGCGCTCCAGCAATAAACAGCGCAAGGGGTTTGAGTCCGGCAAAGCGAGAAGTTGTGCAGCCGGAAACACAGCAGCCGGAGACACGCAAGAGAGACAGAAGGGTGGCTAAAGTCTCGTCGAGGCGGAGGAGCACACTTAGTCCCTTTGAACTGCAAAGTTTGATATCCGGCAATGTTGAATGAGGGGATGGTGAGGAGCGGAGATGATGCGATGATGCGATGACGTGACGATGTAATGATGGGGCCGGAATCTTTGATATTTGGATAGTGGCGTTTTATTGATGCTGTCTGCAGTTGGGAAGAGCATTGGTATCGGCGTTTCTGTTGAGGTTTGGACAAGGTCATATTGGTAGCCACGAACTGGATGGATGTCATAACTTCCTGATTTAATACTATATACTATATCCCCCCCGTCATTTAACATCTAGTTCGTTCATATTTTGCCACCTGAAGAATAAAAGTGATGGCTGATACCAAAAAAGAAGAAGAAGTTAATCAGTCTTGATAGTACATCTGGCTTCCGTTATTCCCCTCCCAAGCTTGCCCGAGATCTCTAAGTTTCGTGACTGCCGCCTCCCCTTCAACCGAGCTGGGGAACCCCTTGATGAGCGAAATACCATATTCAAGAATACCCATCGCATCATTTAGAACCACTACCCCTTCATCTTGGCGGGTGAGAACCAGCAAGTATCTCTCGCTCCAATTTGCATCACTGAGGACAGGATCCTCAGGGGTGATGTTGTCAATGGCGATGATGGAAAGCTCAGGGGTAGTAGACATGCCCATTCCCGGCTCCACGTCCATGGAATCCCGCGGCCAGGAATCTTTCGGCACGAACGCCGCTGGTTTAGCGTGGCTCGGGCCTGATCCAAGAGTAGAAGCAGCCCAGAGCGTCAAGATTGCTCTATGTACGGCTGTCGGCCACCACCATGGGTGTGTGTCGACGTTGACGGCACGCAGGTATCGCAGCGCTTGACCGCAGTGAAGAATGGCGTCTTGGCGGTTGCGTATGCCTCTCTCGTTTTGGAGGGACTGCTGCCAGAAGCTGATACTAAGACTCTCTCGATCGGCGAGCCGCTCGATGTCGATGAAGCTGGCTACAAGGTTGAGGCATGTGAAATGATACAAGACCAAGGCCGGTGGAGTATCCTGAGAATAGAGGTTTTCGTTGCAGGCCTCCATTGCAAGATTGTGCCACATTCGGAGCAGTCTCTGCGTTTCCAGTAGAGTGGAATTAGCTGCGTCGGATAGTGCTGGAGAATAGCTATGTTTTGCCCAAGAAAGTAGGCTCTGCGAATGGTGAACTAAAGCTTGCAGCGGGTGAAGAAGAAGCTCAAGGTGCCGTGGTGGGACTCTCCTTGACAAAGTCCCGTGGAGGAAGTCTTTGAAGAGTTGATTCAGAGTCGGACGAGCTTCAAAATCAAGTGTTCCTTCTGTTTTAACTTCGGTGTACAAGCCATCTGAAAGATATAGGTCGCTGGTCTGCAAGATGTTTTTCGTATCCCATGGAAGCTCGGGATCAGGGAGAGGTCGTTCCAAGTCATATGCAGAAATGACATGTTCAGTATCGTAAAAGAGGCTCAGCTCTTGATCCATTTTGACCCAGCTATATACCAACCTATGTAGATGGTTAGCATCTGCTGCATGAATTTACCAGAAAAAGACATGCCTATCGCGAATTGAGTATCGGTTCTTCGCTTTTGGCTGTTGGTGCAAACACATCGATTCCCCTACAGAAAAGCCTGAAGCATTGCCATCAAACAGTCCCTTTTGTCTTAGTCTCTTCACCCACGTTCTTGCGCTGGATAGACTCGGGATTTCCTTTGATTGCAGCTGGTTGGAAGTACTACCGATGTCGAGCTCGGATTTACGACTTGCCGCTAGGAAGCCGGACGCGTCTTCACAGGCATCCGGTGCCTGGATGAGACCAGAATAATCCTCCAACTCTGGTAAGTATGATATTTTGGAGCAGAAATGCGAGTTGTTGGAGTCATTGAGTAGATTTGCTGGATAACATCGATAACTACTCGGTATTCTGATCGAGACGTCGTTGTTGATGAGGTCGATATCTGTAGAAAATTCGGAAAAAATAGGTATGGGCGAGTTTTGCTTATTTTCGAAAACGTTTAGTTTATCTGAATATGATGAGCTGCCACCCAACGAGGAAGCAGCAGCGGAGTAGCCAGATAATGGCGAGAGTGGGTTTAGAATATCCCAGAGACTGTCGTCACGTAGATGGTGTGGAGAATCTTGAGCAATATTTTCAGGACATTTGTCCACTTCAAAGGAAAGTGAATTCTTTCGAAATGGCCGCGACCCAAAGCTGAAGCCGGCTATCTGACTCTTTGCCAATGACGGTGCTGCTTGTGCTGCCCGGATTGCAGCTTTGGAGGCCCGCCGGGCGTATCGGGCGGTGCATTGCAGGTTCTTCTCCATACATCTCGAGCATGGGATCTTTTTGTCGCAGCCGGTCTTTGCATTTGCGCAGTTTTGACAGGCAATGAGCGTACGTCCAGATATACAGGGGCTGCTTGTAGTTCCAGAAGAGGGCTCGACATAGTCTCCCGGCCTGTGAAGCGTCATAGTGTAACTTTGCATCAAGAGCTTTGGGGTGGAGGAAATGAGCTATGTATTGTAAAATATGAGTGAATCCGAGAGATGGCGGCACGCTTAGTGGTAAGGAATATGCTCACAGGGAGGCAGGAATCTTGTGACAATCGCTGCTGTGAACCAGATTTCTCACATATAAGAAACCCAGGGTGCAATATGGCTATAGAGAGCCCAGGAACTGTATGATAGATAATTGGACCTCGTAAGCACCACCAGACCTGAAGAAGAACTCAACTTTCAACAACGCCAACGTTCGAGTGCTCATTGGCAACGCCGAGAGCGACTAATACTTCATGTTAAACCGATTAAAGAAGGTGCCGCGAAAAAGCCACTTTTGTATACGACATCTGGGAAAGAAGGATGCTTCTTGTGGACAATGAAATGCATTTGTGTTGCGCGTACGTCCTTATTATAGGCGCGTATGTATTCCGTGAAATGAGCTAGTAATTGGCTAAACGAAGCTCGGTGTGCGTGGTTTAATCGACGTGAAACCGCTATACAGCATGGTCTCTGTAAAAATGTGCAACTTTGAAACGGTTAGATAGCTTTGAGGGTTGATGGATCATGAGAAACACCCTAAGCTTTCAGAGAACAAGTGCATAGCCCGATACTATCGAAAGAAGAGGCAACAGTTGTAGCTTTGTGGCGACAATGGTATTTATGGCGAAATCTTTGTATAATTATTTGCTATGTTATCATAGCTAATGACTTCGATCCTGGCAGATGGCTGTTGTGTATAGGAATAGCGCCCTCAATGATGGCAAACTAATGAAATACCCGAGAGTAGGCAAGTTTTGCCTTTCCACAGTAGAAAGACAGAAGAGGCACTGATTATAATATATCGTTTAGACAGGATTGGCCACCTTGAAGGTGCCAGGTTGCCTGCAGCTGGCCAAACTGAGAAGATTTTTTTTTAAAATAAATTCCAGTAATCTTTTCCTGGAGCATCCGACGCTGTATAAGTTCCATATTGATGAGAAAAGAGTAGGTTTCAACTGCAGAGCCAAAACTAGTGATGGCTCTGTAGTAGAGATTTTCAATATCATCAGGAGTCTGATGTGCAAACCATGCACCAATATGCAAGCCACAATGGTCAAGTATTGGTGTCTGGGAGCTTTCTTTGTTAGTGTTTGTGATATCTGAGGCAAATATACGAGAGGCTATTTTAGGTTTCGACGACTGTCTCACATATAATATCCCGTATAGCTAGGCGGCCACGACTGTGAAACTGTGCGACCATATGGCATACGTGTTCTGGCTGACGTGTGGTTTGAAGATCAACTTGAATCCACAAGACTAAGCATGTTAACTTCAGCAGCTAACCGAGCTCTGGGGTGTCATTTTCGTCGAATCTTCTGTGGCCGGCTTTCGTTTGGCTTTGGGGGTAGTAATGGTGGCCGCCTTTTAGGATGCCTATACGGATACAGTGTTTCTGCCCATCTCGCTGTTGCACAGATTGCACAGCTTGACAGTTTGGCCATGTTTGCATGCATATTTGCACCTTGATAAACTCAAGTCAGATGGCCATGGTGCGTCAACGATGACAGAGAATGGTTGTGGCAGCTCGGTTTGAAGACAAGCCTTTAATTCCCAAATATACGAGGAAGTAAAGGGTATTTGTAGTCATAAATACGACCGAAACATATAATTGGATCTAACTCCTTGATGGAACTGAAGAACCTCGAGGATCTTGAAGCGGTGCGACTTTCAGCCCCTCTGAACCCCTCTTAGGGGTTGTTGAATGCTGAACGATTCAAAGATCCGGCTTCTGGCAAGGTGTCACAAGCCATGATTCTGATATAATTGGAGGTTAGCTCAATAATAGATCTGCTATATGGCCTGTGGTGCGCCATGTTGTGTTGGAAGTGGGAGTGGCAGATGATTAGACTCTGTGCTCCAGTGTAAGCACTCACTTTTGGGCCATGACGTATCGCATCGAATGCAAGTCGATTGAATGTTTGAAGAATCGGGGGGGGGGAATATGGATGAGTGTAAAAGCAGAGAATGGAGAAGAATGGAATGATTGTAACTGTAAATGAAGCACGTGAGAACCTTGGTGGTTAAGACTTGGAATTTGACGGCAAGTGTCGCCTGCATTGACTGCGGAAGTTAGTAGGGAGTATCTAACTACCTAGTACGGAGTAGGTACCAGTACAAATGCCAGTGCCAGTTTTATGTCCGAGTTGTTGCGCCATAGGCTACTCCTACAGCGCCTTTCCTTTGGTAGCAGCGGGTGCGATTACGTAGCCGATAAGCAGCTACAGGTCAGATAAGCGAACAGCTTACTGGCTAAGCTGCTACCTAGCAGTTATATCAGCGTCTCACGTTTTGGACAACTCACCACATGCATAGGTTGTCCTGTTGATAACCTCTACAAACTCGTTCGTGGGACAGAGCAGCGCAGCCTCGTCGCATCATGAAGCTCGTCATCGCCGTTCCAGCAATTGCAGCCCTTGTGCTGAGGGCGTGGAGCAAGAAGTCTCTGACCCCAGCAGGTCTGGTAGCTGCCACAGCCACAGCCATTGCGCACGCCTATCACCCGTGGAATCTTCCCTTTGTCCTCCTCGTTGTCTTCTTCTTGGCGGGCACACGAGTCACACATGTAAGTTGATTCAATGAGTTGTAGTGATCATTGATGCAGCCGGAGGTACTAACAATGGCACCAGGTCAAGGAGAATGTCAAGGCCACGCTCACAATGAGTGCAAAGGGATCCTCGGGCGGCGAGGGTCCTCGAACGCATATCCAAGGTAAGCAGACGGATATCACATATGCTTGTGCATGTAGTTACAAGGACGAAGTTAATTTCATGGTCAAGTCTTCGCCAACTCACTCGTGGCATCCATCTTGTCTGTGCTCCACGCAAACCAGCTCCACGCTCGAGCTGCTGCCCTCAAAACCCCAGGTGTTCCGGATCCTAATGGGTCGATGTGTTACGCTTGGGGAGGCGATCTCTTCATCGTCGGCATCATTGCCAACTATGCTGCGGTTGCTGCGGACACGTTCAGTTCGGAGCTGGGCATCTTGTCCAAAAGCGAGCCCCGCCTTATCACGTCGCTTACGCTGCGAAAGGTGCCCCGCGGCACAAATGGCGGGGTGACGCTGTTGGGCTTGGGGGCTGGCCTTCTGGGATCCCTTACCATTGTCACGTCTTCTATGCTGTTCCTGCCAATGTGCGACGAATCCACGGTTTCGAAGCGCGGAGGTGGTGCCCCCTGGTCGGCAGACAACAGACGGCTATTTATGGGCTTCCTGATCCTGTGGGGTACCCTGGGTAGCGTCTTGGACAGTTTTCTTGGTGCCATCTTTCAACGGTCTGTAAAGGACGTGCGAACCGGAAAGATTGTCGAAGGTGATGGCGGCTCTCGAGTGTTGGTGTCCAGCGAAGCCGGGGGCTCTGAGAAGCGGACTGATATTAAGGCTTCTTTACAACACGGAGAGGGCGCAAGTGAATCAGCAGTCGACGAGTCTAGTGAAGTTGCCGATAAGTTCGACCCCAAGAACAAACACCGGAAACCTAGCTTTGGTGATGAGCAGCCTTCTCGCGTAGTCGAAAATGGCTGGGACTTGCTTGACAACAATGATGTCAACTTTCTCATGGCTGTGACCATGAGCGTTAGTGGAATGGCGGTGGCCAGCTGGTACTGGGGGGTTCCTTGGCAGAGCCTTCTTACTCCCTGAAGTGAGCAAGGCAAAATGTCTTGGATCAGATTTGCCATACGCCATGTGTTTCTTCTGTTAGGACCCGGCGCTAGGCGCAATGCCTAACTAGATGGTGATGGAAAACTAGCTATATGACGATATTTACAACCTAATGTAGATGTTGGAAATGTCTTGACCTCTTTTTTACCATGATCTGATTACCTGCTGGAGAAAATCTATGAAATATTGAATCATAATCACATAGAGATGACGGCTATGAATAACATTAGAGATTTGCAAGGATCACTTACCGCAGCTGGGAGGAATTCTCTGGAATAAAATTAGTTGCTGTACGATGTTGATTGCTGGTAGATCATGCCGTTTGTTGGCAAGATAAAATAACTGTAAGTTGGATACAAAGTAGGGAGGTTATTTCTTCAAGAACCGTCATGATATCTCTGAATAATTCGTGAATTAAATAACCCGCGAATATTTTGTAAACCACAGAAAATCCTATTTCACAAAGGTGAAGCTACTGAAAGAGAATGGTGAACGGTGATGGAAAGAAATCGAGGAAGCATGTCCAAAGCTTGGCACGTATCCAAATTTGGAAATGAAGCAGTGATATGACTGCACTTGATTGGTTCGGACATATACAACAGCAGAATCCATAGGTAATAGATCCTTGAAGTGTCGGTACACGTGGATTTAGATGGTGAGTGTCAAGCTAAGAAAGGGAAATCCTTTATTGTACGGTTTCGCCTATTCTAGTCTGCATACTACAATAATGTCTATTGCTGCAGTCCGAACCACGGAACGCTCAGACATGACTTCTGAAATCTTCGGGGGAGGATCGCGTCCAGTATAGAATAACTGAACAGTGATGCATAAGAAGAACAGAATAGATAATGTAGCTACTGTTAAGCTGCTTACACATATTGTAGATATCTGTTCAAACCTGCAACATCCCTTCAACAAGGATATCGTCCAGCAGCCTACCCATCGCCGCAATCTAGCTGCTAGGTTTGCTTTCCGCCCCCGGTCTGCCGAACATGACATATCAAAACATCAAAAGGCTTATTGTTTCGCATCAACGGTAGCCCGACTAAAATAGCTATACTATCGATCTCGGCAGTGGGACATTTCATCTTGTTTGTTAGCAGTATTCGTATAGATTTCTTGGCGCCCACTCCGGGGGGTTGTTATATCCGAAATTAAGGTAGAGTGGCTGTAGAAAAGACGATGAAACACGCATTATCATGTAGAAGCCAAGCCCATTCATTAGCCTCACGTGGATTATATTGAATTACTCCAAACTCGGTACCAATGTCAGGGATGCACCAGTTCCCCGGACCACTGCTCTCCTTTTCGCCAGCAACCGCGATATATCTCACGTTACAATTGCTTTCTTCTTCTTCTTCTTCTTCTTCTTCTTCTTCTTTTTTTTTTTTTTTTTTAAAAAAAAAAAAAAAACGTTGATAATGTCTAGTATTGATAGTATAGTTTTGAAAATTATTTCGACATTTGTTAATTGGTTCTCAATGAATTCCTGCCAGCTGGCCACCTGCTCGCCTGACCTTGCACTCACCCACCGGCCCACCAGTTGAAGACGCCTCCCCCCTTCTATGGCTGTCATCCGTTTGCTCTGCTTCCAATGAATATTTAAAGAAGAAAAAATTTTCCATCTGCATAATTTTTCATCTCTTCTTTTTTTTTCTTTTTCTTTTTCTTCTTCTTTTCTTCAACCCTCGCTTCTTCCATCTCAACTCTCTTCCTTGGAGCTGAAGGACCGTCATTAGACGACTTCAAGACACTCTTTGCTTTTATAAAATTATTAAAAAGCCATCAAAAAAAGGAGAGAGAGAGAAGTAATTCCGAGCCAAGGATGGCAAAAATGGAAAAGACGATGCCCTATCACAACCCCCTGGGCCCCCTGGCTGCCCGCATCGAGATCCCGCCCACCACGGCCACCATCACTGGAGGCCCCGAATCGCCAGTGAATTCTTTCGCCTCGAGCGAGGAGACAAAGGTTGCTGAAGACGAGTTTGCCGCTGGTGTTCCGGATGGCGGGTTTCGAGCTTGGCTTGTGGTTGTTGGTGGATTCTTGGACTTTGCTATTGCTTTTGGTGAGTTCCTCGTTCATTATCTCGATTTCTTTTTAAACTAACATCTATCTCTATTAAATAGGTCTTGTAAACTCTTTTGGTACATTCCAAGCTCGCTATGAAAGCGAGTGGACTTGGCTTTCCACCTCAACCATCACTTGGATTGGCAGCATTCAGGTAAGCAAACAAAGAGACTCGAGCACCACATTGTTCATTAAAGCACAGGCAAGACAAAAAGAAGATCCAAGTGAATGCTAACTAACTGCTTCTCTCCCTGCAACTAGCTGTTCATTCTCTTCCTCGGTGGCGCCGTCGTCGGCCCCATCTTCGACAAATACGGCTCTCGCGCCCTCATGTTTTCGGGCACCGCCGTTTGTCTGCTCTCATTTATTTGCTCCAGCTTTGCTATTCATTTTTACCAATATCTCTTGGCTCAGGGAATCTTGCTTGGAATTGGTAATGCGTTGCTGTAAGTTGAAATCCCCCAGAACTCACATCATGTGACCTCAACACCCTGACACCCCTTCTCTCCAACTCAAGTTTCTACCCAGCCACTGGAGCCATCTCAGAATGGTTCAACCACAAACGCGGCCTCGCTCTTGGTATCGCCCTCTCAGGCTCCTCTGTAGGTGGCATCTTCTGGCCCATCATCATCAACAAGCTCTTCTCAGTCGTCGACGCCCCCTGGGTGCACCGCATCATCGCCCTCATCTCCGTCCCCATCCTTCTCGCCGCCTGCTTTCTTGTCACGGAGCGCAAGGACGCTGCCGGCCACGACACCGAGGGCAACCGCGTCAAGCCGTCGGAGAGTAGCAGCATCCGCAAGGCCGTCGCCGAGTGGCGCTTCTTCACCCTGTGCCTTTCGCTGTTCTTCATCTACGGCGGCATGCTCATTCCTTTTTATTACATCCCACTCTTTGCCATCGAGCACGGCGTGGGCTCTACCATGGCCAATAACCTACTGGCGATTGGATACGCCGGCTCTGTCGTCGGCCGTGTGGGCAGCGGTTGGATCGCGGACCGCTTCGGCCGGTAAGTCCCCACTTGTCCCCGTTCCCGTTCCCGGGACGGCTCCTGGCATCTTCCCGATCCCTCAACTAAACACCGATCCCCGCAGATTTAATGTCCTATTTGTAATGGGCATCTTGACCGCCGTAGTCACCTTTTGCTGGGGCGCCATGACCACGCTCAGCGGCATGATGGCCTTTGCCGTCCTCTTCGGCCTTTTCTCCGGCGGCCTCATCCCCCTGGGCTCAGCCTGCGTGGCACAAACCACTCCAGACATGGGCCACATCGGCCTGCGCATCGGCTTCATGATGGCATTTGCCTCCTTCAGCGCTTTATCTGGTGGTCCCGCCAGTGGCGCCATCAAAGACGCAACTATCTCTTGGTTCGCCGTGTTTTCATTTTCTGCCTCTCTTACTCTTTTCGGAGCACTGATGCTCCTTGGAGTGCGTCTGTGGTGGCAACCTCTGGGAGGAAAACCCATCTTCTAATCTTAATGTGTTGATTACACTGCGAGCTTGAGCTGTCAGAACTTTTTGTTCATTTCGCAAAAACCTACTCATGTTGCAGGCGGTTCGCGGCGTTGGGATATTTGATGGAACGACTAGATATGAATGTCATCAAGGCGTTTGGCTACACAGGTTTAACACTGTCCATTTACAGCTACATGCTGAGAAGAAAAGCCAACAAGGGCAAACGGGCAAGGACCGGTAATGAGATAAAGACAATAATGAAAAAGGCATGGATCTAGAGATCGAGGCATTAATGGTAACAATCCTATTCATTTAATATAATCACGGTGCACTCTTCACTGCCTACATCATTGAACCCCTTACCCTTTACTACAAAGAAATTTTCTCATATTCTCCTCTTCAAATTTGTGGTCTTGTTGACGGTAGTCTGAGGATTAGTAAAGGCAGAGCCCTCTCATAGCATCAACTCTCGCGGCTGAAGTTACATGTATTTGCATCGTATCTCATATGATTGAAATATCTAATTAGAGTATTGTAAAGTATTTTCAAGCTCATTTATTGCTATACAGCTTTAAAACATTGACAAAAGACCTAGCCCATTTCATCTCGTCATCGCCGATCATCACTATGTCTACAACAGAACAATGAGGGCTCCGAGGCGTTTTGGATATTCACCATTCCCATTCTAACAGCTGGTCCGCTACGTAGCCCATATTCAAAAGTGGAGAGAGAAAAGAAAACAGGTCAGAAAATGATAGTAGGGAGCTAGAGAAAGATAGAGGGGGGGAGAAAGAGAGTAGCCCATCTGCGGTGACAGGGCATTAAGCAGAAGCAGCGAATAAGAGACATTCTGAAAAGGCAACCCCTGCTGCCAATGCAACTACCTACTTCTTCCGACCTTTTGGCGTTTTCTGGAGTGGTGAGTAGTCTTGTATAAAATGTGCATCCTCCAAGCATTCTACAACAACCGGGTTGATGAAAACATGATTCTGCAGCCCGGCCTTGAAAATAATCCTCATGAGGTTTGATCTGAAGTAGAGTGACCAAGTATCAATCTTGGCAACGTGGTTACCTAGCCTCAGCTTGCATCGATAACCATACTCTGCTTGTCCATCATCGGTGCGCTGCAAGACGGGCACATGCTCACCCTTTTCGGGAACGTACAGGGCCGTAGAGTAGAAAGGACCAACGCCTCTCTCGAGAGAGGTCACAACGCTGATCAAGTTCTCTCGCAGACTGCGACGATGCTTTCTCGAAACCGACTTGGCACTTAGCTTGGCCAGTTCGCTCATTCGACCAGCCAGTCTTTGCGGATCATACTGGAGCTGGAACGGCTCGCCGGTTTCTTCGACGTGATTTCTTGACGCCTCAAAGATGAGGGCAATGCATCCACCAGCATTGGACTGAATCTCCACGTCATCACTATCAAGCTGATCCACAAATGCATCCATGGCCATGTCGGCAAAGTCGGAAAAGTCAGACACATGGCTGGCAACAAAGCACCAGCCTTGCAGAGCGGCCGCGACGATGACGGCGTTGTCATGGGCCTCGATGTGCTCTCCATCTGTCCGCACGATCTCGACAAAGAACTCCATGACTTCCAGAGCAGCCTCTTCTAGGCCACCGGCGTAGAGCACCGTCATACAGAGCGCATATATCGCATAGACACGGCAATCATCGTCATCATCGTCTGCCATTATTTGTTTGAGAATCTTTTGTGCGCCATCAAAAATCTCTAGGGATCCGACCGTTCCAATTGTGAGGCAAAAGGCGTGCAGACTTAGTAGTCGCTCCTTGGCCGTTGCCGCACGATTTGAGTCGTGGAGGAAAAGCTCTGCCAGTTCGCCTGCGGCATCATCTAGCCAGAGATGGGTGTCGGCGGTATAGTGGTTCCGAATCGTCTTGATGTAGACGCCGAGGAAATATTCTCGCATCTCGCTGTTGTTGTGCTTTCGGTCCCGAAGGCCTTCTATGAGAGCCCTGGTGTCGAAAACGAGAGTATCGGGCTCTTCGGGCGTTTCGTCGTGGGATCCGCCAGAGTAGACGCTTGACGCCATGTCATCCAATTCAAAATCGCCGTCGTCGTCGCTGACATCAGACGTGACGCGGCTGTGGGCAGCGGAATGAGTGGGCGACGCCAATAGCGAAGGCAGAGGAGAGCCTCGCGGTGTGCTGCTTCCTGATGCACGGCCGGACTTGATGGCTTTCTTCGAGACGGTTTTTCCGTTTCCCTTGAGGGCCTTGACTCGAGCGTGGTTCATCATTTTGGAAAATAGAGTTGCTAGAGAAAAGTCGGTTGTAAAGAGTAAAGAGCAAAAGAAGAGAGAAGACGTAGAATAGTCGACACTGGACCGGAAATTCCCAGTAGGTAGTTGGAGTTTATTGTAGGGAGATGGTGGAAATTCAAAGTCCCACTATTCCAATCCTGCAGCCCTCGATGGCCGGTCTCTTCTTCCCCCCTTGAATTCGATGGAAGCACAGGCTACGTCACGTCGGTTTGCGCTTTGGTCTGGATGATCCAAGGATGTTTGCGAGTGCGTCGGATGCTGGCTTGGTGAGAGTATGGAAGAGTAGACCGTCCATGAGAGTCGAGATGCAGCGCAAATTGGAGGGTGGCGACAAGGCAAAGGGCGAGAGCAGGGACGACTGCGTGAAACGAGAATGCGACAGAAATAGCTTACGCAATGTTGAAGGGAGCAAGATTGGAAAGGCGATGAACGGGTGAGGCCAGAAAATAAAGCAAAGCAGCTGAGTGGTTCGGTGGTGGCGTTTGGTTTGTGGGCATGACCGTCTCGCAAGCTTCCCATGTCGACACTACCCGGAAAACTGCGCGCTAGGCTGATCGGGGCAAGTAGCCGGTACTTGCTTAGGGCAAGGACCAAACGGCCCTGAGATCGCCCGCGAGAGCATGTGAGAAGCTGCAAAGGTGACAGGCAGAAACGGTGAGATGTAGAGGTACGACCGCCGAGGTACACTTCTTCTTGATCATTACTCTACTATAGTACCTTATCTTTGCAGTATTCGGCGTTCGGCACCAGGTTGGCATTAATGATACAATGCCTGTTACTGTTCCAAACAGCCATATGGAGAGCTCTCCCAAGGCAAAGCTGCTGCAGCGGGAAAAGCCGGATTGTTATTACGCCTCAAGTCATTTTCTTTCTCTACTACGGCTGCCGTGCTTCGGCCTTGTTTCGGCCTTCTGTGATTGCCTGCCCGCCAAACTCGAGGCTTTCCACGAGATAAAGTGGCGGCCATATTACCACAGCTCCTACTATTAGGTACCTAGCTAGGTAAGTACCAGGTAAGGTAGGTTCTGATAGCAACAATGGATGACGATATAGAGATGGGGACTTCCCCAGTACCGCTAGCAAAGTAGCTGTACTTGATCCCAGGCTCCGTGCCCCATCCCCCAAGCCAAGTTCGGGCTGGTTTCTTGTTCCGGCCTTTGAGCTACTCCGCAGAAAGACGCCGCATCCCTGCTGGTCATGCGTCATTGCTGTAGCCACTTTAACACTCAAGGGATTACCGGGTCTCAATAAAAAAAGCCGGTTTACAGTGTCTTTGTTCTTTGTCTGTCTCTACCTATTATTTGTCGCATTTGACGTGCCTGGTTGCCTGAATTTCTGCCTACCGTTTGCCTGCTCTCTTCGGTGATGCCCCAGGGGATGATTCATCACCATCTGCCCGTCTTATTCGTCTTTGGCTCGTATCGCAGCCAAAGGGCCTTCACGTGCTGCAACTGCGATTCGTTTCTTAGCCTGCTATTGAAGGCTCTTATGCACCATGGCGGGGCATGGCTCGAGCCCTTGGGCACCGGGTCAGCAGGCGGCCAAACGGAGCAGTGAACTGACAAATGAAGGCGTTTGAAGGGGGACAGGCCCAGCCCTATTGGAAGCTGTTGGTCGCTGAAACGCAAGACGAGGGGTTTTCCCTCCTGTTACAGAGTACAGCTACCTTGGATGCTCAGATAATACTCGTACACTCTTGCGTGAGTGGACGCAATCATCTCCGCCTCATAGCCATCTTGCCGGGGCATGCCGTGATAAACAGCTCACCCGGCATGGCGAGATGCGCTCGCGCTCACGCTCCCCTCCCAGCCGTACTACTATATTTATATTATGGATGTAGTAAGTGATCCCTCTTGGCTTGGACCTGACATAAGACGTGCTCCGACCTGCCCAGATACCTAATAGTCTCCTCTGCAAACCAGACTACTGTACGGTAGCATCCATGTCTTTGCAACATGTGGCCTGCGGATCCATGCAACGAGCTCCATTTCTGTGGCAGGATTCCTTTATTGGATTATGTACCGATACCCCTACCAACAGCCGTACAGTATCGACAGCACCTGAATCAGGCGTCGAGTCGCGGCGCTAAGGCAAAGCAAAGCAGCTGCAGCAGCTGGCTGCACCCGTCACGGCTCGTTAATTGGTTGGCAGGGCCTGTGTATCGGTACTTGTACCTGCTTGTAAGAATGCGGGAGCAGCGCTGTTGGTACCTGTGCTGCGCTGTGACTCGTCCACTTGGCAGCCGGACATGGCCACGCAAATCTGCAGCGACAGCAGGCCTCGTTTCGCGCGGCTGGTTCGTCAGAGAAATGGTCGGTGACGCGGTATTCGCGCATTCTATGGGCCCTCCTCTCGTATCTGTGATTTTTTGATTTTTCTCTTCTCCTCCTTCTCCTCCTTCTAACGGCGGCTACGTCGCAAAAATTCCATCTACTGTACTCCGTACGAGTATTTTAAACAGTGACATACTCGGCTTCTCAATAGCCCCACCAAAGCTACGATAAGCCACCCATCGCGGGGCTTATCGCTGCCCGCTTCTGCCTGGGGCTGCCTACAGGGCACATTAGTGCCGTATCTCGACCTGGAAGTACTGCTACATTCGCATTCATCTGTCACCATACACACTCGTACCTTGCCATTAGCACTCGACTTGGCTTGAATAAACCTCCATCTTGTAGAGTCTGAATCTTGCTCAGCCGCAGCGATTTGATACCAGGCTTCAACATCAGTTCCCAGCAGCGTCTTGCAGAACGTGAGGCACTGGACGGCCTGCGAGGTACCAGGTGGCCAGCCATCCCTTGAATGCCCCTTCGCACAGCGCCAAACAGGCTCTCTCCCACCTGTGCAAACCAACTGAACTACATTCATGTCAAGTACCATTCATTCTTTAAAGAGGTACTTGGACCCAAGCCTTTTAAACTTCTGAGGTCGAGGTGACTCGGGCCCCACCCCATCCTTTACTTCCGAAGCCTCGACTTGCTCCCCTCTTGGCCAAACAACTTCACTCTTCTTTTTAACCTGCCTCGTCCCCCTCATCTTTTGTCTTCCACTGCGCCCTTCCATTCGATACCCGATCCTCCCTCTGCTGAACTGCAGCCCAGCCCAGCCGCAGCTGCGCACAGACTCCCACCGACTCGATATTTCGAAGGCGCCCACGGCCCTGATACCGTCCATCATGGAGTCTCAAGGTGAGCTTCTCCCCGAGATGCGTCGCACCACGCGAGCCTCTCCAAAGCTAATCGCAGATGCAGCGTTGGTCACCCTGACGGCTGTGAATCCGCCTCCCGAGTTTGCCTTTCCAACTCGCCACCTTATCCTTGAGCCAGACCAATCAGTCCCCCTTGGACGCATGAGCAAGAAAAACACATCCTTCACTGCCACAGGAAAGAATGGTTGGATAGATTCTGCCGTCATGTCCAGAAGCCATGCTTCGCTTTTTTTCGATAAACAGCACAAGGTATGTTGCATTTTCTCTTCAAGCGGCCGTCGCAATCTGACCCCAACTAATCCCCATGCAGGCCGTTTTCATCAGAGATGTCGGTTCCCTTCACGGAACTTTTTATAACGATACACGATTGAAGCCCCATCAAATTCAGGCTGTCAAGGATGGCGACCTTATCCGGTTTGGCATTCCCGTCGACAGAGGATCAGATACATGTCCTCCTTGTACCATGCAAGCTACTGTTCAATTTGGGCCCCAGGGGTATGTCTCTCTCCCCCTCTTTCTTCTGTTCATTTTAGCTGGGTTCTAACTCATTGATAGCTATTTCCAAGCCCCGACCGTTTTTAGAGTACCTGACGATACCGATGAGGAAGAAAGCGCCGATGAAGACCAGGGCGATAGCACCATCCGACATGGCTTACAAGTTCTGCGAGACAACAATATCCGCCCGGCTAAAAACTGCATCGCTCGAGAGACGGTCATTACTATTGACCTATCTGACCATGAGATGGGTTCACCAGCGCCCGAAGATCAAACCGTCTCTACCAGGTCCATCCAGGATCACATGACTGACAAGGCTATCTCTGAGAAATCTCACTCGCGCATACCTTCCCCTCCAGGAACGATTGATATTCCAGACGATATTTCAGACGACGATGCCATCTTCTACGAAGACGAGTACGAGGAGGAGTACATGTCCGAGTCTGATGATGATTCCCACGGCCAATCTTCGCTAGAAGACCCTCCTCTTGATCACACTTTGCGTCACGATATTTTGGACAGCGATGAGCATGTCCCTCATCTCGAGGCCACTGAAGTTCATGAGGCAGAAATCTTCGATCGATTTGAAAACCATTGTTTGCCTCCCATTATGAACTTCTCGATGCCGAGTGCAACCTCTACTCCAAATCAATCATTGTCTGGCGTGCAACTGCCGTCCCTCTTTGATACTTTCCGATCGCAGGAAATATCCACACTTCAAAACAACACAACATACCATCACAACAACGAGACAGATACCCCAAACCAATCTTTTGTTTCTGTTCCCGCAGCCCCTGAGCAAGTTGAGCCCAAATTCTGGCCAGAGGATGTTGCCCAAAGCCGAGCAACCGAGTCCAGTATTCTGCTAGACTCTGGTGCCGAGTTCCTTAAATCTCCACTGAAGGAGCACCTTGAAGCAAACATAAGACCGGATGAAGATACCTGTACTCTTGGCTTCGATGAATCCTCCGCGTATCAATTCGAGGTGACTAAGACAATTCTTCAGCAACAGCGACAGGAACACCAGCATGTCCAGCAACAAGAACAGATCCAGGAACAAGAGCAGGTCCAGAACCAACAATCTCAACAACAACAGCAAGTTGAGCTTAGAAATGCCCATGCGGGCTCTGATCATCCCATGGAGTCTCCGGAGAAGTTGGTTCATAATAAACGCAAAGCAATGGAGATTTCCGAAATGACCACCGAGGAAATACCATTCGCTGAACGCTACCAACCTCAAAACTCCTCTCCACCTTCTGCAAGGCCTAGGTCTCTTGAGGACTCTGCAATGGATACTTCTCCCGTTGATGTCCACTCTGCGGCTGAGGAGCCACAGGTGAAGCGGCTGCGCAAAGCTGCTGAAATTTTTGGATATGCGGCACTCGGAGGAGTTGCCGTCATGTCTGCCTTGATTGCCACTGCGCCAACACTATAAACGTTGCGGCCTTTGGGGGAACCTCTCTATGGAGAACCCCTTGGTGATTGTTGATTCTCACTGAATCCTTTTCCTTTGTTTTTTATCCACTTCTCTTTTGTCTTTTCTAAGGTTTGTTCTTATTTTATGAAGAAATCCGACTGTTTGGACTTGGTCCCAACTATAACTGTTGGCGTTGGGGTATATGATGATTTGGAACTGGCTGCCGATCTGTCGCCGGCACTACTGCTGATTCTCAGCTTTGTTGGTCGATCGGGCACGAGTCGCAGCTGGCTTTTGCGGTGAATTACTTCTACACGGTCTTCTTTTCATGTATTTCTTTCTCTCATCTACGAACCCCTGTGGCTACGATTTCTTAGCTCGGTATCTCACTAGGGGCCTTAACTCATTTTCTATGTAATAGTGCTATAAATTTCTACCCAGAAGGAAAGGCAATAAATTGAAACTTCTTTTTTTTTTTCCCTTATATTCATAGGTTGGTATTCGTGCGTATCTATTGTTGACTTGGATGTCCTGTTACTTGGTGTTCAACTGGTGATATGTTTGGCCGCGTGGACTATCCAGTACAGCCAAAATTGTGTTACTGACCACAGCAAGAGCAGCTTGAATCAACGAACGCTTCACAGAGCACTCGCTGGGCACCAATCAGCTTGTCGTTACGGAATATTTTCGTCAGCGCGTAATACTCGTGACACGCCTGGGCTTTTCGGACGTTACAGCCTTGCATCACCACTTTGTCTTTTTTTTTCCCTTTCTGTCCAGTAGCCCGACATACCTTGGTCAACTCTCACTCGGCATGACATTCATGTATGAATGGCCTGTAGGTATGCTTCCAACAGGACGTGTCGTTTTCACAGGAGTCAGGCGTAGAGTCCTTATTTATCTCCTATAAGTAGACATGTTAGTAAAAAGAAAAAAACACCAAACCAGAGGACGCACATGCAAAGTCGTAGGGGGCACCACTGCGCCACAAGAAATATCCTGCTTCGTCGCCCCCTAAGCCCATGAGCAAAATAAAATTGCCATAACCCAAACAACAATAAAAAGTTTTCACACAATTTCCCTCCAAAAAAGGCAGTACCGAAGCCTCGGAAACGGTCTGGCGAGTAAGATGGCGAGCCTGCCCCCCTGCAGTAAACAACAGTCGTGTACCTATACACCATTTTCTCGACCGAAACGCTTACCCGCAGGGGCGTTATTTCGGTGTCGACAAGACGAGCTCGAGTCACCGCCTCATGGGCTGGCAAGGTGGCTCTTGGGGGTAGTCAACTTCGTATTGCAACAGCGAGAGAAACCAGTGGCCGCCTTTTTTAAGGCCTTCCCCCCGACTAGCGCAGGTTCTCGCTACTTCAATGCTACCCTCGTGTCGGCTTGTGTCTCTTCTTCTCCTTCTTTTTCTCTTCCTTGTCTCTCGTCTGAGTTCCCTCGGCGAAGCAAATAACCGCACACATCGGAACATTGATCCGAGAAAAGTGTCAATGCGCGCCGCCATGACGGGTGTGTGTACAGAGGAAAAGCCGGTAAGGAGCTTTGGCCGCGAGATAGAGAGAGGGCCAAGAGACCGGTCTGCGAGGGATCAACAGCCCCCACGTGGCGGGCCGGTCGAAAAGGTTCGGAAGGGCTATCCGCATCGGTTGATGCCTGATGCAGCTTTCCATGATTCGATCATTGAGGGGTCAGCTATGGTTTTGTGGCGGGAAATAAACGATGGTACAGGGAGTACACTGCAGAGCTTGCGACTGACGGCATACACTGGTCGGTCTGGTGTCATTTTAGGGCATCAGAGGGTACACAGAGCGGATTTTGACTCGTGGCCCGTATTGTGTGGTCCAAATTCGTATCCGAGGGAGCCAAGAAGGGGTGCCGATATAGGCCTGGTGACTGAAGCTCAAAGGTTTCTCGCGCTTGAGCCATCTGGGTTATTGCTTTCTCGGCGGGAAGCATCCAACCAGGGAAAGCTGCATGTTGTTTGTGCTCTGGGAACACAAGCCACCGCGTCGGATCCATCACCGTCGAGACAGCCAGGGGCGCACCTCCAATAATCAGCCGTTCGCATGAGCCCTGTGAAGTGCAATAGCCGCGTTTCCCGTGCCGAAACAACGAATGCCATGCAACTGCCAAGACGAGGAAAATCGTCATCTTGCAGACGCACGTTTTGGGGCTGAAACTCGCACAATATATCTCGTCTCCGGCTGAGCGAGTTGGGCCGACAGGGCAATCCTCAACGAGCTGACCGGTCCGGTTATTGACAAATGAGAAGGGGGCCGATCAGCCATCACGGGTGGCTGCATGATCTCTGCTCCAGCGCACAGAATGGAACGGTCCGGGTTAAGATAGGACAGTGGACGGGTCCATTGTCGCAGTTAAACACCCAAATCGGCTCACTTATGGTAGAGCGGCAGTTGTCACGCTTCTTCCCATTCGACGGTGAAAAAGGCGAGGGGAACATGATGAGGCGGTAAGACTGTTGTTCGACGTTGCCGAGCGCTCGTCCGTGACAGTGGCGCATATAGGCCATGGCCTCAGCGCTTTTTGATGCTCAAGTAGATATGATTCCATAGAAAATCCATGTCCAACCAAGCGGGTCGGTATCACGTTGCTTTTAGCCTAGTTGCTTCGACTATATGCCGAGGCAACCACACAAGCTGGATAGAGGCCATCGTGAGGTTTGTTGCAGCCGGTGTGATGGCATAAACCATGGTCGAAGATAATTGAGGCGGTCAAAAGGATTCATAGGCCTTCGGATAGCGTATCATGGAGTCAAACAGGATGTAATGGCGACCAGGCTCCTGAATCCCTGGCAACGTAGAGATGAATACTTAAGCAGAGGTTCCGCCGCACCTTCGTTCAAGTAGAATCAACCCTTCGAGCATTCATTCCAGTCATCCTCAAATTATCAGCCGGTTTTTCTTTCATCAATTCAAAATCAAGTCTCCTGCCAAATAACGGGCATCAGACTATCATATCCAGCCATGTCTTCTGAATTTGCTGCTGGCATGAAAGCAGGCATGGTGCCAATAAGCTGCGACATGTGCAGTATGAGACAGTACGTTTTAACATGCCGTATGCTTTAAGAGATCCGTTTGCTGAAACTGAAGTTGAAGGCTTAATTGCGAGTACTGCAGAGGCTCGCTTGTCAGGATGGTCCCTCCTGGTTATCCAGATCTGTCGTCAATACCAGCTTCGCCGTTTGCTCGTCAGGCTGGCCCGTCATCATCAGGACAAAGCAACCATCCAGACTCGAGCCACAGATCCTCGGGTGTCTATTCAAAACGCAGTTAGCCGGCATTGAGCAGGATGGTTAGCCGGCATTGAGCAGGATTTTCCATATCATCGAATCTATGTACATGACTTTGGTGTATATTTTGTTTGAACAGACGTGAGGATTCAGCCTCATAGTGTGGTTACATGGAAGGAGAAAAGGATGGGGGCGTTCATACCTGCTGAGGTCGCAGGAAGGTCCAGCTTGAATTTCTCAACAAGAAATGGGATCGTTTGGCAACATGTCTGCTAGTGGCCCAGTAATATACCAGTGTGTCACGTATGTGTGACTCTTTAATTTAAACTGGGCGAGCTCATGTAACGAAGATAATCCACTGTATGCGGATTAATACGTCGTCAGATTTCTTTTCTTTGCCCTCCTCCGCTTCTTTCCCTGCCCCAATTTGAAACAAATTGACGGAGTGGATACTCTCGCCAAGGTCTGTCAGTCTCAGATTCGTTCGTGGCGGATGAATATCCAATCCAGGGAAGGGGTAGTCGAGGAGCATAGTTTTCACAGCCACAGTTCACTTGCATCGGAAGTTGTTCTCTGACCAGGTCATGCGCGCTGTCGTCTCTTGTCCCACGTCAAGGTCATGGGACGCTGAGCATATTTCTCCAGAGAAGGAGTGACTGCGACGAAGGCAGAAGGACATCCAATAGCTGAGCCCAGGCGTTGCTCGTAGTATCCAGCTCAAAAGTCACTTGCCAATGATATGATATACTCGGATACTTCAGAAACAGCCCAGCATGCTAGTATCGGCATATGAGGAGCGAATGAATGCAAGAGACGATGCCGTGTATGAAACCATCTAGAGTCGGCCCCATTGAGGAATCGGCGGGCAAGCGCATTTGCGGCTTATCACGTGCTTTCGAGCGAAAGCCATTGGTGAAGGAATGAAGGAACACGAGCTGCACGAGCTGCAGGTCTACAATTGATGATGCTGGAAAATGAAAAATGGTTGGTTGTGTATCCCCAGGCAGCTTCTTTTCCCATCCAGTCATGTATCTCGGAAGCTGCGAGCTTGTGTGAGCTTGCCGACTTCCTAGGAAGTCGCTGCGGCTTTTCTTCGGAATAATGGAACCAGCCGAAACTTTGCGCTGAAACAACGGCTACTGAGCTCATACTTACCTAATCCCAACCACAGCAAACTGAGCCTCGCCTCGAACCTCAGCAGAGCCTCAGCCGCGCCGTTCAGTTCATCGTTATCAAACAGGCTTCAGTTTATCGCTTCAACAGGCAGCTATTCGGTGCGCCAGGTGCCAAAGCCAGCCACCATGTCCGTGATTTTGTGCACAGGTTGGTCCTGCCCCGTTCCCGCTCCCATTCTCGTCAGCTATCGCGAGCTTCAATGCTAATGACGACACAGCTGGTTACGACCACACCATCAGGTTCGCAGGCATGCGCCAAAGGGACGTTGCTTCACGCGCAATGCTAACTCCCCGCAACACAGATTTTGGGAGGCACTATCGGGGATTTGCTCGCGGACGATCCAGCACCCAGACTCACAGGTGAACCGCCTATGTATCTCCCCCGACAAGCGGTTTCTTGCGGCAGCCGGTCACCACACGGTCAAGCTTTACGATATCAAATCGACAAATCCTAATCCTCTGCTTACATTTGAGGGACATACGGGGAACATCACGGGAGTGGCATTCCACTGCGAGGGCAAATGGATGGTGACGAGCTCCGAAGATGGCACTGTTAAGATTTGGGAGACGCGAACAGGGTCAATCCAGAGAAGCTATAACCATGGCTGTCCAGCCAACGACGTGGTCATTCACCCGAACCAGGGCGAAATTATAAGCTGCGACAGGTCAGGCAGCGTGAGGATCTGGGATCTGGCCGAGAACACTTGCGCGCACGAGCTCATTCCTGAAGAGGACGTGTCGGTATCAAGCGTGACAGTTGCTAGTGACGGAACGCTGTTATGCGCCGCGAATACGGCAGTATGTTGAACGCAAGGAGTCAATTTGGTTTCCAAGGTCGGTTAACTAACCTCTGCCAGGGCAATGTGTTTGTGTGGCACCTCCGCCAAAACTATGATCAGACAGAGCTGCTCCCGGTAACGCATTTCAGCGCCCACAAAGAGTATATTACCCGTATTCTCCTCTCTCCCGATGTGAAGAAGTTGGCAACGTGCAGCGCCGACCACACAGCCAAGATCTGGGAGATCAAGGACGTCAAGCCTCAGGTCAACGGCAAATCTGACGAGGCGCGCCCGCTTCCCCTAGAAGCTACGCTTACGGGGCACCAGCGATGGGTTTGGGATTGTGCGTTTAGTGCAGATTCGGCGTATCTAGTGACGGCATGCTCAGACCACTACGCACGACTATGGGAACTGCACAGCCAGCAAATCATACGCCAATACAACGGCCATCACAGAGGAGCTGTCTGCGTAGCACTCAACGACTATTCAGAGACACGCTAGAATCCCAAAGATGCATCGTTGGGTTCCGCAACCAAATAATACAGGGAGTAGATGGCATGGCATGGACCTTGAAATTGAAGAGTCATGGATGGTTTGGCGCGGCGTTATGGTATTTCTTATGTTTTGGTTCGCCTTTGTTCTCTTCTTCGAATACAACGATTGGCGCCGCCTTTTGCCTCTGATATGGTGAGCCTTGGAATGCAGGACTTGCGCTTCCCCAGATCAGAAGCGCAAGAGGAGGCATCAACTTGCACGGGATGGCGGTGGGGAGAATCTGCCCGTGTCTATTGCCGGCGACGGTCCAATGCTAGTGATGGTGTCATGCGAGTTTTTTTTTTTGGCATATGCATGTAATATGTCGAAGCTTGAACGTGGAAGATCAGCTATAGACCTTGAATGAGTAATTTTATGCCAAGCGCCTGGTTTGTAATCCGTGATGGTGTCGCCGATTTGACAGCTGAAGGTGATGGCTTCAGCCGTAGAGGTGCAGCACCACCCCAAGATGGCCTCGAAACTTGTAGCCATTTGAGGCTCCCTCAGCTCATCTCCCAGCAAAACACACGACGGAGTGATGAACAAGCATCGGCAAGTAAAGCAGCACGGCTTTCGGGGTTCAAATGCGGTTCCGGGTAAGTCAGGGCTTGGCTCAGCCTCTGCGTCGTATATTAGGCACCCTCCAAAACGCCCTGCACCTGCAGGAGAGTCAAATCCACGAAGCAAGGCCCAAAATAAACCGATTGGCCAAGTTCCGCACCACAAGGACAATCCCATGTGTTCATGATCTGTCAGTAGGAGCAACATACATGGCGATCCCCCCTTTGCCTGCCAACACACACACATACGCCCCAAGGCACCCTTCCAGGGATTGTCGAATTCCGCGTCCCTTGTCACTTTTCCCCCCTGCGAGGTGTGTCTATGAGCTTTTTTTTTTTTTTGTCCTTGTTTCTCGCTAGATGGAGTGCCGGGCCCTCGGGGTAAAACGACTGGCTGGGCGGCTTTCTTGTTGTCGTTCAAGGTTTTTAGAATGTCGAGGGCCACGGCGCTGGGAACTTCCAGCTGGACAGGGATGAACGCGGGTGCGCTAGTGGTCGGACTGGGGCAGACCCTGGAAAACCCCCATTTTTACGTCTGGGTGTGCCTTTGTTCCTTTGTAGGGGGGAGTTGTACTAGCAATGGAAGGAAGGCCACTATTGAATGGACTCCCGTGCAAAATATTGATAGTGCTCGATAGATTAGGGTTCAGGGTCTTGTGATGGCCCTTTCCGTCATCCATGTCATCCGATATCATATCACGTCGTAATACTCGTACGCACAGCAGGGACAGAGGGAACAGCTCTGCAAGGAACGCTTTTTTGCGTGACTCCGCCGGGTTTACGAGCCTTGGCTGGAGGGGCATGACTGACATTTGCTGCACTCAAAAGCTTTGGCCGTCAAGAGCCTCGAGTCCATGGGGGGGATCTAGGGTCCTTTGGCTGCCTCTTTTCGCCTCGGGCACAGCCGTTGCAACTAACTGCTAGACTGGGTTTTCCGTGCCTTGGTTCCTTGCCTTAGCCCGGCAGAAAGTTGCATCAAAAGTGCAGTGCGGGCTTCTTCCGGGTCTTGGAGATGGAGTCAAATGCCAGTAGTACCTACGTTCTACCTACTACTGACTTGCTAGTGCTGGCTAGCCCGGCAGCGCAAACGTGTAGCCGTTAGTAGCCCGCGGTCTATTAGGTCCCTAGCCTCTCCCATCTCCAGCAAATCCAATCACAGGCATCTCAACCCAACTGCCATTTCGCCACCATGTGCCATGCTCCTTTCCGGCAAAGCTTCCAATCGCTCTCGCCGGCCCTGCATGCTGCACCATCGCGTGGCAAACCGACTAGCCCTTTTCTTGACGTCAAAAATGGCCAGAAAGGCTGTGCCCGTGCCGCCCCGCCTAGCGCCTGGATTGCCTGCAAACCAAACTTTCAATAACCCAGAACCCAAAACAAGCTCCACCACGGCCGCTGGAGATGCGCTAAAACACACCTCTAACGTCCTCGCTGGGGCGTAAACCGGCCAATCACCGGCCCAGGCTGCCCATCTGAGTGTCCCGAATCAGTTGCGTTTCGATCTTGTATGAGTAACCTGGAGCGTAGCCTCTTTTTTTTTTTCTCTCTCCTTTCCCACCTCCACCAAAAAACGAGCCACGAGGCTATGTACGAGTAATATCGCAAAGAATAACACCCACAAGCACGCTATCCCTAATTCCCACCCTCCTCACCAGAGAAGAAAAAAAGCTTGTCCATCCTGCCAAAAAAAGACACAGAGCAAAATGTCTTCGTCATCACCCCTAGAAGAGCCAATCGCCCGGCCCCCCGCCATCAACTACGTCGTGAGCTTCATCCTCGTCGGCCTCGCCTGGGGCCTCACCACGCCCTTCATCCGCCGCGCCGCCCGCACCCACAAGCCCGCGCCTCACCCGCTGCTCGACTCCCCCGCCGTCAAGCAGAGCTGGCTCCGCTCAAAGCTCTATGGCGCCTTCTTCGCTGTCCTCGATCTGCTACGCAACCCGCGCTATGCCGTCCCACTTGTCCTCAACCTTACCGGCAGTGTCTGGTTCTTCCTCCTCATTGGCAAGGCCGGTGAGTCTCAAAACACCCCATGTCTCACCTTGTCCTCCGAAAAGGCCTCCCGGGGTCTCAGATCTCCTTGCGCCCCTCCCTCCCCCCTTCCACACCTAACCGTCCTGTTGGGCTAGCCAGAGGGAGATTTTCCCTCTTAGTAGAGCATCAGATCTGACCCCGTCTTTGGCCACCTGTTAGAGCTGAGTCTTACCGTCCCGATTGTGAATGCCATGGCCTTCCTCTTTACCGTTCTGGGTGAGTGGTTCGTTGAGGGTAAAGTGATTAGTAGAGGTATGTGCAAGTCTTGCCACCCAACGAGCATCAACGTCGGTCCGTAGTAGTATCAAAGATCAAAGAGCTAATCGTAGGGCCTTGGGGAGGGAAAAGAAACCGGCATTGGCATGGTTTTGTCCTTGGTGGGAATCGCCTTGTGTGTTCAGAGCAAGACCTGAAGTAAAGGCATCGTGGTATATCAAGCGTTGTTTCAATGACATCATGAACCAGCGGCTTCAGTGAAAATCAATTTATTTGTAGAAAAATAAAATAAAAAACGCAATTGCTTCAGAATAAAGAGAGGCTGCTCCAGGCAGCCCTAGTAAGAAAAGAAATTCTATGTCCCGTATGTCCTCCAATTTTGTATCCTCAAGATGACTGCTTTCTATCATGCAGTCTTGTGTCACGCCATGCCTATGTAAATAGGACGCCCAAACAACCAAAATATAACCAAGAGAAGAAAAAGGTATCCCTTTGCCCTGTGGCTGCCTGTGAACCTTGTGTCCATGCCCATACGCCAAATTACACCCTGAAAAAAAAAAAAAAAAAAAAAAAAAAAAACTCCTCGCCCGAACAAAAGAGACCTTGTAGCATCTGCTGCGCAAGGCTGTTGCAGAAAAAAATTGAATGGTGGTAGGTGGTGGTGGTGTTAGCGGTGCCTCCCCCCAGGAGAGGAATAGTTGTTATCGATGCCAGCAGCGAAGGCGAGGTAGGATGTAGCTGTTGAATCAGCCTGTATTCGGAGTATCAAGTGCCTGATGATTCGGGCCACATTATCGCTGTCGAGCCTGAAGCCAGCGCTGGATTCTTCGCAAACTCGGATCCTCCATTGTCCAACGACCCTGCGATTGGTCCGCGGTCAAGAGCTCGGCGTAGACGTACTCGTCAGTAATGGCAGCCAGCTCCTAAGAAACATGGAATTAGTTACATTACTTCCCCACTACTTTGGCCGTGCATATGTTGGTAAGAAAGGATTTTCGTTTTTTCCCGACATGTACCGAGTGGAGACGCCATTTCCCGTGAGAAAAGGCTGCGTCCAAGGGAACGGAACAGGGAGGGAGCCTTTTGGGGGGTGCAAGTGAAGGTAAGCTTACCGCTCGAAGCTGGTTATCCAAGGCTTGCAGCTGGGCATGGTTCCCCGGATGCGGTCGTTGGCCCTGCAAGACTTGGTCTCGGTACTCGATCCATCGCTGCGCCGCCGCCTGCCTCAGGAGAATCTTTTGCCCCTCGTGCCGCCGGGCGTAGGCGTCTAGCAAAACCCTTTGGATGCCATGTTAGTTGATTCGATGCTTCATCTGCTTGGTGGAAGAAAACGCACTGTTGGAGTTCGGCTCTGGTCTGCTCCTCCTCTCCTCCCTGGGCCGCAGGCACCCTGGTATCAGCAGCCACGTCGAGGATGTATTGGCCGTCGACGGTGCACTGGCGCAAAGCAGCCCATCCCTCAGTGTAGTAGTCCTCCTCGTTTTCTGGCTCGACAGGACCGGCTGCGATATAGTACTGAAGGGTTCGGAAGTCGGCGAGGACTTCGGCAACACGGGCAGTGCGGCACTCGTTCACTTCTCGTTGCATCTTGAATTAGTGACTGTTCTCACCAAAAGGTTGAATTGAGATGTGCCATGGCTATCTTTACGAATAGAGGCCCGCTGGGGTTGTGCTTTGTATGAGGAAGTGGATTCGTATCACGCGTAAAGCGCATATACCGAACCTTTAAAGGGGGGGCGTGCTGCCCGGGTCTGCATGTGTGCTTTACTTGGGGCTTGGGGGAGGAATAGCGGGACAATAAAAGCAATTCGCTAAGAGGCTAGTGACCTACATCCGTCCATGGTGTCGTGGGAAAAGCTTCCGGATGAGACTTGGGGGCCAGGCGCGAAAGGGGGGGCCAAAGAAGCCTAGTTGGTATTTCCGTACAAGGAAATAGGTGAAGAGACGCAACAATGGCTCTCGGCCGATAGACGCCGTTCGCAACGGTGACGCTTTGTTGTCTTCGAAGTCGAGAGTGGAAAAAAAAAAGATAGACAAAGGCCGTTGAAGCTGAAGATTCGAGATGCTGAGCTGAAAACAAGCACTATCAACTCAATATTCTGTAGTGGATAGCGTGGCAATATGGAGTAGTCGGGATCGAAGCTTGGTTCAGCGTGGCGAGCGAAGAAGAACTCTGCGGGATGCTATGCTCGATTTGCTTCGACGAGCGAGATGCTCCATCCTTTTGTATGCTTCGTCCATGATCGACCCCGTCCGGTGTTGTCGGAGGATCCAGCATAGTTCTCGCCTGGGCCTTGAAGGGCTCGATGCCCATCTCGGCCTTACAAAGCTACGGTGGACTTGGGCTTTGGCGGACGGATGAATCTGAGGCCCTAAGAGGGTAACCAGGCTGAACCATTCAGCTACCACTTGCCCTCTGACAAACACCAACGAGAGCGCTCTCCGTCACCTCCACCCCGGTGGCTCTTTG